ATCAATGAGTGAAAAGGAACCTTCCCAGTGGATGACGTTGTTGATATGGCCAAAGTCAAGGCCTGTTCCAAGACCCGACGTGGCAACCACCACTTGAATCTCTCCTTTACCTAGTCCATCGATTATACTCCGACAACGATCAGAGGCAATTCCAGTATGGAAAACAGGGCAGTCGAGTAATGTCCCAATCTCGTCCGCCACGGATTTGTTCATGGTATATACGATAGTGCCCTGGCGAACCAGTGGCAACAAGGCATTCCGTGCGTCGGTTGTTGTTTTGGAAACGATAACAGCCCGCCGAATATTGTCGCGCCGGCAAGACATCCTCAAGATGCTCATATCCGTGTACCTCAAGACATTCTTTAATCTAGGCTCGTCGTTTGGCGGCAGTGAGCCGGATAGCAATAGGAGGGGCGCCCCCAAGACCGACATCCATGCCATTTCCGCAAGCTGCTCACGCCATTTGATATCATAGAGATATACATGAGCTTCGTCTAAAACAACCCGGGCCAAATGACCCTTTGACGCCAAGGCCTTTGCCCATGCCTTAAATGAGAATTGCAGTGCAGCCTCGGGTGTAATAAATATAACACCCGCCCTTGCCGCGTCATGAGGATTAGTCCAAATAGCAGAGGCAATACCAGAGCCCTTTGCGCGAGACAATTGCTCCTGCCGCAGTGCAACAAAGGGGGAGATGACAATAGTAGTCTTCCCGGTATTAAATATTGCACTGACAAAAATGATGACGCTTTTGCCAATGCCCGTTGGCATCACCACCAGGAGACTACCAGTGCCAATAGCATGAATTGTAGCCTCGCGTTGTAATTCACAGCGCCACTCCGCCTTTGGTCCATATAGCCGTTTAAGACCTTCATCAGCCATGTCCGCGGCTGTTACATCACGTGACGTGTCAATATTTATTGGGTCTTGTAAATTTTGTGGTATCACCTCCATGATCCCTTCGCGTGCAGGCGAAATTGGCTGCATCTTGTGATTGTTACTGCTTGGTGTAGGAAGGTTCCAGCCTGGGCTGGAATGAGCGAGGTTTGCAGCGATATCTGAGTGGCTTGAATTGGGTGCAAGAGTGTGTATATCTGGTGTGTGTGCCCGACGTTTACTTGGTGGCGGAGTAGGTGCGGGTCCAGGATTGTGAAATGTTTTTGGACGTGGCCGAGATGGGTTGAGGTCGAAGAAGGTGTGGTAGGTTTGACTGGCCGTTTTGAATTCGGACAGGGACTCGTCGCTTAGGGAAGCAAGAGACTCGAAACTAAGGGCATAGTGGCGGGCTTCAGTGTCTGGGGTATGCCCGGCCTGTAGAATGTGGGATATATCTTTTATATCATTGCGCCGTAGATGCCGTTTGTCGATTGCAATGGCGATATGTCGCCATTGCGATAGTGTAATATTGCCAATGTAGTTGCTGGCCACGTTAGACATAGTCTTGGAGATGGCGGACGTGAAGAGGGGGAGATTTTTTGTTGGTACGTTGAATAGCAGTGCCTCTCTGCCTTCGTATTCGAGGGGGGACGGACCGGATTGTAATGCGCGGATGAAACTGATAAATGGTCGTACCCGGGCGAGGTAATAAATAACCATAGCTCCTAGGGAATGTGGTAGAGTCCGCAGGATAATAACCGGGTGCCCAGAGACACTCTCTGTCTTGTTGTAATCACAAATGACAGCCAGGGTTCCGTCATGGATGAATAGCCCGCGGCTAAGGTTGCCAGTATTTTGAGAGTTAATGGCGGACAGCTCGGTGCCTCTCATTGGCATTCCACAGGTAACGACCATCGCCAGGGCGAGGTGGTTGATAAAGACGTCACATTTATTCAGGTATAAGTCTACCTTCTTTGATTGGATAGTGGTTCCCTCGAAAAGCTCGGCATATGCTTGCTTAATTGTTTTAGCAACGCCATCACACAGGTACCGCCTAGGAATTGAGGTATCCTGCTTGGGACAACAAGCCTCGATAAGTCCATGATCTCTCACCATATATGACCAATTATCAGTATATCGAGTGGGGCAATGGAGGGTTAAGTCCATTGCGAATTGACCTTCATCTTGAAAGCTAACCGCCAATAGCGCGTCTCGACAACGTTCAATGGTATTATGTATGAATCGTTTGATATCGGTGATTGCCATATCCATACCATCAAAGGTTAGGCTCATTGAATCGTCAGCCCACAATACATTAGGCTTATTATAATAACTCTTGGCAAATGTCCGGGCGAGTTGTTTAAGGGAGAGTAACTCTCCAAAGACTGTTGGTTCGTCACACGCCAACCACTTCTTGCATTCTCTCTTTATAACCGCAATACTTTCGTTGCGGGAGAGATCATGGCATCCAGTTAGAGAGGTATAGAGAATAAAAGCCCGTATGGTATACACAAGGGCCGACATTAGTGGTGTAATATGTGAGGGCGGATGCCAGCGCTGAGCCTTAAAGTCCCAGCTTCGTATACCCAATAGCAGTATAATTGGCGACTGTGAAAATTCTGCATCCATCTTAAAGATGCTAGAGAAAAGCACATGGACTGCCTGGGTATCCATGTGGGATATTCCAGCCTGGGCTGGAATGAGGACCGAGTCATGCAAGGAAAGGGTAGGAATGATGTTGGGAATCTTGGCCCATGCCAAAGTTACGCGGATGAGGTCTCGGGCGGCAGAGATATACTTGGCCTTGGTTGCAGCAGAGAGGATTTTCAGGGGCTTTGTTTCCAGTTTTGGTGTTGTGGAATAGACGACACGGCGGATATATACTTCCTGGGTAGCCACCACGGCAAAGACCTGATCTAGGATGGAGTTGACGTATATGTCTGAAGATCCTGGGTCTAGAAAAGGCTGGAGACTTGCCATATTAATACCTTGAAATATCTGGGGCCAGGGGGCGCGTTTATCCCATTCAGTCATGCGATCCATTATTGGCGCAATTGTGATATTTTTGGCTCTATTTGCCTGGTGCTGGTTGTATTGATCCATAAGATACTGGATATTGGGGGATATGGGTGTAGGAGTATGGATGGGGAAGAAGCGCATCCGGGACGGGAAAATATTGCAGATTTTACTCTCAATAATTTTGGTGGTGTTACCAGACCATTGGTGTTTGCTTATATGTTTAAGCATTGTTGTATGTTTAGTACCAGCATAAGTACAGCCGGGAAAGGTGCATCGAAAACCATCCATAATATTTAGAAAAGGGCTTTCGCCCTTTTCCTCAGCTGCTATAATATCATCGAGATTATTACCAATAGCTGGAAATTTAGCAAAGCCTGCGGCTATGATATTGGCTTCTTTAGTATTTAAATTATGGTGTTCTCGTAAATGATTTGCGACAGATGTAGCAATCACACCTGATTTACATTCTTTGCAAATCAGAAGCTTACGTGGCTCATCGAAAAAAATGACCTGATACCATTAGTTGTTGAGAAAAGAAAAAGGAATCCAAGTCCAAAATTTATTTGGACTCACGGATTCCATGTCAAGTGTAGAGAAATAGTCTTGTATATAGCAAGTATATAGTTCACATTAAAACGGCAGTATTATTATAGTATTAAGCTTATGTTGATTCTAGCCTAGGCTGAAATGTATGAAGGTCAACTAGCCTGTAGCGGCTTATGGTATAGCAGGTTATCTAGGGTAGAAGTTTGGTAAGGAGTAAATAATGCAGTATGGAGGAGATTTCAGCCTGGGTTGGAAACCAGTCTAACCGTTTTTAGAAGGAGGGTTGACAAGGTGAGAAGAATAAGAAGATAGAAAGGTGAAAAGGGTCCTTTTATATTAAAACTAGGGAAATGGATCACCCAGATCACCTAGCTTACTCATCACCTAGATCACCCAGATCACTCATCACCCAGATCACTCATCACCCAGATCACTCATCATCCAGATCACTCATTACCCAGATCACTTATCTCCCAGATCACTCACCCAGATCACTCATCACCCAGATTATATAAGCAGTTGGTATAGCTGACGTAATATGAACGGGCCCAATTCTTAAGGCCCCATTCCAAGTGGGTCTTATAAGAGGGGCCACCTCTAAATATGGTAATGATCGACCAAATGATTGGCTGAGAGTGTTCTGGAATTGGGAGCCCAGTCGGGAATAGGGCCCCATTCCCATTTCTATGGGGACAGGAGCTTGGCAGTGCTGATCAATTGATTGGACGAACCATTTAGCTTTCTCCAATGGAAGTAATCATTCGCTTAAAAAGGGCCGCTAAATGCGGATTAATATTGTTATAGATCACGTGATGCATAAAAGGCCGGGGCCGATTAACTCATGCATGCCACTTCCCTGAGGCACAGGACGGAAGCTTAGCACTTTTGCCTAGAGAGCTTATCTCCTCGTCTATGTAAGCTTGTTGATTTTAACGTTCTCCGTACGCAGGTTCTAGAATTTGCTATCCTTTTCCACTAGCTATATATTAGGACGAATTATCCATTTTCATACAACTCATCATTGTCTTGCTCATGTTCCCAGAGGACATGGGGCACATAGGCCTTTTTTGTCCCATGGTTCATGTTCCATTAGGTTTCTCCTGAGCCTCACTTCGTATTATTAGTTTAACTTAACTATGAGTTACACATAACAGGGAGGGTGCCGATCCCGAATCAACCCACATGTTTGACTTCCAGGCGGTTAAATCTTCGACTTAACCGACCTCTTAACAAACGTTTCTTCCTTGATAGGCACTACAGAGTAGTTAGCATATGCTAGGTAGTCACTGGTTAGTTATCAAAGCCACCAAGCCGAGTTCCTTCACTCAACTAACTAACCTAACATCTTATTTTACAAGCACCATCCAAACAGCGTGAAGCGGCCATTATCTAATATCAAAACAGGTTACAAAATCCGCATATTTCTAGTCCTCCAGCCATCTATCACATCGCGAACTCTAGGTTTGAATTGAAAACACTTAACCGAGTTGTCTATACCTTATAGATAAGGGATGCCACATCCGATTGTCATGGATCCTAATATTTCTGAACGCATAGCTATATTGAGACATATTGAGATAAAGGAATGCTCCTGGTTTTGCGAAAGCGAGAGCGAGCGGGCTTGGAAAGAGAAGTTAACACTGTTAAGTCCAGGAAGTCGGCAAAGGTATAGGGTTTAGGGCACTCAGGGGCTAGCCTGCTGCGCGGAGAGCAGGGCCGGGTTTGGTGGTGGAAGCGGGGATTTTACAGCAGTGAGGTGGCTCAACCATTGGTTCCTTCTGAATTGGAAATCGCTCAATTCAGCGTTTGGTTATAATTATGCACGATTGTACTAGTGGTGCGTCCGATCCCTCTCTTCTTCCCCCAGGCGATGAAATTCTATGAAGGTCTACAGGTTGGGACAGAAAGCTATCAACTGGTCGATTTTGCTTTCATTTGCTTTATGCTAGAGCGGCTTCATAAAGATGGAATTTTGCCGTAATGCCTTAGCTTAGCACGTCGTAACGGGCGCTAGTCCCAAGTCTGACAGACGTAAAATTCAGCTCACTAGATCTCATTGATGCAATAAAACGTCGCCGTTTGGAGGTGTGACTTGATCACAATGCCCGAGAGGCGGTGGAAGGTTCAAATAGTTATAATACTCCGAACGCTAACCAGTACGGAGTACAGTCCCACTTTCCGCCTTGCCGCCACGGATGGTTTCCACCAATGCCTCAAACCGCGGCAGCCATTGCAGCATTTACCTATCTGGCTGAATTTATATCCAAGACTCGGGGGCTGTTCGAAGGTTAGCCCACCCAAGGCCCTAACTGTCTTATCAGGCACTACTTAATCAGGCTTCCTCCGCAACGAGTCAGGTAATATTAAAACAATCCATTGCATGCATATGTGCGAGGGCATAATGGGATGACCGCCGTGTGGGGGATTAATGACCTAAACGTACACATATGCGTTCAAATGTACAGGGATCCTTTTGGCCTTGAGGCCGGCGTATGAGCGGAGAATGTCTTGCTTCACAAGTATTTGATCTGATGTAACGGGCCCTAGATTCTCGTTGACCTTATATTTTATGTTTAACAAAAATTGATTGAAATCGGCTGAGGGTCGCCCAAAAATCGAAGATGTTCGGCACTATCCGATATGACAAGGACACGAATAGTCGTGAGCACGTAGAGCTCCAAAGGGCCAGTGGACTTGAGGCCAGAGGCTATACCCCAATTGCCTGTGACCGCTGTCGATCGCGAAAGGTCAGTTGATCTAGTTACACTACTACAACCTCAGTCAATCATTAGTCATGAAAAATTCTATGATTTCTCATCGCAGGAGAATACGGAAGAATAAAGAAGCTGACATATCTCCAGCTAAAATGCAGCGGCGAGAAAGACGGTTGTGAGAAATGCCAAACCGCCTCGGTTACTTGCACGTATCGCGATATCTCGTCAATTAAAGACAGTAGAAGGTTGTCAAAACGGGTGCGCCCTTGCAACAACCAGCTGCCCACTCCGAGCTCATGTCAGGCTTCCTACCGCAGTCAACGACAGCCCTTGGACACAGAGATGGACCAAGAGCCTGCTCAAAGCACATCTGACTCTGAGCCGCTAAATTGGCCAAACTCATCTTCCGAGGAATTCACCGAACTGCCTAATACGTGGGAGAGCTCGATCTTGCCTTTTCAGCCTACCTTCCCTACAATGATGGATGATCATGCAACCCTCGGGCTTGATATATCGAACGGGATGCACGGGGTTCTGGAGAGCAATCAGTCGTCGACAGACCCCGAGAATATATTCGACGCAGTCCTCGATACTCAGGCGGCCTACCACCACACAACCGCCCCATCTCAACCAGCCCGTCCGAACGACAATACTCAAGAGAGACGGACAGGATGGAGCTCTTTACTAGGAGGTAATCTACCAACCACTCATAGCGCTAACAAGAGTGCTTCCCCTCCCTCAAGATGCGATTGTTTGCGTGACGTGGCTCGTTTCTTGGAGGTCATTGGGGTGGAATCAATAGAGACGAGAGCTGATATGCTTCTAAAATGCGTTGATCGAGGAATGCAGGTCTGTAGGGAGGCACTCAGTTGCTCAGGCTGTAGTGTCCGTGGTGACAACGGCATGTTTCTAGCTGTCGTCTTACAGCAGCTCGTCACTCTGACTCGTACCGCATCAGACAAGCTTCTGGCTTGGAACCACGAAAATAGGAACTGCCAAGGGTCTTCTTCCGGGGCCCACATTCCCATCGTCTGCATTGACCAGTATAGAATCGAAGTACCAGATTTCAAGGTATCGCTTATTCTCCACGTGGCGTTGTTGCACTTTTTCGGTTTGCAAGGCCTAGCGAACAGAATTAAGGATAAGCTTAGACCCAACAGTTTCGCAGGGCGGCTAATTACAGATTGCGAAAGAATTATTGTTAATACCATCGAGATGATTCGTGACAAGGCATCACATTCGATGCCTATGAGTTCTGCGTTTTAGATCTATTTGTTACGGGAGAGAAGTTTTAAGAAGAAAAGATACATGATACATTCTCGGTTATCTAACGCTAGAGTAACTAACTATGCCCTCAGGAGTTGAGCGATGCCATTTTTAAATAGTACCTTATTATTAATAACTTACAATATATTCCAAACAAAAGAGCTCAAATAAATATACCGATTATTGTAGCTCTAGAATGGCGCAAGTCATTAGGATATAACCACATCTTTGTGATACGCCTGAGCAAAAAACCGAAGATTATTCGACACGTTGACAACTCTTCGATAACTAGATACATGGGTAACTAGTTAGTTACCTAAGTACTAGTTATTTAGTGTATCGCTACGAGTTTGTTGCCGCCAGCGACGAGGCGATCGAGTACGACCCAGAACTCATCGTGATTTGCCCGGCGAACTTCTATGTACGAAGTATGCGATGGTCGACCTGACCACCGCGATCCTAGTAGGCCTGGATAGTAATTACAGTCTTACGAAGTCCTTATTAAGAGCTGAGCCAACCCTGGCTCGTAGTTGAACCGCATTTGTCGATTAGTCAACTGGAACTAACTAGTTATCATGATATTGACCAGTTATTAGAATACCGCTGGCATCTCATTTTCACCGAGAGTACTGTTGTTTGCAGAATTAAACTATGCTTATTATCCTTTTTGATACGTTATAACATGCTTTCTTCAACAAGTTATACCTTATAGTTTGCAGGTTTGTCATCTCGGCTGGTTTCTTTATAAGCCATCGGGAGGTTTTCGGCTGGTTATGAGTGCTGTAACTAACTAAGGGGGTTCAAACCTAATTTCTCAGATGGCTGCGATCTCACTAGCAGGAGCTGAGCTGCTGAGTGACTGGGCAAGGTGAAGTTGGCTTCTACGCTCATTTGTAATGGTTGTCGGTGCATACCGTATCCATACAGTTGGTGAATTTATATATTAGTATCCGTAGTTAGCCAGGATAACTCACCATATTTGATCATGCTTCATACCTCCATCCCTTCCTTTTCCTTTCCTATAGCTGATCGAGCTTTTTTCCTCTTATTGAATATGGCTTTCAACCCGGATACGACAGCCCCAAAGGGTCCTGACAGTGCTGAAAAGCAAGCAAGCAGTTGTTCGGATACTCACCAAGCGAACGAGAGTGGTAGCCCACGAGATATCCACGGCGCTTTATGGCTGCTTGTGGTCCTCGGCATCTTTAGCTCCACCTTCCTCTTCGGACTTGATAATACCATCGTCGCTAATATCCAGCCCGCTATCGTCAAGTCTTTGGACGGTGTTGAGAAACTAGCCTGGTCGGGCGTGGCCTTTATCATGGCCTCTAGTGCCACGGTACTTACCTGGCTGCAAATCTTCAACCAGTTCAATATCAAGTGGATGTACATCTTCTCTATCACCGTATTCTTGGCTGGTTCTGCTGTTTGTGGAGCTGCCCAGACGATGGATATCCTGATTGGTGGGCGAGTCATCTGTGGTATCGGCGGTGTCGGCCAGTACGTGGGAGTGATGAACTTTCTCCCTCGTCTGACCTCCTTACAAGAACGGCCAATATACGTTAGCGCAATTGGTCTTACCTGGGGTGCAGGTACCGTGTTGGGTCCAATCATTGGTGGAGCCTTTACCGATAGCTCAGCTGGATGGAGATGGTCCTTTTATATCAACCTAGTTGTTGGTGGTCTTTGTATGCCTGTCTATTTATTCCTTCTCCCCTCTCTTCAGCCTCAGCCTGGTTCTGAAATTTCCGTCATGGATAAGCTGAAGAAATTGGATATCGTTGGATCATTGATCCTTGTAGGGGCATTTGTGGCAGGTGTCATTGGCCTCAACTTCGCTGGAGCACTATACCCCTGGAATGTACCCGGTATCATCACTGCGCTCGTTCTAGGGGCTGTCGGCTTTATTGTGTTTGGGATACAGCAGAGTTATTGTATCTTCACCACTGAAGAAACGCGCCTCTTCCCTGTGGAGCTGGTATCGTGGCGTAAACCACTACTCAGCCTACTTTTTCTATGTGGCTGCTGTACCAGTGTCTGCGTGACAGTTCCGGCATATATTATTCCGCTATACTTCCAATTCACGGCGGGGGATAAATCACTGGAGTCTGGGGTTCGGTTACTGCCATTTGTCTGCCTTCTTGTGTTTAGCTGTGTTGGAGGCGGAATCCTTGCTTCCCGCACTGGATACTACCTCCCCTGGTATCTTGCCGGGGGCGCGCTTTGCCTTGTTGGGTCAGCACTGATGTACACAGTAAACTCTGGAACAAGCCCAGGAGCTATATACGGGTTCAGTGCCCTTATTGGCCTAGGCTCGGGAATGTATCTTCAGCTTGGTCATTCCATAGCTCAGGCTAAGGTGAGCCTCGATAAGATACCGGCCGCCATTGCCTTTACGACAACGGCCCAGCTAAATGGGATGACTATTGCGTTGGTTATTGCTCAATGTGTATTTGTTAATATGGCTGCTACGGGTAAGCAGTCATCCCAGCAATCCACCTGATGAAATGTATAACCTGGCTTACCGGCTTAATCAATCTAGGAATCGCGAAGGTACTCCCACATGAGTCCCATTCTACTATCATCGATGCTATCACTGGAACTGGTTCAACATTTGTACACGATTTGGACCCATATACAAAGGCTGCAGTTTTGGCTGCAATTGTATCCGCAATTGATAAAACTTACATATTGTGTATAGTTGCCGGGACTGCTACAGTCCTAGCAGCCTTTGGCATGAAGTGGGAAAAGCTGTTCATCTCTACGGTGGCTGCTTGAAAGCGCGTAGAAAGGATATGAGAGTTAAAGGGAGGCACTCTTCGGCGGTCGGTGAGAAACGTGGCAATTTAACCTTCCGAGGCCAACGGGGAAGCGGAACGGTGTATTGTTTATCCGATACGCCGGCTCCAACCTTCAAGATTGGAAGGCATAAATTGTTGGTATCCTAGCTACTCCGTACTACGTATATTAATAAATATAAGGGGGATATACTCCGTACATAACTACTCTAAGCATTATTCTTACCACAATTGCTTAATTAGTCCCTAACCTTGGTCCACGGCTAGTTAGTTACCTAGTTATTCATCCAAAAGAGCGCTGTTATCAGAACATGGTCGCTTTTGAGGATGTCATGTATTTTATTCATGTATTCTATTAGTAAGCATAATACTTAGTCAGCTCAGAGCATATCTGAGCTGGGTTCCTCGTTTGAACCTAAGAAATACAATTCTCTTATACACACTCTTACAAAGCAGAACTATTGATCTACGATGCATTCCTCATGCTCGCCCTCAGAAGTTTCGAGCTGGGGACGGATGCGTAGAACATGCGATGCCTGCCAGGAATCCAAAGTCAAATGCAGCCAAACGAAGCCATCCTGCCACCGCTGCATTCGACACAGCCAACCGTGTATCTACAGCCCTCACCGTCGTACTGGCCGACCGCGCAAGAGGGCCTGCAGGAGTACTGCAGACGCGGAAGGCCCTGTAGCAGAGCAGGCAACACAGGAAACCAGGACGCTCGGAATTCTTGGTCCTACCAACAGAGTGCAACTGCCCAACACCCCGAATGTTCTGTCGGCCAGGACAGGGGAAGATGGAAATAACCTCAATCATGATGTCTTTCCGTCATTAGATTCCCTCCTGGATATTTCATTATGCGAAAAAGGGTCCTATCAACTAAATAATAGTTGGCAAGAAAGTCAGCAAACTAGCTATCCTCCAGGATCATCTCTCGATACCCTAAACGACGACTTCACCTTGGATCATGATGTCTCCTTTCCTCTGCCTTCCCAGGCTCTAGATATTGATGAGTCTCCGCAATTCAGTACCCGAGCCCCTAGCACCACCAATAGTAATGCAGACAGAGATTGTAGGGGCAGGTGCTACATGATGCTACTTCAGCGGCTATCATTCTTACATCGGTCGCTACCTGAATCCAGCCGGCCTTCTGTCGATGCTATTCTCCTAGTGCAACGCAGTATATCCAGAAATGTCTCAGACAAGCTCCTACAATGCACTACTTGTGTTAGCAACCGCTCAACCATCCTTCTACTATCTACTATCATCGAACGAGTCGTCCTGATGTTTAACTGGATTATTGAGAAGAAGACTTTAATGGACTCCAAGAATGCACGCTTAAGTCGGCTGGCATTATGTTCCTGGGCACTAAATCCGTCAGTGCCACCCCCAGCAGACAGCTTCCAAAGAACTTTCTGCCATGTCCCGCTGATGGTGGGAGACGTGGAACTAGATGCAAAGACCAAACATGCGTTTATGAAACCTTTGATAATTCTTAGGATCAAGAAACTGGCAGTGATGCTACAAGAGTTAAGCCGAATTACCGCAAGCCGCTCCCAGGACTGCCTTTACCGTGCTTCAGGGCTGATATTGGTGGACTGCCAACAACGGTTAGACTATCTTCGAGGCCAGGTTCAGATATGGGAGTGACTATCCTACTATTTCGCCCTTGGGTATTTATCAATGTGTATTCTCTAACGTAAACTAGTCGTAGAGTTTCCCTCAGTCTAAGCTAATTAACCAAGTTACATCTAAAGAAACAAGCGGTGCGACGTTTAGTATCGTATCACCAGTATCCACCATGCGAGGTAGATGTAAAGTTGCGTATGCTTCTACTCAGATGACACCTTGCCCAAGAGCGATAAAATGCTCGAGAGTATGCGACCGACTTGTCCATCCTCGCGGCCACACAAGCTGGGTGAGCCAGATGTCTTATCACGGGAACCCATCTCGCGCAGCAGACTACTCAGATTCGTCAACACCCCACAGATAATCTGTCGAGCTAAGAGACTTTCTTCTTCTCCTTGGAGGGCAAATTTACCCAGCAACATGGGGATTTTAGAACACTTCCAGGATAGAGAAGTGCTACCGTCGTCGTTCGAGCATACCGCCATCGATATTTTGTCATTATCGATACTGGCTGTAACACCGCCCTCGAAGAGGCCGTAGGAGGCACATGCAGCATCGCATAGGGAAAAGATGGTCTCGGATATATGGATAGCAGCAGAGACAAGAGCGTGACTATGGATAGGATGTTTGCAAGCCTCGACAAGCTTCCAGTAATCGTTTAGTGGTTGATTGATAGATGCGAGGATACTGAAGTCGAAGGTGCCTTTAGATGGAAGACAAGATGCAAGAGAACTTGCAGAATTTTCACAACCACAGATGTTTGTGGATGGGCCCGACATGTTCGATGTTGTCCGCCGGATGGCCATACGGAGTTTTCCTTGCTTGAGAAGCAATTGTGGCATGGAAATATAATAACATACGGTTAAGACTCATAAATACCTACACACCGTCAAAGGCGAGAAGTCACGGAAAATATAGAGAGCAAGATACCAATAAAGAGCTGCATGGCACTAGTTACGATCCATGTTAAATCTCAACGATATAACAACTAGGTCACTTCCGTAGCAAGCTTATGCTCAAGCAGTCTTTACCTTGACAGATTAATGTTAGAAGCAAGAATGGCCATATCCGCTGGGTTCAGAATCCCCAACTTGCCATGGGCCTGTGATCCACCATCCCCATCTCGGCTTCTATGAATCGAGTTATTTCGCGCCGCGATCCACGTCTGGTAGTGTTAGCATCTGGAAAGGAAGTGAAAGAGTCTTCTTAAATGGCAACAAAGCTATATAGTCAAAGAATCATCAAATGGCTATTTGGTAAGTTATCGGTTAGTTTATCACAATACAAGTTTTAATCATTTCTGGGTTCATAGCTGTTGACTGACGAACCTGGTCCCCTAGCCGGTGCGCAAGTGAGTTGACGCAGAAGGTTGCTTGTTGGACAAACAACCATCGAAGAATACCAGCATATACCAGGCCGCCAACCCAATCGCCCCAGCCACTGGGAATATAACTCCAAAAATAAGAATGAACTTTCCATAATGACGATGCTATCATGCAACGATAGAGACAGCATTTAGATCAGATATGTCGGCGCGGCTAGTGTTCTTCAGGTTTTGCTTTAGAATCATCCACATAAAACGCGAGTACCAGATCCCCTTGAGAACATTATATGGATCCTTCTCGGTATCCGTCCATCTGTGATGTGCCCTATGCTTGCTGCTCCAGAAACGTATGGAACCTTATACGGCACCACCACCAGCACAAGCAAGGAAAATCTTCAAAGGGAACGTCCTAATAAAGGGCACGTATGTTAGCCGAGTTCTACTAACTAGTGGATAAAATAGATATTCGGAAGATGGCTCGATAGCAACTCACGCCTCATATGACAGATGTGCCCATAGTCTATGGTATCCAGCAGTAATACCTAGACCAGTCCAGAAGTAGTACGTAATGGCCCAGAAGACAGTCTTGATTTGCAGAAGGGTAAAAAAAGCAACAATACAGCCAGATATTGGCACAAGTAATATGAGTATCGTATTGATCCAGTTCACTGATATGCGGACTATTTCTACCCAGTTTTGTATCCATCGCTGATTAACAAGCAACTACTTAAATATGAAGATAGCCGGATATATAACTAGTCGAGATGACATATAAATGAGCAGAGAGGATAAAAAAATAACAATCGAAATTGGACAGATACTTACTACAGGTAGAACTGAAAGTATTCAGTGATCTATTCAATAGAAAATGTTGGATTGTTGGATATGCAAGCACGCCAGGGGTATTTTGATCCTTATACTATTCATGAACCCCTGCACAAAAGTAACCAACATGTAGGTATAGAAGTGCTCAAAGCGGTAAATATGAGACAAAACCAGGAAAGTAATACTAGAATTAGAAGCAGAAATATTACGGCCGTGAATAAGTCGTATTTTCATAGTAACAAACTTGAGGTATACTCTTGTGATAACTATTTTCATACACCTCGTTCGGTGACTGTCCAGCGTCTTTTTGAGACAGGTTCACGGCTCCTCGAATTCCAGAGGCCATGCTGAGATCTCGCGCGTTGTGGCGCGCCATCAGAGGTATTATTGCGCGTACTTGCAGGGTTAGATGCATTGCCAGTACCTCTCAAGCTACCGGCGGATCCTTCGAAGTTAGGCATCATATCGTCAACACGCTCGCTGGCAGGAGTAGAACCCCACAGGCCTGGAGCAGCGTGTCTGTCGCCAGAAAATGACCGTGAGGGGTTATGTAGCTCTCCAGTGGTGCCGTTGAAGCTGGAACTGCGCGACGGGCCAATAGAAAACCCATTCTCCGGGGAGTCAGGAACAGAGGATAGAGACGTAAACCGGTGTCGATACGATGATATCGAGCTTGGGAATACCCTAGGGGACGGTGACTGCGCTGAGCTGTTATTGTTGACGCGAAGGTGCTCCGTTGAGTTCACTAAAATTACTTCGTATTCTTCGGATACCTCACTCGGGCCTAGCTTTCTCAATATAGATGTAGGTTGGGCCGCCGCCTCATCATCCGCCGTAGGACTCTTATGAGCGGCGAGAGTCAAGGACGCCATTCCAACGTCGAGAAGAGCAGGCCGGTTGGTCAAAGCACCAATAATAGCATTGCAACCAGCGCCGTGGGTAATGATTATGAGGACTGTATCCGTGCCGTCACCTTCTTCGTGGTCCTCTGTGGCCTGGGGTTCATTCGATACTAGTTGACATTCCTCTCGGTGCGACAGCCTCCTTTTGCTCTTCCCACAGTCCGCAGTCTTGTACCAGCTAATCATTCTCTCCAAGCCGTTGCGGAATCTGCGGTGCATGGAACTCCACTCCTCGCCATACTCGCCGCCGCTTCCCCAGCCGAGGGGAGCCCTCATGCTGTCCCACTGATAGTCCACGTCAACACAAGCATCCCTCGCATGCGCTACATACCCCGCCGGGATGGGGTCTGAGGGGGAAATAGCATAGGTTGGCGTTGGAGGAATATACTCGGTGTCTGTATGTGGTTCAGGAGCGGTCGACAGTTTCGGTAAACCCTGAAGACTGGCAGGTCTATCAGTTGCAGTGCTTTCAGTACCCGTCTTGTCTCCAGGGGTAGTAGCAGCTGAAGCCGACGCAGATGGGGGAATATTCTCAGCTTTCGCTTGGTCCGGCGCCGCAACACTGGCGGAAGCGAATCCGTTCCAACCTCCGGGAAAGTTTCCACGAGCAGACCGAGTAGATACACCAGAAGGCACAGAGTCCTCCTCACGCAGTAAGCTTGCCTTTGCACCAGCCAGCATCATGACAGACCCAGGCGGCGGGGTAATTTGATCAAAATAATCCGGCGTCAGCCATTCACCTAGCCAAGCGTCCAGGCGTAGCAAGCACAGCTTTTCATCCGGCAAGCTTGTCTTTGGCTGTTGGGCGTTGACTTTACCAGCTGGCACCTGGGGTTCCTGCGACTCTTGAGGCTCCTGAATAGGGGTCAGCTGGGGCGAACCCTGACGCTGTGGCCGTGGGGACGAAGGACGCCAGCGGTGATGACTCTTTGGAGGAGCGGTACTAGACTGGGGCCGCTGGTGAGGTGATGAGTCCGCTGATGTACGCTTCGACTGGCTGATTCCCGCGCTGAGCGATATTCCGGTCTGGACGCAGCGCAAAAACGGGGATGAGTGGATGATGATTCGATGCTTCCGCTGCTCCTGTTCTGGCAGGCCACTGGGAGGCTGGCCACTCTCCTGTGAAGGGTCGGAAGACGACAGGGTGGAAGGGAGGCGCCCATGGAGTTCGCGGTAGTGAAGAAGGGATCCGATGCGAACCCCCAGGGCCCGGGACTGCTTCCAGCCGCCGTATGTTAGTGGGGGGTCATAGGGCGTGGGCGAGGTAAGATGCCACTGTTTATCGGCCGCATCTAGTCGAGCGCCATGCCTAAAGCCGTCAAATCAGTACAGGCAGTCTCGCTAAGGAGATGGGAAGAAGATATGACTCTACCTAACGACGATAATGACGCTTGGCGGTTTTCCCATGATTCCACAGGGTCTGTTGGTCAACTAGACAACTAGACAACAGACAATGAGGTGGCTGGCCGCGCAGGGTAGCGAGGAGCGACGCAAGGACGGCAGACGAGGTCGAGTAGGGCTGGGGTTTCAACGACTGACTTTGAGAGTGTCGAGTACGTATCCGTGAAGTGCTTGCATGGTGCTTTAGTTACTTATAGCAGTTGGTGATTAGAGGTTAATGCAACAGCGCTGCAGGCTGTTCAAGGGCGACCGGGCTGGAGAGTTGTTGTCGTTTGACAAGATGACGGTTGAGGCCAAACATCACACGGCGGGGAGAACGGCGCATATCATGCAGCGGATGGCCGCGATCACCACGCAACCATGGCTTCAAGAGAGGAGGAGGGAAGAGGTGCGCGCTTCTTCGTCCTTCCTGCTTTCTTATTCGTCTTGCTTCTCTTTCTTCCTCTTCTTTTCTTTTCTGCTTCTTCTTCTTCGTCTTCTTCTGCTTGTTTGTCTTGTCTTCGTTTCGTCTTTTCGTTCGTTTTTCCTAGAGTCGCTAACTAAAAAGCATGTGATCATAGTCACGTGTTGTGTTGTATTAATAAGCAATACTTGGAGACTACAGGGACGCTGAAGCAGAGATGAAGCAGAGATAACGAAAAAGAGCTAAAGAAGGGAGGAAAGATCTTAAGGCCAGGAGATGAGGATGCCATTATGTATTATAGTCACCTCAATATAAGCTCTTCGTCGCGGCTGCCAACTGAACCAAGGCTTGCCTTGTTATTTTTATACATCCTTTTTATTAATCACCCAATGGAAATGCGATAAATTACATCCAATAGTATATCTTTCAGTTTGTTGATTATATAAGCCCAGATGAGTCAACTACTTATGTTATTTTTCACTTTAAACATGCATACCTAGGTACGGAGTACTTATATATCTATCTAGGACTGCATCCAACTTCGGCATTCCGTCCCGGACTGTCCTTTCATCTGGCTATACCCTTGAGCTGGCCGGAAAAACTCATACTGAGCAGTCTACTCTCGCCAAGTATGCCAATGTACAGGGGGCCAGCGACCCTGCGGCCTGTCTGAAGCGTTTCCGCCACCCCAGCCTGGTGCCTCTGATACTAAACTCGTTATCTACTGTTCTATGGAGCTATGCGCAAAGCGGTTGAGCGAGAATAAGTCATGCGCACAACGCATTATAGAGACGCGGGGCTAGGGCTGAGGAGTGAAGAAGGTCTATTATGGAGTGAAGGAGCCCGGGACGTTTGTGTGGGAGAGCGAGTGCGCGAGGCTCTTGCTAGAGGCGGGCGTGGAGCTGGGGTAAGTACGTTGCTGGAAGAGGAAATCCTACGAGTTGCGGCAGTTGGACCTTCACAGACAAGTAATTAGTTAGCTTACTAACTAAGTACGGAGTACAGAGTAGTCAAGACAGATAAGCGGAGCTAAACGGGGTGGCTCTCGTTGGCCCCCTGCTTATAATAACCAAGGCTGTGACCATGGATGGCGCGTGTTTGGTACGGAGTATACCACATTGCTACCTTATATACGGAGTACCTATCGCCTTGGTTTCCCAGATGTACCCCAGCTGGTTAATTTGTCAGCTATAACTAGATAGTTAGGTATCTCACCGCTGGCTAAACCAGTAATTTGGCTAATTACTCCGCCCCGTGCAGAGAAATACGTGAGAGAAAGAGTAGTGAAGGTGGCTCACACTTTATCCTCTGAGGTATCGCTTCAGAGAGATATTTGACCCCTTATCTGCTTATTTAAAGCCCTCTTACAGTGTACTTGTTCTACATAATAAGTTAACTACCCATGCCGTCAACCAAGCTTTCACTTGTACGCTGAATTACCGTTCCCCCGGAGCATCGGCGGTGAGCTTGCCGGCTGACCGCAGTCAACGGCAACCATCCTCCTACATGCCATGCACTGCACAGGGGTTGCCACTAGTATAGTCGGTTATTAACTACGCTTCGAACTAGTTAGTTGAGTGGTAATCCATTGAAAGGGCAAGAAGTAGTCAGAGGCATTACAAAATGCCGAGGCCGGCGTATATAGCTCCCTCAGGGGCTGAGCAGCCTATCTAACAAGTAGAGTTAAATAGCTATCACGATCATACTGCGATCGTTTCTCTCCTGGCCCATCTTTTACTATTATCTACACATCCATGGCTCACAAAATGGGTGACATGGATCCGTCTCTGATGCAGCAGTACTCTTTCGAAACCCAGTCAATTCCTATCTTGATACCGACCGTCGAAGACCCAAAGCGGATAAGAAACCGGCTGGCCCAGCGGAAATTCAGATCAAGTAGGTTTCAATAGTTGATTCTTCTGTTAAGTAGCATGCATTAGCAATTTTTCATGGAAGCTGTACTGATGCATAGAAACAGAAAGTAAAAAACGGCCAGCTGCGTCAAAGGAGAGAGACCGGACTCCCTCTGCTGGAGGAACTGAACCGTACGGAGCTTCCAATGTGCAATACGGCAACGGCCATGTATCGAGCTTGGAAGAGAGCAATTTGAGGTACGCCCATTTACCAGATTTTAGTCATGCTCCTACTCCCCCCTGACTAGGCGTGTTATCCAGGCTGACCGCTGCAGTGACAGTATCAACGCGTTACTATTTAGTAACGGCTGGAAATACCCTTCATCGGTGGAATTGCCATCTCCTACTCTTCGCGCTAGTACTGTAGTGATTAGATCCGTGCATAATCTAGCAGGACACCTTGAGCCGATAGCCCTATCACCATTGTTCTCGGATAAGCCAATAAATCACGGAAAAAAAATGCGCAACTAAATCCCTCGTTGTCCCCTTCACAACGACGACCACCGGATTCCTTCGGCTCAAATTCCACTTCCAATCACTGCAGTGAAAATTGGACTCAGCCGTACCATCCAGCTGCCCAGGACAGCGGGGGGCAAGGGGAACATGAATCACAAATAGGAGCCTACTCATCCGACAAAGGCTTTGACTCCTCATTCATGTTGGTTTCGGATACACAGCGGTGGCCCCCAGTTCGACATCTCACTCTAGAACAGCGTATTCGGCATGTGATTGATGCAAAAGAGGAAGTGGGGTTTGAAAGCATTGACGCAGCCGTAACATTATACTACACAGCCAAATTCCCCGAGAACTCATTGCTGCGCTATGCTCAGTCAGCAAGCCGCAGCCATCGCCTAGGGAAGTTCTTGACCAGCCTTCACGAGAGCTCCGATCACTGGGTCGGCCGTGAAGCCCGTGGGTATCATGATGGGCAGATGTCATGTATCGAGCGTACATGCTTGTCTGAATTGGGGGGTTTGCAACAGCGCGACCCCCCACTGGGTATTACGCAGAATAGCAATAAGCGTGCATTTATTACAGATATAATTGGCAGGCTTGTGGCTGAGGAAATAACAGACACGTTGTTACGAAGTGACGGACATTATCTAAAAGAAAAGGTAAAGTTAGCCCTCTCGCGCTGAAAAGACACTTGTATGCCATACGGATGAATGAAGGCCACGAACCTCAAACTGACGCACGGACAGCTTCCTACTCTCTGGTTGCTCCTATCACAGGTCGCTCTTTATGTTAAGACACCAGAACCATATTTTTTCCAGGCTATAGTAGTTTTTCTGTACATGTTGAGACTAATATAAGGAAAATTAACTTAATCCTGTGGCCTTTGTCCACAGCCGGTTGCAAATAACATTATTTCTGGAATCAAGCCTCCGTGGCCAAGATAGTTCGTGCCTTTGGATTCTTAAAGGCTGGATCAAGCAACTACGTTAGTTTAGAGATGTATAGACTACGTAGTTAGGAAATCTCAGGTATTATAGCACTTACAAGATTTAAACACGGATATTTTATGCTATAACAGCCACTAGCTTCCATACGCTAGACACGGGTGAAAAATTCAAATGCGTGTAATATCAGGAATCGAGCCAAGGGCGTTGTTAGAAACCATATTGTAGTTAATGTCAAGTAATGGTCTTCCGTACATACATATACCTCAACCCCCCAAGGGAGTGTCTTCCTCAGGCCGTGATCGACATCGTCTATACCAAGAGTCTAATTGCGCGTATCGGTTAACTCGACCCCATCATCTCACTGATAGATCTGGCGCCACTCAGGTTAATTACCCGTGATCCGCCTCCTAAGAGCATTGCTGAAGCTCCGCGGGCGCCACCAGAAGCCAGGGGTTTGACCCATCCGGGGATCTGCTCATCTTCACGTTCCCGTGCATAGATTGTCTGCCACACGTTCGGGAAACCGGTAGGGAGAGCCCCCTTCAGCCGAGCCCCAGGTATAGCATATCGTGGATTCTTGTGGGTGAGATAGCCTCGCATTAGGTCCTGGGTAAGCAGGGAGGCAAGGACATTCTCCAGCTCTTGCATAAGTGGGGAAGCAGCAAGCTCTACTCCTTTATTCCCGTTAACAGTAGGCTGCGGGTGGTTATCACCATCCTCCGTGATTAAAGTCGAGTACGGATCTGAAATTCTGGTCAAATCTTCGGCCAATCCATCAATGGGAAGATCATTGGAGCCGTTGACATTAACATGCTGCCCGCTGTGGCCAAAATACCATTCAGGATTGTTATAGTCGTCAAAAATAGAATCATCTGCAGGCTCAGGTGAGGGCAAAAAGTCTGGATCCGATGGAAAAGAGGTGATTTGCAGATCAACTTGATCCTGTTGACTTGATGTCGGCAGTCGATGTGAATAGGGTGGTGTGCGGCTGTCGAGCCAGCGAACAGCGGCTTCAAGTTTTTGTAGATATAGAAATGGCGGTGGCCCTCGCTGCGCCTGCATTTTCTGGTCACCGTGGAATCCAGCTAAAATAAACACTTTCCGAGTGAGAGATCGCCAAACGAGAATTTCACATCTATTGCGAAGTGGTAGTAGAAGTCCCTTTTTGGCAAACCATTCTGCGTGCGGTGAGCTGACGGACAGATAATTTCTAAAGAAATGAATTTCTCCTTTAGCAATATACCGGCAGAGAGGTATGAACCTATCTCCTAAACCTTCAGCTTCTGACCTCTGGAGCAGTTTCTGGGATGGGAACCGGCCGAGAATGATGTTGCATGGTATTAAATATGTGAGGATTAGACTTCGATGTTTCAAGGCTTGCCGATGGCACTGGTTATATGCTGCCTCAAGTACAATCATGGCGGGATAGAATAAGTTATTTGAAAAGAGATATCTCCCAAGATAATATAGGTAGGTTACCCTTTGTGAAGCAGGGAAGTATTCGAGTGGTGGTGATTGAGAGTTGATACTAGCAAACATTTGCTCCGCATTGCGCAGTTTTCCGCACTTCCAATGTTAGCAAATAGAAAGCTCAAACAAGTTGTGCTGGGATATATATACCTTAAAAAGGAGCTTTAGACACAGGTTAGCCATCAAGTATATTCCTGCTCTTTTCCCTTCCGGTTTTGCGTGGGTTCCTGAGGTACCGCTTCTATCAGTCAGGCACTTGATAAACGCCTCTCTAACAATATTTGTCGACTTTTCCACCAGCGTGACTTTCTCCCCAGTCCCGCTTTGTCCGGACTCTCCCCCTTCGTCTCTAAGGAGATGTGCAATCAGCTCCGGTTGGCGGTCAAGTCCGATCGCAAGCTTTGAAAGCAGCTTGCTAAGGTAGAAGACGGTTGGCAGGATAACGATACCCATCTGGCTGTCACCAAGAGCAATCACACTCTGGCTGGATTACATTGTCAGAGTATGCTAAAAAAAAAATTAAAAGGAAGAAGAAAAGATAAAAGCCGTAGAGCTAGTAAAAGTGCATTATATAACTTACTTTAGCAAGGCTTTCAGCATGTTGTATGTTTCCAATAGGTTATCCACGTTAACGTCTCGCAAAAAGGTCAAGTATAGGCGCATGAAGGGAGCAAATGCCGGCCAGGGGCTGCCTAGCTGCCCTCCGGACATCTGTTTTTCACATCTAGAGAGCAATTCAGCGTCTTTACCACCGTCGGCCGGGTACGCTCGCTGCAATTCCGTGGTCATCTGGTTGTAAATGGCGGACAGGGGAGGCTCAAGTTGCAGGAAATCCTGGAGCTTTACGCCATCACGGCTCTGCACAAGACCCCCAATACTGTCGAGGAAGTTATTGAGGACGGGTGTGTCGGAAGAGGTGTTATTCCACATTATTGCGGCAGCGTCTGCTTGGTATTCTGGCTTCCAACTTCGTCAAAGATTCTGGTAAGTAGGGAGTGTTATAACTGAGAGTTTTGGGCAGCGCAAATATCATCTTGGGAGTGCCATCGTCTCATCCGCAGCCGTCCGTCCGTTGATCGTTAGTAAATCCAAAGCTGTTGAATGTGTTCTGTAGACTTACTCTTTTGGAATCCAGTGGTGAAGTAATAAATATACAGGGGCATCCAGTTTAGGAATTCATGATCGATCGCGACTTGATTATTCGCTGGGGGACGAATTGATACCAGAGTTGTTGAAATCTGACTAAGCAAAATGGACGGTTTGATTGGCTAAAAGTCTGCAGTCTTTGCCTTAACTAGCAGTCAGCTAATAAAAATGAGTTAATTTTAGCCAACGCTTGATTTCATCCAATCATTCCGGTTTAACATTAAGTGGTCGATTTTACCTTACCACAACGTCTGTCTGCCAACAACACTTCTTCTATTCATGCAACCAGCTGGTGAAGTCCTAGTCAAACAATCTCTTCAAGAAGCCTTTGTTGTTGTCCAACTGCCAGCCTGGCATCTGGTGAAGCGCTCGTCGGTACAGCGAGTCATGTCAATGACCTAGCCCTCGTACAACTCCCTGGCGGTGGCACTCACTCAAATAATCAACACCCTAACTCAGGCGGCCTCGACTCCATTACCCGAAAACCGGTCAGGGTTGAACGGGTAAACCGAATCCCAGCCACCTGTGATCCAGCTGCAGGAACGGGATCGTCAGTGTCATTTCCTTGACGGCAGCTTGAGAAGGTGTATTGCAACTCCATCTTTACTCAACACCTAGCCAAATGGCCCTCAAGACGACTATTGCCAGTATGGATCCCATCTTGAGTCCATTGAGGTACTAATATAGCAATGCTGTCATGGATGCTATGCTGGGCGGCAATGTCTATTGGGCCCGCAAAGGACCAGTAATTTCCTTCCAAGAATATGCAATAAAATTTGTATAAAGAGCTGCTTTCCACTACCAATTACCATGTTGTCAGATCTCCGCTAGACCTGACAGAAAAACAAAGAAGGTATACTTTGATTTTGTAAGATTCTCTTAGACTGATGCCTGGAAATCAATATGTTGCTTCTATACTCACAGTGAACTGACCTAGGGCCGCAGAAGATAAAGCACAAAAAAGATCCATCCCCAAAATGGCCTCAAACGTCTCTAGATGGCCGCAGTATTGTACTCTCACTCGGAATTTGAACCGTAACGAAGCAATGGCCAGAAAACCACTGGGTTACTGAGGTATCCGATCGCGTTGGCGAGAGGACCCACTTCCCGCATGGATTGCGGCTCCCCTCGATCACGGGCCAATTACACGTCAGCAACCACATCTTAAAGCCAGATCCCCATTGGAGTTCTGCAAAGGCAACGCGAGGTATTCGAACGGTGACATTTGAGAAATGAGGCACTGAAAATCGCCCCCTTCATAACGATCCCCTGCGCAATATCCCGAAATGTGAGAGACAACTCATTAGCCGCTAACATCTTATTGGCTAGTTACGGAGCGAGAAACACTTGGTACTCCGTAGAGGGGGCCGAATCCTTCGCTTGGCTTCCCAGCTAAGTCAGTTATTAAAGAGCCAACCCATCCCCTCACCAAACATCGTCTTCGAAACAACCTATAGAGACTGCCATCAAATATCATTGAAAATGTCGCGCATTATCACCATTATTGGCGCAACCGGCAACCAAGGCGGTTCTACTGCTCGCTCACTTCTTCAGAACCCCTCTTTCAAAATTCGTGCAGTTACTCGGAATCCTTCTTCGGACGCCAGCAAGGCATTGGAGTCAGCTGGGGCAGAAGTGGTGCAAGGGAATGGCTTTAACCATGAGGAAATGCTTCGCGCCTTTAATGGTGCATGGGGTCTCTACCTTAACCTAAACTCAGACGATGAGATATGGAGCGACCCTAACGGTCCTACTGAGTTTGACCTTAGTAAATCAATCATCGACGCAGCAGCTCAGGCAGGTGTTGCACATTTGGTTTACAGTTCTGGTCCTCCATGCGTTGAAATGACGGGTGGAGTCGTTAGGATGAAGGCCATGGAGAGTAAGTATAGAACAGAATAGTTTCAGTCCTTCTACACCCTTGCTAGCCAAAGTATTTAGCTAACAGATCCTCTCAGTGAAATATAAGACCGAACAATATGCGAAACAGAGCGGGAAGTTCCAGACTATCACCCCTATTAACGCTGCATGGTACCTTGAGAACTTCCTTGCAAAGGAGATAGCCCCCGCTTTTGGTGGTTTTCCTTTCTTCCCTGATAATGAGGGCTATCTAAGCTACAAGGTTCCTCACTGGGGTGGGGATAATAGGGTTCCATACTTAAGCATTACTGATGACTATGGTGACATCGTTCACGGCATCTTTCTGGACCCTACTCGGTGGAATGGCCAAGTTGTTCAGGCCATGAGCGACATGATTACTTTTGACGAATTGGCAGCTAACTTTGAAGAGAGTGAGTAATTAAACATGCTATTGGCACTTTCTTTGTCTTATAAGAGAAGCGAAGGGCTAATGAGTGATAGTCACCGGTAAAAAATCTAGGTTCCAGCCAGTTCTCCCTTCATGGGAGGCGTATGACACCCACGGCGTGCCTGAATTGGAGGATGTTAAGCTCATGTTTGGTTTTACCCAAATAACTGGAGGCCGTTATTTTGGCCCTGAGCCCTCTGATATAAGGGTATCTACCGAGTTGAAGCGTGCAACCGCTAATGCTCTAGGCAAGCCGGAAGACCAAGGCAAACTGAAGCCTTCGAAGGACTGGTTTCGGTCTCGGTTTACTTGACGGGAAAAGAGAAAGAAAAAGAAGAGGAGATATGGTTGCGCGGAAATGTCAACCATTGCTCTGGTCGTGTATTAAAAACCGTTTTTAATAACCTTTGCCTGCTGTTGACACTTTAATTTACTCCTGCCCCTTCATTGTGATTGACTCCATCCTGGAATCGACATTAACGAGGCAGTCCTGTTAAACAGTCGAAAATCTAACGTTTAGGTGGCCACATCCATCCACCCTCCTAACTTCAAAGCTTCCCAGTTCTGCTGAACCATCACTTCGAACCCATATCTCTTCCATATCTCGGATGATCTTGTCAACGTATGCCCCTGCAGCACCGGGTTCCATGATGCGGGCAATAGTGCGATGTAAAGCGAGCAACTTTGCTGATGGTGGATCTATTGTTCGGTCAGGTGAGAGAAACAGGGTCTGTGTTATTGGAAGGTTGTAAGAGCTCCGGATCAGGCTGCTTGACGAATTGATTACATAGGTATAGTCATCAGAGGTTGTTGAGTCAACAGCTTCAAATGTTACTTCCTTCCATCACCTCTCTACCTTCCTTCTCTCACCAGGCGTTCCTCTTTCTCAAGCTCGATCCCTCCGTGCGACGTCCTGCTTCACGATGGCTTCTGCTAACGCCACCGCTGCTGCTTTACCATGTGTTCACTGTCTTGGTAACGTTTACGCGGCGACCAATCTAGCCAGCGACCGCGTCCTCGAGTTTAACTGTATCCATCAGGAAAGCATCACCTGCGACCGCTGCAGCCGCTTGAACCGCCCGTGTCAGCCTGTGAGTCGACCATCCCTTCCTCCTTTGATGCATTTATTCTAGCTATTCCTTCCTAACGCGTAGAGCAGGCTCAGTGGTCGCGGTAGCAGGCTTAAGGGGGGCGGCAGTGGTGGCTCGACGTGCCAGCCCGCTTCGCTTGTTCCGGAACGACTGCTGAGCAGTCTTAAGCGTCGCGTAGGCCCCCTGGACGATCTCATCCTCGTCCTCGTCGTTGGTAGCCATGGTGTACGCTTGATGGGCTTGAACGAGAGCATTGGCGAGGGGCAAGCGTTACTTGGGCGGTCAATATACAATCCCTAGATTAGATGAACCACACCAGGATCAAACATATTTAAAATTGAAAGGGCAATTTTCTTAGAGGCACTCTAGTAGAATCATTAGCAGAGACCATGAGAATATACGACGTTTGTCAAACTCACCAACTCCGGATTATTGTCCCCAGCCTTCGTTGACATTATGGAACGAGGCATTATGTGAGCAACCTCTATTCGTGTAAGTGGGCCAGTCAGCGGGAGGCCATCATCATCCTTTGGTTCAACATCGCTTTCCTCTCGTTTGATAGCCTCTGTCATGTCGAAATTCCGCGTAGCAACGCACCTGTGGCGGTCCCTTAGGAGACAGTCACGACGTAGTACGGACAGTCGTGTGGGCGTTCAGACGATATTTTCAACTGCGGGGCCGGAAAGATTTGCAGCTGATGTTTGGGGTGTCTTAGACCCCGATGCTTTCACTATATATAACAGGTTAGCTTGAGAAATAGGAAACTAAAGCAGCTGAGCAGGTACACGGGCTGTCACCCAAGCGTAACCCAATCAAGCAAAGACAATTAGAGTCTACGTACTTGGCAGGAAAAGATTCCGGAACAGGTACTCGGCAAAGGAATTCACGGCGCTCATTGCCTCCTGTTTCCGGGTCGGTGAAGAATCAGGGCTGAAGCCCACAAATTGAGTTACTCCGCGGTCAAAGGATGGTTGAAGATCTGAGTTATCTCTAGAATTCTGGAACTTATCAAGGTAAGTAAAAAATTGCAGGAGAAAAGGGTCAACCGAATGGCACTGCTCGTACGTTAACCTCACGAGAGTCACTCGTTTGAATGGCAGAACGTCCTGGTTTGGCTCGCAGTAACTGAGCAGAGCACGTATCATTGTCTGTACTTGTTCCTGTTCTACCGCGGAAAGAGAGCGGCCAGAAAAATCGATGGCTCACTCAAGTGATGCCTGATGCCGGTGATGGGGTAAAGGCCCTTGTCCAGAAGGCTTTGAGAAAGAACGGCCAGCCATGGTATAGGAAGAGGCAGTCCAGTAACTGGGAAAGCAGCGTAGCCAAAGGACTTGTAGCTTGATTAACTTGGTATTAGGTCGCAGAAACTAACTGAAATATTGATGAAGGAATGAATGTCCAAGGGCTTAGATCAAGTGCCTGGGTTGAAGGCTGTTTTGATATCGCGTCTCCGTGGGGCTGAAGTTGTCAGATATATAACTAGGGCACCATAGTTAACAAATTAGTCACCTAGGTACCTAGTTACCTAGACCTACGTATAGAAGGTCGCAGTTAAGGTTGGTTATAACCTATTGGGCCACAATGGTCAAAAAGGCCTAATTCCCCAAGATATCTTTGGGTGATGAGTGCGAGTCGTAGCTAATGGAATATTCCAAGATAACCTCCGCTACAGATAACTCAGTTATATGTAGCTAAGGTACCTACCTAAGGTAGTTAAATAATAAATAATTGGGGTTAACTAACCATATTGGAAATAAGTGAATTAAAAAAACCGTACTCCGTAGAGTCCCAAAATTACGCGTGAAGAACTGTAATTTTGGGACTTGACGGTTTATTTAATTCACTTAACTATTTCCCATTAGGTAACTGGTTACCTAGTTAGCTAACTTAGTAGTTATCTAGGTCCATACCGGAATTCACCATGATTTGAATACCAAAAATAGGCGTAACAACACGGTTGAGCCACTAAATTTGGTAATATTACGGTAATATTACTAATTTTGGTTGCTCAACCGTGTTGTTACGCCCACTTTTGGTATTCAAATCATGGTGAATTCCGGTATGGCCGCGGCCTACCATCCATCCCGGCAATTATCTTCTGTAGAGGAAGACATTCGCCACGGAGAAACCCTATATAACGCCTGTAGGGCTGTCAGACGGATGCAAGGACCACCTGTCTCTCAGCCTTTTGGTGCTGGACGCTGTGCCTGCGATAAAACCGGGTTAACAATCTCCATAAGCAGCCGAACCAACCTTGCTCGCTTGAATGGCGTCATAACATGCCAGGCGATACCAGGTATAATATATTGGCTATAAATGGCCTAGGAGGGACATAAGTGGTAGACAGGTTGCAGCATGACACCTGTCGAACTATCAAACTGCGCAACTGTGCTTCCTGATAGCTGAATAACTGCATGGTATATCCGGGCTAACAAAAGATGACCGTCATAAGCAGTGTTGCCTACTCTGTGGCACATATCTACTCCCAATGCTTTGTTATGCTGTATAGCTTGATGCAAGACATACTGGTTTACGTCTTTGCTTCCAATGCCCCCCCTCCATCTAGTCGTAACAAACGATTACGCCGTCCTCGAATCGCCATCATCGGCTCCGGATTGACTGGTGTTTCGGCGGCGGCTCATTGTGTTGGCCATGGGTTTGACGTGAAGATATTCGAGGCCCGGCCTAAAGACAAAGGCCTAGGTGGTATTTGGAGCGTATGCATTATCCCAAATACCACTTTCTCCCCCCTCCCCGTATCTTTGTGATGTGTACGAATGTTGTTGGTATTAACTGTGCGATTAGAGAGTGAACTCCACATCTTCATTGCAGATACATAGTATCATGTTCAGATTCCACCCTTCAGTTAAGTGGAAAAATGCCTATCCGAAACAACAGCAAATAAAGGACCAGATCGTTGAGCTTTGGGAAGCCTATCATCTAGATGATAAGACTGCCTTTGATACCCCTGTTAAATCGACCCGGAAGAACGACAAAGGAAGATGGGTTATAAACGAGGACGAAGATACCCATGGCACCTTTGACGGTATTATCGCTGCTGTTGGGAGCTGTGGTGACCCAAAGATGCCCACCCTCCCGCATCAAGCTAATTTCACTGGGAAAGTGTGCCATTCCTCCGAAATGGATGGACTGGATGCCAAAGGAAAGCGCGTTATTGTTGTTGGAGGAGGTGCCAGCGCCGTTGAAGCCTTGGAATTTGCCGTTAATGCCGGTGCTGCAAACATAGACGTTCTCTCCCGGTCGGACAAATGGGTCATACCACGGAATGTGGTCGTGGATATCCTCCTTGCCTGCAACATCTTTGGCCAAGAGACTCTTCTATCCTTCATCCCAGAGACATTGTTACGCAAGCTTTTTTATCGGGACTTAGAAGACATCGCTCCATCCGGCAAGGGATTATTTACGGACACTCCCATGGTGAACTCAGACCTTTTTGAATTGATCCGTGCAGGTAAGGCCCGCTGGCTACGCGGAGACATTCTCTCCATCAAAGAGGATGGCATCTCCTTCAATCACCGCGCTCAAGGTGTCCCTAAATCCGGGCCAGGCCACGAAATATTCGTCAAAGCCGATATCATCGTTATGGCAACGGGATTTATCCGACCCTCCCTCTCCTTTCTCCCTCAGGAGATATTTGAACCCCCTTATGATCCGCCAAATTGGTACCTCCAGATCTTCCCACCAGAATACCCGAGCATCTGCACGAATAACAGCACCTTTGTCAATGCGATTGGTACTGTAGGAAATTACCACATCGGAATCTACACTCGTCTTTTGCTCATGTTCTTGATCGACCCACTGAGCCGTCCACGGGAATACATGATGAAAAGATGGATTGACATGACACGAATGATGAAGAGATTCGCACCAACTAGCGCATTCGACTTTTTCACTTACGCTGAATTGCTATATTGGTTTATTTTTGTGATGGTTTTCAACCCTTTCCGCTGGAAGTGGGCCGCCTTTGTGTTCTTTGGGCTTGGAGGAGTGCTCCCAATGGCTGTGGTGGATAAGGAGGATAATGCAAGGGAACTTTTAGGAGCTGATTCACGGTCCTCTATCAGTGATAACTAAACTGCATGCTGCTGTGGTAGTTTACGTTGGTGTATGGCTTTATATTTACAGATTGATAGACTGGAACTTTTTGGTTTATCAAATCGATACTTGCGCATACATACACCCTCAAATAAACTAACGATAGGTTTATATATTGGCTCAATTTGTCTTCGTCTTACCAAGCGTGCTGTCAAATCTAGTAATGTGTAGTATACCATTCTCCTCCGCCCACGCAATCGGCCAAAAGAAATAGGAAGCCAGCACGCAAAATATGGTAGCAAAGGCGTGCCAGAACAGCACAAGGACCTCCCCAATCCCATAGGGCATGATAAATTTTATATACTCGTTCGTTTGGTACAGGTCATTCTGCGAAGCGATGTAGTATAGCGGCTTTGTAGAACTGCATAGCTTGACTGTAGTGCTAGAGTACTCCCCGACTAAAGTCGATGTAGAGGAAGCTAGAAGGTCTGTATTCGAGTTCGTAAGTTCGACAACCGGCACTTTAAGGCGTTGCTGGGTTGGACTATCTTGTTCTGCGCCCTCAATAAGCTGTAGCACCGTGGTGAGAGTTACTGGCGCAGTGTATAAGGGGACAATGAATATGCGGAAAACTTGCGACACGGTGACGTATAACAGCAAATTTTCGCGGTCAAACGCTAGTTATCAAGCATATTAGTCATTGAGCAACTCTCTGTGTATGTACGACAGCAGCGGTGGTGGTATGCTTACCTACTGATTTGACGTGCAGATCAACATGTGGTGACATGATTTTGTAGAAAAGAAATATCCGACTGATCAGCCATCGGCTGCCTTGAAATGAGCCAGAATGTAAAAATGGATGTGTAATTGAAGCGGAGGGTGTGAAGTATTTCTCAATTGTTTGTTGCTGCACCGAGGGAATAGACTGGGTGAGCAGATGGATTACCTGCGGAATTTCGGCGACTATGATTTATCCCAGTTAGAGAGAGAAATTTAGCGTCAGAATAGTGAAGAGAGATGTACCTGGGTTTTCCATCTTGTCTGAAAGGCCAATGGCTTGTCTGTCTGTCTGTCTGTTGTTTACTCCGTTCTCAAAGCTGCTCCTTCATCCAACTTTTATGCCGTTAGCTTCCACTTGACGGCTATGACGTCACTTGCCAACCCCGCTTAGTCAGATGTCAAGGTAGAAAGTTAATTTAAGTATGGAGTACTCCGTAGGATTGAATTTATGTGTAAGTTGTAAGGCAGGCAGAAGCAAACTATCGTTTCCAACCGGCAATTGTCTTTTGCCGCTTCTCAAATTTCTCACCAATATTAAACCCATCACCTCTCGGGCCATCCTCGGTAGCTCTCTTCCGACTTCTCTGTAGCGCACTGCCGGTTCCATCCTTTCTCCTCTGCGTAAGCCGATGGATGCGATCAACTCCTTCGCCGAGACCCTGCCATTCCTCTCCACCATACCCTCCACGACGATTTCCTCCCCTCTTTGCTCTATCTTTTTTGCTCTCCTTAGGTAGTCGAGTCAGGTTGGTCTCTTCGTAGACTCTGCGCTCCTCTTCTCTAGCCCTATCCTGTTGCGTGCTGACGTGTCGTCCGCCTGCGCGGATGGTGCTGCCTATACTAGGCTCGATCATTGGCGCAGTAGACATCTCCGCATTGACGAATTCATCGATCGCTTTAGACTTCTTGGATCGCTGGGCTTCACGTTCTGCGCGGCGGCTGGGCTTGTGCTCAACTAGAGCGGTAGGCTTTATTCTGGGGGGTCGATAGATACCGTCGCTAGTAGTATCTTTCTTTTGTGCGGCGGCTTTTTGTTTCTGCTCCTGGGCTTCTGCTGCGCGAGAGAAGGCAGCTACATTCGGTCGATACGTCAATTCGTCGATATCTTCTTCGTCTTCTTCATTCTTGTCGTCGTCACTATCGCTACCGCTACCGCTCTGATCACTGTCATCCTCATTCCCTGTATCCACATCAGAATCAGCGCTCTTTGCAGACTTGCGCCGCTCAACGCTTTTGGTGGTCTGCGCCTTGGTTCGCTCAAGATCGTCCGCGGCCTTCAGGACTTTATCAATTTGGTATTTGAGTCGCCCTTCAAGTGGTCTGACACCACGTTCAAGGTATACTCGAAGCTCCGTCAGTTTCTTCACTACATCTTCCTGATTTGGGTCGGTAGTCGGTCGTGAGCTGTCTGTCGATGAGGAAGATAGCTGACGAACTTGCAGGAGGACAAGATACACCAGGTTCTGCAAGTAGGATAGGAGAATCTCGCTTTTGGTGTCGAGCAGCGAAATACCATCGGCTGGAGGTAAAATCGAGGCCCCCGTACGGGCTTCAGGCGTGTCGATGGCGGGCAGAGATGATGCCGCGCTCGACAAGGACTGTTGGAGAGACTCAAGCATGGTTTTTATAGGCATCCGAGATATTTCCATCCCGTCGACAGCCATTGCGCCTTGCCTGGTTTATCCCAAATTAATCGACTTTTCTCTCGTATCCTTTTCGCTATTATCTGACCACCCTATGAGTCGTGTCTTATTTTTTGATAACTTTTCGAAATTTTTAGAGTTTCGATACAATTGTCCAATAGATCTGGATTAGTCATTAATTCACGTGTCCTTCATTAACTAACTATTATGATTTGCCAAGCCGGAGCTGGAGCCTTTTTACTTTAAATGCACGCTTAACTACTTTTAGTATATAAAGGTTTGTTTGAGTCACGGCAGATCGACGAGACGAAGATGATGATGATGACATTATTTGATATTTGATAGGAAAGGAAGCATAATATAAGCATAAACCCGTCCGCTACCTACTGCCAATTGGTATAAATTCGCTAATTCCCCGACAGATACCCTACGCCATACATCGTCACAAGAAGAGGGAAAGCAAATGGATGGTAGATCGAAGCATGTAGCCGCGTTAAGTCAGGAACAACATTAAAATAAAAGGAAATAAGTAGAAACAGGAGAAAAGGAAACCACAGTGAGAGAGTATCTAGACAGTCTGTTTCTCCGGGTGGCCGGTGGGAAGGACATCTGCGATGGTCTCGTCGGAGCACTTGAGATCTTCCTCGATGTCGACGTGGTCCTTAATTCTGAGAACCAAAGGAGCAGCAACGACTAGAGAGCCTGCGAGAAGGGCCCAATTGCTGGCGAAGATGGAGAGGAAGGCAATTTTCTTCAGATCAATGGCCCAGGAGACGGCTGCACCAGCGGACTGGATGCCCTTGTAGAAACCGACGTAGTTTGCAGTCTTGCGGCCAGAGTTGGACAGAGCACCCATGTACCTATAGACGTGTGTTAGAAGGTTACAATTAAAGTCAGAAAATTGAATAAAAATTTGAATATAGCGGGGCTTTACCAGTAAGCGGAGGCTTGGAAGGCAGCGTCGTAGAAACCGTAGAACATAAACAGGAACATGGGACCAACGAAGCCGCTGTCACCCCAGTCCTTGCCCTTGTACCCGGCCTCAGGATCGACAGACTCGCGTGTGTATCCCTTGGCGAAGGCGTAACCACCACCCCAGATGGCCATGGTAAGCACGAACATGACTGCGAGGTTGATGCGGGCTCTGAGCGAGCGGCTGACGGCAGTAGAATCAAGACAGACACCAAAGATGCCTGCACCAATGATCTGCGAGGTCCAATAGAGGACGGAGTTGAGGGCCTTGGTGCGGGTAGTGAAGTATGCACCGTTGATGGCATTGAACTGGTATGCAGTGAACCAGTTAGAGGACCAGAAGAGCGGGAAGAGCAGGACGATGTAAGGTTCGCTGCGGATGGTTTCCCACAGACCAATGAACTCTGTCTTGAAGGTAGGGTTCTTCATGATGACAACTCGGCTGCCGTCACGGCGGTAGATGTCACCTGCATTGCAGAGGAGCAGGGCGAGCACAGCTCCGGTAGCCATGAGGACAATGAAGGCGATGTAGGTGCCATCGGTAACGTTGACGTTACCCTTGACATTGATGTTTTCTCCAAGTGGGATCTACATATATTAGTTAGTACAGAGCATAGAATAAGAATCCGTGACAAAGGAAGGGAGAGAAAACTGACCAAAGAGCCGATGACACCGCCGAGGTTGAAGATGGCCCAAAAGACGGCAAAGGCGCGTCCCTTGGCAGACTCACCCGGGTATGAGAGCATGATGGTGCCCTGCGCGGTCCAGAGCAGGCCGGCACAGAGACCAAGGAAGGCACCCGCAAAGATGTTGAACCCAGCTACATGCGTCGAGTGGACAGAAACGAGCAGCGAGATAGCGTAGAGACAGTATCCGATGCCACCAAAGGCAAGTGTCAGGCGGACTCCGAGACGGTTGACGAACGAGCCGCCAAAGAAGCCAAATACAGCAAAGCAGCTGTACAGCGCAATGTTCTAGCAGTATGTCAGCATGACCTTTTCCTACCAATTTGATAAAGAGAGCACTGGAGAAGTGGAGAGAGAGAGAGAGAGAGAGAGAGAGAGAGAGAAGCGTCGTTCGTACCATGTTATCAGCGGTCGTCTTGTCTGTCTTGCCGCCACCACCCAAGCTGCTGAGGGCGTTGAACATGCCCGGACACATGAAGCACACGAAGGAGACGAGAACGAGCTGGAAGCTGGGCGAGGCATACCAGGAGAGGCCGATGCCCCCAATCTTGAGCTCCTTGTACTTCCATCCTTTGGGCCTGTTGAGCTCGGCGACCTGCTGCTGCTCGTGATCGTCGCTGTCACTGACCCGGACGGCGGGCGCAGAGTCGGCTTTCTCGTCAGCCATGGCTCACACTGCAGGTAACGGTGCTTGATGGTGTCCTAGAATCAGAGTAGAGGAGTCGAAGAGGCAGAGAGGCAGAAGAGGAAGAAGCAGAGGAAGAAGAAGAAGAAGTTATATAAAAAAGAGAGCAGTAGCGCGGGCGACAGAAAAGTGCCGGGATGCTGACAAAGCGGGCCAGAGTTGAAGGGTCTTTTCCTCCCTCTTTTTTCACTGACTTTTGTTCGACTCTTTTCTTATATCTCCCAAAAACCCTTGCTGGTTATCTGGTTATCTGGTTATCCCTCGTCTTACTACTGCGCCGTCGACGACGTGATGCGATGCGAGTCTTTATGCTACGAAGCAAAGGCCTGGCGAAATCCCCGAGACACGCCTTTTTCTTTTTTTTTCTTTTCTTTTTCGATGTTTGGTTACATCTCTCTTAGCTTGATGCGACGGTGAAGATACCACACTGTGAGTTTGGCAGAGATGGAGAGACAGACACACAGATACCTAGGTACTCCGTAGAGATGGAGATGTCGGCTATTAATATCCCCAGTGCGACAGCAGACAAAGAGCGACGAGGTGAACTCCAGCTAACAGGTAGGTAACCAACCCATGGCCGACGGCAGACGGCAGACGTACGGCGTAACTTGGACGTAACTACTTGAGTGCGATTTGAGCGACTTTAGGCCACGACGGCTGCTCCGTACTCTCGTAACCAGTTGCTAACTACCTATTTATACGGAGTAAGAGATGGGGTCGTCGTTTGCCAGAGAGAACAGAAAAACAAGGCAAAGAAGAGATGCGACGATGGTGACGGGTAGCATCGACAGTCCAATGCCTCCCTCCATCTCTTTGGCGGCCTGCCATCAACGGTCGTCTTAGCTTAGGCACTCGCTTTCTCTTGGACTTACAGTCAGTCACCTAGTTAACTTGCAGACGGCCTGAGCTGCTGAAACATCGACCGGCCAGCCAGCAAGCCAGTCAACCTATCTCGTCTGGGCTCAGCTTCTTCCCGATCTCTCACGCGACCTTGACCCCATGGGGTTACATGGCCGCCGCCCGCATTTTCGGATTAAAGTTAACACAGCTAAGTACTACTATACGCGCCGTTAGGCGAAGAGAGAGGGTGATATAAAAGTGTCAACAACGGCCTTTACTACCATAGCATTTTCTAGTGAGTTGTTGACTACGAACTAGTTGCTCTGTACTGATATCCTTGTGATGCAAAAGAAGCACCCTCGTCTCCATCTATTAAGTTATTTAACTAACTAGTAGACTGTTTCTGCTGCTTTTGCTCGGCGTGCCCGACATGCCAGCCCAAAAAAAGTTGCTGGGCATGTGGGCGTACCATGGCCGTTGCAGTGGCCTTTCTAGTAATGCATGTTGATGAAAATGGACGGCATGTTTACTAGTCAGCTAAACAAGCCGGTAAATGTCCATTATGTATCCTTATAGAAAATATCGAAGCTCAAGATGGAGAATAAATGAAAAAAGATGAATAAATAGTCCAAGATGACCCGACTCCGGATGTACAAATAGTTACAGCTGGTTAAATGGCCGCAGCGGTAACTAACTTGCGTAGTGTGCCGTATGGAAGTCGGTTGCACTAGTTGTACATGACTGGAGGTCAGTAGGTAAGAAAATAAAGCAAAGAAAGGCAAGCTGATAGAGTAAAAGACGTACGGAGTACCCATAGACGAGCCCAGTGCAGCGGCCTAACCGGTGTATTAAGTGTGGAAGATGTGCCCGCCTCTTTTTTTGCCGTCGATGAGAAGAGTCGTTTCTCTGACCTGGTACTTTTCTTTAAGCCTAAAGTATCCATACCCTGCCACCATGCAGTACTGTACAGTTTCCAGCTTGTCTGCTGGGTGGAGGAGAGTGTCCGTAACTGTCTGGGCAGACTGCACCTCGGGTCGCTCAGACAGGCCGGCATGCTCTTGGATCTTTTCGGGGGTGTCAAGAGATCCCCTCAGCAGTACGGGCTCCAGCCAGGGGCTTTCGGGCAGCGGCCCTCTTTTTCTTGCTTCCTGCCACTGCTTTGGCTTGTATCGGTCGGGCTTCCCTGACTTCAGCCGGGTCATTTCCCGCCTCCATTGCGGGCTGTCAACGGGATACTCAACCGGGTCAAGGTCCATGTTAGGCAGGCAGGCAGGTAGATAACTAACCGCGTAATAGAGTGACGGCAAGGGTTGCTTGAGGACAGGCAATTTTATTAGTTACTCTGCCTAGGCTGTGACTGGTGTGTTTTCTTTGTCTATGATTTGTCGCTAGTTAGGTAAAGTAGTACTCCGTAGTAAGTAACTAGATATAGAAGAGTGATGACTGTCTCTCTGCTTTAAAGGCATGGATGAGCCAGTGATGACATCACTGATTAACTACCTAGTAGTTAAGGTGGTTTACTAATAACTCTTGGGTAACTAGGTAACTAGTTAGCTATCTTGCTAGTTAACTAGTTAGTTGGTTAGTTAGTTATCTGACCAATAGGACAAAAAGCTCCCTTTGCTAAATCAACTATTAACATTTGTTTGCCATCGCTGAGGCTCATTTCATATTTAACCTAATCTCATGAATAAAGAACACATCGCTTTTTTTTAATGTGTTTTGTATTCTTCTAATTTCTATTAATCAATCTATACTCTATAGCAATGTTTAAATCAATTAAATTCTTCAAAGAAAGCTTTCATATTTTGCTTGTGTTTACCCAACGCTATTCATAATGTAGGTAAACACGCACACATCCATGATTGACACAACTTTCTTATATTGCCTTTCTTTGCCCGTCTTATTGTACATACCTGGATAAGTAGATAGCATATTGAATAGAGGAGCTTGATGGATATAAGAAGCCATTACTTACCCGGTCACTGTAGCTACGTACCAACTATTGCCCTCCAGTTATTGCTCTACTATCTCAATTTCAATATCAAGTCACCAAATCATCCAGACATTTGTGATCCTAGACAATGGCATCTTTCGGCATAGAGATGGAGCTATTGATAAAGCCACTGGCTGAAACGTTGCCTTTGGTCACCAAACATGGCTATAGGCCAGAAAATATTCCAAGGCTGAATATGATTGCGGTGCACAAGGCGCTAGTGGAAGTTCTTTTGGAACGGAACTTCCCGGCTGAGCTATACGACGAAGACAGCGGCTATCAAAGTAAATGGCAAGTGGCCGCGGACGCTTCAATTCGGAGCAATGGTGATTTCGGTATGCGCTTCTTTGCCTTCTCCCAATTTGGTCATGCTGAATCGCTAACGGCGAGGATTGATAGTTGGCGTGGAGATAATTAGCAAAATTTTGTACATCAATTCTGAATGGACCACCGAAGTGGACAGATTTTGGGGTATACTCATAGACAACTTCGAAGTCCGGGGTGACTCTTCCTGTGGAACTCATATACATTTTTCACCTAACGGTGGTTTCACACTTCTCCAATTAAAGGCCTTGGCCAAGTTCACGACTATATTCCAACCAGCTGTGACGGCTTTAATCCCTGCCGCTCGACGGGACACAGATTGGTGCCATCCAAATGCTGAAGTCGTGGAGGGGCTTAAGGCCAGATACGCCGCGGGGCGACCTGTACTATTTCCATGGATTGAAAATTTTCCGAGCAAGGAAGTGTGCTCTGGGGTGAAATATCCCCGAGTAAAATAGTGTCCTGGAATTTTAGAAACGCCCGCGAAGGCGGGTGCGGAACGGTCGAGTTCCGCCAGCCACCGGGAGTCGTAAGCAGCGCAGCTACCAAAAAATGGGTGGCCATTGCTCTCTCCTTGTTTTATGCTGGGATTGATCCCTGGATTGCCTTTCCGCTTACTGCTCCAACAGTGCACCGTTTAAAAACCGTGCTCAGCATGAGCGCCGCTGAGATAGGTGTGTCGAGCTTGCTTAATTTTGACGGAGCCACGGAACACACCATCCCCGTCCAAAACTTAACGAATGAGGAGAGAGAATACCTCTCTCTCCTAAAGGCTCAAAAGCCGAGCATTTTTGCGGCGAACCTAGAGCGGCAAGGAAGGCCCAGGGCCTCCTCGTGATAAGGGAACATGAAGGTGTGGGATAGCAGAGTGCTCCAGCCAATCAAACCAGTGATTTCGAATTTGTCAGAGACGAATATAGCCTTGGGTTGGAGATCTGGGTGTCGCATGACAGGACGTGCCAGGGTTGGATCATGGTGTGGTATCAAACGTGGTGCGATTTGCAGGTACTGTCTCAAATTCATCAAGTGATCCAAATGTGAACGGGGCTTATAGTCGTAGATCTCCCTGCGAAGACGCTGGAAAGGTTGAATAGGGTGTCCATACTTTGTCAGATATGAAATCTCCTTTTTTTCGCCTGCATTCAACGCAGCTAAACAATCCTTGTCTTGTAGATGTGTCATTTGTTAACTAAACAGGTTGCTGATACTCTAAGTAGGGATAACAAAATAATCTTTAGAGGAAGATAGCACTTACAGGGACCACGGTCAACGGGCAGCGTGAATCGTTTGCCGAACCACAATCGGAGCGTTGTGTCGGGTCTGATGCAAAAACGACTGTCATCGGACAAATGGTCCGTAGTGGGAACGACGATTCCGGCCTCTTCGCTCTGAATATCGTCACGGTAGTAAAGACTTCCGCTTGCGGGAAACTGCAAAGCAAAGATTCAGGACTCCAATTCCACAATTTTGGAAATAACGGTAATCCTCTGTCTTTCCGACGAGTCAAACCAGACACCTCCCAAATTTCTACCACGCATAAGTTCCATAAAGATGTACTCCATGCCAGCGGGATTCGTTGACGCTGTCGAGTAGCCGTAAACTTTTGGAACAGGTATACCGTGGGAGCGAAGGAAATCCATGGCGGCCACCTCACTCGCGACGAGAAGATCCCCTGGTGCCGTCACTAGATAGGGAATGCGAGCAACCAGCTGAGAGCCATCATGCATGGTTATGAGAAAGGCTCGATTGAAGCCTCCTTCTGCGAGCTTCTCAAACTTGGCAACATCTTCCGTTCGCTGCTGTATCGAGGGGACAGCGAGCCGTTTAAGCTCCGAAATATCGAAGCAGCGCCGTCTCTCAGAGTGTCTTAGGGTATCGTGGTAGTTTGAAGGAAGACAGACGAATCAGCCTCGTACACTTTGCAGTCGGAAGGCATGGATGGTGGTCTCAACACACATCCATCTCCCTGACGAATAGTCGAACAAATCATGGGACTCCTCCCCCACCCTGGTGCGTGCCGAATAATGGGCGACAGTCTTCAACAGTGGCTTTCTAGCTGTTACTCGTGGTAGGAGTCGACAGAGCTCCATATTAAATTCGAGAGCGACGATGAGACCCTAAATTTCTAATATGCCCATTCTAAGCTGTTTCAATGCAAGTAGCCTACAACAGAGTGTCTGACAAGAAAAAGACCATCACAACAAGCGGGCGAGCTAGCTCGACGGGGTATTGAGTACAACGGCGCTCAACGCAACATGCCGTTAGGTATCAGATAAGGTATTATTCTCTGTAAGTGCTCCTTAACAAGTAATATGTCAGTTAAGGATGGGTGTACTCCGTACATTGGCATCACTAATAGCCACCACCAGCCTATGGATAACCTGTGTATCACTTAGGTAGGGGTGAAAAATGAACACACAGATGGTGATAGTAATGTTGAGGACCAGGCGGTGATGGCCAACTATTAAGGTCTCGGAGCATCTTTTATCCATTGGAGACATGGATTACTAATATATTTGGTTACCTAAGCAGTCCATCGACCAAGCAACTCGAAATCAAGTTTCTCTGTTTAACCTGTCCAGCCAGAGAAGCCAAGTTGAAAGAGCCGAAGAGAAGAGAAGAGAAGACGGCTGGCCAGTTGAATGGACTAACTCAAGCTGAAGCTGCTCCCCGAGGAAATGAGTATTCCCGTGCTCCGACATATACGATTGACAGTGGCAAACTCGACCCGCGCAACCGTCGCTGACCGACAGAACGAGAAGAGGCCCATAAAATGGTATTTTATTATTATCCGTACGTACATATGCACTCCGTAAAAAATGTGGCTCGACACTCACCTTTTCTTCTTTTTGATGGGCTGTCAAAAGAAAGAGCTTCTAACCAGCTCTGGTAACTAGCTTGCAGCGTGTGCGCTTGTACTCCCGTATATATGTATAGATATATGCACGCCAGGTGTGCAAGTGAGCTTTAACCGATCGGCCAGAAGGGGTCGAGCACGATCCGAACCTGTCGGACGGACCAGACCAGGCTGGAATTGAGGACTAAGAGAGGCGGGATATGTTCTTTCTCTGTTCTGTATGGAGTACTGGAGGGAGTATTCATGCATGGCGGTGGCACTCTTGCTGTCTTTCGTACCCAGCTTGCTTTTTCCGACACATATATGTATACGGAGTACAAAGAATTCCGATAACTCAGCGGTTACCTGGGTGACGAGGGCGATGACGGCGATGACGGTGACGGTGAGATGCATGCTGGGAGGTTTGTCCGGCCTGACAGCCGACAGCCGACAGGTAGTGAGGACGGAAAACCGACAAGCCCTACCGCTGACACGCTGGACAACAACTGCCGTCAGCCGAGAGCTTCACCGACAGAGATCTCCTCGACCCTCTCAGTTCCCTTCCCCCATCGTCCCCAGCAACGGCCGTTTCAGGTATACAAGTACTCCGTAGCATGGCCGAAGAAGAAGCGAGGGAAAGAATGGCAAATGAGGCGGGTACTGAGAAAAGTGGCTGGTGGGTGAGTGGGCAAGGAAAGCAAAACAAAAAAAAAAAAAAGGAAGAAGAATGGCTGCCTAGGTTGCTTCCTTGGGTGTCGGGATGACTTCATCGCCCAACCCTCAGCCACCGCTGCCTGGCCCTGGTCCTGGCTGGCTAGTTTAGTACGCTGTAAGAGTGAGCCCATGTCCATGCATGCTGATATGCCCATCATCACTCGCCAGCAGCAAACAAACAAACACCGCGAAAAAAAGAACAAAGTAGAGAAATCCACAGGAGAGCACTGAGGGCATGCCTGAGCGGAGCCTTGCTTTGCTCTACCTCCGAAAAATGACGATGACATAATAATAACAGCCAAGTATATACTCCGTATCCTCCGTAGTGATAACAAGAGGCAGTGCCAGTCACTTAACGCCACCCAACTCCACCAACAGTTCAAAGTGTTATTATTATTGCAGGGTCAACTTCCTTTCTTCCCTTTTTTTTATACTTTTCTCTGCTGGCTCCATCTCGCAGCTCTTCTTTATTCTTCTCCTGCGCTATCCATCCCTTTTAACTATGGCTGTCTCTGCATCTTCCCTTCCCGTCGGCTTATCTTCCGCCCTCCCTCATCTTCTGCCTCCGCTTCTTCTGCTTCTCCTTCTTAACTCTCCCTCCTCCTCCCGTCTTTTAAGCCCAAGAAGTACGAGCCGGAGATCGATCAGCTTCCCCAAGCGGCTAGCGTCTTCCGAAGAGATCTTGATTTGACGTCGATCGCTAATCCCGAAAGGGGAAGAAGCCTAAGGGCTAGTCTCCTTCTAGTCTCCTTCTGGCCTAGTCAGGGTTATTTCCAGGGAAAAGAAAAAGGTGGAAGTTTGTACCCCGCAGCAAGAAAAGCCTAACTAACTGCTTGACTCCTGACTCTTTGACTCGCTTGACCTTTAGTTTAGGGAAGAGAAAGTAGGAGAGAAGTAGGAAATAGGAGTAGGAGTAGAAGTAGGGGAGGAATAGGAATGAGGAGTAGACTCTCACCTGTACCCCGTATACGCTGCAACTTCGCTGCATCTACTGCTTTGCTACCTGCAGCTTGCTGTGTGATGGAGTAACGATGGAGCAGACGGTAGGACGGTTGGCAACACAACCAGCGGCTGGACATCTCACAGGCCACTTTCTTTCACTAGTAAACAAGTTGAAAGTCGATGAAGAAAGAAGAATAAGAAAAAAAAAAGGGCCGCTGCGAGGATGCGCTGGCCTTTGCTCACTCACACTCTCTCTTATTTGATTGCTCGTTTTTCTTCCTTTTTTTTTATTATTATTAGTTATCCTACTTATCAACAACACCATCGTCATCGTCATGTTAACATCACTGTCTGCGCTTCTTCTGTCTTCTTCCTTGCTTTTTCTTGCCCCTTTTTTTTGCAAAGTCCAATCAAACAGCTAAACAAGCTAAACAGACTCCTTAACTTACAGTCAGCTAACTCTCTCTCTCTCTTCCTTGTTACCTAGCTTAGCTTGTCCCCCGGTCCACGATGGCAAGTCCCCTGCGCGATCTCTCGATGCTCGACGACTTCACTTTGTTCCATGGGATCCGTCTTAACTTCTTCCTCGTCTTCTCTTTACTTCCCTTTTGCCTCCCGGTTTTTTCTTTTCTTTCCTCGTCCTTTTATTACTTTTTGCTTTTTCCTTCCCTTCTTTTATTATTATTTTGCCTCTTTGCGACCCTGGTCCTGAGCGGCTGGTTGGCTGGCTTGCCTGCTTTTTTGCTGTGCTGCTGTTCGACCCTCTCTTCCCCTATTTCCGCGCACCCTTTATCTAGCTCTTCCTCTCCCACCTTCGTCTCGTCCTTTCTCTCTCTCTTTTCTTCCTCTTCTTCTCCAGACAAGTTCAATTGATATCCCTCCATACTCAATTCCTCTTCAAAAGAGTCGACTTGCTTGTTCACAGCTGTACTTCACTCCCACAAAGTACCTCAAATCTATATACCTCAGTCAACATGAAGGCCGCTCTTGCTCTCTCCGTCGTCCTTGGCGCCTCCATGGGCCTCGCCGCCACCCTGGCAGACCTCCCCCAGTGCTCTGTACGTACTATTGAAATCACCAGGAGACACAAAAGCGCGCGCCTATCATATGTAAAGGATCAATGGCTAACATTTGATACCCGTTGAACAGCAAGCCTGCCTTCAGAGCATGCTCCAGAAGGGCCCTGAGCTCGGATGCAGCCCCGGCGATGCCAACTGCCTCTGCAACCACCCTGACTTCAAGAATGGCCTGCAGGACTGTACCACCGAGGCCTGCCCCGGTGAGAACGTCGGCGCCGTCGTCCAGCAGGGCCTCGACGCCTGCAAGACCATTGGTGGTGGTAACGGCAGCTGTACGTTTTTATAAACCCCCCCCCCCCCCCCCCCCCATCCACATTGATCCCTTTTTCTTATTCTATGCATCAATTGATATGATATACTGACATCGTCTTCTCTCTAGCCACTGGAGCTCCCTCTGGAACTGCTACCTCTGGCTCTGGAACCGCCACTTCCGGCTCTGGCTCTGCTACCGAGACCAACGCTCCCTCCACCAGCGGCTCTGGCTCTCAGACACCAACTGCTGTAAGTTCCAACCCTCCTGTCTACTCGTGCCCTGTTCTATCAATCAGCTGTATTCCATTGATGGCAATGTGTGCTGACGAGAATAAATAGACTGGTGAACAATCTACTCCTTACACCACCATCCCCGCTGGCCCAACCGTGATCACCTCTGGATCCGAGACCATCACCACCACCCGCCCTGCCACCACTCTCTACACCCAGGTCTCTGGCTCTGGCTCCGAGTCCGGCTCTGCTACTCAGACCGGCTCCCCATCTGGCTCCGGCACCGAGTCCGGCTCTCCCACCGAGACTGGCGCTCCATCCACCACCGAGGGCGGTAACGGCGGTGAGACCCAGAGCCCATCCCCAACTGAGGGTGGCAACGGCGGTGAGACCACCGGCAACGGCCCATCCCCAACTCCCTCCCAGGGTGTTGCCCCTGCCAGAGCTACTGGCCTCGGTGTTGCCGGTGCCATCGGTCTCGTCGCCCTCCTCGCCTTGTAAATATCGTCCTGATGGACCTCCCCTGGTGATGAGTGTGATGTCTCCTTTTTTTCTTACTATCTCCTTTGTCTAGTTATGAGTTGATGGATGAGGTAACTAAAGCACGGATATCCTACAAAGCAGTGTAATGTTGTATTAACCCCCTCACATATATGTAATAAACGCTGCGAAAAGCTCATGATAATAATATTAATGCCAACAACAGTTCAGAGTCATGTCTCTTGGTTCTCACTCTTGCTACAATTCCTGTTCGTATAGTCTTTTACTCTCCTTCTCTCTCTACCTAATTCAAATGGCCACGTGGTGATACTTTCAAGTTTGCCCGTATCAGGAATACTCCATCACAACAGCCATCGACAAATAATAATATAATGTAACGATATGAAATAACAAACAACTCCTGCACAATTGTTTTGGTATGGACCGATTAATCCTCCCCCAGGCTCTCACGCACACACTGCCTGACGCGCTTCTTGAACTCCTTTGGGTCTTCCCGCCACAGCCTGGCCGCCTCCACGTTCGCCGGTGACTCGTCGTTTGGACTCGACAGCATGCTAATCACGCTTAGCAGTATCGTCTCTGGCGTCTGCACGGGTGACCACCGCTCGGCCGCTGACTCGTACCCGTACTTGTCTTCCTCTGGCGGATGCAGAATCGATATGCATACCTCGCCGTTAGGATATACTATCGCATAACTCACGGTTAGTCAAATATCACCACCAACCGCAAGAAAGGAAAGGAAAAAACAAGACTATCTAGACCAAAAGTCCTAGCCTGTCTAAAGCAAGGTTGTCTCACTGTTGGGATGGAACATGGGCGTCTCGAACTTCATCTTCGGCGGGAGAAGAGGGTATTCGGGCGGGAACGTGAGCTTTGCGCGAAAGAAGCCTCCTGTTGTTGTCTCGCAGTCAGTATCTCAGGTCAGCTAACTACCTAGCCAGTTAACTTGCTAGTAAGTCTAGGGTGTACGGAGTAGTATGTTACCTCCGTAGAACTTGCAGTCGTCCGATATCATGAGCATCACCTCCCACTCAAACACGTTATTATCGTCCGCCAATCCGCAGCTGATCCCCGGAATGTCCTTGTCCGTCTGCATCTGCTTGAGCTGGCGGCTCAGCAAGCCTCCTGCCGCCGACGCCGCCATCCTCGCTCTGCTTCTTTTGTTCTTTTTTGAGCCGATATCCTTCCTCAGGGATTATTGCCAGGCTGTTTTCCTATTAAAAAAAAAAAAGGGCACTGCGTCTAATGTGCTCGAGTGGAGGGCGGGAACTTGGTGTTTCTGGCACTCTGGCGCGCTGTGGCCGAGAGGACTTTGGTTTCCTTTTCCTCGCTTGATTCTTGCCGAGAGAGACGAGTACACTGTATACTCTGTAGACTGTATGTAGACCCGTACTCCGTAGTCTGGCGTAGATCTCCGGTTGGCCTGGAGAGCAGGAACAAACTGATCTGATCTCTTACGAGGGAACAGGCATAGGTGGGGGTTTTGCAAGTCGATGCTGTGGTGTGGGGGAAGCGGATAACTAGTTGACTACCTGCCTGCTAGCTAGTTTATTTTGGTTGGTGCTGGTGGTTGGTGGGAAGCCACAGAGCGCCATCGACACGGTGACCAGGTGCATACCTAGGTATGTATGCAACTACTCCGTACAAGCCTACTTTTCAACACTGCTGAAGTAGTTACCTAGGTTAGTTACTGGGTACTCCGTGCAGCAGTTGGCACCGCTTGGCCATGGCTTAAACGACGATCTTCTTATTAGGAACGGTCGGTACATTTGTGCTAGTAGCGCCATAAAACGAGCGGGATGAGGTAGTACAAATGTGATACGTGGGTAATACAAGAGGAATATAAAAGATATATAATAACTAGCTGTTTACATCCACCAAAAAAGAGAAAAAAGGGTTTTTTTTGTCGCTGTGGGAGTGGTCGAGCCAACCTGGCTTATCGCTGGGTTATCTTAGCATTCTCGGACATCATAACATCAGACTGCATAGCCCATGGAAGCGAGGAAGGCCTTGGACCCATCAGACGCGAAAATGGCGAAAGCAATGCCAACAACGATACCATAAACCAGACATGCGGCTACGATCAGACCGGTAACCTTGACTAGAGCCATGATCAGACGGCGGTAGGAGGCCCAGCTGAAGGTCTTCCAGGCATCAAGAATACCGACATAGCCAGCTCCATCAGCGTTCATGGAGGTCACTTTGCCGTTAAAGGTTCGGTCGAAGGGGACGATGGTCTCATCGTCGGCAGGCAACAGAGAGGCTGCAACCCGAACCATGATCACGAAGGCAGGAATTTCAAGGGCCAGGCTCAGAACCAGTGACAGGATCACAGCACCCCCGGCATGCAGAAGGTAGATGGGACGGGGCTCAGTCAGAGAATACATGTTGTGCCCATCATAACGGAAGCCACCGAGTGCCACTCCAATGGCAACCGGAATGTGGAAGCTCAGGTAAGAGGCTGCTGTCGACAGGAAAACGGCCGGTGCCATCTTGATCCAGTTGTTACGGATTGGCGGGAAGCGTTGGTACCAGGTCTTGGAGCTGGGTGCAGAGATAACAGCGTGGATCCAGGCGAGAATCATGGTCGAAACAGCAACATCCGCAACCACTGGAGCAAGGCCTCCCATGAAACCCACCAGGCCAGTCAGTATACCGCGGACAAGACTCAGGGCCGAAAAGTAAGAAAAACCGCGTAATCCAGCCCGGGGGCCAGCACGAGAACGAAGATGCTTGATTGTTGAACGGAGCCCGCTAGTGATGGGCTTATAGCTCGTGGGAAGCGCCTCAATCTCAGTCTGGCCGAAGGTCTGCTGCTGCTGCTTCTTATCGATAGTGGCGTCTTCCACCGCATCGCTGTAGCTGGGCAGAGGTGCAGCTGTCTCGGGGTTAGGATCCTCGACGATGGTCAGCGTGGTCACAACTAGACCGTAGGTATATTGGATCTAACAACTGCTGCGTTAGCATGCGCTGGAATAAAAGCAGTCTTGGGCGCTTACCGCGATAATACCGGCGACGCAGAGTACAGTGACTACGGCAAAAGCAGCAAATTCCCAAGTGAAGACCATACGGCCGACATCTACTCGCTTTGCCAGATGATGGGGAGCAGTCTCCAGGCCTCTGCGGACGACTGCACCGATGAGGTGCGAGGAAGACATCATGACAACCTCGGGCGGGAAGTTGTTGGTGAACAGCTACAAAACAAAATATCGTATCCTTTTAAACTAATACACACAAGAGAGACACAATTAAGTAAATGAATGAAAGAAGAGAAATGAGTGAGAGACAGGAAAGGTATACAGTTATATAGAAGCGATGAAGTGGTTGAAGTTGCTGGTTTTGTCCGTGTTCGTCGGCTTCGTCCGCGTCCAAGGTTGGGGAGTTCCAGGCAGCAGCGCGTCACGTGAATACTCAGCCTCGCTCACGATGGATGCAGAGGGCGACAGATGAGACACACCAATATACCCCTTGCGCGAGCATGGATTTCATGCCCTGTCAGCCAACCAGACGATGTTGGAAGCCCAATGAGAATTGAAAGTATTAACTAGCTTGTTATATAGTTCTAGGAGGGGATTATACACTGTAAGTATAATTGTAGTGATAACCTGTTAACCGCTGCAAACAAACAAAAAGGCCCCCAAAACTCCCAGGAATCAGTTCCCCAAAAATAACTAGGCATCCAGAGTTCACTTCGTCCATGCCCAAACCCATGCAAAGAAGGTCTCCCAGTTTCTTCGAGTCGGCCCGTGGTCGGGAAATATCAGTCTTCCCTTCCTGTGGCTTCCACTCGTTGTTTGGACGCAGTTTTGCAGGTCATTCGAGCACTCGGCACCCCAGCATGAGAAGTGAAGCCCGTGTCTCCGTATCTTGTAGCCAACAAGGAGCAGGATGAAGACCGGCAGCTATTTGTCACAAACCCCTGTAGTATCAGCTTTTGATCTGCATGTACACAGTCTCACTATACATGCGTTAGTACGGAGTACGTGCTGGGCGCTTCAACTTACACTAATATATGAAACAATAAAAGCCCGGACGTCAAACGGGTCCTTGAGGAACGCTGGTATCCCGTTGAAAAGGAGCAGTATAAAACATGACACCGTCCCATAGCAGGCCTTCAACCACTGTCCATGCGATTTATATGGATATCGTGGATTTTGGCGATCATATACGCCATTTTGTGACTCGGCGGTGTTACCAAGTGAATTGGCCTCCTGGAGACTGCATTGTGTAAATAAGTCGATCTTTTGTCAGGTCTAAAATCAAGGAAAGGGATTTAACGCTTACGTTTGGTAGAAGCGGAGGTATGTCGCGCATATAATCCCATATACAATGAGAAATGAGACCGTGCAGTTAGATGAAAGCTCACGTAGCCGCTACATGCCATAACGTTAGTCAGAGTACATTCTTGCAGCATCCATCTGGGCGTAGGAGTAGAGGTTTGTGAGTATAGAGAGAATATATGAAGGCACACGTACGTCGCCTGGACCAGTGCCGGGTCCCAGGTACCCCAAAGCCAGTATGGCTACTGTCGCCAGTACAGCTCTCGTTGGTACTCCAGCATGACATTGCTGCAGCCGCTTGGTTATGAACTCAGGCCCCGTTTGATCTCTGAGAGCTAAAGTATGCAACACCCGTGACGCAACATATACAGAGTTTACAGCGCAGGTGAAAGAGGAAAACAGGTACATCCCGTTGAAAAACTCTCCTGCGGCTGGAAGACCTGCTTCAACGACTGCAATCACAAATGGCGACTCGGTTGCTAGTGAGCCCACTTTTCCATTGAGGAACGGATGGTCGTAGGGGACGAGAAAGGAGCATGTCAGCATTGCTAGTACGTATAAAACGATAATTCGGAGTGTTATCTTTCTGGCGGCCATCTTCATGCACTCCGAGTCAGCCAGGGATTTACTTTCTGCTGCCGTCGCCGCAAATATATCCACAGCCACATATGAGTATATGACGTTTACGGATGCATTCCTGGAACAAAAGCAGACAGTACATAGTATAGTTAGCAAACTGGAACAGATAGCTTAGTACGGATTAGGGTACACACCAAACTCCCAGAAACCTCCCCAAACCTCCATCTATGACTCGGACGGAGCCATCTTTGTTTTTTACATGGTATTCTGGGTTGAAGAACGAGTACGGGGAGTCCCAATCTTCCAATTCGCCGTCGTTAGCCCTCATGCATTATATGCAGAATAGAGCAACTGGAATGAACCTACACTTTGTTCCGAGTGGCTTCTGATAGTACGCAGACTTCCTTGCTGTTTGACCGTTAGTATTAGTTGGAGTACGGGACCGCAAATAACCAGTAGTGTAGAAGAGGGGGAAGGTTTAACGTACGACTCATTGCACTGAGAATAACCATCATTACAATGAGAAGGATGATGAATATCATTTTGACGCTCCCAACAACGTACTCGAGCATACCAAAATACTAATTGATTCGAACTATGTGTCAGCCAGTTGAAGCCCCTTTTGTTCATGGTATTGGCTGTTCACCTTAACGGGAAATAGATTTATCAATGCGATAAGAACGATGAAAACGGTGATCCACACTGCAGTATCGACCCTCTCCCCTACTTCCCAAGTGACATTTGTCTTTGCGTCCATATAGCGATATTGGGCTGTTTCTGCAGCACCCACCATATTGTGGGTAGCTACAACCGCATAGGCGAACCTAGATACGATGTCAGAAACGATTCACCAGATACATTTGTTGAACGTATGAATTTGTGAAACATACCAATATGTCCAGCCAACAGCAAAGCCCACCCCACGATCGAGAAACCTCCGTGGGAATTCCATTACCGGTGCATTGACTGGCATCAAGGCGGTCATTTCTCCCAGGCACGATATTACAGCGCCGACCACCGTCCCCATAAGCAAGTATGCAACAACAGCACCGCCTGGCCCAGCAAGAGCTAGAATCATACCACTGCCCAGGAATAGTCCTAAAGCATCCAAGTTAGGAATAGGATCCCAAATTTAATTTCTAAAGATTCTCTCACCATTTCCAATGGTGCTGATATGTGTTCGGCAAAGGTCAGCGGGTGCGGCGTATTTAAGAGTTCAAGGGATAGCATACCCAGAGAAAGCGATCATCTGTCAATAGTTAGCCACACTGTCGGTCGAATATAGAAAAGCTCGTATCATTGATCTCACATTAATTTGAACCTCTGGTAATACCCTCCTATTTGCTGAGTTAGTATGAGAGCCCTGATAGATTTAATGAACCGGTATAGCTGTCCAAGGATATCAATTCCGATGACTGACCATAGGCTGTTCCCTCGAGTCTCAAATACTTCCTCTGTGTATACCGGCTCTGCTAGAAGTAGACCACATTCTGGATGGGAGTCCCGCGGAGTTATGGGCCCTTGGACTATGGTCGTGTTGGAATCTTTAATGCTTGACGCAGAGTTCTCCATGATGGATGCGTCACCCATGCATGGTGCTCAGGAAATGTGAGTACCCGAGCAGTACAGTGATGATGAGCCTTTATACGTGTGAGGATGCAATGTGTATAGTTATAATATTCTATATCGTTAGTTCTGGATGTGCCCAGATAATATATAAGGGGCGACTGTATATTCCCTGCCACGATTGTCGACGGGGGTATGTTTGGAAATAACCACGATAGCAGGCCTTTTAAGAGTGAGAGACTATAATGAGAGGGGGAAATGGACGCGTAAAGTGACAAGAGAACGTCTTTGCCTGTCGATGAGGCTGAAGCCAGGACATTTATATTTTTCCGTATGGGGACCGATAAATGCGCGGAGATCTTCCAGCTGCATTGACCTCGCCCCTTGGACGGGTTACACGGCCGGCCCAGAGAGACAATCCTTGGGCTAGTTATCTTTTGATGAACAGAGATATGCAATCGCGTAATTCACAAACGTGGTTGGTTATCTAGAGTCCTCGTGAGAGCTTCAGAGAGGGAGTGATACACACAGGCTAGGCGAAGCAATCAACCAGGAAGCCGTTACGTCTTCCAATCGAGAAACAACTGCGAAGGCTGATTTTGATTCCGCGCAATGTAACTCCCATGCTGGGCAATCTGTATCCCTGCCACCACCATGTCTTGAGGGAAGGAATTGTTGCAGACATGCATATGACCCCTACACCCCTTCGGTAAGAAAACCTATCCATGTTACAACGCAGCCATTATCGACACAAGAACAAATTCTTGGTTATAGATAAATCTGAATGCTCCAATTTCGAAAGCAGGCCCTCGAGCTTGGTGGACGGAGCACTAACTAAAAGCCACGCATTACTCCATACTCCGTACAATGTAATGCTGGAGGCCATAGCATGTACGCCCGAACCAAGGAATGCGCTTTGTGAAATGAGCTGCTCAACTGTGACAGAGAGGCTAACTTTGTTGTCCAGATTAAAATGTTTAAAATGCTGGGGGCAGACAGCAAGGTAAAGCGTGATTGGGTAGGGGTCCATGTTTCCATTGATCCGGGGAGATGTTTGGCTCTGGGCCCAGATGAGCGGCTGAGGAAACCAAGCCGCGCCTGGCATGGGACGGAATCATGAAGCCATGATGTGTTCTGGAAATGACCTTGAGGACTCGCCGGTACAGAGCGCGGTACGAGGGAAAAGGGGTGGAAGTCGAAGCCACACTTTGTTCTTCCATCAGCCGTTTACCATTCTGTTCGTCTTCCTGTGCTAGGCTGCACCACCGGAGATCCCCTCTGACGCCTCGTCCGCTCGTATATGTAGATCAGCAAAGAAAAAGCAAAAATCAGAGGTTTCTGCTTTGTTTTTCTTGCTCTTGTCTCCTGTCGTTGTTGGTTTAGCATGAGGAGAGAAAAGTTGAGATGTCAAATCCGCGGATGAGTCACGTGTAAAATCGGTCCATAGTTGTTCCATAATAATCACATGACTATGGCTTCTGAACTAATTATGTAATGAATCAACCATGTCAGCCAATAGACGATCTCTATGATGATAAGGTAATGAATTAGTCAGTCGCTTCGCTTTTTGTCGAGCTTGGCTATAATAACACAAAGATGGCCTGACTTTTAGCGATAAAATGGAGGACGAATGTAACTCCGTACACTCTTTTCTCAACCACCAACTATCAACTGGATTCCTGTGATACTCCGTACAGCCAAGCCACCCTACCTTTGCTACAGGTTGTACGGACTATCGTGGGGCTGCATCTGTGCTGAGAGGGCGAATGCTGCTACATATGTGTTTTTACTCCGCGCCAGTGTGGCTTCAAGTATCTCCGCAGCATTACGAATCCTCTGTGATGAGCAACTTTTTGCACTGTGCAACCATGTGGCGCACCCCACAAGCAATAATGATCAACTAGCTACTCCGTACTCTGTTCATAGCTTGCGGACAACCTGGAGAGGATATGAGATAAGCCACAGCTCTACGGAGTAGCCGTTCAGCGCTCCCGCTTGTCAGGTCATAAGCTTTGCGATGGCTTGACAGGGTCGTCCTCCTTCAAGAGAAGCAAGGCTGAAGACATTGTAACCCGCAGACCGCAGTTATGGTCGCAAAGCAGTTTCACTCGTCGGCCATCGGCATCGCGCAGCATCATCTTCTTTACCCCAAATCATAACTAGTGACCCGATGTTACTTTGATGCTCCTTGGGCAATAACTAAAACTCATTATTTTGGGCAGAAAACTACTCCTCCAAGCAGCACTCAGCACACTACAGAGTACTTACATTAACCAATAGCTAGCATCGCGAACTCTGCGAGCTGATGGTGCGTTTTGTTTCATAATTGGTTTGTACTTTGTTTTCAGGGCCTGATCCTCTTCTCCGTATCCTTCGCATTCCTTACCATATAAGGCTTAGCTAAAGGGCTGATCATCAACTTTGCCCAAGAGCCCGTTTCCCTACGAGGAGAGAACCTTTAGCTGACAAGAAAGACACCAGACTCATTAAACCAGAGCTATGCTTTATTTGAACGTGACAAAGAGCCATTGGCTAGTTATGGAGTACTTGCTTGGATGTGGAAGTTACCCAGTAGGTATACACGCTATTTATAGTGAACATCTATCCCACTGCGGTGACTCGCTGTCCTCCAAACAGACAAAGCCATCTCATACCAGATCCTCCATCCTTCAGCCTGCGGAGGCCCACTAATTGGTGTCTGGACCCTTTCCCCCGATTGCTTGTTGTTGCTTGTCTCCAGTTTGCAGCCAGTATGATTGGTCGCATCTTTCCACACGGGCGGCCAAAAACCTTGACGGCCACCAACGTCAGCCTCAGAAGCTATCGCTTCTCGACACAGCCAACATTCACGCCCCCTTTACCTTTCTTTTTTCCCTGACACTTTTGTTATTTGTTGGCTCGCAAGTATTTATACCTGCCTCTCATGCCTCCGTCTTGGACTCTGGTCAAGCTTCTTTGCCAACCCTGCCAAGCCACGAGAAGACGCCCAGAGAGCGCTTGATATTCATCACAATGCAGCTCAAGAATATATTTCGCCGTAACTACACTGACTCAAACTGGAGGAAGCCTCTCCCTTTTATAGCCGATCCGATTGCCTCAGAGGAAGACCTTCAGGAGAAAAGACACCATGGTTCCCATGATGACACTCATCCTAATGCACCTCGTGCCGAAGAGCAGCACCCAACTGCCAACGATGGTCCCGTCCTTAAAAAGAACCATGAAGCGACCACAATGGAGCTATTTTACGATCTCTTCTTCGTAGCAACACTCGCTATCTTCCATGCTACTCACGAAATCAACACTTCTGCAAGTACGGTTTCACCCTGCTTTTTGTTTCGGTTAATGATTCTAACATCACGGCAGGTGTCAAATCATATATTGCGTTCATTACCATCCTATGGTTTTGCTGGTTACAAGCTGCCTTGTTTGACATCAGATTCTACACCGACTCTATTGTTTCCCGAACCTTCAAGGCTCTCCACCTAGGTATCATGACAGGACTTGCAGTTCTATCCGTCAACTTCAGCGTCACTAATATCCTGGAACACCGTGGACGGTTCGCTAGCATGTGCTATCTTCTCACGGTATCTCGATTTATCCTAGTCGGCCAATACATGACAGTGGCTTGGTACCTCAGAGGCCACAAACAGACATTTACTGCTAAAGTCTTGGTGATTGCTACCCTCTTTGCCTCAGCATTGGTATTCCTCGGCCTAGGCCTGAGCGCATACCACATCCAAACACCAAGGGCACACATTGCCTGGTATGTTGTTATTGCCTGCGAGGCCACCTTCATGATTGCCATATCCAGCTTTTGGAAGGTCTTATCCTTTAAAGGAACGCCGATTGTCGAGAGATTCGGGTGTCTTACGTTGATTGTCCTTGGGGAGGGTATCGTTGGAATGACCAAAGCTGTAAGGCTCAGCAATCGGTACTAACTGTGCTTACTAAAATAATAACTAACACTGGTAGTAGATCAAAAGCATTGCGCTCGGCACGTCCACCATATCGGGGACATCTGTTTCCCTGGTCATCTGCCATGTCCTTATCATATACTTTGTCTATATGCTATACTTTGACCAAATCAACGTGAAACGCTTTGGATCTATCCGCCAGCAGATCTGGGCACTTTTCCATTACCCCCTGCATGTCGCTATCCTGGTCACTAGTGAAGGAAGTCGTTCGTTCGTACTGTACGATGTGGCCAAGCGGCTCTACGAGAATGCTCTCCTTGGGCCTCTGAGCAAGGTTGATAGAGTTGAAACTCCCGCTGACTTAGTTCAAGGGCTCCAGGAGATTATTACCGATATCTCCAGTCAACTAAAATCAACTGATGGACGGCCAGACTTCACCTCCGTTTACAAACAGCTGTTGGCCATCAAGGAGTTCTCTATAACCTCGCAGGAAGTTCGCGAGCTCGTGGCAGAGTTTCTGGCAGAAACCCTTATCTGGATTATGCATACTTTCGGTATTGAAGTTCAGGAAGAAACAGAAGGGAAAGTAGGAAAGGCCGGAAAGGAAGGAGGCAAAGCGGCTATTCACGAACTCACCCAGATATATGGCGCTGCCACCATTATCTTCCGCTTCTTCTTCATTGCAGCTGGGCTCACGCTTGTTATCCTTGCTCTTCTACACTGGTTCTCTAAGTCCCATAAGAGTCGTGCCGAGATGCTGAGTATTATCACGACTACCACTATTGGCGTGTTCCTATCATTGTTGGCCGTAATGTCCAACTTTGACAATGACGTTGTGGAAGAGTCAACTCTTGGGAGATATATTGATAGTGCCTGGGTTACTCCAACTGTTACTCTCACTTATCTTGGAGGTACGTACTTCCCCAGCCACCTATGCTCCTTTTCTGCTTTTTTGACCAACCCTTACTAACAAAAATTTAGTGATTGCAATTGATAATGTCATTATCTGGGTGTCTCATATACGTAGACACAAAAGTGAATCTAGAATACAGTATGAACCTGTTTCTTAAACAATAGCTCTGCGGGTTTATATATAGTTTTTTATCTATCAATAGCATGGCGCCTCGGGGCTCTCTACTTTCTTTTATATAATTACTGTCGAAGCAAAGGAGCATTAATTTATCACATATGCAATCCGCACACCGAATGTATTTGACATTTTTATCGAATACCTACACTTAGTCAACCACCATACCTTAGTAACCAGTAACTATAACGACTACCTAATATATCTATTAGTAGTTCCTAGATGTATGGCTTAACTATTGGCTTTGTCTGTCGAGTACCCGTTCTAAGTTTGGAAGGCACAGGAACATCAAGCTCATGCCACGTGATGTTCGCCTAGCCTTCGACAGAAAACAAACCCGCTTCAACTCACGTTCCCTCTTTTTTTCTTCGAATTTGCCAATATTAAATCTTTCTTCATACATCTTGTCTGCTTGGCTACTACACATTCGATACACCTCACAACCCTTTCTGTGACTTGATCTCTCTCCGGTATCATGGAGCAGCCTTCCGTACCATCGCGTCCTGATGTCATCGCGGCATGTGCACTCAGGGGTCCTAAGGCAAACGGCATCCCATATAATAGCGATATCTGGATTAAGTATGGTATATGTGTGACAGAAGCTGAAGCAATATTACAACAATTTATACATGAAAATACAGATCATAGCATCATGTATACGCCAAAAGTTTATGACTACTTTACCGAGCAACGCAAAAACGCTCTACCAATAACATATATCGTTATGGAGCGAATATATGGTGAGGTTCTTACATCAAAAGAGGATAATATAGTCCTTGAGAATATTACTACTGCTATTCGCCATCTCTAGGAGCTTCCATTACCACCACAGGCAACAATTGGACCATTAGCAGGGCAGATACCTCATGACTGGTTTTTCTCAGATTACGGTGCTGGTCGGACTTTTCAATCTATTGAGGATCTCCAAAACTGGATTAATAAGAAGCTAAAGGAAGAGGGATGGCCTGATAGGGTTAACTTACCCTCAGAGCGGTGTATTTGCCACTGTGATCTTTCGCAGTTTAATATCCTCCGTGGTAACCCGGTTATTATTATTGATTGGGGCATGTCAGGAATTTACCCACGTATCTTTGATGAATTTGCCCTATTTCGTCAGTTTAACCTTGAAGGTTCTCGGTTTGCTAAGACTCTTCATAAGAAGCTTTTTGGGGATACAGTACCTAAACACCTACGACCGCTGGCGATTGTATCGAGAATCAATGCTGTTGGCTGGTAGCAAGAGTATATGCAGGTACGTCCTTCTGTATATCTGGTGCTTATCAAACTTGAGCCTCCCTGAAAGTGTAATCTCGCTAACATACACCATAGCTTACCGTGCTAGAATCTCTATCGTTTGATATTCCGCTTTACCCACAGCGTTGCTCTTTTTAATTTCATGGCTGTTGAATGTAAAGCTCCTGATTTTGAAGGCCAGGGCAAGCTTAGGAATGACACCGAGAATCAGCTTAGCGACTATCTTCGCCCAGTTGCCAGAGGGGTTTAAAGGAGGACATTCGGTGCAATTGCTATAGGGAAAGCTGTGCAGTTTTATAAGTGGAACAAAGCGGCGGACAAGATCGAGATACTCTTTCCAGGTGATGGTATATTTTATATTGATCGGCAATGCCAAACAATAACTCAACATCTCGCCTATATTCGTGACAATTACTCTCATGGTTCGGGTTTCATCACATAGAGTTTCCTTAGTTATATACCTAAACCAATCCTATACACGTGATTTTGGCAAAAGGTATATTAGTTATCCTTCACTGAGCCGAGGTCCGAGTTCCCGGCTCGCGCTTCAGAATGCTGATAAGGCGGCAGAAGCATAAGAAGAACATCATCTTGTCTTCCACATGATAATTATTCTTATTTGATCTCCTTTGTAAATGTTCGTCTCCTTAACTTGCTAGTTGCCTTTTCCTTTCTGTTTATATCGCTGTGTCTGTTTTTTCAATATACTGTGGAAAGCCTAGTTACGACGTTATACCTTTGATCATGGCGTCCAAAGTCCCCGCTGCGCCCGTTCCAGCACCAAATGAAGCAGACGTCGCTCCGGCCACGGCCAACACTACACTTGCGCAGCTTCGCTCATTTGTAGCTGGAGGTGTTGGTGGTGTCTGTGCCGTCGTGGTTGGCCATCCATTTGACCTGGTGAAAGTGCGTCTACAGACCGCGGAGCGAGGCGTCTACACTGGTGCCATAGATGTGGTTAAGAAGACCATTGCCCGGGAGGGTGTAGCAAGGGTAAGTGCCATTTTTGCTTGTTTGTACGTTTCAGCCTTGTTCTGGCTACTGATTTTGTCTACTGTCTAGGGATTATACGCCGGTGTCTCTGCTCCTTTAGTTGGAGTTACCCCAATGTGTGCGTATCTTCGGCCCTCCTTCACATGTCACCTCACACATACCATTTTTGCTTGCAGCTAACACCTGACCTTTTCTGAAGTTGCTGTTAGCTTTTGGGTATGCACCCTTCGACGTATTTCATCTCACCCCGAGGTTCTAACGGCGTATAACAGGGCTATGATTTGGGGAAGACCCTTGTCCGCAGCTTTTCTGATGTCCCTGTTCGCAACAACACTCCTCAGTTCTCCATCGCACAGATATCTGCCGCCGGTTTTTTCTCTGCAATTCCTATGACCTTAATTACAGCACCGTTTGAGCGGGTCAAGGTGCTGCTTCAGATCCAAGGACAACACCCACCTCCTGCTGGTCAAAAGCCGAAGTATAGTGGTGGACTTGATGTTGTTCGACAGTTATATAAAGAGGGTGGAGTCCGTAGCGTCTTCCGTGGAAGTGCTATGACGCTCGCTCGTGACGGCCCCGGATCCGCTGCATATTTTGCTATGTATGAATATGTTAAGCGAAGCTTAACCCCTAAGGATGCAGATGGCAATGTCACGGGTGAGCTGTCTCTGCCTGCTATCCTTACTGCGGGAGGAGCTGCTGGAGTCGCTATGTGGATACCCGTTTTCCCCATTGATACGATCAAATCGCGGCTACAGAGTGCTCCCGGAAAACCGACTATCGGCGGTACTATCAGAAGTATCTATGCAAGCGGTGGCTATAAGGCTTTCTTCCCTGGATTTGGTCCTGCTCTTGCAAGAGCAGTCCCTGCCAATGCAGCAACTTTGTAAGAAACCCCATATTCCCGTACTCGGCGTTATTAAATCGCGGAATTTGCTAATTTTTTGGGGTTTCTCAGCTTGGGTGTCGAGTTAGCTCATAAGGCAATGACGAAGATGTTCGATTAATTGCATTGTTCGTGAAAGTTTTGGATTTATATATGACCACAGAGACTGCCAACCTTATACTACGCTTTATCCTGACATGGGAGTGACTGATAAACCTACTATATAATAACCCTTTCGGTGTTCGTTTTTGGCGTTGTTTGGTGTCTTCATTATTGCATGCCTGGAAGACCTGTATTCCGCTGGGCGTATCCCAGTATAGATTTTAGCACCACCCTGGACATAAAAGTGCCTTGTTTTGATTAATATAACATAAATAACTTTGAATCTCGGGTGTTATTTTTAATCACTATACCAGCTCTATCTGTTCATAACTTCCCGTACTCTTACAGAGCTATGAAGAGAAGTATTTATGCCTTGAACTTGCCTCCACAATACGGGCATTCATCAAACCTCTCAAGAATTTTTGCCAGTAGGCCCCTGGTTCCTTCTATACCCAAAGCTTCGCTGGTATTATCCAGACACTCCCTCCCGCATTTACAACATCTCTTTGAAACGGACGGGTCCTGGATGGACAAGAATGTCAACGCACATCGAGCTAAATCACGAATGTCGTTAACATTGGACTTAACTAAAACCATTGCAATGTAGAAAGTAATAAGGACGTTTCACATACCAAATAGGTGACCTTCCGCGCATTGTGATTCTACTGGTGAAAACCATTCAATCCCATCACCGCAGATATTGCACTGCTCGAATATACTTACCCCAGTGCCTTCGAGTTGCTGTCTTGTTTTTGGTGGTATTGTCATAGCACTCCGCCCGTGTGGTACCCCAGAGAGTCCCTGCAAGAAAGTTATTTCCATCCCTAGGTCTGTGTTGGACTCATGGGCCAAAGCTTGCATTACTCCCTGGGCATGAGTGACTATTTCAGAGACCGAATGGAAAATCGCCGCGCAAGCAGCCGCATAGAGTAGCTTTCGTAACCATAGGTCATCGTTGTGTTTCAGTTGATCATTCATCAAAGTGAATGCTATAATCTTGCCTGCGGAGCGGTGTATTCTGTCAGATGTAATAGCTGGCATGTACCATGGCATTCCGTGCTCGGTATGATCAGATTTTTCTAGGCTGGGAGGCGCAAAAAATACTGTTACCCGTTCCTGAGAAAAAGTAGTGTGCTGTACCATATCTGTAGGGTGAAAGGTTGCACAGGTGGCAAGCCATCCGCGATGGCTACATAGGCCCCAGGTCTTTGCCGTAGACATGCCATCCAGGTCATAATCCAAATCGAAGCGATCCCTACAAACTTCAATACCCTTTGTCAAGTATTGGCTTTGTGAAAACTCGTCGTCATCGGTTAATAGTTGTGCCTTGCTTTCCATACTGGGGAACTCAAGGTGATGCAAGGATGATAATGTCAATGTATAGAGACCGCTGCCGTTGCTCGCATCTTCAGCTCGAGAAGCAAAGCCTATGTCTGGTTAAAATGAAACTTTGTAGGAAGAATGGATAGTACCACGTTCTCGTACCTGAGATTGGGTGCCAATTAGCAAATGAAAGGCCGAATTTTTCTTCATGAACACCTGCTCCAATAATGCATTGCGTCCAGATATTCCTAGGAATTGTTAAGATAATAAATCCACTTATTATGCCAACAGCTAGCCCAAGCTTGTGATCGATTTCCTAGACCAACGTGAGTTAGAGATATAGTAATACAACGACCTAAGGAACAAGTACCAAGGGGCTTACTGCTATTTCTATCCAATGCAATGGACCCTTTATATTGAAATCAGTCGATGTATGCTGAAGAGTCCATTCCTGGCTAAGAAGCTCAATTCGATTTATCATAATCTCATTCTTCATGCTAGTAGCCTCCAGCTCCAGTCGCAACATAATCAAGTCTGACCCAAACGTACAGGCGATTAGAGCAGCCCAGATCTGCGAATCTACGGTTTGATGGCCTGCTCGCACCGGCTTTCTCAACCAAGAGCTGGAGGAAACTTGTGTTATTGTAGCCCTTTTTTCCGTATATTCTGCAAATAGAGAGCCTTGTTCTATGGGCCGAGAAAAGCGCGCGCCTGCAGAGGGGGCAGAGTAATGAGTAAGTACAGTCGCACTCACATTCTGTCTATATGAGGGCGCAGTAACCCTGAGGATTACTATATCATTGGTATCATTGCTGACAACGAGGAAATTTATGCCGCTATTTCGGTAACAATCCGGATCGTTGAACTCATCTTGGGTAAAGAAAGTCCAGGTGAATGCTCGAATCCTTTGTTTTCTGCGTAAAAGAGGGTTGTTGTCACCAATGATAGCCTTGAAATACTTCCGGAGTGCGTGATTAACAACAAGCGCCCTGTTCCATTTGGAAGCACCGTCCGCCGCCTGCCATAGAGATAGAGCCAGGTTGCTTGTTAATACTGCTAGCATGCATCTTCCATACACTGCTAGCCGTGGGGCAGACCAGGCTACAGCGACAGCATGGCTTGTAGATTGCTCCTCGCCGACAGAAAAAGTGGCACCGGGCTCTGGGAGTAGGAGAGACAACTCATCCAGCGTAAAAGCATTCGTTTTAAGCTTGTATATGTCCCATTGCGCGCCAGTTGGCCTTTGAGCAGATTGAATCTGCGGTTTCTCCTCTCTACCCGGCTTTGGTGACTGTTTATTATGCCAGTTAGCATTAAAGCGATTTGTTGTCATGAGTATGCGACACAAACCAGAACGTATACAATCTCTCCTCCAGCAACAGCAATTTCGCCATCCGCTGACCACGACAAACAGTTGTAACAGGATGGATACGACCGAAGTTCAAGAGGTTCTAGCATGGTAGGGTTGGGGGATTGGACTTATAAGTATTATTTCCGGGTGTTGTTATGGTTAACTTGCTAGTTAAATAACCAAGTTATCTAACTAACTTAGGTAGTTACCTAGTAATTTACGCTAGTTTAATGAGCTTGGGAGGAACAATGACTAGTTAACCAAGACTCATTAACCGACTATTTATAAATTGAAATGGTTAACTGACTAGGTAGGTAAACATATCTACAAGTGTAATTATAATAATTATAATAAGGATCATAAACATGACAGCCTTAGGAACTGCCTTTGGCTAACAGTATAGAGATCCTGATATGAGTTAAAAGTATAAGTGTTGGGGATAGTATCTAAGCGGGTGTAGTGAACCCAGATTAATTACGGGATGGAGTTGTTAGTACATGTTAGTACATATAGAACTGTTGTATTGATAACCTGGCCAAGTCTCTCCATGCACCGTAAATACCCCAGGTCTCTTAACCCAGAATGTAACTAGGGGCAAGGCTAGGAGATCAGGCCAAGGAATGCCCCGGCGACGGGATCCCATGTCTGATCCCAGCGGTTCTTACTCTCTCTGATCGCACCCTCTCGCAGGGTTTTTAGAGCACTTTCATCATGGCCGAGTAGATTTTTGAGAAGCCTTGAGAGGCTATCAGCGCTATCAAATCCCAGCCCAGATGCTCCCTCAGTAACAAGTTCGGACCAGGCTTCGTACTGGTCCCAGCCAACAACCGGGAGGCCGGCGCCAAACATGTCAACAACCTTCATTGGTAGGTCAACACCACTGCTACTTGTATGTAGGCAAACTCCCAACGTGCCACATGCAAGCAGCCGTGCATAATCTTCAAAAGCGAGCCAAGCTGTTTTTATGGATACACTGAAGAGTTTTCCATCTGCCTTTAACTTGTCAATCTGGGAGAGATACATATCCTTTAAAGGCCCTTTCCCGGTGATGATAACAAGAAGGGAGGCCAAAGCGGGAACGGCAAACTCAGCCGACGCAGAGTATTGGCAAAGAGCATCGAGTAGAAGGGAGAAATCTTCGTCTGGCGTCCAAGACGTTGAGCTGATGAGGAGGCGACACCGACCCTGGATAATCTCCATGGCATCTTGGCTAGTCTCAGGGATCGAAGACAAAACTGCAAGACGCTGCCTCTGATCGAGGATCGGGCTGAAGACCGAGGAAGGCCGATCGTAAAGCACCATAAGGGGGTTTTTAATCTTCCATTGCTCCCGCAAAATCCGCGCCATGGCATTGCTGACGCAAAAATGGGCGGTAGCATAACGAGAGAAAACGTGCTCGTACCACGCCATAAGTCTGACCATAGGATGGGCAGATCCAAGTTTCAATGCCAGGATGGAATACCCGAAATTATGCCAATCAATGATAAGACAACTATTCCGGAGGTAGCAGGCAAGTATCGCGAAGACGAGAGTTGGCGTTGCTGGCGGATTCTACAGCCATTTTGACAATATCAATGAATAAATACTTAGCAAGTTCGTTCCAAGAGTCAAGACTATAATTCATACAGTAATGATAACAAAAAGATATATATGGGCCTTTGTCAGACGGATAGAATGTCTATTACTGTAGAGCGGCTTACCTGTACTAGTATCCAATGAGCAGGCTCTGCACGGTACCCTAACGCAACCCAGAGGTGCCATGTTTGCTGCAAGACTTTAAATATTGCAGCAATAGGAAACAAGGCTTTTTTCTTGGTCTGTAAAAGTGCTGGCGGGGATGGCAGTGCCACAATTGATATAAGAGGATGATCCAACAGCTCTTGATTTGGGGTAGAATCTGTAACACAGTTCAGTGTTGGCGAATAGCAACTCGAATAGGGCAGCCAGATCAAGCATACTGTGGTATCCTATAAGAGAGACACGACCACCATGCCGTGCGATGCTGAGCGCATGGCACTGCATCCGTGGGCTATGCCCGATATCCCCTAGAACCACGATCTGAACTGACACAACATGGTGAGGCTCAAGGGATTTTCTTGCGAGCCGTGTAGGCACTAGCCGGAAGAGGGCCAATGAAGAAACACCAATGGCAATAATAGAGAATACCAGTATTAGAACCATAGTCTTCTATCTAGAATCTTCTCCATCTAGGTATCTTTTTAAATAAGTCGGCTTATTGTTATCGATTTATTGTGTTGTCGCGGGTTGATTCACGCCTACGTACCTGGCTGGTGTATTAAGTAAGCCGTGGCGCACTAACAATAATCCGAGAAGCGGACGCTAACCGTTTTTAGTAAGGCTTTGAGCGGACAGATAAGCTTCTCATGCTGACGTAATCAATTGATAAACCCTAACTCTGCGACCCCAAAAGACCCCTGACCGGAGGAAGTTGATAGTGGCCACTTCGCCTTGCTAGACGACGACGGCGAAGAGTGTGACGGCGAAGAGGAAGTCACTGAACCAGCCTATTTAACCGAGCACTACCCTGGTATTTTGTCTCTGTTGAGAACGGAGATACGCTCCGGCCAACTCACCTGTTCTCATACCAGGACCTGCGAACAAGACACGCCAGTCTTCCTTCTCTCTCGACTATCCATTGAACTACCCCATTGCGCTGGATGCGGCGATGACCTAGATACCTTGACTGAATAAGCTCATGGGATAATGGGGGATGTCGGACGCACTGATTCCACAGGCCATGAATGGTGCCCGTGACGGGAAGTCCCATCGTGGACGAAAGCATAAAAGGAACCACGGCCATTCAGCCAACCATGTTTTGCCGGAGGCCTCGCCGTACACAGGAGCCGGAATACCACTACACGATGCCCAGGAGCCGCTTTACTCTTCTAACTCCGTTAAGAAGGATCCTTTCACTCAATACCTTGATAAACAGAGCCTCGGCTTGAAAAATGGTTCGAACGGAGGCGCCAGCTTGGGCGAATATCATGGCTATGGGAATTCTACCTCCCAGGACACACTTTCTTTTGGAGGCGGAATTGGCAGTGACGCAAACGTGCAGACGCCTCTGAAGCATCATGTACCACATCTCGTTCGGTTAGTCTGCCTAATTCACACCCCAACATCATGTTATCCTCCCTTGTTTTGTCAGTTGAAGCCCGTCTAACTGGTTATATTCACAGGTCCGATGGGCTTAGACAACAGATAATCTCTGGTGCTCTCATTGCTATGCCATTCGTAGCGTCATATCTCCTCACAACCACTGCGACAGCCCCTTTGAGCAATGCCAAAGCTGAAACTCAGAGTAAAAATATGTCGCATTCACCCCAATTAACGAGCACCCCATTACTAGTGTCTTGCGCATACGTATCCGTTGCTCTACTGCTACACGGTTTATACGAGAAGATACGTCAGGGGCGTATGAAGGGCAATGCCGGAATCACTGCAGCTCTCCAGCCAAACCGCTCGAGTCTTTACGACGGGATGAGAACTGCGATATGGATGAGCCTGCCTCTTTATGCTTCGTTTATGATTGGGTTTGATGTCGTGATCGCTGTGTTATTGTTGCATCTCTCCATAGATTCAAGGGTTGACTCTAGAGGGAACATGTTGACTAGAGTAACGCAGATCCTTAAGCACAGGAAGGTGTCAGCGTTATTTATCATCGCAATGGCTGTTTTGGATGTTGCATATATATCCCCTGCTGTCCCTTTGGCGACATGTAAAGGGTACATCGCCATTACCGTTGCTATACTGCTTCCGTCGCCTAGTTCTCCCTCGACACCTGCTGAAGCTGCTGTGGATGAAAAGTTCGCTTCAGGGAAGGATAATATTGATGATACGGCTACCGTGAACCTCGTTATTGGCACAGTTCTCGCGGCCTTAATCGTGTTTGTTGTCTTGTTCTCCGGTGGTTTCTCTGTTACGTCCTTATCGTTTCTCCCTGTTTTCGTTGTTGGTTTATGCACTGCAACATCCTTATTGATCTATGGCGTCGACGCCATTGGTAACTCAAATCTGCCCAGGATTGCCTCAGGTGCCATAATTGCAATCCTGGCGACGTTGGTAACATCTCGACCGGATATCATACCTCTACAAGCTGCTCGGTTTGGGCTCGCTTGCCTCGCATTCTTCGCTGACAGCAAAATGACACATAACCACCACAACCACTCGCACGAAAAAGTAGAAAAGAAACCCTCGAAAATGACTCTGTGGCTTTTAGGAGTGTGTGAACAGTGGCCTTTTATACACGCGATCCTGAAGGAGAGGGATTCGCGGCGTATATTTTATTTCATGAAGTGAGTCGTTCGTCCTCGTTTTCGATAGATTGGAGATGTTATCTTGCTGACATTAGTATATATAGTCTTAACCTAATGTTTATGGTGGTCCAGTTGACATATGGTGTCATGACTGGTTCTCTAGGACTCCTAAGCGACAGTATTCATATGCTGTTTGACTGTTTTGCTCTCGCAGTTGGCCTAGCTGCCGCTGTTATGAGCAAATGGCCTCCAAGCTCTCGTTTTCCATATGGCTACGGCAAAATTGACACGCTTGCAGGTTTTGGAAACGGTGTGTTCTTAATGTAAGTGTTATTGTTTAGAAGAGCGCGTCATGAACAAAGTTGTTGACAATCCTGCAGGATTATAAGCGTTGAAATCATATATGAGGCTGTGGAAAGGTTGATGTCAGGCAGCGAAGTGCACAGAATTGGTGACCTCTTTGTCGTAAGCTCCCTTGGCCTGGTTGTTAATATGGTCGGGATATTTGCATTTGACCATGCACATCATGGCCATGGCCATGCTGCGCACGACCATGACCACGGGCATGGGAACGAAAACATGCACGGTATATTCTTACATATACTTGCTGATGCCCTTGGGTCGGTAGCGGTAGTCTCGTCAACCGTACTGGTACACTTTTTTGGCTGGTCTGGATTCGACCCGATTGCATCATGCCTGATCGCTATTCTAATTTTTGTCTCGGCTATACCGCTTGTTATCAGTACGTCAAAGACTTTGCTTCTCGCATTGCCGGCGGACGTCGAATACAGCCTTCGAGATACCCTCGCCGGAGTTAGTGTCATGCGAGGGGTGGTTGGATATACTGTACCAAAGTTCTGGCTCGACGATACTGTTCATGACCATAATCACAAACATCATGGACATAGTCATAGTCATACTCATGATCATGCTGATCACGGTCATCAGCATACCCGCGGGGGAAGCCATGGCTCTTCGAACCACAGCTACAACTCTCATTCCCACTCTGATCAACACTGCCATACCCATGGTCACAGTCATAGCCACGGACACGGAAATGGACACGGACACGGACACGGACACGGCCATGGTCACAGCCATGACCACTCTCATAGCCACCTGGGCCACGGCCACGGCAATAGCAGGCGTGTCCTCGGCGTCATACACATCATTGCTTCCAAAAATTCAGACCTGTCAGATGTCCATTCTCGTGTGGCTAACTACTTAAGTGAGAAAGGAATGGATGTTCTAATTCAAGTCGAGAGAGAAGGCGATGGCAAATGTTGGTGTGGTGGAAGTAAATAACAGAGCTGTTCTGCGAAACTTTGGACAAATATCCCCTTGCCCTCACTTTTTCTTCTATGCCGCATTCAGTATGTTTGATATTCATGTACACTAAACCGGTTGGTAGTTACGTATCTCATCTGCAAGTGTTACAATTTCCTTTTTTCTCAGCATTATCAGATGAAAGCTACCAATGCTATGCCTAAAGGATGGGCCACTTCGCGGGAGGTGCGGTGTGGTTTGCGTAAAAAGATATAATTGTTAAAAAGGGTATATATTGAGGTCTGCAAGGTCATTGGGTATGTAACATAGAAAGCAATCAACGCCATAACCCCAACGCTGTGCATGGGCGAACAAAAATATTGAAGGAGAAAGAGATAGTGGTGGGTTTGAGAAGTGGTGAATCCTGAAATTATAGGAATGATTGGTCGTATGGCAGCATAAATTAATCAAGAGCCTCGTTCGAAGGCCTAGCGGGAATGATAAGGGTTTAGTCATCCCAGCTCTTCTCAACGGTCTCACGAACACGCTTGGTGTACTCTCGGCGGTTGTCTTTGTACAGATTGGAGGCTTCGACGTTGGCAGGAGACGAGGTGTTGGGGTCGTTCAGTAAGCTATGTGGGCAAGCCGCACAGGTAAGTAAGTTCCTAAGGCCGGGGATGGGGAGGGGTTCTGTCGAAACCCTTACCTCTGAATGCTAGTTAAGATGGCCGCAACATCGTAAGTTGGGCTCCAGCGATTCTGCAGGATGTCCAGACACAGCTCTCCCGTGCCGTAAACGTTTGGATGGAACATCTGGCTGACGAACTTGACACCTGGGGGTTTGTTCGGATACTGCTCCTCAAAATGCATCACCAGCCGGAACGTCCCATCCTCAAACGGGGTGTCGGCTGGCCCGATAATAACAGCATTCCTGGCCACTAGCGTTAGTACCCTTCCATCCATACAGCAACAGTCGTATGACTGGACATAATTTACCAGGTCATGACATTATCGGCGATGGGAGATGCGGAGACGCCAGCAGGAGGGTCGGTTTGCATCCGCTGCACCAAGCGAAGACATTAGTGTCAGCTAAAGCCCCAGTAGCAGACAAGCTGTTTATAGTAATAGCTGCAATAACACACCTTGAAGTCCCTCATGAGGCGACGGCGAGCTGAGGTAGACATGGCGGGGATGGAGATATCGGATGTCGAGATAGAGAGATCGATAGGCTAGACAACCCTGGCGGCTATTGCGATGATGCAGTACCCTGTCTTGCTGGTGGCTCACCTTCTGAGTCAAGCCTAAGGACGGTTATCTCTATCTTGTGGTTTGAGTGACTGTCTTCCTAGTTATCGTAGTACCCACACGAGCTCTTGTCTTCCTTTGTCTACTGTTCTTCTTGACTTTGTCCGGTGTCCTTCGTCTGTTTGCTGGATGTTTTTGTTCTCCTTCTTCCTTTTTCTCTTCTTTTCTTTTTTTCGACGTTCCAAATCTCGCCAAGAAATTGACTTATTATGCTGACTAATTGCGGATAAACGGTTCTCCCGAAAGACCGTTATTCCACGTGACGCTGAGTCATCTTCGGATTTCGGTACCGAATTCCCGATGATTTAACACGTGATCTCGGGTAACCTCGGCTTTTCTTTTTATGTTTTTCTTTTGGGGCCCGTAAAGCAGCAGGGGGAGCTCGGACCAGCAGAAACTCCCGAGTTTCTCCCTCACGGCAAAAAGACCTACAGTACGACAAGCGGAGAAGCAGAACCAGAAATATTTCATCTTGACAGAATCATACCCTGCTCGCCCAAGAGATATATATACTTACAAGACATCCGGGATCAGTGCTGGTTCTTCAGTTTGCTCTTTCGCCATTTCTCTAGGAACAGACAATGATGCGTACTTCCAGACAACTCGCCGGGCTTGCCAGCCGCGGCTCGGCGCTGCGACTTGGGCAGGTGCAAAGACATTTCAGCACATCCGGCGCTCTTCGACGGGAAATCCAGGACGCATATATTCTCGGTGCTGCTAGAACACCAACTGCAAAGGTGAGTCTAGGGCATTTGTGCAAATATACAGTTCTTAGGGCTGCTGGTTGCTGACGGATTGAGGGAACAGTTCAATGGCCCCTTCACCACGGTACCAGCACCGAAACTTGGTGCAGAGGCCATCAAGGCAGCTATCAGCAAATCCAAAGTTCCCGTCGAGAAGATCACCGATGTCTACATGGGTAATGTGCTCCAGGGCTCAGTCGGCCAAGCTCCTGCCCGCCAGGCGTCTATCTTCGCCGGCCTTCCCACGACTGTTGAAGCGGTCACAATCAATAAGGTGTGCGCCTCAGGCATGAAGGCGGTCGTGATGGCAGCACAGAACATCCAGCTCGGCCTTGCTGAGGCTCAGGTTGCCGGTGGAATGGAGAACATGTCCCGCGTGCCTTACTACCTGCCCCGCGCCAGCCAGCAGGCCCCCTTTGGAGACACCAAGCTAGAGGACGGGTTGGTAAAAGATGGACTGTGGGACGTCTACAACCAATTCCACATGGGTGTTTGTGCTGAAAACACGGCCAAGAAGCACAATATCAGCAGGGAGGAACAGGACGCTTATGCTATCCAGTCCTACGAGCGTGCCCAGGCCGCGTGGAAGGAGAATAAGTTTGACGATGAGATCACGCCGGTCACCGTCAAGACAAAGAAGGGAGAAGTCGTTATCTCCCGTGATGAAGGTTTCGAGGACCTACGTGCGGATAAGATCCGCAGCCTGAAGCCTGCCTTTGTCCGTGATGGAACTGGAACTATCACTGCCGGAAACGCCTCAACCTTCAACGACGGTGCATCTGCTCTCGTCATCACGAACGAAGCACTTGCCCGCGAGTACGGATCTGGTAATCGTGTGCTTGCCCGTATTGTTTCTCACGCAGATGCTGCTATTGACCCAGTCGACTTCCCCGTTGCCCCCGCAAAGGCCGTGCCGATTGCCCTAGAGCGGGCTGGTCTTACAAAGGACCAAATCTCCGTCTGGGAGTTCAACGAGGCCTTTGCTGCCGTCATCAAGGCTAATGAGAAGGTTCGTACCATATTCATATCTTTTAATTGCCGCCCATTCAGTTGTCACTTATGACTAACTTTCTTTGACCTTTACAGATCCTCGGCCTTGAGAACGCCTGTGTCAACCCTGTCGGAGGTGCCATCTCCATCGGCCACGCCCTTGGAAGCTCTGGCTCGCGGATCCTGACCACCCTTCTCCACCAGCTGCAGCCGGGCCAGTATGGCCTCGCAGCTATTTGCAACGGAGGCGGTGCCGCTACGGCCGTCGTTGTCCAGAGACTAGAGAAGGTTGAGTAAAGGCAGGGGAGGGCCCGATATGAATCATGTTTTTTGCATCTACCTGTGATATACCGCGGTTTTAGTTGACTAGTTAGAAGCGAGTGTATAAAATATTGCTTTTCTCCGTCCGTTTCGCTGTGTGTGCCAGGAACCCATGGCTCCGCCACCTGGCTCAGGTCCAGGGGTAACTGACGGGTTAAGCCAGGAACCAACCTAGGGTTTATACCACATATTAACCTGCACGTCGGTATCTCCAAGCATAATGGCCGATGATGCTGTCCTTCTAAAACAGTTACCCAGAAGAAGTACACTGCTTGCATGTCGTCGTCTGGCGTCTGAGTTGGCGCTTGTTCGCGTGTGTTGAGGGCGATAAACTCACGTGGGTCCCTCTCCCTCTGCCAACCCCTTGGGCTGCCGCTTCGTTCGAACCTGGAAAATAAATATTGAACCAGTTTCTTCAGCCGGCAAGGAAAACAACGATAAAAACGACACCTGCCCCTTTTTATTACTATTATTTAAAATTGATGTATTTCGGGATCGTCTGCTCTGGCCATATCTTAGCTGTTACTTCTTAAGGCTCCCCGCTGGCGGACAGGGTCGCTGTCTGGCAAGCTCGGTGTCCCTCTCCTGATTAAAGAGCCGCCCGAGGACGCTCCCTCGAAACATTCGCGATCATGGCGTGAGTCAGTCAGAATAAAATTGTGATAAAGACCATAATGAGAGGCTGACAAGCATGTTTTCGGGCGATAAACAGTTCCGGCGCCTCTGGAGGCTTCAACACCATCAAGGGTGTGTGGCTATTATCTTGCCCCCAGGGAACTCTGCTTGCACAGGCTAGCTAACTCATGCGCCATTTGATTCCTATAGTCGTTGCACGGTTTAGGCCACAGAACAAAGTTGAGATTGCCAATGGAGGCGAACCGATCGTGGATTTCGAATCTGAGGAGACATGTAGGATAAACGTACATTTTTCCCTGTTCCCCTGTTGGCGGTGAAGCTTGCTGGTTAAAGGAAGAAGAACAGGAGAGATAAAGACATATGGCTAACCAAACTGGTATTCATGAAATAGTCAAAAGAGGCCTCGAGTCCCTTTACATTCGACCGCATATTTGACATGAACTCGAAACAATCAAATGTGTTCGATTTCTCGATCCGGTCGACTGTTGATGATATTATGAATGGCTACAATGGAACTGTGTTTGCGTACGGCCAGACAGGAGCGGGAAAGTCCTACACCATGATGGGATCCGACATTGATGACCCGGATGGCAAAGGAATCATACCCCGTATTGTTGAGCAGATATTTACCAGTATCCTGACCAGCCCTGGCAACATCGAGTACACCGTGCGTGTCAGCTACATGGAGATATACATGGAACGGATAAGAGATCTGCTGGTACCACAAAACGACAACCTACCTGTTCACGAGGAAAAATCAAGGGGTCTTATGTCAACGGGCTGCTTGAAATTATATGTGTCGAGTGTGCAAGAGTGTTGAAGTGATGAGACGGGGCGACGCTTCGAGGGCAGTTGCAGCAACGAATATGAACCAGGAATCGTCTCGCTCACACTCGATCAACGAGATCACCATTACCCAGAAGAACGTCGAGACCGGGTCGGCCAAGAGCGGTCAGCTTTTCCTCGTTGATCTTGCTGGCAGCGAAAAGGTGGGCAAGACCGGTGCTAGTGGGCAGACACTCGAAGAAGCGAAGAAAATTAACAAGAGTTTGAGTGCCCTGGGAATGGTTATTAATGCTCTCACTGATGGCAAATCTACTCACATCCCTTACCGAGATTCAAAGCTCACTAGGATATTGCAAGAAAGTTTGGGGGGTAACTCCCGAACAACACTGATTATCAACTGCTCTCCAAGTAGCTACAACGATGCGGAGACACTCAGCACTCTTCGGTTCGGTGGACGAGCAAAGGCCATCAAGAACAAGGCGAAGATCAACCAGGAACTGAGCCCAGCGGAGCTCAAGCACCTTCTCAAGAAGGCCCAGAGTCAGGTAACTACTTTTGAAACCTATATCTCTGCTCTGGAGAATGAAGTACAAGTATGGCGAACCGGAGAAAACCCTCCAAAGGAGAAATGGACCACCTTGCGATCAACGGACACAGTAGGAAGCCTCAAGGCGGATGCCCGTGCTCCCCGTCCAGGAACTCCATCCCGACTGCAGTCCGATATATCTCGATCGGAGACACCGAGTCGGCCAGACTCGAGGTTTGGAGACCGTTCAAGCACACCAAGTATTGTGCTGGAACGAGATGAGCGAGAGGAATTTTTGAGGCGAGAAAATGAACTACAGGACCAACTTGCAGAGAAGGAAACATACATTGCCAATGCAGAAAAGGATGTCCAAGAGAAAAAAGAAGAGCTCAAGATCCTTAAGGAGAACACTGTCCGGACTGGTAAGGATAATGAGAAGCTGAATGCGGAGGTCAACGAGCTCCGGATGCAGCTGGAGAAGGTATCATACGAGAGCAAGGAACAATCCATAACCATGGATACGCTGAAGGAAGCGAACTCTGAGCTCACGGCTGAACTAGACGATCTCAAGCAACAGCTTCTTGACGTGCGCATGCGCGCCAAGGAAACGAGTGCAGCCCTGGACGAGAAGGACAAGAAGAAGGCAGAGCGGATGGCTAAGATGATGGCTGGGTTTGACATGAAGGTGGATGTATTCTCTGAGAACGAGCGCAAGATACGACAGTTAATCGAGCGTGTAGATAGCCTGCATGCCACCAGCTCAGCAGGCGAGGCGGTCTCCCCGGAAGAGTTCGTTGAACTAAGAGGAAGCCTGGTGGAAGCTCAAGGGGTTATCAGGCAAGCTGAGCTTGCCATGACCAGCCGTGAAGAAGGCCTTAACGGCGCATTTGATGGCAAGCTGCTGGATAAAATAGCTGCCCTTCAGCAAGAGGTCGATGACCTTCTCGAGCAACACCTTGGCGAGGATGATATCTCAGAAATCAAAGAAAAGCTCAGCCAAGCATGCTCTGATGGGAGCGAGCTGGAAAAGATGGCGATGGAGCATCTGAGGCGTGAGCTTTCCCTCAGAGACGAGGAGCTTAGCCGTCTGAGACAGTCTGTCGCCGACTCTACCGCCCGTCCCCAGACCAATGGATCACCTGTTAATGCAGGGGCCACTACAACCATCAACAGCAAGACCCTACAGCAGCAGATTGCCGATTTCGACATCATGAAGAAATCTCTGATGCGCGACCTGCAGAATCGTTGTGAGCGGGTTGTCGAGCTTGAAATATCTCTAGACGAGACCCGTGAGCAGTACAAACAGGTTCTGCAATCATCCAACAATCGTGCACAGCAGAAAAAGATGGCATTCCTGGAGCGCAATCTCGAGCAATTGACCCATGTACAGCGCCAACTGGTTGAACAGAACGGCAGTCTCAAGCGGGAGGTCGCCATAGCTGAGCGGAAGCTGATAGCCAGAAACGAACGAATCGAGAGCCTGGAGACGCTTCTCCAGGAGAGCCAGGAGAAACTAACTGCTGCCAACCATAGGTACGTTCCAAATAACTGTATAGATATGTTGACTTACGAAGCTTACTCATCTCTTCTTTCTCTACTCACAGGTTCGAAGCACAGCTCACAGCCGTCAAGGAGCGCCTGGAAGCTGCCAAAGCTGGCTCTACCAAAGGCCTTTCCTCAGACTCGACCGGCTTCGGCTTTGGAGGCTCGAGGATAGCGAAACCACTCCGTGGCGGCGGCGGTGCAGATGCCCCATCCAACTCCACCCTGTCCGGCGTGCAGGCACAAGAGTCCTCGACGAGTGCCGGCCCAAAACGTACCAGCTGGTTCTTCGATAGAAGATAAGTTGCCAGTGCTTCTTAGTATTTTATTCTCCCTTACGCCTGTTATGCCCCCTGGTTAGTGTTGGTAGTTTTTGGTATTTTCAATTTTGATATATAAAGTATTTTCTTGTCTTTGGAAGAGGCTACAGCATCCCCAGTTTTCCTACTAGTTAATAAACAAGGGATGACAGCCCAGCCCATCCCCCAGTCTTTTATAAATACCTATCTTTCGACTCCTTTCATCAGCAGCATCAGCCTCATCATCGTTTTCTTCTTCACCTCCAAGGTCCCTCTTTGCTTATTCCGGATTAGTCATCTCCCCGCCCCGGCTCTCCGCATTCTTCCCCGGATGTTGGAGTCCGATGCATATATAAATCGGCTTTTGTCTCCATTTCTCCTCTTTTACTCCCTTCCCCCTGTGGCATGCATTTATATGCATGAATAGTCCGGGTTATTGGCATTTGCACAAGGCAGAAGTCTGCAGTAAACATGGGCTCCAACCAGTCGAAACTGCAACAAGCTCCAGAGCGCAACAAGAAGGCCGCGGCAGCGATGGACATGTCAGGCATAATGCAACTCAGCGACGATGAGTTTGTTCACATCGAGACCGGTGCTCGTAAGTACAGAGCCGCTTGTTCACCTATTATGCTCTGACGCAGGTCCTATGCTGAATGGTTTGCTTTAGCACCGCCTCCCTACTCTTCCACTCGCGAGAGATACGTCAAACTCTCGACCCAACAGGCAGATACATGGGAGAGGGAACTGCTAGCGGACCCCAAGGTATACTGCATATGGTAGCGAGGAAGATCTAGTAGATAATCAGAGACAATTCTGATCTCGTCCGCACTATAGAACCGCCTTGCTATGTCGGCGCTTTCATCTAATCCGGTGTCGTCCATTCTGAACAGTCGTTCCGCAGGAATTTTGGATACCCAAACCTTCAATATCAAAATCCCGTTTGAAGGGAGCCCGATCACGAGTCAGGCGTCTTCTGGCAGGTGCTGGATCTTTGCTGCCACGAATGTGTTCAGGGTTGCCCTCATGAAGAAATACAACTTAGACCAGTTCGAACTTAGCCAGTCATACCTCTTCTACTGGGATAAACTTGAAAAAGCCAACTGGCTTATGGAACAAGTTATTGACACCGCTTCACAGTCTTTGGATAGTAGGCTGGTACAACGGCTACTAGATAGCCCTGCGGAAGACGGTGGCCAGTGGGATATGGCCGCAAACCTTGTTCAAAAATATGGACTGGTGAGATTCCTGAGCCTTAACCCCTCTTCATCTTAAAATACAGGCCATTAACCTCGTCTATGGCAAAGGTCCCTCAATCGCTGTACCCTGACTCCTTCAGCTCAAAAAACAGCAGTGAGTTGGGAAAGATTTTGACGACCAAACTACGGGAGCATGCCTTGATTCTCCGCCGTATGGCCCGTAGTAAAGAGCCATCATGCCATACATCCATTGCAGATGCTAAGGACGGGTTTCTGAAGGAGATTCACTCTATTCTTACAATCATGCTTGGCCCTCCCCCTTCTGCTGACCGGAAATTCGATTGGGAATATTATGACGCCAAGGGGAAGTTCCACAAAGTCTCCATGACTCCTATTCAGTTTGCAGCTGGGCTTTCGGACCGTGAGGGTGTGCGTGCCAACCAAGGAACCGATGTGAACCAACTTTTCAGTTTGGTGAATGATCCGCGGAATGTCTATGAACGTCTCTTGACGGTTGAGCGACTTGGGAATATCGTGGAAGGGCGATCAATCACATACGTGAACGTATCCATGGATGTAAGTGATATTCCATCCCAACGCCCTCGTTCTAATACTGAATGAAAGGATGAATAGGATTTGAAACGAGCAGCCGTTGCTATGCTTCACGCCGGACACCCTGTGTTCTTTAGCTGTGATGTGAACAAATTTTCTGACCGCAAGCGAGGAATCATGGACACAGCTCTGTATGATTATTCTCTGAGCTTTAACATCGAGTTTGGTATGTCAAAGGCGGACAGACTTAGAACTGGCGAGACCGCAATGACGCATGCCATGATCCTAACCGGAGTGCATGTTGAAAACGGCAAACCTGTCCGCTGGCGTGTTCAGAACTCATGGGGGCCAGATGTAGGTGACCACGGCTGGTTTGTCATGACGGACAAGTGGATGGATGAGTTCCTCTTCCAGGTGGTTGTCGACCAGCAGTATGTATCGCCGAAGATACGGAATGTATTAAAGCAAAAACCCATCGTTTTACCCCGTTGGGACCCCATGGGCACTCTCGCATGAATATAGAAGCTCCACAATTACCCCTTGCAGAGGCAGCTGTCGTTAATGACCTCGTTTTTCTGAGCTTCCTCATCGTTGTTAGCGCTTGATGTCTGTCTTGTATATACGTTGTCTAAAGTACAAACAAACTTTAAGTCTCTATTAATAATGCGGGCTGGCAACGTGTTTTAGTTGCGGTCACGTTTGACGTATATCCAGTTGGCAAATAAAAATGCCCGAATTTTAAACTCATCATGACTGTCTCGATATCAGCCCGCAAACACTCGCCACGTGACGCGCCCTCCGCAACTTTTCTCTTGATGTGAACAACCGATAGCTTCATTGCGAGATTCAAATAAGCAAGCAGCCGCTCCCCTTATTTTTATGAGCTGGATACGTCGAGTTGTTAAAATGGCAGAAGAAACCGGTGCAAAGAGACTAAAGTCGCCCCCCCTGATCGGCACCCACAAGTGAGTTCTCGATAACCCTCTAGGTAGTTAACTAAGGCGCGACCATCTGTCTGAACAAATTACCAACACATGCAACTCTCTAGCGGCCACTTCCATGCCGATGAAGCGCTTGCTGTCTATCTTCTCCGCCTGCTACCAGCCTACTCGACATCCCCCCTCATTCGAACCCGCGATCCGGCTCAATTAGCCACCTGTCACACTGTTGTTGACGTGGGAGGGGTGTACGATCCCTCCCAGAACCGATATGACCACCATCAACGATCTTTTGATACAACATTCCCACAGCACCAGACCAAGCTGTCTTCTGCTGGATTAGTATACATGCACTTTGGTAAAGCAATAGTAGCCCAGCATATGGGGCTCTCCACCGACCACCAGGACGTCAACACTATTTACGAGAAGCTTTACGCAGATTTCATTGAAGCACTTGATGCACACGACAATGGAATATCTGTCTACTGCCCCAAGACCATATCCAATGCGGGCCTAGAGAAACGATTCCGAGACGGCGGAATCAACCTTGGTTCGTTAATTGGTGATATGAATCTCTGTGGGCCAGGTGAGAAACTAGACGAAGACACACTTTTCGCTAGGGCCAGCACTTTCATCGGAGAGACCTTTTCGAGGAAGCTTCATGCCGCCAGTAGCAAATGGTTGCCGGCTCGCGCCACGGTCTCACAGTCTTATCACTCTCGCTTGGAAGTTCACCCTTCGGGAAAGATATTACTTTTAGAGAGTTCGGGAATCCCATGGAAAGAACATTTGTACCGCTTGGAGGAAGAGGCCAGCAATTCAGCTACAGAAAATGTGAATAATGAAGTCTTCTATGTCATATACCCAGAGTCAAAGGCCGAGGATACCAACTGGCGCGTTCAGTGTGTTCCAGTTAGTGAGAGCAGTTTCGAATCCAGAAAAGCACTGCCAGAAACATGGCGTGGTGCGCGGGACTCAGAGCTTGATAAGATTATAGCTAAGGAGATGGAAGAAAAACAGCGAGAAGAGATACCTGAGGGAGCTATTTTTGTCCATGCTAGTGGCTTTATTGGAGGACACAAAAACAAGACAGGGGCTCTTGCGATGGCCTTAGAAGGCCTTAACTAGTAACTATATTTCGACTGGTCTCTTTTTAGCACGGCTGGTATGGAGTATATTATTACTGTCTTAATACAAAAAGCCAGGTCAATATTGCTCATTGAACCAGCAACTTTGCCTTGAATACTCCGTAGTCTTTGGCTAAATCGTTATTTTCATTCCCACGTTTAACCTTAGTGACCTGCACTTTCATATTTCTATAAATTCCGACTGAAACCCGAAAGGTATACTGACTACCGGGCTCTATATATACTCGTTATCTTCTAGAATATCAGTCTACCCGAACAATCCTGCCATCCACCACTGGGGCTATGGCCCGAGTCCATGGCGGCAAATGGTCCTTACCACCCTGTTCGACAGTTTTAACTCGGTTTGGATCAACTCCTATCTTTCTTCGCCACTTCCTGAGTACTTTTCTTGCAACCAGTTCTCTGTGGTCAGCATCGTCCGGGGACAACGCATGGGATGTGACATAATTACGGGGACGGAGAAGTGATTCTGAATGGGAATCAGACTCGGAATCCAGGGGTGTGTCAGTCTCTTTTTGGCTCAGAGCAGTGGCGCCAGGCTTCCGATTTACTAATGAAGCCGCTGTCATGGGGTCGGTCGCTTGGGCAACCCGTGGCTGAGATGCATAACGGAAGCTCGTTTCGGAAGGAGTTCCGGCCGTAGGAGCAGCGCGGCTTGGTGGAGGAGTCAGTTCCTCTGACTCGAGCTTTTTGTGGACATCCATCCAGTGCCGGTCCAGGCTGCGACTGAGGCGATTCCATTTTCCCAGGATCTTGTTACTTAGGAAGTACTGCCGGAGCATAGTGCTGAGCAGAAGGCCATCTTCTTCGGACACAATCTCCTCTGCCTCGCCTCCCTCGCTCTTGGTGAGTAGCGAGGCGAAACCATCCTTCCCTCTAGCCATGTAACCTCTCGTTGAGACAGTGTACAACCTACCATCTTCGAGATCCTCATCGTTCACTTTTGCCCATAAGATACGGGAACCGGGCGATTTAGACATAGAGAAGGCGAATTTGATGTTTGATACCTGCGGGAACCGTCCTTCAAGGGCAGGAAGCTCGCTGACGCCGTTTTCCAGCGCCAAACGAAGAGCTTTGCCCGTAATGCGGATAACTACCACAGGATCTTCAAAAGGGAAACAATTGAGTACGTCTTTCACTCTAAGAATCCCAGGTGGATATATTTGGTCTCCGCGAATGGTCCCGGCAGCCATGATTGCGCAGTCCGCGTTGTGGTAGTATCTCATTAGGTCGCATACAAAGTTTCCTAAATTCGATTCTTGGGTGCGGACGGTAGTGAACCGGCCGTCGAGTGGAGTGATCGTGTATCCGATAGGCTTCTGCAATTTCCCCTTAAGGGCTGATGTGAGCTTATCTACAAGCTTAACAGTCTCTGGGTCTTTGGGCAGGCTGCGCGTAACGTCCCGCCGGGTGATGTTGAAATCCCAACCGGAACCAGACTGCCTTTTCCAAGCTTCGATATAGCTTAGCTGTTTGAAATCGGTTCCGGAACGTAAAACATGCGTAGAGTTGATGAAGCTGTGACTGTAATAATGGTCATGGCCGCCTAAAATGATATCCACCAGGCCAGGGGGAATTTTCTCCGCGAGCTTGTTGTCATTTGGCTCTCTCTGATGGGTGACGGCAATGACTATGTCTGCACCTTGTTTGCGGAGGGCAGGAACTAGCTCATTTGCTGTTTCTGACGCAGACTTGTATATAAGATTTGGAGGTAGGTAGTTGATAGTAGCGAGCCTATCGGTGCCTCATCAGTAGGTTGCTTCTGGCAAGGTGCAAAAGGAACCAACATACCACTCCCTTTCACCCAAGCCAATGACTCCGACCTTTATTCCGTTTGAAGAGACGAGCATGCAGGTCTTCTGGCAATTTGCCATGGGTTCCCCTTCGCCCAGGGCCGGGTCGAGCACATTTGCGAGCAGCCACGGGAATTTGCACTGAGATCTGAGATGCCTGAACTGCGCAATTCCAAAGTCGAGATCATGGTTCTATCCTCCTCCGCTAACCGTTTAGCCATTGTCACCTAGTTGCCATGAGGGACAAAACTAGTTATGGCGGGTATTAGAGGGAACGTACACCGACACAGGCAACATCTGTTCCCACATGGTTAAGAAACGGAACCATGTGCTGACCCTTCGTGATGGTGCTCTCGAGACTCGGGTTGAAAGCATCGCCGGAGAAGAAGGTGAGTATCAAGGGCTGCCCGGAGAAGCTGGGGTCGGATCGATAGTGGTTCACCAAGGTCTGGAACCGCGGGGCGCCGCCGCAGGGCTCTGATGAGGAGGCTCTGGACAAGTTGTCAGTACATTCTTCGCATTCAATAGGTACTCTCAGTAGGAGATATATACAAACTGTATAGACTTACTCGACATGATAGACGTCGTTGTAGTGCAGGAGTCGCAGGTCAGGGGGGCCGCGTCTGCCGCCGTCGAAAATCAAGGTGCCTCCGCTGGCCACCGTCTGTGGCGGCTTACTGGTGTCCACTGGCATCTCCTTTATATACAAGGACTGCCCGCTGGATGGATATATTCGCCGGGTGAGTGAGTTGCCTTGCGCTAACTGTGGTGTAGGTGGCCAGTAGTTTGTAGTTGAGTAGTTGTTTGTAGTTGGTCAAATGTCGCTTTGTATTCCCAATTAGACTATAACTAACTAGTTAACGGTAGTTACCAGCTGGGTACTCCGTAACTAGCTAGCAATTCATTGCAAAGTTCCAGCCCGCCACGTCACTTAACTTAGGTAGTTTAATTGCAAGGTTAATTGGCTGCTAATTACTGTACGCCGTATCTATTTATTTATCAACTGGATGCCAAAAAGGCAACATTATGTAATTTTTTAGTTTATCCTAAGCATCTTCATCCTCTTCCTTTGCTAACGAAACTTAACACACTTTGATTCAATAGTTAGTTAACTAAATTAACTACCATTTGGCTATAGTTAAAGTTAACAAAAAATCCCATGTTAATAGGCGGTAGATAATATCTGATGTTCCTCTGGATGTACTCGGCATTCAAACTTCTTGAGTTATTACACCCAGGTTACCTAGGATGACCGGATGATTCTGTATCTAACCATTAGATCTAAGTAACAATTCGCAAAGCAGGCCCACTTACAAGTCGCGCATAAAATCCTGTGATCGGCGAAGATTCTGTACCCTTTACGGTACGAAAGAATCATCAAAATTGCATCTCTGGCGAAAAAGTTGCCTCGCGGCGGTAGTTTGTATGGATCTGGTTGGAAGAAGTTAGAATACCTGGCTACTCTGAGCTGATGGATGTGAAACTTACTCGGATCCCACTGAGTTCACAATACCTTCGACAGTGTATATCAACCTGGTTTATCACTCCCCCCCCTCTCAATTTTGAAGTCAATCTTTAGATCTGCTCTGCTGTCAAACGGTTCCCCGCATCGCAATAGATTATCTGGAAACGGTCCTGCCTCGCCCAACGTATGGACACGGCGGCCGTCGACTTCCGTGTTATATATAAAATCTATACCGCAAAGCCGGTGGTAATCAAATACCCAGGCAGTGATTTGAATGAGCTTTTGAGATGTGAGCCCCCTAATCCACCGAAAAGGAAAGTGGTCAGAGGTGCATATCTGTGAGCTTCACCAGTGGGATTCCGGAACGACGATTCGTTTAAACACAGGCAAGAGTCAGGGACCTCTGGATACCATTGAGAGGTTTCCCTAAGGCCTAGACGGCTGTCATTGGAAAGTTCCTTATTGATTGCTGGCGAGTCACTGCTGGGAGCACCCAAAGACACCATTTTAAATCCCTTCTTATTATCAGCATGGTAGAGACTAGGGTAGGGCGCATTCTATTTTACTTACATCAAACCCGGCTTTCAAGACGAAGTTACTCGAGAACCTGATGAGCAGCCTTGTTTTTAGAATGCCTTCTGGGTGGCCATGCCATAACCCACCCTCGCCGGGCCCAGATTCAGAGCTCGAGAAGAATACTGCTCAGAAACCCCTAGAGTCAACTGCCAAGTAAATGTAGTATTCTCCCGTAAAGTAACTCCCTTTAGGTTCAGCCAAAGCCTCACTCTGAGGGAAAATGTACCCAAGTCTGACATCTTCTCCACTCTCTTGACAAAATTGCAGCCCCGAAATATGTTTGGTATCATTAAAAGTAACAAATGAAATGTAGATTCTTGTGATATTGCTAGAAATTTGCGCAGTACGAGTCCACAGTGCTCGGCACCCCTGTAAAAAGGAACGACTATGCATTTGTAACACGCCACCTGCATAGTTGTACGCCACGCTATCCGCTGGCGCATCGGCTTCAAAAAATGACCTTGATGGCCGGCCGTCAAGAAGCACCCCGGAGAACGCACAAAGTACTGTTTTTAACCGGAGAAGTATATTACATATGCGTTGTCTATTCCCCAAGTAGGGGTCTGTTTGAAGCCATTTCACTTGCAGGTACAGGGACTTCCAGTCGAACTGTTTTTCACGGTATTGTCGAGCTTCAAAGACGTGATCAAACTCGAATCCTTGTTCAAAACGTGAGGCCCAGAAGGCATTGGGTAGGACTAGAGTAGCAAATACAGCTGAAGATAGTTTCAGACTCAAAACATCATAGGATGGCAAAAGAAGGACGATCTCATGCAAGATTTCAATGGGAAGGGAACTGAAGATGTCTGGGCGGCTAGAGGTGCATTCGTGATCCTTGCATGAGGTTTGACTGCCAGGTAGTTTGGTATTATTTCTGGTGCCATTGCACCTATTGAGTGCCTGCTTTAACGGTGGTATACTCAAAGGGCCAGCAAGGTGCAGTCGCTCGTGGGGAAGTTGCATGCCTGGCGCAATTCTTCCGCTAAGAAGAGGCTCCTCGCCAGGGAAGAGAGGCTCGAGAGTCGCAGAGTATTCAAGCAATCCTCCAAAATCATGGCCCCAGTGTAAAATCCCCAACTTAATCGGAAAGGACCTGCATAGACGATTAAGAGTAGAGATATCGACACGATTCGGGTAATGCAGCTCTTCCAACAGCACCTAGCAGGAAGCGTGAACTGGGAAGCCCTAGGCCCACGATGGGGTATCGGGGGGAGGCACGGCAAGACTGCGGGTGCCAAACCGAGACGTGCACAACTCGATATTTCTCAGAGATGTCCCGTTGAGGTTTGGGCCATCATAGCGCATGGTGGGGCTTACTGGCACCATGTCCGGGAAACGTGGCCTTACGCCCACGCCTGAGAGATGGGGGCTATCCCAATCCTCATCTTGAGTGAAGACTAGTTATATCTATCAGTACGACGCGTCTCTTTACCAATTTTCAATGCTGACTTGCCTACTCGCACGGAACTCGTTTTGCCAAGGGGAGTCATCCGGCCCTACAGCGACCCCACAAATGATGCTGTTGGCCTTGGTGAGAGACATTGTAGAGAGTAATCGTTAAATAAACAAAGAAGGCACAATTATGATTCCTGAGGTCGGAAACTGTCTGTTAACGTTGTTGTCGTTGTTGAGCCTGAGCAGCGCTGGAGCCTAAACCTTAATCTAGTAACATGTTATCAAATATATATAGCTTAGTCAGCCTCTATCTGGTGGAGCTTAAAATGGCAAGCGCCAAGGAAAATGAGGTCATTGGTTGGCCCTGTTAACTACCTAGCTGGCTACTACATAGATTATAGAGGCTAGAGAAAGGCGCTTAGGCGGGAAATTTTACATTTCTCCACGCGTAAATTTCAGCTCCTGAGCGACCCCCAATTACCTGGTTGCGAGCATGGGCTTAACCAACAATGTCAAAGTTAACTGTCCTAATAACTAGGTTGTTCTATCGAGAGAGTTAAGCGCTGGGCGGAACGGGCTAAACCTTCCAACCAACAACAACAACCACCACCACTTAGTCTTCCTCTTCGCCCGATTCAAGGTGCCTTGGTGCATACGCCGCTTTTCCGTTGAATCTACTCTCCTCCCCACACCAGCGCTAAGTGAGACGGTTTCTAACTACGGCTGGATTGTCTACAGGCCCTGCATCGATTATCCGGGCCTGCCGAATAATTTCACGCGTTATACCCATTGGGGGCCGCTACCCACCTGGCACCGCGGAGGCTGCTGTTCAGACTAGTTACATTATTATCATCAATCGCAAGGGGAAAAACCCGGAGCACTTGAAACGCTGCTATTCTATGTTGCTCACCCTCCTGGGGTAGAAGTATATCCCTCTTTAAATATGCCTTCACGTCTCCCTGCCCAGGAGCCCGTGGAAGGGACGGTATATAAACCCCTGTGAAAACTTGTGACCCCGCAAGCTGATGTTTGAATCATATAACTAACTAGTACATGGAAAATGAGCATATGCGGTGGTTCATCGAAAACTCGCTTAGGCCTGAGAAATCTGAGTCAAACAGGGGCGTATGGAACACCATTCTCACTTCTTCCTTCCTACCGTGGAAGGATACTAGATGACCTCACAGTCATCGGGACACGTCAGTAGTCGACTGCGTTGTGACTTCCTTGTTACGCGCAGAATAGTCACCCACAGAACTACGATCTACAAGTTCCTGGTCGTTGAATGCAAAGCAGCCACTGGCCTTGAAACTCAGCCTTCAACCTGGCGGGCGGCTGAGACACAGCTGAGTGACTCTCTTGACATGGTTGGCGAAGCGCCTCCAAGGAGGACATTTCGTGTAATTGTCATGGGCAGGATTCGTGCGTTTTTATGAGTGGATCAAGTCACATGTTACCGCGCAGGGACAACTCGTCTCAATCGACCGGGGTACCGGACGCCCTTTTAATCAACCGCCAGTGCCAAACAGTGACTCGATAGCTGACCTATATACGTGAAAATTACCTCTGAAGTTTTTCCACCTTCCTTTTGGCATAGTAAGTTACTAGAATACTCATCTTAATCGATTTTAGCTGATTTTCCCGTTTACTGTCTCTATTCCTTGTTTCCCCTCCCCCCTGTTGGCCATATACTGTACGGGGTACTTTCATCTGAATTGCTCCTTAATTCATTTCCGCCCCCTCTCTTTCTGCCTTTTCTTTTGTTCTGTCCCATTAATCCCTATTCTATAGTTACATCAATGTCAATAATTTCCATTGCTAACTAAAGCCATATACCTATAATTATAGAACTTTTCTAAATAGTAGGTCAATACTATAAGGTACGGCGGACGATAATTAGCATACGCTCAAAATTCGTTTTTAGTAAGATATGCAAAACATAGAGAGAGGAGATTAATAATAAAGGCTTTGATATTTTGTTTAGTATTCAATTAAATAAAATGCTGTTACATAAGTTTATGATATAGAGAAAAATTAAGCTTATGCTAAATATTGTCTATATATAATGGCTTAGTATTCACTAGTTATGTGACAGATTAATAATTAATAATAATAATTAATAATAACTAACAGACTGCCTATTAGTCTCTATACTTAATTAAATTTTATCCAAAGTTGCCTATAAGGTGCTTATATGCCCAAACTACTGGCTCTGCCGACTTTAACCTTGATTATAATTCGGTATTAAAGTTGCAGTGATAAGTAAGTCCAAAATTCAAATACCCAACCGCCAATAATATTGATGGTTAACTAGTAAATATATACATCTGCTTAGCTAGTCCAAGCAGAGAAATATGTAAAGCGAAGTGTAATAATAAATATATACAGTGGAATTTCTCACTCACGAAAGCCACGTTAGGCAATCGTAAAGCCGGCGGCATATCATTTAGCAGTTGACATAGATAGCTATATATAATGTTAGTTAAGGGTGAATACAAACAGGTTGCTTAACATACCGTTGGCAAAAAGGGCGTAGTTGTCAGCATTCTGGACAGCCTTAGCAGCTGGGAGGGAGATACACTGCTGGTAGCCGTAAGCGTAGTCCTGGCAATGTGGGCTAGCAACGGCTGGGTTGTGGGTGAATTCGTGGAGGGTGGTGGTAGCCTGGTCCTGTGCATGGCACTGCTTGGTGAGCGGAGGCAAGTTGTAATAGATCGGGCAGTTGACAACTAGATTACGGGATGGGAGGGTGTAGGCAAGGACGCGAGGCTTGCAGCCACCCATAGTATCAGAGCAGTAGTAGGTGGTGACACCGGCGTTGGCAGAGCTAGATTCGCGGGCAACAGAGTTGAGGCGGGCAATTACTCTCTGTTTAGCGTTAGCATCATTGGTACGGAAGTACTCCTGGAACTTGCGAGGGTTCTGTGAGGCGGCACGGGAGGCAGCCTGGGCAAGGCGGGCAGAGTTTCCAAGAGCATTCATGGTGGCACGGAGGGTGTTCTGGTTGCAAGAGCCGGAAACAATCTTAGTGCGCTTCTCAAGGGCTCTGGCGTGGATAGACTGCATTTCAGGGGTGAAGTTCATGGCCTGCTCGACGGCGGCAGCCTGAACACCATCAACTTCCATATGGAGCTCGTTAGACTCGTATAGAGCGGTGGATGTGATAGTAGTGCTATGCTCCTCGGCAGTTGGGACGGCACCACTGGCACTGATCACATACTTTCCACCAGCACTGAGATCGTGGGTGGCAGCGATGTCGAAAGTGTGCTCAACGCTTGCCTGGGGGGGAAGGGTAGTAAAGAACTCTTCGGTAAGATCGCTCATGAGGTATCGTGGCATCATTCCAGTGAAAGGAACCTCGACACCTATCCCCATGTTATAATGAGCTTTGAATAGAAAAGCAGGTATAGAGGGGACTAACCGTCCTGGAAGACCATGACTTTGCGGGTAGGATTCTCGTCCATGATGGTGTTAAACTGGAGCATGTTCAAAACGGAGTCGCCCTTGTTGGTAATGGTAGCTTTGACCATCGTGTTTCCAACAGCGGTAAGCTGGACGTCGACAAGAGTTTCGTTCATGGGAGCATGAGGGTAGGCAGCAGCTGGGGCCACCAAGGCACCCAAAGCTGCGAGGACAGCAACAAATTGCATTATGGAAAGCTAGTGAAATAAACGAAGATGGAGGAGGGAGATTGAATCAGATGCCTCTTGTTGGTGTTTTCTATGTGCTTTTTCAACCTTTCTTTCGTCCAGAGAAAGTGCATCCCACATACTATATATAAGTATCACCGGCGACGGATTTTCCCGTAGTTGAGGATAATCTCGGCACAAGAATTATAACTCTAAAAAAATCCAGCCATGACCAGTTTAATCCAGCGGCCCGGGAAGGGGGAGGGTTGGGGACGGAAACCAGCTATAAAACAACTCGACTAGCTCGTTTAACCAGACTCCCAGGGGTAGTTTGGGGTTGAATCGGGCCGGCTACACTGGGCGTTTGAGGGGAGGACAAGCTTCCGAGAGCCGGACAGCATACTCAGCATCTAGATGTGGCAGATGTATATGATACTCTGTGGAGTTCCACCCAAAGGTCAGTCCATGCCTTGACCAGGATCCGCTCTGCCGAGGACGGAAGAAACGGGAAGGTTGAAACAAGCATATGACAGGGACTAAGCGCCTTGGGGCCTGCAGAGGAAGTGGAGGAAGGGGTATTGATGTTCATGATAGTCGATGATGTTTGTGGAAGAAACTAGAGGGTCGGCCCAGCGATCGTTCGCTGATCTCGTTAACTAATTACCTAGTTAGCGACTCGCCAAGCGATCGCCTAGGCGGCAAAGAACAGACGATGTCTTGTCTCGTTATCAAGTCGAGCTAGCAAAAGCCACCCTTTACAATTAGACTCCAACTCATCGACCTTGAAGCTGTCGTTCGATTAAATGTCCCAGGGAATCGCCGGTTCGGCCCCGGCTCGTTAGTTAGCGGGCCCGAGAGTAGGCGAGGCTCACGGAGATGAAGCCTGGGGCCAGGTATTCCAGGGTGGGAGGAACCACATTTGGGGTCATTTTAACTATGTATGCACAGCCAATGGAGCCGAGTCCTGTGGAGAGGGCGGTGCTCGGCCTCTGGCAGAGGGCATATCCCGTGGAGATGCTACAGGTCACTATCGTGCGATAGAGGCAGCAGTGATGAGGAGGTGGGGGTGGGGGTGAACAAAGGAGTATGGGTAGGTATCCAGGTCCTGGTTTCTGGCCTCTTTCGGCTCTCGGTCAGGCCAGTCGGTAGTTAGCCGGTTACAGAGTACGAGGTTCTAGTGTCAAGTGTCAGTCTAGTTGTGTCAGGGTTTAACGGAGAAGCATTTTGTACGGAGTAGGGCTATCCATAACCTTCAAGATGCCCACTGAGTTAGCAAAATACCAGCGATTGTCCATCCATAACGATACTTAAGTACTATCTCTGATTCCATAACTAGCAGATTTGCCTTTAAGTCCGTACAAAAGCTTTAAAGTAGCAACTATACGATCTTCTGTCCTACGGGTCTTCCTTTTTGCCTGTTACTGTAAGAAAATTGAGGGACATCACATCTTACAGATCAGAAAGGTATTCCGCTCTATAACCCACTGTAATCAAATGGTTATTAGTTGTGGTTTCATTATTTATATATAGTTGCAGAGGGTGTGACATTTGATGTAAGGGAGGTAACTATAGGGGGCACACACCTGTATTCTCTCAACAGCTTTTCAGCCGATGAGAACACTACAAAATGGAAGGTACATCGTCATCCTTGCAACACCTAGATATCCTTGTATGACCGCTTGCACTCGAGCCGAAACTCAAGGTCAGTCAATGGCCAATTCCCATGTGCTCCTGTAGAAGATCCAACGATGACCGCTAACCAGCTAATAAGCTGCATCTTCGCCCCTGTGCTGTTTAGGCGAGTTAGCAGTAGGAAAACTACGGATTACATTTCCGGTTCCCGGGGCTCTCAGCTTCTGCATGATGTTTAGTGCAATCTAGATGGAGGTTAGCATTCATTCTGAGGAGTCGACTGGTGTCTGTAATAGAGTAGTATAACTAGTATATCTAAGCAGCTCTTCGGTGGGGGAGGTGGGGACTTATGACCATCAGCCAGTCGAAAGCAGCAGAGGAGCAGGGCGTAGTACTGATCGAAAATCACAGCCGCAGGACTGAGATTCAGGAAGAAGACAAGAATACGGAGTATATGAAGACGAGGAACAAGGTTGAGTAAACTAGTTTGATGTTTCAAAACATGTCACAAAATCGGACGTTTGAAGTTGAAAAAGCTTAAGGCTGAGGCGGAAAATGATATAAACAGCTGACTCATCATGACTTATATAATCAATAAAGAGAAAAATATGCTATTGGATGTAACTCATCGCATTTCTATTGGGTGATTATAAAAGGGGCGTAAATGACTAAGCAGATGGGCAAGCTATGATACATGGTAGCATCGTTTCCTGGCTGCAATGTCCTTCCTCGCTGCTTCACCGTCCTTGTCGCTCCATCAAACGATTCAAATCTCTAGGCCGCGGCATCTCCCAGGTTCTGCATCTGCACCATACGATAATACGCCCCTTTTCTTGCAATCAGCTCGTTGTGTGTTCCAATCTCCTCCATTCCGTTCTCGCCAGCTACAAAAATGACATCTGCATTTCGCACTGTGCTTAGCCGATGCGCAACGGCGATAGTTGTTCGGCCCTGTACCGCTTTGTCCAGCGCTTCCTGGACTATTTTCTCTGCATTCGCGTCGAGCGCCGAAGTCGCTTCGTCCAGAAGCAGAATTTGCGGATTACGAAGCAGGGCGCGAGCAATCGCTATGCGCTGGCGCTGACCGCCGCTAAGGAGCTGACCACGGCTGCCGACGGTGGTCTCAAGCCCATCCCTGAAGACAACTCAGTACTTGCTATTTTTTTTTTTCGTTGCAGGGGCTCGGATGAAGAGCAAGAACAGAGTCACTTACGGTAATGAAAGAATAAAATCACTAATATTAGCGTCGCGACATGCCTCCATCAGCTGCTCGTCAGTGACCTCTGTTCGCAGCCCCATAGTGAGATTGTCACGAATTGTGGTGCTATATAGCACTGAATCCTGCCCTACTAGCGATATAGAGTAACGATACTCGTCTAGGTTGAGCATAGCGATGTTAGCTCCATTCAACGTAATATAACCATCGCTGGGACAGAAGAAGCGCTCAATCAAACTTAAGATTGTGCTTTTACCGCAGCCACTTGGTCCAACAATGGCAGCAAATTGGCCAGGCTGGATGGTAAAGCTTAGGTTGTCAAAGATCTGCCTTTGAGGCCGAGATGGATAATGGAATGACACGCCATGGAACCCAATCACCCCGCTCTTCTCCGACTGTGATGATTTAGTAACCTGATGCTGCTTAAATGGCTCATGGGTTCCGTCTCCAATCAATGGCATAAGTGTGTCGCATGCATTTCTGGCTTTACCAATATCTGGCGCATAGGAAAAGACATAGCCTGCCGATTGTGATCCAGAAATAAGTGCAGCGAAGCAGATGAAAAATTGCAGTAAGTTATACTCGTATGCACCAAGCAAACGCCCCCCATACCAAAAACCTAGCGCTGCACATAAGAAGGCAAACGACTGTGAAGCTGAGTAGTAAACCGATGCTTTGATGATAGGTTGAGTTGACCGTTCAATGTGGCCAACCAATATATCATTGTATTTGGACAAGACATGGTTTTCAAGGCCGAATGCAGCAATTGTACGCGCCTCACTGACTGCTTCTGCAGCGCAGCTTGCAGAACTGATATGCGCTTCTTTCATCTTTGAACTGAATACCCCAAGTGTTTTGACTCGAGCCCACCCGCAGAAGAGAATTATGGGAATAGTGGCACAGCAAACAAGGGCTAGTTTCCATGCAAGGATGTTTGACAGTACTATACCTCCAACCAGCGTGGACAGCATTGTGAATATGCTCCCAAGAACGGCGCCGCTGAGACCCGTCATACTGGTGATTTCGGTCGACAAAAGGTTTGCTAATGAACCCGTCGAATAGCGAGTATGGTCGAAGAAGCTTAACTCCTGACGAAGGAGATTGCGGAAAAGCTGCTCACGACAGCGCCGGATTAGCTTCTCGGAAGCATACGCAAAACATGCACCTTGTGTGAGCCATGCTAGAAAGCCACTGGCGGCAATAACCACATACATCGTCGACCACCATGACATTGTATGAAGAAGATACGATGCTGGGCTAAGGGAGAGTGTGTTGACAGATTTCGCAAAAATGACGGATGATCTTCAGATTTGGGTTAGTCAAGGCAACTGACGTGCAAGGGACGGAGTTGCTCTCTCAGGGCTACTTACGCTGGGACCACACAGCCTGCCTGCCAGTATGCAGCCTAACACGCCGATAATCATATATAGGGCCTCGCGGCGGTTTAAGCGAGCAACATATGCGGAATTTCCCAGAAATGATCTTTTTTGCGGCTGTATCTCAGTCACATCGTTTCCCTTCACTTCAGTGGTTTGCGCGCTCAACTCCGAAATATCTTCCTTGTCAACAATAACCAGGAGACATAGGCACTATTTTCGGCGGGATGAATACTTTACAAGGAGAGATTGTTGCAAAGGTTGGTTGTGTTGAATGTATGATCTAGCTGAGCTCCTTCTGCCGTCGTAATGATCAGATCTAAACCTTTCGTGGATTTAATAAACATATTTCGGTCTTAGATTACTTCAATGCCAGTTACAAGCTACACAATCCTGCTAAACACCAAGTCTGGCAGCTCGCTACTCTAGACTTGAACTTGAAGAAACCCAGCTCCCCAGTCAGCATCAGTCAGCATCAGTCAAGCTAGTGTCCAATTTTCGTTCGATGGCAATACAGATATCAACCTGAGAAACTTCCCCGCCGTTTCAATTTTTTCTCAGGAACTTTACTTCATGTCTCAGACACTCGAGCTCTTTGTTTGGGTTTTATAATTCCATGTGCTGTTGGAAAAATCGCAAGAGCGGACATTGTCAGCTTACGCTTGGTTGATTTGCCAGGTATAAAGTCAGTGAGCACATTTGCTGACCCTGGTCAATCATTTGACTTTGAATCAATCAAACGAACAGCCGGCTCCGATGAGTTTCAGTTCTTCCCTGAGATTTTGAAAGTAGCAGCTGCTGGGTTTACCATCAACCCTGATGTCGACATTGCTACTCTCACCAGTGAGCTCGTTCAGCGCTTGTCAATGGCTTGGATCCTACCATCATCCCATCCAGATCGCCGCCGGACTTTGGCTCTAGTGGATGGTCGTTATGATCCCCATGTGGGGGAGCCTTTGTACTCTGCTGCAAAATCACTTGCTATTGACCTGGTAGTGGTGGAACGACCCGGTCATTGGATTGGCCAAGCACAGTACCGGTCTTGGTATAAAGACCTACTCATCATTGACATGATGGTTGATGAGGGCCTATCGGACCGTATCGTTGAGGCAATTCAGGTCTCAGGACATAAAATAGACGGAATTATTACCAGGTTTGATCCGCGAGCTGCAGCAACGGCGAAAGCTGCGGAGAGACTCGGTATTGCGCTTGCACCAGCAGAGGCCTTCGAGGTTGCCACAGACAAGTTTCGGACAAGTTTACTAGATGGCCATTCAGCTTATAGGGTATCGAGTTTGTATGCAGCAAAGTCCATCATCGATGAAGGTAAAGCTTTCTTCCCACTCATTCTGAAGCCAGTCGCAGGGTTTCTGTCTGAAGGCGTTTTTTTGGTGCAGAATCTCTACGACCTGGAAAATGCAATTCACGCTATCATCACAGTCCGTGGAAATGATGCTTTGATGGAGCCATATTGTGACGGGCTAGAAGTTGATGCCAACTTTGTTCTTGCTGACGGAGAGGTCCTTTTCTTTGAGGCCTCTGATGACTTCCCTACATCAGCTGAAGAAGGGCCCAACGGAACCTTTCTAGAGCAGGCAAATGTCTTGCCATCTAGTCTTCCCCAGCAGGAATTGCAGATAATTGAGAAATCGTTGCACCAGCGGCTCCTGCAACTGGGCTTCAGAGATAGAATCTTTCATTTGGAGGCTCGAATGCAACATTCCACAATGGAATATGTCAAAGTCAATGGCACTCTTGATCTTGAGTACCGTCCTATCCAGTCGTTAGCTTCAAATGGGGCACCTCAGCCAAGTGCTTGGTTAATTGAGATCAACCCTCGGCCACCGGGAATCCAGTCCTTCCAGGCAACTGCCCTCACGTATGGTGTCGACTATATCGGTCTCAGCCTCCTCCTAGCCGTTGGTGATCGAGAGCGAGCTAGGATCCTCGCCCAGCCGTTTTTACAACGACATCAATACTGGAGTCAGATCTTGTTTATTCCAACTCCGAAGGGAGGAATATTCAACTCTGACGATGTATGCGCTGAGCTGAAGCGGCGATGCCCCAATTTGGCTTCGCATATATCAATCTCCTTCTATCATTGGAATAGAGGAGACGTCGTTCCCGATCCGCTAAAGTCAGGCAAATTAACTTGGATTGCATACTATCTAATGAATTCGAGGGTGAGCAGGAGGCATCTCTGGAAGTCTGCGAAAGGGTGAGGATGGAGACGCGTTTCACCATTATTTAAGTTAGCTATAACTAGTTAGTTAACTACTCCGTACCGTTGGTATTCCTATGATTAACTACCTAGGTAAGTACCTAGGTAGTTAGTTTGTGTCACACTAAAAAGCAATGTTAACTAGTTCAATCGTATCTACCAATTTCACTCTAAACTCTGCACTATTTGACTCTACCTTCTATCTAGCTAACTTTGAATACTCTACCAGGTAAACTATGGTTGGTTCAACCACATCAAATGCGTTTAAGGTTAAATGAGCCTTGGCTTGTAACTAATTTGTGGCTAACGAACTAACTTACTGAGCGTTGAGGCGGAATCGGACGCGGCCCGAGCCGCCGCTAGTTAACCAGTGAGTTTAAATGACTTCCAATACTTAGTTACACTGGAACTTCAGCCGCAACTTTGCTCCCCAACAAGAATTCCACGTTTTCTCTTAATAGTTCAAAAATTATGACTCTTAGACAGTCGCGCACATGCCGCTGCAAAATCAACATCAGGATCAAAATTTGTTAACCATGAGGTACCCTTTACCTTTTCCCTTCTCTCATCTTCCTGCGTTGCTTCGTCTTTCATCATGCCGCTGTAACTCAGGTCCTCCCTCTCCAGTAATCTGAATACCTTTCGTAGGTGGGAGCGTCGTGCTTCATCATACAAATCCACTAGTTAGTGGGCATAATTAGTTTTAATTAGTTACCGTCTCAGTGATTCGACCAATTGTGAGACTTACAAGCAAACCTGACAGTTTTTGGGGACCACCGCTTAGCCACAGTATGAGCGTAGCTAAGTGAAAGGCCAAGTGTTTTTGAGTCCTCAAATGCAAAGCTGCATCCAGCACCCAATGCTGCACCCGTAGCTATATCCATGTAATAACATCAGCTGGATGGCTTTATGTTGGAGAGAGTATAACAACGTACGATGAGCCGAGTCGCCGACAAAACAAACACTTCCTTGGGTTATCAAAGACTCTAGCCAAATTTCCCGCGAAATTGCTAGTTAACTCATTAGCAAGTATTACTATATTTTTTTACTGTGAAGACTCACGGAAGACGCCCATATTCTTAGAATGGTCGAGAACTTGGAGGTAACTACTTGGTCCTAACAAGCGCTTAATAGTGGAATATCTACGGGAAATGTATAAGGTATGTATTAACTAACGACTTAGACAATGGGAAGCTAATGCTTGTACTAGTACTGGAATCCCTTTATCCCAGTCCTTCCTTCACTCAAGGCAATGGTAACTTACACCTTCTAGCCCCTGCTCCTTCAGCCCAGCCTCAGCATCCAGCCTCGTTAGGGTCAGTTGGTAAGCATAGGATAAGACCCGCGCGATTCTGGCCCTAGATGACCCCATCAACTTAGTTATTAGAAAATTACTTACAGTGAAGTGGGTAATTTTTTAGCTGGTGATATAGTTAATAGTTACCATATCGCCAACAAATGCTAGCATATCACCATTGATGAAATGGGTCACACCATCGGATAAATTTGGGATAGCCGCTATCAAATCTGCTTTGTCAAACGTTTCGATATACTGAAGACAGGGGCTATGAACAACTAACAAGTTAGTAACTATAATAATTCGCGCACAGCTTAAGAACCCGCCACGGATCTTGATCAAAAACAAACTTACAGATGCCTTGGTTTGATATCGGGATAAATCTTTGCACGAAGTTTCTTCATGTGATCAATTATGCGCAACTAATCAGCCCCGGAATCATCACTGGTTTAGTTAACAATATGAGCTGGAAGACCTTACAGAATTTATTCCGTCAGAAACAATCAACAGATCAGCCTCAACTGGGCCGTTATCCTCAAAGAGCACCGTTACTTTGCCATCGTGCACAGAAAAGTCGACGGCCTTCATTCCCATATGGATCTGCTCCCTCGGAATTTCATCAAGGAGAATCCGATGCACGTCTTGACGAACAGTGTTGGCCGTGGCCCGCAGCCTTTGCTTCTCTGTTTTGGTAAGACTGTCTGGCACCGGCTCTGGTTGGAAAAGTATTTCACCGGTTCTCCAATGCCTCTTGACAGGCTTTCCATATGTGCGGGCACAAATGGATTCCACACTGTCTTCACCACAAATTTGTTCCAGGAGATTTTGTGCTGTAGGTGTCAAGCCCAGCCACCTAGTAATGGTTGATTGCTTAGTTTTATGGACAGTAACCGCTGAGGCCAGGAGTGAGATGTGATGTGTCAAGACTTACGCCCCAATTTTCCTATGCACCTTGGATCTCTCATATAGCTGTACTTCAATATTCGGGACGCTGCCGTAACTAATCAGCTTGCCAATAATAGTAACTAGTGATAGAGAGACAATAAGAGACATACGACTTCAAGAAAAATGCAGCAGCCGCACCAGCCAGGCCAACACCAACAATTGCAATTTTCAGCGTATGATTCCGGCTGAAATCGCCTCCCGGTTCCATCATTTGGGATTGCTTTAGGAATTTGCTGGCTGTGGCGGTTATGCGCCGTAGTTAGTAACTATTAGATTTGTCTTCCCGATCAACTGCCCAATATGAATGCTGTCAATCTTCTTGATAGATGTTCTATGTGGCAGGTTGTTTCATCGTGATATAATAAACACGTTACTTTCTACACGGGGAGCTATATCGCTATGCGTCCTGGTTATTGCCGTAGAGTTATATTGCATAACTAGTTAGTGGTAGAGGAAGTACCACATGGTTAACAAGTAGCTTTGAAGCAGTGTAATTTGGACACTGCATGGCCCTGGTAACCAACTGGTTGATAGTAAACTGGACATTTGTCCAGCCCATGTACTCCGTAATACTAGATTCCAACTCCGTACATAGTTGTGGAATTGGCGCAGATGTGTTGGCTCACGAATTACCTTGCATGCAGCTCTAGTTACCCTGCATACGGTGACGCCTTATATTGCATAACTGCTCTAGACTAACAAGCGACGGCTTTTAATTCTGTTAATTGGTTGAACGGACGAGCTAGCTAATCGTAGGAGCTTGATCGTTTCAATTTAATCGATTATAGAGTGTCCTCTATAAGCAGCTAGTTGATTTATAAATTCTCGTCGTTGGGTTAAGCTAAAACCTGCACATGAGCTTCTCCTATTGAATCATAATCAGCTTATACCTTCACAAGATGGCCCTCGAGATACACCAACGACCAGAAGCAGCCAATGGCCGAACTATCTCTGAGCCGTGCTTGGCAAAGTTGGCCCTTCAGATCGCAGCTAGTCACACTTGGAACAAGGAAACGCCGCGAGAACACCTCTATACTGTCCACGAACTTATCAAGGAGCGTACCTTACGGCAGCCACTAGCGGATGCAGTCAACTCCTGGGATGGCAACTTGACCTACCGGGAGTTAGACGAACTTTCTGATTCGCTGGTTCCTAAACTCCACAAAGCGACGGTCAAGGCAGGGACGGTCGTGCCGATGTGTTTCGAGAAATCCAAGTGGACGATTGTGGCTATTCTGGCAGTAATGAAAATTGGTGCGGCCTTTCTCTTGCTTGACCCGTCGCATCCAGCTGCTCGGCTTGAATATATGATCAAAACTGTCAATGCGAGTGTTGTACTCTCTTCACCCCAGCATTCTCAACATGAAGCATTGAAGGAGCTCAGAGGCATCGTCGTTGATGAGTCGAGCATTGATATCGCAAACAGACATGGTTCAGACGGGAGTTACCCCAAAGGAGATGCTCGTGCAGCGCTGTATGTCATGTTCACCTCCGGCACAACGGATGCCCCAAAGGGCTTCACCATAGAGCACCGGGCGTTTTGCTCAAGTGCGTTAGCACGAGCGAGCATCATTCAGCGTGATGAAAGGTCGCGTGTTTTCCAGTTTGCAGCCTTCACATTTGACCCTTGCATGGAAGACATGTTAACAACGCTAATGGTCGGCGGTTGCATATGCATACCAAACGAGAATCAGAGAATTAACGACCTTGCGAAGTGCATCAGAGACTTAGACGCCAATTTTCTCAATGTTACACCTGGAGTTTCGGATCTTTTAGAACCTCAAGAGGTACCCGGTTTGAAGATTCTCCTCTTGTCGGGGGAGTCAATGAAAGCACGTCACATCGAAAAATGGTCTCCTCATTTGCAGCTAATCAATGGCTACGATCCGAGCGAATGCTGTCTCAAATGTGCGATAAACCCTGGGATGGTTCCCGGTATGAAGCCAACTAATATCGGTTTCCCCGTTGGCAGCTCGCTTTGGGTCGTCAATCCATCGAACATTGAAGATATTTTGCCAGTCGGAGAAGAAGGGGAGTTGTTGATAGAAGGTCCCACGCTAGCCAGAGGATACCTCCAGGATAATGCGACGAAATCGTTTGTGGAAGCACCGTCTTGGCTGAAGTTGTTTCGTAATGATCCAGCGGCACGAATCTATAAGACTGGTGATTTGGCGATGTACCGGGAGGATGGAAGCATCGATTTCATCGGCCGAAGGGATACTCAGGCAAAGATCAATGGACAACGCATCGAGTTTGGTGAAATCGAGTCTTTGATATCGAAAGTTACCAGCCAGGAATACCAAGCTATTGTGGAATTCATTCCTCTGAAGGACGAAGAACGACCGACCTTGGTTGCGTCTGTATATCACGCTGAAGCACCGAAAAGCACAGGTGCCCGATCGATAAGGGGTAATTATGTTGGCCGGTTCACACCAGAATTTGCCGAATTGGCAGCAAACTTGTCACGAGAGCTTGCGGCCTGGCTTCCTCGCTATATGATTCCTTCTCTCTTTCTCCCAATTCAAGCTGCCCCTCTGACGGTTCATGGGAAGACAGATCGTAGAGTCTTAAAATGTGAGCTTTTGCAGATTGAGAGGAAGTTAATCATTCCTGCCACACAAGGCGCAGACGATGCAGCCGAGGATTGCCTTGATCCTCAAGAGTGGACATTGCTACAATTATGGGATGGGGTCTTGGGGAATGCGCTTCAAAACAAAGAAGGGACTTGAATTTCTTCAAGCGCGGTGGTGATTCATTTGCAGCAATTAGACTAGTGGCCGCAGCGCGTCAATCCAATTTGCACATCACAGTAGCAGATATTTTCCAATACCCATGTTTATCTGACCAGGCAGTGGTAGCAACTCCATTTAAGAGCAAGCACGGAGCAGATTCAATTGCGCAATTCTCATTGTTGGATGGAGGAGAATTGAAGGGTGTATTGAACATAGCATTGGAACAAGCATCTCTCACTAGCTCAGAAATCGAGGATATTTACCCTTGCACCCCTCTCCAATCTTACTGGGCTGAGTACGCCTTGGCTCACCCTGGTGAGCTCCAGGCACTGTGGATTTATTCTGTCCCGCCAAAAATTGAGATAACCAAGCTACAAAACGCCTGGGAGAAAGTCATGGCGGAGATTCCAACTCTTGGGGCAAGGGTGATCAAATTACCAGGTAGGAGATTCATTCAGGTGATCTCCAACGACAAGCGAGTATGCGAAAAATGGACGTCACTTCAGGGCTTCATGGAGAACAAAACGCCATTGGGTTTTCGTCTCGGGCAGCCCCTTACTAGTGCTGCAGTTATCCTAGACTGTGATTCGAATCAACAATATTTTGGTGTAATCTCGCACCATTCAGCATGGGACGGGTGGTCCAAGAAGCTCCTGTTTGCGCGTCTGGGAGAGATATATCTAGCACCAGAATCGCCGTCCCCTGAGTGGACACCGTTTACCCGTTTGATTGAGCAGATCCAAACCACAAGTACTGATAGGTATCATGAGTTCTGGAAAACAGAGCTGTCCGGGGTAACTCAAACGGCTCTCTTTTTCCGGAAGCAAGTCGACGAGCCCGCAAGAGCTAAATCGTACAGTTTTGAAATCTCCTTCCCGGCGACAGATCGTATGAACTCAATCACCTTGTCCACTATCGTCCAGGCAGCTTGGGCTCTTGCGATCCATCAGGAATCAGCGTCGAACGCCGTCATCTTGACTGTTCTTTAATCTGGACGTGAATTCCTACTAGTAGGAATCGAGGACATAGTTGCGCCGACGGCTGCTCAGGTTCCCCTCCGAATACTTATCAAGAAGGAGCAGGCAGTCACCAGTTGGCTTGAAGGTATTCAGAATCAGCTCGTCAAAAGCATCCCGTATATGCATGCTGATTGGGATATCTTCCGCTCACAGTTGGGTGAGGATGTACATCAGGCGTGGGAATCATCGCCTCTCCTTGTCATACATCCGGTGGCAAGTCGCAAGGTGGATGAAGACTGTTTGCCCTTGGGGATGAAGCAGGTTGAGCGGCTGTTCGCACGTAAAATCCCATTCACTGTTGAGTGTTATGTGAGCTCTGAGACTATTAAGACGGATATATTCTATGATGAAACAATCTTTAGTCCGTCTGTGGTGTCGGCCCTATGTTAGCAGTTTGAATCGTTCTTCCGAAGTATTTTGGTTCATGGCGACAGTGCCGTGGGCAGGCTGTTGAGTTAGTAGCCAGCCTGATGATTAAGTCAAGATTCCTGCCATGAATAACTTTGAGTAACTAATATCAATATAGATTAACCCAGTTTATCATCTAAAACATTATTAGTCCATATGAGTACATACATACGAATGGACCCTGAATTGTCCGTCTAAGCCATCACCGTCGTTGTCATCTCGTCGTCATCAACGTCATAGTAAGAAAGGAAATCATAACATAATGGCACAGGCCAGTACAACCACCGGCGCAATCAAAGAGCGTCCCAACTGCACCGTCTGGCTGCCAGCATTTGGTGGTGCAGTTGGGTTTTTCCCTGGCGCGGTCACGGTGACAGTGGCCGGCCCAGCCGTTGTGCCCGGTACGACAGTTTCCTGGACGGTGGTACCAGGGACGATGACGCCTTCACTGTTCGTGCTGGCAGGGATGGTAGTGGCCGGGATCGTCGAGGCAGCGCGAGTTGTGCCTTGACTGACGGTGACGCTGGGGGTATACGTAGCCGCGCCTCCAAGCTCGCTCCCTGGGATTGCCGTGCCAACTCCCTTGCTGGTGAACTGGGTAGGGATCGGGAGTGTGCTGAGGTTTGGGCTGGGGTTTCCTTCACCGTAGAGGTTGCCCTTCTCGCCGTTGGAGCGTGTATAGTTGCCCATGATCAGGTTGACCGAGTCGCCGTTTGCCAGGTGGTATTCGCCCGTCGTCACGCTGCCGTAGGATCCGTCCGCAAAGTAGTAGTTGGTGGTAAATCGGTCCTACAGATGGATATCAGTATGTCTATTTTTCGTAGATAACTGCCCAATATGAGTATCGTAGCGCGAGCTCACCCAGCAGAATGATATCTTGACCCCCTTCAGCAGCAGGCATCGTATACCGGTCGACGGCTCCATGCCTTTTCCCACAGGTCAGTCAGTCGCAAGCATAAAAAGTGAATATAATAATATGAAGAGGACTCACAGCAGAGATTCGCCTGGTCGTTATCTCGCGCAAAGACGCCGTGTCTCTCGTTCAGCGACCTCCTCTCCGGCCGTGACCCCGACCCAGGGCCGTTCGCCGAGTTGACCACGTCCGCGTAGAGACCTATCATGTCTGGGCCGATGGAGGGAGGGCTTCCTGAGCCCGCGCCCTGGGCCTCGCATGGCACGTATCCGCGGTTGCATGTAGCTGCTGAGAGCGGCGCAGCAGTCGCCAGCCAGACGAGCAGAGACGGCGAGAAACGCATATTCAACTAGTCACAGGCGGGTTTTGGTTGCTTAACCGGTTGTTTATTTGTTCTGTAGCGACTGACTGGAGCTGGTGTTTCGTGGTTATTATTGTATCTTATATCGCCGTGTCTCTTCCCCTCACTCCCACGGTCCGATAGTTATATAATAAAGACAAGGGAAAAGTCTTTGAAGAGCAGCCGAGGGGCCTTTGGGCCTTTCGAGTGCTATTTATATATTCATGTCTAAGACACAAGCACGAAGCGCCACAGGGATGCGGACAGGTGCGTCGTTAGTCGAATATTTATTTATTTAGCTAGGTAGGTTCCGATGGTTATCGCGGTACACCCGTCCTTCGCAGAAGCTATGTGATGGAAAGCAACAAAATCCAGCACCGGGGCCACGACGGGTTTTGTATTAATATCCTCCAGTTGTGATTGTCATCACTATTTGGGGTGTTGAGTTCGCTGACTTTGGGGCACTAGCAAAAGCACGAAGCTAGGATAGTTATGATTCTCAGCGGATGCGAAGTCGTTTCCCGCCAGTTGGTGCGCAACCTGCAGCAAGTCATCCAGCAGCAACAGCCATGCGGTGTCGACCTCACTCTACGCCAAATTTCCAATTGGGCTTCAGCGGCCACGATTGACGACGATAATAGTAATCGTGAGGCGGCCAAAACTTCTTGCCTAGTTACCATTTGACAACGCCAGCCACACGATTAACTAGTTATTTAACTACACTCCAGCCAAAGGCCTAACTACCTGGTCGATTTCAATGAAACAGTTCAAAATCCGCAAAATTGCATAGCAAGCGTCTTTCCTAGGTCGTCCCTATGGCGGCCAGGAGTTAGTATCAATGCCGGCGTGGTCGATGCTGGATATGAAGGTGCAGTGGGGGCTTTGCTGGTAGTGATGAACCCCAATGGAATTGTTCTTCATACAAACGCCAAGCTCGCGCAGATTGTATTCGAGGAAATGGGATACAATACAGCGGCGTCTACCAGTTCTCAACAAGTAGCGTTGGACGCGACGGGGTAAAAATATATACTCAGAGGATTGCCTGGCCCTGCAACCAGAAAAGGGAAGTATTTCTCCAAGAGAACAGCATACGAAAGCACCAAAGCAAGCAATGACTACTCCGGGTTAAAGCATGGATGAGTCGTGGATGTCCCCAAACGATCCGTACTTGGGCAAACAGTCGACAGCAGCGTCCGCTAGATCGTCACAATTCCATATCCACAGTCCCCATGTACCGGTAGATCCTGTAACTTCCAGAAAATGCCCATCCATCCCGCCAACACACCATCCGAATAGTCAAATCCCGCCCCTGCACTGTATAAAACAGGCGCATTACGAAAGCGATATATAAGCCTTTGAAGCCAGAGTACTGCTTCCTCGACCGCGCACATAATTTTCCCAGTCATCCTGCTTCGGTTGCTTCTGTTAATACATAGTTATTGGTCCAACAGAGATGTCATCTCCTACCAATGTCGGCGTCCTCCAAACACACCAACTCATCGATAATCATAGCATCTTGATCCGAGATGAAATTTACGGAGAGGAACTGGTCCATGAGCCAGTTCTCGTAGAGCTTCTTCAAAGCTCGGAGGTGCAGCGACTGCAAGGCATCTACCAGCATGGAGTCACTGGGTTCTTGGGCCTCACACCGGGAGTCACACGGCTCGAACATTCGGTCGGTGCATTTATACTCGTGCGAAGAGTTGGTGCCACGATTGAAGAACAAGTCGCCGCTCTTCTCCATGACATCTCTCATACCAACCTCAGTCACGTCATCGATTATGCTCTCTCCAAGCCTGGAGAAGGAAGCTATCACGAGGTATACAAGACACGATATCTTAAGACGACGCGGCTGCCGGATACCCTCGCCAGACACGGGATCAACCAGAAGGTCTTCGAAGAAGAACTGTTCCCTTTAGTAGAGATGCCATCGCCTCAACTGTGTGCTGATCGCCTAGACTATGCTTTACGCGACGCCGTCAGCTTCGGAAAGCTTGCCATAGAAGAAGCTAGAAGGGTTGTCGGCTCACTGAAGGTGTTTCCTAGTGCTACAGCGACCCGCCGTCTGCTAGTTCTAGACGAACCCCATGTAGCGCTGATTCTTTCTCGAGCATACATCACTACCGACAAAGATGTCTGGTCAAGTCCAGCCCACATCGACATGTGTCAGCGGACGGGCCGGGTGATAGGCGAACTGGTAGAGGCAGGGTATATGGATGATAAGGTATTGTGGCGAGTGTCCGACGCAGAATTTTGGACCCTGCTTCGTCAAACAGCGAATCCTGAGCAGCTTCGCGCTATAGAGAGACTAGAAGAGGAAGGGATTCCAGAGGACAACGGACTCCGACTGCCACGTTGTGCTAAAATTCGTACTCTCGATCCAGATGTTTGGCAAGGAGGAGAAAAGCAACCCGCACCGTTGTCGATAGTACTGCCAATATGGGGATCAGAGCGACAGCAGTACATTCTCAGTCGTAATCAGAATCGACAATGACTATTGACCTCCGTTACCTTCTACAATCTTTCTAATCTAGCGGTCAGAAGTCCATTTCATACTACGTATAATTGAATGTGATGCCAAAAATTGGACATTCTATATATCGATATGTAGATGTAAAGTTCCCTTTAATACCGCCCCCATCAGTTGTGGTATGGGGTTAACTATATCCCCTAACCCTATAGAAGCCTGTTATAATACTACCTAAGTTACAGCCAATGGTCGTCACCTACCGTATTTATATAGCAGTTACCTGGGTATGTAGCTAGGTAGTGATCGAGCGGCCTGAAGCAGCTGTTTACCGGCCTTTCTTGCCGCGAGGAAGCCTCTATTTATGTCGAAGTAACAACACCTGAACAAAAATTCAACTCTCTCTCTAGCTACTCATATGCGACATGCGACAAACCAGGGATAAACTACGTCGGTCAACTAGTTAATTATCTCGCATCAAGCCTTGTATGCAGGTCGTGGCCGATGCTTCGAGTTCATTGACTACTCCGTAGTTATCAGGCAAACGGTTAACCGGGAGGAAATGGATATTTTGATGATCGATCTGCAGCAGTCAAGGACAGAAACCAGTTAAATATTTACAGCAAAAGAAAGCCCTTCTCACGGTGATACCTAGAGATCGAACTCATCACACGACGGCAGAGCTATTCGCCTGTTGTGATACAGCCCATTCCAGGCAGGGCAGCCGGCTTTGATGTAACCACCTACGGAGTACTCGTTACTTGTTGGTTAGCTAGTTAGTTATATCACACAGGCGCCCACTGCATAAAAACGTCTTTAACGCTATGCATCATGGCCGATCACATCCCCGTTAATTACCTGGCTGGCAGGTAACTATACGGAGTAGGCCTCCGTAGAGTTGATACCCCATGGATGGATGCTCAGTTCCAAGCGGCGGCTTGGTTTCTATACTAGCTAGGTAGTTTCTCAAGAGACTAGCCGGGCTGGAATTCTGGACCGTTGTTAATCTGACTATATGGATGACCATGATTCTTGCCTTGAACGGCTTGCAGGCGATAGTGCTAGCCACAGGCCCCGTTGGTCTTCAATGCAATACTTGAGATGAACGATGGACAGATTGGAGGCTTGCCTGGAGATTAGATTCCGCACAGAGATAAAAGGAGGAACGCTCGCCGCTGGCAAGTATGTTTATGTGCTGATAGTTCTCTAGGACCATTGCCTTGACACATACCTGCGATAGAACCGATAATTGTGACCTGGTCGCTTTCCAAAAATATATATATATATATATACATATATAATATACTTCCTACCTTCATCGCCAGCCTAGACGACCGCCCTTTTTTACCAATACAATGAAGATTCTCACCTCATCTGTCCTCATACTGTTGAGCGCTACCACAATCCTCGCCCGACGGTGTGGCTGGGTGAACAGAGAAGGAGACGGTGCATCTGAGGGTCACAATCTAGGGGGCTGCATCAAGGGCACCGTCTGCATCAACCATAAATGCGTTATGCTTGCGAGAATCGGGGAGGCTTGCTCGGTTGACCAGCCCTGTAAAATGGAGTATAAGTGCGGCGAGAACGGCGTTTGCATCGAGGGAAAAGCAAGCGTGGGCGCTTCATGCAATTCGAATGATCAGTGCGAAAGCGACATCTGTATCCGACAAGTGTGCCGCGATGACTGGGCTTGCGGCGACGACACCGACTGCGCAGAAGGGGGGGTCTGCCGCTTCACTCTCGCGACTCCCAACTTCAGCGACCTCGGGAAGACGGTGCGAGTGTGCGCAAAACCAGACCAGTCCAGGTTTGGACAGTTCTGCGACTCGAACAAGGACTGCGGCGTGCTTGAGGACACAACAGAAGATCCCCTTTCTGCATCCTTAAAGGCCTTGCTGTCTCCGCCCCAGCAGGTGTCTCCCCGGTTCGTTGGGCCCAGATCGCAAGACCGTAGGCGACAGCTCATTGGTACCTCCAAAGTCCTCAGGGATAAGCTCGAATGTCGCGCCAAAACGTGCTTGCTATCTAGTACGACCATGCATAGCGACAAGGCCTTCGATGGATGGCCATGCCGTGATGGGAATGACTGCCGCTCCGGGAACTGCGTAGCGAACACATTCAAGCAGGGCAATCTCACGATCAAGATGTGCGAGCCGAACAAGCCGAAGAACTGAAGAAACGGGATGGTTAATCTCCCCTTTTTAACCCCCTTTTGATCCGGCGGTCTAGGAATTGAACCCCTAATTATCTAATAATTAGTGATTATTTTTAACAGTAGTAATAATAATAATATAAAATTTCAAAATCAAGAAGAAGATGAAGAGGGAGAAGATGTGGAAAAAAGGAGACTGTTCATATAACCAACATATGTACGGAGTCTACATTATTGTTGAAAGTTGTAGATATCAAGTTTGCTGCCGATTTTAATAAACGGAGCTTGTCGGTAGCTTGGATGACTAAGCTGGTTCTTCCTTTTTCCCCGAAACACCAAGTCAAAGTCGACAAGAAGACAGCAAGACATCAAATACCAACACCGCAGGAGGAAGAGAGAGCGAACGAGAGAGTGTGTGTGTGCGAGAACTGACAAATATATAACACTTAGTTACGGAGCACGCCCTTCCAACTGAGAGAAGAGCTTCGCCGCCGTTTCTCGCCCCCTGGCTCGCATGCGGCCTGGGCCAAAGCCTATACATCAGCTTACGACCTAACACCACCAACCTACCACGATGCGGCCTCCAAGCAAGTCGCAAGTGTTGCTCTCGCTGCTTGCCCCGAGCGTCTCTTCGGCCTTCTATCTACCTGGTGTAGCTCCCACCTCCTACGACGTCGGTCAGAAAGTCCCTCTTCATGTCAATCATCTTACGCCAACGGTGGCCCAGGATGCCCAAGTCCACTCTGTCTTCTCCTACGACTACTACCACCCGGCATTCCACTTCTGCCAGCCAAAGGACGGGCCGCAGGATGTTCGGGAGTCCCTCGGTAGCATTATTTTCGGCGACCGTATCCTCACCTCGCCGTTCGAGCTACACATGGCCAAGAACGAGTCCTGCAAGCTGCTCTGTCCAGAGGTCAAGTTCGACGGACTCAGCAGCCAATTCGTGAACCACAGGATATGGCAGGGCTATAACATCAACTGGCTCATCGACGGCCTCCCCGCAGCTCAGATAAACACCGACGATCAGACAAACGAGCAGTTCTACAGCCCGGGCTTTCTCCTGGGAGATATCAACAGCGATGGACAATCCTTCCTTCACAACCACTACGATATCGACATCGAATACCACCGTGTTGCTGGGCTCGGGACCAAGGAGAAGTACCGTGTTGTCGGGGTCCTCGTCACCCCCTCCTCCCGGAAGACGAAGGTGTCTAGAGACAAGGCTGACTGCTCCAGCAAGGACATTGTACTTCTGGACGGTACCGCGGAGACTTCCGTTGCTTGGACGTATAGTGTTACGTGGCGCGAGTCCTCTACCGCCTGGGCAACGAGATGGGATAAATATCTACATGTCTACGACCCCAGTGTTCATTGGTACTGGCTTATCTATTCCGCCGTATTCGTCATCTTGCTTGTTACCCTAGTGAGCAGCATCCTACTTCGGGCCTTACGGAAGGATATTGCACGGTACAATCGCCTGAGCATGATCAACATGGATGACTTCAACGACAACGGTGACTCGGTCGAAGATGGGATACAGGAGGACTCTGGCTGGAAGCTAGTCCATGGGGATGTGTTCCGCACCCCAAACCACCCACTTTTGCTCAGTTTGCTGGTAGGAAATGGTGCTCAGCTCTTCGTCATGACCGGTATCACTGTTGGTAAGTTTCAATGCTTCCCCAGGCACGTTTTACTTCGGCGGTCTAATTTAATTTGCTAGTATTTGCACTTTTTGGCCTCCTTTCACCCTCGAATAGAGGTTTCTTGGGGACGGTTATTCTAATACTATATACTCTACTTGGCTTCGTTGGCGGCTATGTCGCTGCAAGAACCTACAAGTCATTTGGAGGTGAATCCTGGAAACGGCTAATCATCCTCACCCCTGTACTCGTCCCAGCCATCGCATTCTCTACCTTCTTCTTGCTCAATCTTTTTGTTTGGGCTAAAGGATCAAGCGGTGCTGTTCCGTTTACCACCATGATTCTCACTGTTATCATCTGGTTTGTTATCAGTGTGCCACTTAGTGTTGCTGGCAGCTGGATCGGACTTAAGCTACCCGTAAGCTCGCCGTATCCTGACTCAAATACTTGTGTTTTGATACTAACATTTTTATAGGGCTTTGAAGGACCTACCAGGACCAACCAGATCCCTCGCCAGATCCCCCCATCAGTCTGGTCTCTCCGTCCTCTACCATCAACACTGGTAACTGGCATGCTTCCATTCGCCACTATTTTTGTGGAACTATACTTCATCATGACTTCCCTTTGGACAAACAAAATCTATTACATGTTTGGATTCCTCTTCCTATGCTACGGACTTATGATTATGACTTCTGCGACCACCACCGTTCTCCTAGTCTATTTCTTGCTCTGTGCAGAAGACTACCGCTGGCACTGGAGGGCATTTATCGGCGCTGGCATGACCGGTGGATACGTCTTCCTTAACGCGCTTATCTTCTGGGCAACCCGTGTCAGCTTCGGCGGTGTGACTGGCGCTGTTCTGTATCTCGGCTATTCTGCGCTTTTGGCTTTCCTAGTCTTTGTATTAACTGGTAAGCCCTACCTTGGAATCAGATACCTTATATTTGCAGACTGCACGCTAATACTCTCTAAAACAAATTCAGGTACCATTGGCTTGTTTGCCAGCTGGGCCTTTGTCCATAGAATTTATGGCTCCATCAAGGTCGACTAACTCATTCATCTTTAACCCCCTTTTCCTTCGTCAACGTTGTGATTCTTGTCCCTATTCTTATTCCCTGGGATTATTCCCGTTCACTTTTCCATCCTAGACTGGATTTTAAGTCTCTGTATTACTATCCCCCCGTTCGCCCGCTTAATGACTGAAACCGGCAGGTTGGCTTTAGATCTACGATAGCTATTTTTGACGAAATTAAAATTTTGAATACACCTCCTTTTTTCCACGCCTGCATCTCCGTTTCTGATATCTCAGAGATTGACCAAACAGCGTAGTTACACAGACAAGAGGAGTTATAGCACAACAGGACAAGCGGGAAAGGATATAAGGTAATAAGTATCAAGCATACACAAGCATGGAATCATCGAACGGCATCAGCGAGATGTGGACCGTCTAGTAAAGTAAATAAGCGGAAACAAAATATTGACAGCATGACATAGGATAGTTGGTTGACTGTGACGATAACGCAGTGGGAAAATAGAGCAATAATGATAATAATAGAATAAACAGCCGCCATGGCATAGACACACCCTATACCAAGCCATCGTACAAGGACAGAGCACTGACTATAGTCTCGTCTCGCTTACTTCCTTCCTTGAACTCGCTGATATCCAAACTGCCATTCTCATCTTTGTCCATCATCCGGAATATTTTCTGTACTCGTTTTTCAGGAGTGTCTTCGTCCTCGGGGAGCTTGACCATGGACCCAACCTAAGAAATGGTCAGTATACACACTACCAAGTCAAACTAGTCAGGTAACATACCATTTTATAGATAGCCTCAACGATAGCAAGCATCTCTTCGTAGCTGATCTTGCCATCTCCGTCGATATCGTATAACTGGAACGCCCAGTCGAGCTTATCCTCCATCTTACCCCTTGAAGTGACGGAGAGTGCACAGATAAACTCCTTAAAATCGATCATACCGCTTCCATCTGCGTCAAACACACGGAAAACATAATTGGCGAATGATGACGGGTCACCAAAGGGGAAGAACTGCCGGTATATCTTCTGGAATTCTTCTTTGGTGAGGGTGCCAGATGGGCAATCTTTCAGGAAGCCTACCAAGTTGTCCGTTCAGCAGGAATGTCTCAACTATGGAAAGGTTTAATTTATGTACTCCAGCAGACCAACCTTTATACCACTGCTGCAGTTCCTTCTTGTCGAAATGTGTTGATCTCTGAAGTTCTTCGAGCTGGCTCGGCGATAGTTTAGACTGTCTGCAGGGATAAAAGAGACACTGTCAGCAGGCAACTTTCACGGACATATGGAAAATAGAGGTGTTCATGGGCTTAATCAAGGGCCCGAATATCATATAGCTCTTCACGTTGAGTAGATACATGTGTATCCTGCCCAGCTGCCTAGGGCCAGCAGGAGAGACTTGGTATTTACGATCGACCTCTCCCCGCAGAATGTCGAACGCGGGGAGGTGATCGATTGTGAGGGCGCTTGAAGGGGTCCAGGAGACGGCTCACGATTTACCCATGCTGTCCTAGCTCCTTGCGCAGGGCTTACTAGCCGATATAACTTGTATTATTATGGTGAGAAAGCGTGCGCTCGACGCCGGGTGAAGGGTAGGGTGGTCCGCGGGGCTGTAACTAGATACTGGCTGAGGGAGGTCGGAGCGATGCGAGGAGGGTTAAATGAAATAGAGGCGTGGATAAGGTGAAGGGTCAGAAAGGCGTGTAGGTAGCTGTATCTGTTGAATAGTTGTATAAGGCAGAGGCTTGAAGAGTTTTATGTTGTTATCCTGTAGGAGATTGAAGGACCCTTGAGATGGAGCGAGATGAGGCTCGGCGGGAGAAAGATAACAAAATTTCCGTACGATTGCCTGAACCCACAGCGTTGGCAGCATATGCACTACAGAGATCACTCAAGCTGGATGAATGACATAGTCAGATTCTCTCTCTTTATATATCTTTATACTCACTTATATTGTTCTTCTCCTGTCTTTATTGCCTTCTCTACTCCTTGTTTGCTTCGTCGATATAAAGTAGTAGTTAATTACGTAAGCACATGTTGAATGACATCTTTCGAACAAGCGCAGAAGAAGAACAGCGACACGATGAGACGCTGTGAGATACCATGAATGCAGAGATACTGGCGCCTCTCACCTCCCTGGAGGCCCGGCTTAATGCCCTGCTGACGTCCATCACGTCGACTCCCACAGCTTCGGGGGCGCCAGCGGCAACAGTCTCTCTTCTTGAAGCTGACGACGCGCTTAGCAACGCGCTGCAGACACTGAGAACACACCAGGCGAACTACTCTAAGATCCTTCGACTACGTGCTGAAGCCCTCAGCCTTGAGGAGCGAGTGCGGGAGACAGTTCGGCAGGTTGGGGAGCTTGGAGACGAGATATCTGCGGCTGCAGGAGAGGATGATGACTCGGATGAAGACAGTGACGATGGGGCAGGAAGCGATGTTGAAATGGGCGAAAAGGACAAGGATAAGATACGGAAGGGTGAGGTAGACTACCGATTGCTGCTTGGATTTGCCAGACGGATAAGCAAGTACAACAACGAGGCCGCTGCCGATGCCTCCAGCACAACGATGTTGTCAAAGGAGCCGCCAAATGCTGACACGGCAGCAGAGGCGAACGGCGAGATAGCAAAGAAGGATGGGATGGCTGTGGGCCATGGGCAGACGACGGGCGTTGGTATCGCTGCTTTACCTCAGGACACCGTCTCCTGGCTGGATGAGACCGCCAACTGGACTCGACTCATGTCTGCGCTCCCGTACCCCAGCGAGGACCGTATCCGTATGGGTCTTATGGCCCATCTCCACGCAACTGCCGCTGCAGAGGGGAAGGATATTGGAAAAGAAGTCGAGCACATCCTGCAAGCTGCAATGCAGAAAGATATGACAAATGAAGAAACTCAATCGGCAGGGCAAGGATATCAACCACAACCTGATGCGGGTGTTGGCCACCCTGCAGAGACGGGTACTGCATCTCTAAACCACCAAGCTGGGAATAGTGCCAGCCATACAGCAGAACCAGCGAAAGTGAAGCCGAAGCTCGACCTTGATCTTTATGACCCAGACGACGACGACATGTAATATACAGTTTCAGCAGTGCTTATACCAAGTCTCCCATTGCGGCAGCATGTTTACCTTCCTCGGCCACTCGTATTTCTTCGAGAGTAGGCGCATTCTGATACCCTCCCTCTGGGCCTTCTCTTTCTAGGTCTTGCTCTTTCCATCACTCAATAGGCATCTACCACGGAGAAGGCGCAACCGATTTTTGTTGTTTACACTGATGTCATGGCACTTCCCTCTTCTCCAATTTTTCCTTATTCTCCCTTTTTCCTTCCCTCTTCAGCCTCGTCTTGTCATCTGCTCCAGACATGTATCTGATGCTGCGCACCATATCGGTTTTCCATCCCCAGGGACAACCGGTGTTTAACATACATATATATTCTTTCAGGGTTATAGCTGTATTGGTTATCATCATGACTGGCCAAAGATATACTGCCGTTAGGATCGACATCAGCAGAAACCGCCGTTCAGATAGCTCAGCTGATGAAGATACAGCCAGCCTGCCCACAGCCCATGAAAAGGCATTACCTGTTGAGACAGTTTCTTCCGGAAGCACTGCTGTCACCAATGTCCCACCAACTGATGGGTCTAGTGGGGATGGTGAGAAATTGTCGACGCTTAAGGCCAGTCGAATCGAGATACAAGAGTCAGAAAACTACCAGCAGCTCCCGTTTTCATACCCCTGGTGGAAGAAATGGACTATCCTCGTTATCATCTTTTTTGTGCAGGTCTCCATGAATTTTAACACGAGCATCTATGCCAACGCTATTGCGCCCATGGCTAGCCACTTTTCAATCACCGAAGCCACCGCCAGACTGGGCCAGATGTCCTTCCTGATTGCATATGCGTTCGGCAGTGAACTTTGGGCACCGTGGAGTGAAGAGCTTGGTCGATGGCCTGTCATGCAGCTCAGTTTGCTTTTGGTCAACATATGGCAAGTTCTCTGCGCCCTCGCTCCCAAGTTCTCTTACATCGTCGCCGGCCGCACCCTCGGAGGCCTATCTTCGGCTGGAGGTTCTGTCACTATGGGAATGATAGCAGATATGTGGGAACCGGATCAGCAGCAGTATGCAGTTGCCTTTATCGTTTTGTCTTCCGTTGCGGGCTCCGTCGTCGGTCCTATTGCTGGAGGATTTATGGAAGTTCGCCTTCACTGGCGATGGAATTTCTGGATCCAACTAATTCTTGGAGCCGTGGTCCAGCTTGCTCACTTTCTCCTTGTACCAGAAACACGCTCAACTATTGTGCTAAATAATTTGGCAAAAAAGCAACGGAAGTCAGGTATCGCGAATGTTTATGGTCCTCTCGAGCTTCGTGGATCCAGCCTCACACTTAAGGAAGTTGTAACAATCTGGGTCCGCCCCTTCAGTATGTTTGTCCGCGAACCGATTGTTCTATTTCTTTCTCTCCTCAGCGGATTTAGTGATGCCCTCATTTTCACTTTTCTTGAGTCATTCCGCCCGGTGTATAGCCGTTGGGGTTTTGGTACCATTCAGATCGGTCTTGCCTTTATTCCGTATGTTTTTGCCCCTGTAACATGCCTTTGATAAACTGCTGACCTCCTGTCATATAGAATCATGATTGGCTACTTCCTTGCCTACTTTTCATTTTTCCCAGTGATTATGAAAGATAAAAGAGCCATGTCTAGAAATCCTGATGGTCTCGACCCTGAGTCGCGGCTCTGGTGGCTTCTGTTCAGTCAGTAACCCTTCCCTATCCAATTTTTTATGACATAGGCTAACCCATCTTTAAAGCCGCTCCTTTGGAAACGATTGGCCTCTTTGGATTTGCCTGGACAAGCATGGGGCCTCCTGCAGTGCATTGGTTCGCACCGATGTTTTTTTCAATGCTAATTGCGATTGCAAATGTTAGTATCCTGAACGTCCTGCATGACAAATTATACTGTACCAGTCCAGGGGTAAATGGCTAATATGGTGTGTCCTTAGTACTGCATTTATATGGCAACCATCGACTACATGGTCGCAAGTTACGGCCCATACTCTGCTTCAGCAACTGGTGGCAATGCTTTAGCAAGAGATTTCTTGGCTGGCATTGCGGCTCTATACTCCACGCCCAGTAGGTAGTCCCTGATCTTTTCAAGCATTGGCGCACCGCATATGATTTAACCGTCTGTCCTGCTACCAGTGTATCAAAACATTAAACATAAGTACCGGCTCGAGATACCCTCAACCATTCTGGGGTGCATATCCTTTCTTGTCACCGTACCCATCTATATTTTCTACTGGAAAGGCCCTGAAATTCGTGCAAGATCCAAGTTTGCACAGGGTGTGGCTCGCAACAGGAACGAACTTAAGCATCGCCGTGCTATCCATGAAAGGAGCTCAGTAGATGCTGGGAAATCAACTTATGTCTAGCCACCGTTTGATATTATGAAACAACAAAAGTGAACTAGGGTTTCTTAGGCTCGCTCGACATTTCCTTCATCAGTACAATGGTTGACTGCCTTGGGCCCAGTGACGATATGCATGAGCATACTCGAACAGTGGTTATCGTCATTTTATATGCTTTGTTTCACTGTCCCTGTTTTTATTACTGTGTATAATATCCGGCGCCTGTTTCTGTTTTTAATGCACCGTCTCTACTCCGTACGTTTACTTATATGGATTAAACAGTCACCTGAGCCGAGGACATGATGTTTGTAGCCCTGATAAATTCTTTTGTTTGAGTCATAACCTTCCAGAGCCTTTGTTTGGCCAAAAATTGAGCTACGCCTAAAAAATGTTATTGAACGAAAGAATACAGCAATGTTTTCGTGTAGTGATTACTCCTTCACATGTAACTATCACCGCGAAAACAACTTTTAAGAACAAAGAATGCTCCCGATTCCAACATTACTGGTGACGTCCTCCGGAAATACTCTGCCCGAACTTTACCCAGTCTTCACAAAGCCCAGGGGCCCCCTCGGCACCTCCGTTCTACCAGGAAATGATGTCAGATATGAAGTTCTAGTTGAAAAGGCCAGAAGTTTTGGATACTTACATGGCAAAAGCAATTTCTGCCAAACCGGGTACAATTCTCCTGGTGTGTACAAGGAGTGTTCATGGGGCATACTGCTTGCTATATCACAGAAGAATCTCAATGTTAGTTTCGAATTATGTATATGGAATATATTGACTGCCAATCTGGCAATGGGGGGAATAAGCACCTGAGCAACGACGGTGCTAGGAGTCTGGCTCGTGGGCAAAGCAGTAGTCACGCTCACAAGGCCCAGAGCGAGGATCAAGAAAGACTTCATCTCGAACTACTAATTTCAGTCTTTCGTGTTGGATTGGTTGGAGCAGTCCAGCTAGGGCACAAAGTAGATTGTTAACAGTTGATTGAGTGGTGATTGAAGTTGATTTTGAGGCATGGCCACAGCGCATATATATATACATTGAGGTTGCTATTCATATCCTTTAACCCCCTAGCCATTCTGTTATTGGATAACTGAGTCCGCAATGGCATCAGTCCTAGTATCTTCCACTCTCCCCTAGAGCCGTTCTCTACCCTTGTCTGCAACCAGATTCATTCACACATCACATGGTGGCAAGCCCCTGAGCGGTAGTTCCACGGTCTAAAAAAAGCACCAACCAGTTAACTAGTTAGCCAACTAGTTAACCCACTAGTTGATGAAAGAGTACATAGCGCTAGTTGATGCAGTACTACCTGTCATTGACGCCCGTTTGACGTTTAGTATGTGTAAACAAGCCTACCGAATTCTATGGGCTTGCCTCTGCGGCTTTGTTTCAGGAGCTGTGCCTTAAGCGCCGTGCTTACAAGGATGCCAAAACAGGACATACTCTGTACCCAATAACCAATGAATTCCCATTGCCAGTTCGCGCTGGAACTATTTTTAATACACCACACAAAAGGTAAAGGTTATATATAGATAACAAAAAAGGGCAGATAGATACATAGGCTGGACCATTACTGTTTGGGGTAAATGCATAATTAAGAGATTGGCCAAGATCAAAAGAATAAAGCAATGCCAGGAGAAAGAATGAAAAAACGAAGGCATGATTGAATGGGGTATTTATACAGGCTGACACCAAAAGTAGTGTGTGGTATATTGTGTGATCGCTATGCTGGCAAGGATGCAGTGGTTTCCCCCGAAGAGGGTAACTAGATGTTAAAGAAAGTAAACAGCTCAAAATAGTCCTCCAATGGCAGTATGCCATGTAAAATTAAAAGAACAGTTTGAAACTCCGTCAAGTAGATAAATATTAGCTTCAAGACCAATTTTTTTCCTTATTAGTATGTCAAAATATGAAGCTTTTGTTTGAACTTTTGTTTGAACGCAAGAAATTCGCATCCTGGAAACAAAAGAGCCAAAAGCGAAGAAGCCAGGCTGCGAGCCTCGCGTCTTTTCCTTGTATAGTGATATGCTTCACTTGGAGTCGGGTATGACAGCGTTAGTGGTAGATGCCGTGCGCCTAGTCCATCCGCTAAAGAAGCCGACTGAAGGGGATGAGTTTTGCGACTTGGGCGCGGCGGTTGCATCCGGGGTTGCTTTAGATGCAGTGACCAGGATGCTGGGGCTGGAGTCGCCGGGAGTGGAGGCAGGTGATGTTGCACCGGTAGAGCGACTCATGAGTCGCTTAAGGGTGTCCAATTTGACCTTCATCTCTTCTAGCTCCTGTCGTGCGATCGCCTCAGAGGTCTTCGCGTTGACAAGCTCTAGGAGTAGGCCTTCATCATCACCAACAAGGGACTTGGGGGCTCCCAGGCTGCTCGTCCGTTTCGAGAACGTTGACGTTTTGGGAGAGCTGGCTTTCCCAAGCTTGAATTCTCGCAGGCCATTGGCAGACTTGTCGTCCTCCGACCCAATTGATTCGGGGCGATCGGTTTGCAGTTTCGATAGGGGTGGCTTTTTCGTTCGAAGCTCTTGTATTGTACGTTCAAGCCGCTGCTTTTCTTTATGTGCGTCCTGAACTCTACTTCGAGCTTCCTTAAGCTGTTCTTTTAGTTGGGCATTCTGCTGCTCGTGCTCATCAATGGTTCGGCCCATTCCCAGACACCTAGTAGATTCGAGTTCGTATTTGCTCTTCCACATTTCAACATCGTCGAGTAGCTGCTGTTTGGTTTGCAGCATCGACAAGCGCCGTGGCTCTGTCGAAGCGAATCTTTCTTCTGCCTTGAGGATAAGTTCAGCATCAGGCTGCTCAGCTGGGTTCTCTTTGATACGAGAAAGTAGCTGAGCAGCAACCAGCTGATCCTCTTCGCGTTCTTCCCGTTCTTGCTGCAATTGCTTAGCTAGGGCAGCCTGCTCTCGCTGCATGTCTGAAAGGGCGAGAAGAAGATCTTCTATCTGCGAGTGCAGATCCTTGTCGCTGGTTTGCAAGCGATGAGCCTTTGGCTTCGGCGTCGCATTGTCGATGTTTGAACCTGATGAGGTGGATGCCTCGGTCGGCGCCGTGCTGGCTTCTGAGGCCGATGACTCCAAAGAGTTAAGGGTTGAAGCCATGCTCTGTTTCGACGGGGTTCGAGTAACACCCATGGAAGGACTCGATCCTGGGGTGGGAATGCTGGGGTTTTGAGCAACGGATTTTACAGAGCTGTGGGAGCTTGAGCCTGCCCAGAGTCTACCTAGGAATCGGGAAGCGATGGCTTGAAGCTGAGGCAGTGACACACTTTGTGCATTGCCTTGTGTTTCCTGGTACTTCAATTCTAGAGCGTGCAAGCTTTCGTGAGTGACCAGGGAGGTGAGTGACACAAAGTCCGTAACAAGGTCATCAGCATTGCAGGCATACCTAGAGTGAATACAGCTTCAGCAAAGCGCGCAGGTACCACTAGCATCAAGGGGGAGTACTTACGGATCCCATAAGCTTCTCGATAACAACAGCTGCATGGCGTCTTCGAATTCGGTGCACGCCATGATCCTGTGCTGGTTCCGCTGCATAAGGGACAATGCAACACGCATTAAGGTCTCGCAGGCTCCTTCGAGCAAAAGAACGTCGTAAATCCGCAAAAGCATGGGAAGAGGACAGGTGACAGCAAAGAACGACAAGAACCATTGTGATACATACACTGGTTCTATTTTGAGTGTATCAAGATGAGCAAATAGCTCTGGTGCATGATGCGAGAGTAACGATTGGAATTGATAGATACGGAGATGGAGCCCTGATAAAGTAGGCAGGAAACACGATCGCAAGTCATAATGGTCCATCAGTCTGTGTCGGATACGTGTCAGTAAGTAGAGATCAATCAAAGAGAGGTAGTAAGGGGAGACGGACCTGACAAGGACGCTGAAGGCCTCGGCTTCGCTCATATGCATTAATAAGGGTCCAACGACGAAGCCTAGGCCCTGGCAATACCCAATCTTGCTGTCATAGAGACTAAAGCACTTGAGTACCCTTCCTAGCATCTGCTGGCCTTCCCCAAGCGGATCTCGAAACATCTCTACGTTGGGGAAGCTTCTTCCGATATCCTTGCCGATAAGGCCTTCGTAGGGACTTGTCTCGCCGCACAGCTTCTCGTACTCATCATGGAGGTGAGAATCTCGAGCTCCGGCAATGCTCGGCCACACAACACCTCGAAGCGGAGGCGGGACACCCCCTCGGATCTTATGAGACGTGAGAGTAGGGAGCCGCTGAGCGGTACGAGGATAGTCGGCCACAAGCGCAGCCCAGAACTCGAGTTCGGTCATTTGGGGAGCGGGCAGTTGGGAGTACCGGAGCGAAGATCGAGAGTCATTGACGAGATCTTTAAGTTGTTGGATAGATGGGGGCCTCGAGCTGCGGAAGGATGTCTTTTTCGCTGAAGCAGACTTTGGATCGGTTGCTAGAGCGTTGTTTTCCTGCTCTAGTCGTGCTAGGAGCAATGTCGTTGACTGTTCAATTTCCTGGTCAGAAAGATAGCCATTACATCTTAAACGCTCTTCGACACAGCCTTCGGGGGTTTCTTCGTCTTCTATTATTCATTCAAGAAGACCAAAAGACTCACCACATCGTCTCCAGATGCCTTTGACTGGTTGACTTCTGTTTCCTCTAGCCCAGCCCAGTCAACGCTTCGACTGTCATCCATGTCCGATTTATTGTTTCCACCAACACTTTCAGCCTTTCTTGAAGATGCAATTGACGGAGCCCTTGAGGGTGCCTCGTCGGCTTGTGATTCTGAAGCTGGCTCGAGCTCTTTGGCAGCCTCTTCTCGGTCATCTTGTGTTTCATCTGGACTTTCCAGCCCAAGACCGACAGTGTCGGCGGTGTCTGGACAGTATACGGCATCCGGCAATATAGGTCCATCTCCTGATATCCCAGATCCCCTCTGTATGTCTGAAAGCGGCACGGTCACCATCGAATCGGTTGGTAAAGGGTTGCGTTCCTCGTCGTTCTGGGGGACTGGCGGGGGGTCAGGGGAAGCTGGTCCCTGCGAAACCTCCATCTCGACCGGCCCTTGGGCCATTTCTGGCTTATCATCTGCCATTTTCTATCCTTTTTCAGCCCCTTTTATAGACTCCCGCCGGTTGTGAGAGAATGAGCGTCCAACGGTCGAGCTAGGGGCGGATGATCTATACAGGAAACCGTTGCGTTAAACGGGTAGCTGTGCTGCCATGAGGGCTACCTTCCGCGTAGCTTGTGGAACGAGAGTATGCCAGCCGTAGCCAGCGGCAGCTTCAGCTCGACGACAAGTGTGCAAATGAGCGTTGGGAGCGAGTGTGAAACAAGATATCAAGTCATCTCATCGTCTGTCCGTCCGTCTTGTCTTCTTCGTCGATGCTTTTTTTTATGTCGATAAGGGGGCATGCTGACTAAGACGCCACAGTCACGTGGTTCTCAGGGGGCGAGACACGCCGCAGTTGAAGAAGACGAAGCAGGAGAAGCGATGCACAAAAGATGTTTATAGATGGGCAGAGTAGACGGACAGACGGAGAAGACGCAGTAGAAAGAGGAGGGGGAGCCCTGGGCTGACATAGAAGTGGTGGTTTTCGTGTGAGAAATACGGGTGAGAGGCCATGGCAACGAGACGGCTTCAAGGGGCCCCCTGCTTCTGATAGATAGATAACTAGCCTGTTAACTAGTTAGAGAGAGATGAGCAGGGCGAGCATCACACGGGAGCCCTTCAAAGCGGCCTAGCGAAGCCGTGGTCGTACTCTGGCATGGCTTCGTAGGCTTCCCTAAATAAGCGCCGAGACGCTCGTCAACCGGCTGATAATCCGATAACCAGTTAAATGGTTAACTTGTTCGCCGTATCCTTGATAGCCTCGGGCCAATTTCGAGGCAAAGCTGGCTCATCCGACTAGCTTCTGCCGTCGAAAGTGCTGATCTGCATGGCTCTTTAGTTATAGCCAGTTATATAACTATATAGCCAGATCAACCGTCGTGCGAGTGATATTGTGCATTTGCAGCCGGCTAATTATCCCGAAGCTAACAGTCAAATTGCCGAAGTGCCGCTCGTACACAAGCCAGCGAAGAAAAAGGAAGAGATATCTATCCCAGCTGATGACTAGTTCGTCCGCTTTGATAGCACAGTGGCAGACATGACAGTGGGTTGGCGGGCGCTATCTTGGGCCAGCAGACGATGGCTGAGCTATCGGGCGAGGATACAGACATGGTCAAGCCAGAGACGCCCGTTCTCCGTCTCACAGCCCAGCCAGATCATGGACCTCAGCTGTTTTTCTCCTGAGCAGCTGATGGTGCGCGAGTCGATCAACAAGATCTGTTCTGCTTTCCCAGATGTAACTATGGATCCGTTCCTTAACACTCCGTACATTACATACACAACTTGCCGGCAAGTTGGTTAATGAGATTGGTGATTGACAGGAATACTGGGCCGAACATGATCGGACGGAGGAGTACCCGCACGAGCTCCATGCGGCCCTGTCAAAAGACGGCTGGATAGGCATTGCCTTGCCGGAGGATCTGGGTGGTGCTGGCCTGGGCATATCGGAGGCCACCATGATGCTGCAGACGATTTCCCAGTAAGGATACAACCTAGCCACTCTACAGAGTTAATCGTCAAAGTATTTTCTGTGTCAAGGGAGAAAAATGTGTTGATAGATATGTTTGCAGGAGCGGAGCAGGGCTTGCTGGTGCTCAGTCGATCCATGCAAATGTTTATGCTACACAGGTGTGTTGAAGGTTGCCATTAAAAGAGTAGTTATTTGGAACCGCATTTCTGATACCTAGAGCTGGTTGATAACTATAGCCGGTTGCAAAGTTCGCCTCCGAAGAGCAGCGGAAGAGGATGCTACCTCGACTGATTGCCGGAGAATGGAGGGCCTGCTTTGGAGTGTATGTTCGTTCGGTTGGCCACAGTTGAGTATTGAGTATGCTTGCTAACCAAGGTGTAGAACCGAGCCGAACACAGGTCTGGAGACACTGAAGCTTCGGACGGTTGCTGTGAAAGATGGGGACTCGTACCGGGTCTCCGGCCAGAAGATGCAAGTCCCTGAAAGCAAGTCTCCTTGTTCGAGTAAGAAGTAGCAGCTAACCGGCAAGTATAGTTGGATCTCATCGGCGCAGGTTGCCCAGAAGATGATTCTTCTGGCTCGAACAACGCCGATTGAAGAAGTAAAGAAACCGTCAGAGGGCCTCTCACTTTTCTTCATCGACTTCGACAAGTCGGCCGCCGGCCTAGACCTACGGAAGATTAAGAAGATGGGCGGCCGAAGCGTGGATGCCAACGAAGTCTTCTTCGATGACTACAGAATACCAGCAGACAGTTTGATTGGTGAAGAGGGCGAAGGGTTCAAGATCGTAGGTGTTTCCATCCGTCTCTCCCTCACAGTACTGCACGGTACGGCACCGCGATTAAAGGCAGGCCACTGCTCGAATTGACACCCCCCTTAGGTCCTTCATGGGATGAACGCAGAGAGATGCTTGCTTGCCGGCGAAGCACTCGGCCTGGGATACGTTGCCCTGGAGAAGGCAGCCAAATATGCCCAAGAGCGAGTCGTCTTTGGCCGTCCCATCGGCCAGAACCAGGGCATTGCTCATCCTCTCGCTGCGGCATACATGAATCTTGAGGCCGCAAAACTGGCAACGTACCATGCCACCAGGCTCTACGATGAGAGCAGAAACGGTGCATCCATCACACAGCAGTCTGTCGGCGTAGCCTGCAACTCAGCCAAGTATCTCGCCGCCGAAGCCGCCTTTGCTGCCTGCGAGAGAGCAGTAAGTTATCTCCTAGCGTGCAGAAAGGCAGCGGACCAGGACACAGCCGACTGATCCAATACTATGCATAAACAGGTCCTCACTCTTGGAGGAATGGGATACGCCCAGGAGTATCATGTCGAACGGTATCTGCGAGAGTGTTTCGTCCCCCGAATCGCACCTGTCAGCCGTGTAAGTCTCTTCCTTCCCTGTCTCTTCTGTCGATTTAGATGTATGAAGCTGAGTGGTTATCCCATCCTTGAGCAGGAGATGATCATGAATTTCATCAGCGAAAAGGCCCTTGGGCTCCCTCGAAGCTATTAGAGTAGAAGTCCCTTCCGAATAGTACTTGGTGATTAGTCCTTGTAGTTAGCTATAGCTTCGTCTCAGGGTAGTTAGATGAATCGATGTAGCTTCTGATAACTACCTAAGCTCTAGTTACAAGCATGATCTCACATCCAGGGGGCTAACTAAGCTCTCAAGGGGGGTTAACCAGTTGGTTAAACAGAACAGATAACCAACTGCATCGACGTAATATATATCCACGGCAGCCGTAGCCATTCCACCCTCGCCACGGCCTCAACTGTCCTGTTTGATGCCCAACTGCCTTGCCCAGTGACGTTATTTCAGATCTAACCGGGTTCTCGCCTGAGAATCCCTGCTTTGCGACTCGGCTTGCTGGGATCTAGAGAGTTTCTCCCGCCGCTGATGTACATGGACGAGCAGTCCAGATCAACTTGGCTGCACGCGAGCAGCCGGTCAGGCAGCAACAGAAGCAGCTGAAGACGAAGCTGGAGAAACCATCGGTCTAACAGTTATAATAACAGCAGCTAAACTATCAACCCTGAAGCTGTAAGAAAGTGCATGCGTTAGAGATAAGTAGGAAAAGGGCAACGATAGTAACCATTACATCACATGTTCCGAAACATCGACCTTGGATGCTTTTTATTTTTTTCTATTTTTCCTTTTTCTTTTCCTGTTTCTTCCACTGCTTCAGCTTCTACCAACTTAGCTACACGCAAGCGAAAAACCACAGCAGACACAGAGACAACCACAGACCGAGACAGCGAGCGACCGGAACACCCGCTTCGTGCATCGAGAACTGCTGTCGACCTCTGGCTGCCGAAGCTGCTTTTTGCTAGACTCCCGGCTGGTGTTTTCACAGCTTGAAGAACAGGTCGCAGGCCTCCGATCTATACAAAAATGGCCACCACCAACGGGGCTCACCACCCACAGTCAAACGGTAACCAGAACACCCCTCCTCGCTCTACTATCTCACCCTATTTTCTGTGCAGCGATCGATGGGATATCTCAGTCTATACGTCTCAGCGGATTGCTTGAAAGGGCCTCCTCTTGGGCGTCATGTCATGGTCGAGCTGTGGCGATACGAGTAAGGTAAGGCTCCTTCCCAGAGCTTCTCCCACCAGACAGACATCCTGGGCTTCACTGACTCCGGAGCTTTCTCTGCTGTCTAGTTTACTGCTCCTCGCCCTCAATCTCTATTTATGGATAAAAGGACACCAAGTTCTCATACGTGGACGCTAGGATTCCATTGGTTTTGATCTGTGATGGAGCTATGTCTGACATTTGGTACGCCTAACCCCCTTTACTACTCAAAGGCAAACCTCTATGCTAATATTGATATGATCATCACTAGATATCGAATATAGGGACGACCAAGCATACCACCAATGGCACCCATTCCTCTCCCCCTTCTCTTCCTCAGACATCCCAGCCTCTGACCCGTACGTTCCAGCTCCGAACTATACTCCTTACCCCTTTATACAGCCATAGAAACTAAACAGCCTTTTCCATCGGCAGATTATCACTCGAAATTATACAGCCTCTTGAGCGTGAGCAATCTCCCTTCCCCGATCGACCATAAAAGAAACGAACACAAATTGCCGATAGCTTCAGTTATTGATAGCTAAGAATAATATATATAGTGGGAACGGCCAAGTGCTACCGCTAGCTCCTTTGTTACCGTTGTTCTCTTCATAGTTGCCAGCAGATACCTGCCCCTACTCCGATGGACATTGAAGTTCCTTTATCTCGCCCTGGGAGGTACGCTTATATTCTTCTAGACGTTACATGAACGCAGTACATCTGACAGTATACTAATCATGGCCCTGTCTACGATAGTGACTGCTTCGGCTGAAATTGGTGGCCGTTTTATCTTCTCCCGTGGGCTAACTAGCTCCACGCGTCCTCGAAAGTACTATACCATTCCCAAAGATACTATGGACAGCTTCTTGGAGGACCTTGATAACCTGGTCGAATTCTTCATCATCGAATTCCAGCGGATTCTCTTTGTCGAGAACTTAACCTACACTGTTTCTGTACGTATCTGCACTAGAACAACCTACACGAAGTTGATTCAGCGGCTATACTAACCTCCTAATAGGCGTTTATTACAGCCTTGGTTTCATACTGGCTGGTAATGTTCCTACCCCTGTGGGGATTGGCCTTGATTGCTACCTGCGCTGCCTACTTGGCTCCGCTGGTTTATATCACCAACAAGGAATTCATCGACAACCAGCTTGGAAATGCACAGGAAATTGTTGCCACCCAGGCTTCCCATGTGAAAGAGATGGCTGAAACTCAAACCGCACAAGCCACCCACATCGTCAAACAGTATGTTGGAGACTATCGAGCTAAGGCCAACGGTTACATTGGATCCACCAATGGTGCTGTTGCAGCTCTCACGGCACCTAAGTCCGAATCCGAGGCCAGCCCCAAGGCCACCCAGGTACCTACTCAGGAATCTACCCAGGAATCAAACCACGAACAGCCCCAGGCACCAACCCGCGAGACTGTCGAGGAGACTGTCGAAGAAAATTTCCGCCAATCGACCCCTGAACCTGCCCTGGAATCGCTCCCGGATATCCCAAAGACAGAGGCCCTCCCTGATTTGCAACAAGTCACCCATGCAGATTTCCCTGAGGCCCCTACCGGTGAGCCTTCTGGTGAAGTCAAGGAGGCTGACACAGTACCCGAATTGGCCCAGACCTCCTAAACCGACATCTTTCTACCCGTTATGTTTCTCAACAGGCTGTGCCTTGGCGAAACAGTGTCTGTCATGACACATTTACCCCTTCATACTAGCCGCATCAGCCAGGCTCCTATAAAAGTCCCTCCCTTACTTTCTATTCTCTTCACCACCCTCTACTACTTGCATTTGCACCAACAGGTTACTCTTACTACCTATTGGGCCGATTTCCAAACATTAACATTGAGCAGCCAGCTCTATCCTTTACCCACATTAATTTTCTTATTGTCAAACAATTATCCACTTCTACTTCCGTTTCCCTACGTGTTTAAGTATTTTGTTTTCTATCCATTCCATTCATTTTCCACAAGTTGTCAAAACTGAACCTTTTTCTTTTATCCTGCATTTTTGTTTTTCTTGCTTTTCCCTTTATTACTATTCTACTTTACTTTCTTGTACCAACCTGTCTTTTAAATCTCTCTTTACCCAAATTATTAATGAGTCAGTGTAGTTAGTCAAAAGCATATGGGTGAATGAACCATAAACCCCGTAACCCCCTGGATAGTGACCTTCTGACACTCGAATGAATTACCCCTATAACTAAGTTAGGTAAATTCATCAATGATTATCCCAGAATTGTTACTTGATGCATGGTTGCCCAGTTTTATATGGATAATCAATGCGTAATCAAAGTTGGACAGTTATTATTAAAAAAAAACGTAAAATATTAATAAGGTAAATTAACAATCTAATGGAAGACAACCCCTTTTTCCATCCTTTCGTTTAGCCAAATTTTTATGCATCTGAGGAAACAGCTGGTCCCCTCTGAAGACAAATAGAAACAAAATTAAATATGAAATTAGGAAACAAACAGAAGAAATTGGACAAAGTCGAGAAGCAAGCTCACCACCCATTGTAAACCCAGGGTAACGCCTTTTCCTGTTCTATGCTGATGCACGTCTTTTCTTCCTAGCTGAATCCTCATCTTTTGATGCAGCGCTGTTGCCCACCGCCTCCTGCATATGCAATTTCATCAACATATACGCTGCTCTGGCATCGTTTGTCAATGGGAGAGGTGACTGTCTCCCTTCGAGTTTTGTCTCGACTTCTACCTCACCCTTTTCACTTTCTTTTCCCTTTTCCAGTTCAATACCTGATACCACTAATTGTTTTGGGGTAGGGAGTCCAGTGTTATTCCCGACGTTGGAATGAGTGCACTCAGGAGATGCTTGGGGGGTCAAGCATACAGGAGTGTTGCTGTCAGGCATCAGTGCATCTTCTTGGTCCGCTTCACCCTCGGCCTCAGAGTCGAAGCTGCGATCCACCTTGGACCATTGGGTAGGTCCATTGTTTCCGGCCTCGTCTTCAGACGTCGACGCGCCCGTGCTCTCGTCGTCATCGCCGTCATCTTCAACATCGTTAAAGGCTCGGCATGTTCCATTAGTGCGAGCCAAAGTTTTATTATTGTTCATCCGAGAAAGTGACTCAATGATATCCTTTGGAGATGGCAGAATTGTCTCATTTCTGTTATTCAAGGGACATCCGAAAGGCTGGGAGGTACGTGGTGTATTAGCTGGCGTCCACCCGGAATTTGGTAGCAACGATGGTGAGTACGCTTGGTGGTCATAATAGGAGGAGCCCCTATGCGAACTTTGATCCCTGTTATCAAAAATAGCGGCTTTTTCGTCATCGAGAGAACTGTCCTGAGATTTACATCGCAAACTTTTGACGCTGAAATGTTCTGGCCTAGATTTCAAGGGTAAATAGGACATGTTCGAACTAGAAAGGCGATTGTGAGATGTCTTCTGGAGCTCAAGATTGCGGTGATGGTGTGCTGTAATGGTTGCAGCTCGAATAACAGCAGGATCAATGATCATACGTCCGAACATCTCATCAGTCGGCTTAATACACTCTGAGAGAAAGTCAACTCCAAATAAAGGGGTTAAAGCATATCGTATCTTCCAGCAAAACGTAGCAGCAACGGCTTTAGCTGCCTCAAATGGCATCCAATACCCTATAATCATCAGTAAATCAGCGTATTTATTAGGACCAAGGACTGCTTACCTTGGGCTGCCAGTGCTCCACCAGTTATGCTGTGGCAGATTTCCCTAAGGCCAGGGTTGGCATTCAACATTTTCGCAGGGGCAGTCTAAGGAACAAATTTTGGCTCAATAATTTGCAAGAATTGGAGGGTAGGTCGATAAAAATCATACCTTTGAATAATTATTGCATCGAAATAGCGAAGTTGTCCTAACCAAGCCAATGTTGTAATCCCACATTACAGTGTATACTTTATCGTCACCGGGGATTTTGAATTCGTATTGAAACACTGGTTACTCTGTTAGCTTCTAGGACTTTTAACACATATATACTGGAGGCCTTACCTTCAAAACTTTCCCTTCCAGTTTTCTCAAGGAAGGACTTTTTCTCACTGTTGTATGGAATATGTCTAGGGAAATCCGTAATGTGGCCCATTGGGTGAATCTCAAAAAGCTTGTGCGCCTCGGCCAACTTTTCATCCTGCCATTCGCAAGGGGGGTACTTGAGGGAGCCTCTTATTCTACCCCTCGTGAATACAGCAGCATCTTTTGAGACCTTTTGCTTCTTTGCGGGGGGAGAAGACTGGCACCCCCTTCCGCCCCCAGACGAGTCGGGAACTAGAACTTTTTGGTTCTTGTTTGTAGAGTCCTGCTCCGGGTTGAGCAGAGAGGCGATGGATGCCATCTCAAATGAGAAACTTTCCCAACGTCGGTCTTCCTGATCTTGGCCCCCTATGAAATGGGTCGTTGTCTGAGATCAATATCAATCCAACCGTGGAATTGTACAAGGCGGAGGAGTTAAGAAAGTGTCACAGCAGATGGCGCAGTTTCGACAAAAATATAGTTGCCAAACAAGGAAAAGGTAGAGTAACAGGATATCGTATCCTAAGATCTAGCTTCAGCAATCGGGAACAGCTGATAATGGGAGAGAAAGGCTTGAGACAGGCTTGAAAGATAAAGAAAAAGCGCGAAGGGTGAAAAAGAGGCCAGTGCGATAATGGTAGTAAAAGGAGGCATAGGCCAGATGCAGGACATTGCATCTAGCGGGAAAATGGCATTGCGGTTATTGACAGGTAGAATAGAAGTATAATAATAATCCCAGTTGAGGAGGCGCCCAATGATACCAGTTGAAAGATATCTTTTTAAAAATGATATCGGTTTCTCCGCAGGTCTCTAAGCCAGTGGTCTTGTAAGAAAGAGCAAGCCGTTCTGGGCGAGCGAAGTACAGTACGCCAGGTACTGTTTGTTTGTATCGTGAAAAGAACCACCGATACTTGATACATATCATCGAGGCAACCTACCACAGTTGGGCAAGCGGTGAAGAGAAAGGGTGAAATAGGAAGCTGTGGAGTTTGGCTGGTGCAGGTCTCACTAAGGAAGATGCAAAATATTGTTTGGCTGTGGTCAATGCTATGAAAGCATCAATGACCATTTTGCAAGATGGGATTCATTCTATCACCCAGACGGCTATGATAGATACATCCTTAGGATTATTTTTGCAGATACCCCCGTTCCGATCCCGATACAGGGAGTCTGCGACATGGTTCCGATGGGGTGTTCCCTCTCCCCTTTGCTTTATCGGAAAGAGGAGCGTCTATGCGCAGTGATGTGCCTAGCAATAGCCTTCAAACAAAAAAAAAAAGGGCTGCGTAGAGTGTGAAATGCAAGGGTATATTCTGCTCGGGATATGGAAAACATTCCAACACTCTAAGAGGTGGCGGATGGGTGTGCTTCATCGAGGAGAGGAGCGTTTCAGTCAACAGATGCAGATACCCGAAGACGGCTGGGTGGGCAACACAGGTTCCTTGGGCATTTGGAAATAGGGCGTTTTTTTCGCAGGCGCCTCATCTAACGTTCTTACATTTGGGTACTGACTGTCAGTTTCTTTTGTCGCTAGTTTATTTACCCCTAGAGGCTTTTCGTCCCGAAGAAACAGGTTTCCCCTATCCCTGGGCACTATAGTGCCATTCACGTATGACAAAATGGTAACAGAGCTATCTTTCAAGATCCCCACCAATTCAAGAAGTGACTTAGGCTCTTTGGTTAAAGGACATGTTGATAAGGTAAATTTATGTTTTGCTCCTCTTGTTCCATTGTTAGCATAGTGTCCAACCCGTCTATGGCCGGCCCATTGAACCGGTCATACATGGGGAATACTGCCATGGAAGCTAACTCTGTCTAGGCAGCGGTTTAAAGTGGGTCAGAATCCGGTGGGTATGTCAGGAGGCTGCATGTATGGCAAGCGTTGAATCTTGATACACTTGATCTGGTTAAGATGTAGAAAGGAAAAAAATAAAAAATAACGATTGCCTGATCCGTGGGCGTGTTGTGGGAAGCCGCATATATTGAAAGCTCGTGTGACGGCTAAGTGCTTGCCAGCCCCCACAGTTTCGACTCAACCAGGTCTGAAATGGATTACTAGCAAAGGATGTTGAAAATGGCAAACATGGGCCGACCTGATTATGGGATCTAGCAAATCATAGGGCATCTATGGCATGGAGCTAGACCACCTGACTTACAGTCTTTGATGCTCCATCTAAATGGGAGGGTTTGAGATGGCGGTACTCAGAAGTTTTCAGAGAGCTGGTGGTGAAGCAAATTCCACAACCCCAGGGCCTTCACTGTAGCTGTGCAACTCCGCGAACACTCGAAAGAAATCTCCGCTTGCCCTGCGTCTAACATTAACATTAATCAGAAACCCGGGGTAGAATATACAAGAACCTGTAAGTTATTAAATCCCATAATATTTTTCACGGTATCAAGCATATCATAAAAAGCTCACTCTCCCGTATTTCTAGGTACTTTGGAATCAGCAATACCTCCAGCTTCGACACACCAAAGGGCAAAGTAGCTTACCCTCCCCAGCATCCTAGACATGAAACACCTATATATAAAACCAAACAGAATATAATAGGATATATACCTAGTTAGTTACCCGCAGTTCCGTCTCTAGGGGCCCATCACCTTCAAGGGTTGCGGGAAGACTGAAGCTCGGTTGGACGGTGTTTTCATGGCTCTCGTCTCGCGCTTCTAGTTAACAACCAAGATACCCGTACCGCCGCTGAGATATGTCTGGCAGTAGCACTTTGTTCCATCTTATCTCACCATTGGAATGCCGTTGTTGTTGTTGTTGTTGTTGGTCTTTGGTGCTGAGGTTATCGTCGTGTGAAGTTGGGACGAGATCGAAAAAGCTGTCAGCATCCCAAAAAGGAAAAAAAGACGACAAGCCGTACAACCGCAAAGCGCGGCAGTTTTTATCGTCTTTTGCTGCGACAAAACATAACCCCTTAATTTAAGAGCCTCCCTTCGGCGAGAAGAGTTTCAAATGAAAGCAACAGTTCTAGATCTACCCTGGGTTATCCCTCCCCTCATGCTAATAGCTAAAGTTGCAGGACACAAGGCCGCCAAAAGGGACTGGGAGCCGCCCTCCGAGTAACGACGTAACTATCGCACAAATAAACGTTGTACATAGAACGGATGGTGTCTTGTGCCTGGTCGCGAGAGGCCTTTGATGACAAGGCCATGGACGTGGAGGCGGATGGGGAGATAGAGACGACATGAAATAGGGAGAAATAACTATAGCAGTGGAATATTAACAGTTCAACAAGATATCAAATGCATTTATACAATCATGTAAGAAAAGATGCAGAAAATAGAGAGAGTGATAGTTTAATTGAACTCCGCCCCCGAACACCAACCAGCGACTCTCTCCCTTCACTCCGTAAGGTAGACTCCGTGAATACTCCAGCAAATCAACCGCCCCTACCCATTGAACTACCGCCTGATTAATCCGAGAAATCATCACTAGAGACCGCCGCATCTCCATCTTCCTCGCTGCTGTCATCGTCATCGACGGCGTACACAGGCTTTTTGGCAGTTGTTGCTGCACGACGTGAAGGTCTCGCCCTAGACGATGGTTTGGCAGCTTCCTCGGGCTCCGAGTCAAGAATATCATTAGCCATGGCATCAATATCATCGTCGGACATATCGTCCACAATTTTCTTGGCTTTGGCCTTTTTGGAAGCATAGGCCTTTGCTGCTGGTGAGAGCTGAAGAGACTTCTTGGCTTTCTCGGGTGCAGCGGCCGCTGCCTTTTTTGGCCGGCCTCGGGCAGGGGCTGTCGAAGACTTTGCCGCAGGTTTTGTCGTTGATTTAGAGCTGGAAGCTTTAGCTTTAGCAGGCTTAGCAGCGGGTTTAGGCTCATCTTCAATGTCATCCTCTGCATCTGAAAATACTTTACTCTCCTTTGGCTTCACAAGTAGAGAGCGCCTTGGAGAATTTTGTGGGATAAGTTTTGAGTAGTCAGTTTCATCTGCATCGAACTCCATTGCATCCCTTGTCGGTTTGGCTGTAAGTTTCGCGCTTCCACCAGGCGGACGAGAAGGCTCAGAAAACAGGGTTGGACCAGTGGAGACTGTATTCGGTTTTTTCTTGTCTATCCCCTTGACCATGGCGCTGACGTCGAAGTCATCATCCTCTTCATCCTCAGATGTACTGAAGCCATGGTACTTCTTAGGTTGCTGTTTGGCTCGAGCGCTGCGCTGCGTTGGCTTAGGGACCACCTCGATGTCCGAGTCGTCATCGGCACTCTTTAGTTTCTCTATAGGAGAAGCTTCCTTCGGTTTCTCCGTTCCCATTGAGTCAATATCCATGAAGTCTGCATCACTCAGATCCTTGACTACAGGCACAGGTTTAGTTTTAGCTTCCTTAGCTGCCCCTCGAGATTTCGGCTTCGGCATGACCTCATCCTCGAAATCATCCGAATCATCTGCACCATCGACATGAGATGTCGTTTTTGGCTTGGGCTTCGATTTACCAAGGTAATCGAGTAGCCCGCCCTTGGGTTGAACACGATTGACTGTCGCCTTCTTCCCCTTTGGAACATCGAAATCACTGTCATCACCTGAGCCCGCCTTGCGCTTTTTAGCAGCAGTAGCTCGACTGCCAGTTTTGACCTTGGACGACAAGCGTCTCCCACGACCAGCAATTTTCTTGCGACGATTTTCTTCGTCCTCAAGCTGAAATCTCCATTCAGTAATGAATTCTTCAAGGTCCTTCTTCCATAGATCTTCCTTTGTGAGTTTGATCAGCGCATCAACTTCCATCTCCTTATCTCCGATTTGACGTCGCAATTTTTCAACACGTTCTTGAGTCAAAGACCATAGAGGCATCTGTAACGCCGGGTGTTAGATTCAAACTGTAACTAGGTGGGCATAACGCAACTTACACTAAGGAGATAATCATATGCATCAGAAGAGAGAGCTGCAGTTGCAGTCTCTTCCTCGTCTTCCTCATCTTCAACATCGCCGGCTTCTCCTGGTTCCGGAGTATCGACGACCTTTGGGAATGGCTTGAACCCCTTCTCCTGGAGCTCCTGGATGAGGAGGGCCTTTTTCTTTTTTGAGATGACCAATTTTCCATCGATAATCATCTGTACGAAACGGGCTTGGTTGCTTAGCTTATCAAGTTGCGTTTGAAGCTCTGACAGGAGATGTTGCTGTAACCAATATTAGACATATAGACAACAAATATGATAGTGATATATATGGTGCATACCTTTCGTTTCTCATAAAGTTTGATACGGACTGCATAAAACGCCCGCAAGATGTCTTCTGGCGTTTCGTAGCGGGTAATGCGGCCTTCAGCATCAAAGGCAACCATGTTCGAAGTTGCTATTGGTTTAACAAGTTTGAACTTTTCCTCAAGGCCTTCCTCAACGGCCTTTTTCATATGTTTTTCTTCCATCTGAATAATGAAGTGGACGTTGGTGTGGGTATTGTAGTCTTTGTAATCTTTGATGAATGAAGGGACCTTTTCGGCCTTGATGATTTCCTCGAGCTTGTCCTTGAAATCTTGTGTCCAAGTACGGATAGGTAATTCACTGATTTCCACCTCATTGTCTCCGGTTTGTTTGATGATACCACTAAACTTGTAGCGATCTCCAGACCCAGTAACCTCACCCTTAAAGCCGCGGAACCATGGCTTCATTGGAACGAGCTCGTCACCTGCCATCAGCCGCTTGAGGTTGTCGACCACATCCTCGGGGTTATAATTTGGGATTGAGGTGCTCCAGCCCGTACCAATACCGTCAGCGCCGTTAATGAGAATGAGCGGAACAACAGGTACGTAGGTTTCTGGCTCAATCACTTTTCCGTCATCCACATTGTTCGCTAATAGTGGTTCATCGGCTTGATGGAATAATCGCCGTGCAAATGGTGAGAGTCGTGTGTAAATGTAACGAGCACTGGCACTGTCAGAACCTCCTTGGAGACGACTTCCAAAATTACCGCTGGGTTCCAAACAATTGATGTTGTTTGATCCGACGAAAGTTTGGGCAAGACCAACAATAGTTGTATGCAACGAGTTATCACCATGTTGATAGGCTGTCATACCCGAAACATAACCAGCAAGTTCGACTACCTTGATGTCCTTTTTGACATTGCGTTTGAACATGGTGTACAAAACTTTTCGCTGACCAGGTTTCAGACCATCAACCACCGAAGGGATGGACCGAATATTGTCAGCCATACTGAAAAGAATTAGCTCCTTATTGATGAAATCTGTATATGTGATCTGGTCCATAGAATGGTCAAGATATGTCCCCGGCTTAAATTGACGAAGCCACTCCTTTCGTTCATCAGCTTTCTTCTTAGAAAAGGCAAGCTCGATCAGCTCTGCTTCCTTGTCTTGCAGCGTGTGAAATTGTTTCAAATGCCTATCCAAATCTTGGAAGTAAACCTGGGCGTCCTCTGTCGAACTGGTACCCAAACCTTTGTAGTACTTCTTTTGCCATTTCTTATCATGTGCGTGAGCTTCTTTCCACTCTTCATATTCGGGAAGGGTGAAGAAGGACTTGGAATGAGTTGGGTTCTTAGGATCTCCCTTCCAAACTTTGACAATAGGTGTGATGAATTCTATTAGGAAGCCGGGGATTTTCAACAACGTTGGGAATGCAACCTGAAGATAGTTGATGAGCAAGCCCTTAATATGACTACCGTCATGATCCTGATCAGTCATGATCATAAGATGACCATACCGGAGGCCTCGAGTATCAGTATACTCCTTTTTATGTTGCAGCCCAATGAAATTTTTGATATTCTGGATTTCAGCATTCTTGGAGATTTGGTCTACCGAGGCATCTCGAACGTTGAGGAGCTTTCCTCGAAGTGGAAAGACTCCGAAGAGGTCAGGCCCAACGACTGCCCGGCCAGCCATAGCCAAACCTTTGGCGGAATCACCCTCAGTTAGGATGAGGGTACAATGATGCCCTTCCTTAGTACCAGCCTTGTTTGCATCTGTAAGCTTCGGGTTATTCATACGAGAGCGGCGGTTGCCATCAGTTTTCTTCAGAATTTGATCAGCTTTCTTTTCCGCAAAGTGCAGAATATCATCCATGACCCGGGTCTTCATGACTTTTTTCAAAAAGTCGTCGGATACAATACATTTGCTTCCGAATTGGCTTGACCTGGTAGTCAACTGCTCTTTGGTTTGTGAGGTGAAGGCAGGATTGACGATCTGGGAATTAACAAAGAGGAAAATGTGGTTCTTGATCTGTGCAGCTTTGAGCGTCGCTCCAGTCTTGTTCTTCTTTTTCAAGGCGTCGGCAAGCTTGTTACAAATTTGGTCGCTGATGTAGTTAACGTGCGTTCCACCAGATGTTGTTGCGATTGAATTAACAAAAGAAACCTGCTGAAAGGAGCCATCTGAAACGGTGAATCCAATTTCCCAGCGTCGGTCAGGGCTTTCCGTAATTATATCATTTTTGTCAGAAGTCGGGTCCTCTCCTCGCTCGGTCTTGATTGCTTTGGTGTACATCTCCATGTACTTTTTGAAGGACTTGACAGGGATTCTTGTGCCGTTTAATTTCACCGTTGTACCACAGGTGCCAGCCATGTCGTAGACCCGTCTTTTAACCAACGCTTCGAAATCATCATCCATGCCGTCCATGCCAAATTTTGCAAAGTCAGGCTTGAATGTGACCTTGGTATAGTCGTCACCCTTGCTTTCGGTAATCTTTGCCTTGCCCATAGTTGACATATTTTTCGTCCATGTAAGCTTGAACTTCTTTTTGTTGCTGGAGTCGGCAGTTTCCACTGTAAATTCATTACTGAAAATATTACAGAGTTTCGCTCCGTAACCATTTCGTCCACCAGTTACTTTCTCCTGCATGTCATTGTAGTTTGATGAGGTCAATAGATGGCCAAAAATTAGTTCGGGGATGTAGATGTGCTCTTTCTGTGAGGAAATTAGCATTGCGTCTGTAAAAAATTCGTTATCATCAGGGAGGCGGTATATACCTTGTGAATTTCTACTGGAATACCACGACCATTATTCCAGACACTGATTTCACCTGCTTCTTTATCTAATGTAACTCTGATCTCACTCATGCTTGGGTCATTTTGCTTGTTATCCGCCGCGTTAACTAGGATTTCATCGAAGATCTTGTATAGGCCGGGAACGAAAGACACTTCTCTATACTCCATCAATTCGGTTGTCGAGTTGTAAACCCACATGTGTTTCTCGGTTCGTTCAACAGAGCCGATGTAAGTATCTGGACGTTTTAGAATATGTTCTAATTGGGTGATCTAGAGTAGATATTTAGTAAAGAATCCGTGTAATAGGGAAGTTAAATGATGTTCACCTTTTGATACTTGTCGGACGAGCCACCTCCCTCCGCTGTTTCTGTAGTGAAAGATCCGTTTTCCACGCTAGCAAGAGGCTTTGAAGCAGCCTTCTTTGGAGCGGCTTTCGGCTTCTTCGACGCGTTAGGGGGAGTGCTGTCAAGAGCATCCGCATCATCGGCATGTGCTTCCTCCATTACCGAGTCCAGCTCATCTTCAGGGTCAGGTCGAGCAGTCTTCTTGGAAGATGAAGATTTTGATGTAGCCTTGGGCTTGAGAGTAGTTTGGGTTAGTTTCTTGGGGGCGGCTTTTGGTTTGGACGCAGCGGCAGCTTTCTTTGGGACAGCTTTTGCCTTTGGTTTCTGGTATAGCCATCATCAGCACTAGTATGAAGCAATCAACCAGCGAACTGAATACTCACAGGAGCAAAGTCCGAGCTGAAACCGTCGCCCTCAAAGTCGCTTTCACTCGACATCGCGTTGGTCCCGTCTCGTCTCACAGTTTCTCAGGGGAACGTTTGGGGAGGGGTGTAGCTATCTCAAGTGTTGAACAGCGCAAGCCTGAGCTATCGACCTCAGACTGATTCACTCTGCATATCGGTCCAGGTAGTAAACGAGTGACAATGATTGTGGATATCGAGGAGCAAGATCATTCACTGTCCCTTTTTTTAGTTTTAATATACTGTTTTAAGGGCGGTTGTTGTTCGTCTTTCGGGGGTTTGAAATTTGGACGGATGAATGTCGGACCGCGGCGTCTTTACCCGAATAGGAAATATATAAACACTCGATGCTTTTATCGATAAACAACGGAGTTTTCTCGCTCTTCTCTTCCTGCAAAACGCATGACACCGGAAGGCGAAGAGAGATCCACGCTCAGCCACTGCTACAGATATCCGAAGACACACGGCTCGCCGCATTACTCTTGTTATTGTTGACTTCCCTCTCCGGTCGCGTTAACTTTCACGTGATATTTTTCTCCGGAATAACTATAATACGTATGACTAAGCAAATCGCGTTGTTTTGATCCAACTTTCCGCTTTCGGAGGTGGAAAAACACATCGAAACATCCAAACGATCCAACTTCGACCTCGACTTCAACATCAACTCACAGACAGTCAGACACACAGCCAGCCTGGACACGCTCGGTACAGCACATCTCAAGCTGCAGTCGACCTTCATGGAGTGTTGCGCACCTCAACACAGCTGAGTAATCTGTGTTCTTGACGCTCTCCGCCACGAAGCGTGGTCTGTTTACCTTCTTCGACCGTCCATCTACCGCATATTATCGACCGTAACGACACTACCAATCACCGTAGACCAGCCATGGCGAGCACGGTAGCAAGGGCGCGTAAGCCCGTCGGCTCGAAGGAATGGATTGCCGAAGAAAAGGAGAACTGCATGCAATTAGTACAACAGGAATTGGACGAGGTCGAGTTCCCGGTTCGCCATGAGATGGACTGGCTCAACGAGCATATGGCGGAGATATTCGCCCGTGACCAGTTGTATGGCCTATCCTTATATCCATCTTTTTCATACCCCTCTATGTCCCGTCTCCCCTCTCTGACTAGTTGAATAGCAGCGTTACCGAACTCTTTAAAACTCCTGGTAAAATGCGCGGCAAGACTCCCAGGACAGCACGAAAGATTCTCAAGACACCACGGGAAGCGCGAGTAGTAAGTTGTCCTGCAAACAATGTCTAGCAATATACATCGATACCATCATTTGAAGCGACCTGTGTTTCTGACATTGTTATAGCCTTTGAGCGACATATTTTCATCCGGACACAATGCTAGACACAGCTCTGGGCCGACTAACCGATTTACGAACGAGATCGCAAAACTTATTACTAGCGCTGAAAAGACCCGGTCGCCTCTTCCTAGCACACAGAACTCAAATCCGAATTACAACACTGACTCTGGCTACCATGGAATGCCGGATTCCCTCCCGACAGACACCAACGAACTGGACCATCAAACGGAGGTTGAGACTGCTACGCAGGTCATTGATGGCTCAACAATTCTACCCGGTGAGGGCGCTGCTATAAGCCCTCTCAACCCCCGTCGTATTACCGAAGACTCGTTCCATTCCGCGAGAGAAGTTGCACCAAGCAAGGAAAATACAGTGGAGCCAATGGATTTTGAATATTCCCGCTATATCCCAAAGAATACAGCTTTGCCTAAGCAACAGCCTCTTAGGAACTCTCCTCGCCTAGAAAGGCAGAACAACAACCAGAGTCGGTCTCAGCACTCGGCCGCTTCTCACCAACCGGAAGTTAAGGAGGACTTGGGCGACCCCAGTTTCGATGACATAGGCTCGCCTTCGGATGGTCCGACCCCGGTTCGAGCACCAATTCGAAAAAGTAGCCTTTCATTTGCTTCCTTGCCAGCAAGAGAACCACTCACTACAAAACGAAGCATGGGGGGACGAATGTCGAGGACCAGTCATATTGATCCGCCTAAGATGAGCATGAGCATAGTTGGCCAACCCGGCTACTTTGGAAGGCAGACTGGAGGGAATCGATTGACGCAAATGCTCTTAGACAACGAGAAAAATAAGCCTCTGGAAACCACTGACAAGACCGGAACCGATGATTCCGCTGAAAATGACAATGATTCTGACGCAGAAAATAAAGCTCCAAAACGATTGAACAAGTCATCAACACAGCTTTTACACGAGAAAATCAATATGCTAGGGAAATCTCAAGTTCCCCGTACCACCAAATCTATTGCTCCTGCTCCATCCCTGGGTGCACAGCAGATCAGCTACCCCGACCTTCCACCACCTACTACTGCTCCTTCAAACGATATCCAGGATACCACTTCTATTCCTGGAACTTCGCCCACTCCAGAAATAACAGGCGCTCGTGGCTCTCCTCAGCGATTACCACCAACTCCTAATCACTTTACTTTCCCCGCTGATAAGTTTAATCCAGAATCGCATATTTACAGGGACACTCCCAGCCCTATTTCAAGAGCACCATCAGCTCATCCAGTTTCCCCTGAAAGACGCTCACCAGGCCCAAAACCATTCCGGCCTGCGGGATTTTTCCATAGTAAATCTTCATCTGTGCCTTCATTCCCTATCTCTCCACGACCTGGAACCGCTGGCTCTACCCAAAAGGCACCATCCGTTGTTGACACCCCTGGTGAGTCCACTACGCCGGCTGGTTCTCCTAAACGCTTCGACGGCCCATTGAGTGCATCCAAATCAAAGCTTCAATCTTTAATGAAAAGTGCTCGAGGTCTGTTTGGTAGCAGTGCGAGCGTCTCCGCTACTGCCAAGTTGGAGACTCTTTCACCTACTTCACAGCGCACTCAGGCCAGCGTCCATTCCAACACAAATTGTGTCGCTCCACAAAACCAACCTCAGACAACAGCTATTCTTCCCCCAAGTCCACCTAGGGCGCCTCGAACTCGTGGCTCAATTGAGAGGGAACATAGACGAAAAGAGCAAGAATTAAGAGATCGCCAACAGATGAATGAGCAACTTGAGCGCTTTCGGGAACACGAGAGGCAGGAAGCAGAGCCCCCCAAGCCCATAAATAATCTCTCCAAGCCTCAGGTCCTGGATAAAGTAGAGATACCACAGCATTCCTCGGAAAACGTCCCTACTCGAAGGATAGAGCCAGTGTCCAAGGTACCTGCACGTCGTGAGCCTGAGCCTAGCCCAGAAGAAGAACAGAGACCAAGCACTATTGCTGTATCACAATCCCAGTCGCTGCATAACGAAGGTCGTAGACCTGCAAAAGCCATCAGGGAAGTGCGGAAGCCAAAACCACAGCCTGTCAGTATCCGTGTCGGAACTCTGTCTTCGCAGCGAATAAGAGCAGAATCAGCAACTCCAGCACCCACTTCAGCCCGTGAACCGGCACCCCGGCAAACTTCTGTCTCCAAAAAGGCGAGCAATGCGTCTCTTCTCACCACCGCATCCTCGAGTGGTAGTCTGAAGAGCTCCGCATCTTCTGCCTCATCAAAATCCAGAGCTCTGCTAGCCGTGGAAAGAAAGAAGGAACAGGTAAATCATTCAATTATCATATTACTTTTATCTCATTTGATACTTACTCTTGCGACAGGAACAGCGAGAAGCACAGCGCAAACTAGATCAGCGCCGTGAAGCGGATCGCAAGAGACTTGTTCAACAAGAGGAGGCAAGCCGACAGCAACTGCAAGAGAAATCTCGACTTGAGCGCCAGGAGCGGGAGCAATCCGTTACTGATGACCCAAAGACGCTTGCAAAGAAACAGGCGATTGAAAAGAGGCGACTCGAGAATGCCAAAAGATTGGAGCAGCAGCGTGGTCGACAACAAACCCCATCGAATGATACCGTATGTCCACTCATAAAGTCAGAGCCTATGTATATGTTGTATACTTAACTCACCTTGTCTTAGAGCTCCGTCATACATAGCGAACGTTCCATTCTCAGTGAGTCTCAGGGGCCAGCACGACCCGGTTCAAGGCTAGGCAGTGTTCAACCTCCCAGCAGGCCACATAATTACCCGCCACCAAACCCAGCAAAACCTCCCAAGCGCGTGCACGAGGAGCAAAACACTGTTCGACCTCCTGCTACAAAAGCAGGTAGTGTTCATCAGTCTGATGGCAAGCGAAGAAAAACCGAAGAAGACATAGTTGTGCCCGAACCCCCAGCCGTTCGACCAGCCATGGCTCCTCCGATTCGCCAGTCCAATGCGTCGAAACTTAACAACTTCCCTAGTGGCTCCAAGTACCCAACCGCTCCTCCGGTGAACTCAATGCAGGGCTGTCCACCGATATTCAAGAACTCCGTTGGTGCACAAAAATCGTTTCAAGCACTTCCTCATCAATCCCAGGGTAACCGACCGGCACATCCCTTGGAGATGGCAAAATACGCCAATGGAAAGATTCCCTTTGCTGAGCCTAATAACGTGCCACCCCAATCAAACTCCACTCATCTCAAAACACCAGGTCATAGCCACAAACATGGTATACTCAAATCTTCTCCAGCCTATCCAAATGGCGAAAACATCAAACTTCCAGACATTCCAACCGACAGTGAAGACGAAGACTCTGATGCTGAGCCATGTCATGTCCCAGACTGGGCCAAGGAAGAGAACCTCCATAACATTCTGGTCCAGCAAGAAGGCCAGGATGGAGAAATGGTCTTCGGTCCATCTGCTCCTCTACGTATGGAGGAAATTTTCAAAGGCAATAAGGAGAGATTACGCAAGTTTCGTGACCGTACTAGTAGTGCTAACTGGAATGGCCCAGATGGATTGACACAAGATGAGATCAAGTGGGACATGGCAGAAAGAGAGAAACTGAAGAACAACGGTGGTTGGGTGTTTAGCCCTCACTGAAATACCTTCATCCTATTCCTCTATGGATGACTATTTACATATTTCCATTTTCGGGGTAACAATATCAACACACTGTTGGACGACAATCACGCTGCGTTCTTGTCTCGTGTTGGTACGACGCTTTTTGAGTATAGGATACTCCTTAATTGTTTTTGTTATATTGCTAATACATGGCAGAAGAGCTTTGACTCTACTTCTATACCTATAAGTGTTTTGTCTGCTTTCTTGAATGTCTGGAGTTTAGATTTTGATTGCATACATGTATGGTCTTTACTACATATTAACCTGTGTGCGGAGTTTGTGGTTTAATAGCATGGCAGATGGATGATTTTTTGTCTTCGTGGAAATATGGTTACAGGCTAGTTGCATTGACTAGAGTTTAGTATATCTATGGTAACTTACCTATAAAAGTCCCAATTCCTACTGGTATCAAGGCACAGAAGCCAAAAGAGCTTCGCCAGACTCTAATATATAAGGACGGCCGACAAACCAACATCCAATTGCTCTTGTACACTTTACATACCCCGGGATCCAAGTGAAAAAACATAATGTAAAACCCAAGTGAAAACAAAGAAAGAAAAACGCTTTTAAGGAATAATGTTACAGGATTCTCACTCGTCCTCCGGCTCTACGTCAGCTATTTCAACATCTCTATCTTCCATCATAGCATCAGCATTGGGGTTATTCGTATCGTACGTGTCGCGGCGTTTTCCGTCTGGAGTATGGCTGATTGTCCTCCACCCCAAGGGGGAAGAAGGATCTTTGACATATTCGGACATCGGGAACTAGATATTCCGAGTGTCAGCACTATTTTGAGATTCGTCTCAAAGCCAGATGTAAATATGGAGTTGACCTACGTAGTGGTCGTTTTTCTTCATGGTGACAACCCATGGCACGTTATCAAACGTCACGGCACGCAGGCGGAAGTACGTATTATTGGGAATCACTTTGACTTGTTGAATGAACGAGTCCAGATCGGGCGTCTTTACACCGTTAACAGCTGTGATGAAATTGGTTGGAGACAAGCCATATTGGTAAGCAGGTGATCCGCGGCTCTATGTGTAGGTACAGAGATTAGTTGGTATTCAAACACGGAAAAATATAGGAAAAGAAGCCATACCCTTGCGCTGACGTATACGTCGGAGTGCAGCTTAGATATCTGTTGTCTGACAGCATGGTGAGGTTTCTGCAAGACTGCTCCGCAGAAAATAAGTGCTCTATCAGTCTCAAGGTCCTCTGTGGGGACGGTTTTGATCTGCATCTTCATCTCCTCGCCGTTACGCACGATCAAAGCGTCTAGCGACTCTTTATCGTACATAGTATCAAAGTCGGAGACGCGAGTGACAAGCTTGTCATTTAGCGTGAGAATAATGTCTCCCTCCTCTAGCGGCCTCGAGTCTGTAGACGAAGGAGAAGCACAGTCTACTTTTCGCACCATGAACAACTCATGTCGTGCTGGGTTGGCGATGGCAACCTTACGAATCCATTCTTCAGAGACGCCCATGACACGAGCCTGACTCATTTGAATAACGTATGTTTCCATGTCGAGGATTCGAAGCTTGGGGATGGCGCCGCTTTGGATTTGAGAGAGAACTGGGAGAAGGGACGGTGTAGCTAGTCCGAGATGATACTCAACGTCCTTGTGGGAGCTTTCAGTTCGTTCACCTAAATAGTTGAGCCAAAGCGCCTCGACAGCGCCGTCTTCTCCTAATAGAACACCACTGGTGCATTGTGTACTTAGTCCGGTATCGACCGTGATGGCATCCAGGTTGATAGCACGATATCGTGGAGCAGAAGAATTTGGAGGAATCGCAACGGTGGTGATATCCGTGACAGTTGTAGCCGTTACAGCAATGCGGAAGTTCTGGTTGAAACCAACGAACAGGGTTCCGGCACCTTGCTGCATGTACTCTGTGCTTAATTTCGCGGATTTGACGGGAGCCTGCACCAGGCTGGGATCATACTGGATGACAGTGTAGTTCTGAAGCGGGTGCATGAAAACAACTTTGCCTCGGACGATGATAGAGTCGGCAACTGTGATGTTAATATCACAAAGGTCAAATGGAATGATGGCTCGAGAAATAATGACAAGCCCCTTTTCGGCATCGATAACCAGACCGAAACCATGAGTCCGGGCCTGTGGGAAACCATCAAGCCTGACGGGCATGGTGCAGGATACACGGACAAAGCTGCGAACAATATCGTTGGCAGCAGCATGCTTGACACCATTGAGATGGATGAAGTCCGCCTTCCTAGGCACAGGAGGTTCTGCAGGGAGAGGATCAGCCAGGTCAGTGAAATCCCAGAGACCAGTAGCATCATTTCTCTGAGCAAGCCTCATCTGGGGGTGCCAGTGACGGTCTATATGCACGACACTGGTTCCTCTGGTGTGCAGATCACGGATATGCTTGTATGATAGAACCACTCTCGCACGGTCTAAATAAAGTCAGTAAGAATGTAGAGGAAGGAATAAGAGCTGAGTGCAATAAGTATAACATACCTGGTATGGTCTTCATGACTTCAATGAATTCATCTAAGTTCTTGGTCGGCCTCTTATCAACGGCATCTATAATCCAGCCGGAGAAAGCGTTTTCCAGCTTAAACGAGCCGGCGGCTTCGCAGACGTAGACTCCACGGCAAGGAATGGAGTACAGTCTTGCCTGTTGGTACGATAGGTCATGGAAGATAGCACCAGCCACGCTGACATACCGTGAGGGGGTAATGCCATGAAGATCCTGTACCCGACACTTGACCTGGAGATCCTCGCCGCCTCTCTGTACCAGTAGAGTGACATCCTGTCCTATGGAAGAGTCCAAGATATCATCTAGCCTGACGAACTGGGTGAGAAGGCCTCCATTGACCTTGACCAGGACATCGCCTTCTTGGAGTTTGCCGTCTCCGGGCCCCTCCGGAAGCACAATCTCAGCAACAAGCATGCCGGTCTCCTTGGGCGCCGCCGACCTTACCGCAGCCTCCCATTCCGGAGACAGGCCAAGTCTTCGACACTCATCAAACGGCTTAATGATCCACTGAGTCTGTATGGTACCTCGAGTCACTGGCTGACCATTTTGGATACATTGCAATGCACGAAGGGGCCGGTCGAGAGGGAGGAAATAATCCGTGGCAGCCCCGTCTGCACGTCCGCCAGCTTGTAGGGCGATAGCGTAGCCATCGATATTGACAACCGGACTGCCTGAACTTCCACCACTGGCTGCAGCCGCTGCTTGGATGTAGTTCGTGTTGAAATCACTGTAACCCTCTCCATACTCTGGGGCGTTTCGGTCGAGTCGACTGATAACGCCGGACAGAATGCTCAGCTTCTCTCCTGCGTCGTTTCCTACCACTCTAATCTCCACACCAACTTTAGCCGAGTCAGGCTGTAGCTTCAGCTCGGTCAAGGGCATATATTTGATGGCGGCAGGGTCAAATTTGAGTATACCAAAGTCGTGGACGGGGTCTCGATATATCGGCTTCACATCGCACTGCAAAAAAAAAAAAAACATTATTAGCACTCTTCCACCACCAAGAGCCAAAGGATTAACTATAACGGAAATAAGGGAGGCCTACCTCTTCATGGTTATCGAAGATACAGTATCCCCAGAAAGGTCCTGCACAGACAACATGTCTGTTGGTCATGATGTATCCGTTCTTCGCATCGACCACAAACCCCGTCGCCTGGCTGGCCATGGACAAGTCCGTATCAAACGAAGCCGTCTGGCAAAAGTGGATAGAGACCACGCACCGGACGACCTTCTCGATGGTCTCCTGCCACTCTGCCGAGTCCGTCTGCACCTGGCTGACGGGCAGCATGGCTCTGGCCGCGGCTTCAGGGTCTGCCTCTGCCCCGTCGTAGGCGTACATGGCCACGTCCCCGGACGGCTGGCGATCTTCGGAGGGAGTATGGCTTCCAGCAGCAGCAGCAGCAGTAGCAGCAGCGGCGGCGGTATCTGGTCTGAAGTGTTTTGCGGATGGTAGAGACATGGCGCTGCCGGAGTGCTTTCGTTTGGCGGTGCCGTTCATCTCCATGGCGGCGGTCGTAGGTGGTGACAGCGTAGCTTAGAAACAAGGCCCTCTTCGTCGTCTTCCTTCCCCTACTATCTCTTTTATTACTCCTGTGTTTTATTCCTCTTCTTCTGTCTTTTGAAGGGTAGGAGTCTGATCGGCGGTTCGTGGTATAGGTAGCTTTTTTTGGTCCTTTGCGGCGAGCTCGATGGCAAGCAGGCTGAGCACAAACAAGCCCCCCGGCGGTTTGCTGCGAGGGTTAGACAGATGATAAAAAACAAGTCAATAGGAAAGCAGAGCAAAAGGAAGAAGAGAAACGAAAGGCTGCTGAAGCGAATGCGAGGGAGAAGTCCGTTCTCGACCGTGTGAAGGTTGTCGTTATTTATGCGGTTCTGCTTATCAGGCTCGTTCAGCTGGCGATAGATAAAATTATATTTTTAACTCCTTAGTCAAGCAAATCCAAAGCTGCAGCGAGTCATCTGCGCCGAGTCAGGCGATGTCTTTCTGTCCACCGCATACGTATTTACTTTATATTAATCTGGCACATTTACCGTGTTGATTGACAATAACCAGGGGTGCCATGCTGGTTGTTTTGGTGGTTGTGTTGCTACTGTGACTAGCATTGATAGAACGTTACTTGTGTATAACCATTCAAATATTCCTCATGGGAGAGGTGGAGTCTTCTATAGTACGGAGATTATATCCCAAGTTCATATGTTTTATTCCGTTCTCTCTAGTTATACATAACCAACACGTTCCAGGCTGAAGTCAAGGCCGTCTGTAGAGCCATGGATGCTTGTATATAAAAATACACCGTTGCAGTCAAATACGTTACTATTTCCCCCAGTGTCTTTTAGTCAATCAGTTGTATTCCGGACGGTTCATGGCGTTGCGTAATTGGCACTATGCCTGCTCTTTAGGCGGAGTAAGGTCCTCAAGCAGGGAGAGTCTGTATAGAGACTCCCACTGGAGACCCAGACATGCCATATAGGTGTATGGGGATTACATTGTCCCCCGCGGTGCAGTCCTCGGAGTCTGCTCTGATGCGACACAAGGTCGCGTTATAAGACATGGGATAAGAGTGAGTCTGTGAACATTTCATTCCGGACCTAGTAGGGCATTTCATCCGGCTGCGGATCCAGGGTATGAAAAGTCCGGTTGTTGGATCATCTGCATCTGCATCTGCACCTGGCCCTGGCGTTGTCGATAGAGCTGTTGTTGTTGATGTTGCTGTTGCTGCTGGGGAGTCATTGGACTACCTATGCCAGATTGCGGCATTGGCGTCGGGACAGAAACAGTAGTCGTAGTAGCAACGGTAACGGGTGTGGTGGCGGTGGTGAAAAGCTCATTGAGAGAAGTGTAAAGATGGTTGACCGAGGGAAGATGCGGTGGGGGTGTCATGATGGCCGGAGTCTGAGGGCCGGTGGCACCAGTCTTCTTTGCGCGGTCTGCCACAGTTGCGAGGTAGGCGAGATTTGCCTGGAGCCGGCGCATGCAATCGACGTACTCCTGCGTAGGTTTCCCCGCGGGAGCAGCGGCCTTTGCGGTATCCGACCCGTTACTTGGCTTTTGGGTATCCTGAGGCGACGACGGCGAGCCCGTGGCACTGGGTTGATTTGAAGCAGGTCCGGCCTTGCCATTTGCCTGCAAGTTGACCACTTCCTGCAACAGAGCCGAGTTGATGTCCAGCAGAATAGTGACCCGGGCTCGCTCGCGGGCAGCTGCTTGTGGTGAAATGGTGCTGCTGGGTGTCTGGTAGACGGGTGAAGCCTGGGATTGCGCCTGCATCTGGGCCTGTGCCTGTGATGTGGGGCGGTTGGGGGTCGAGTATATGGCCTTGGACGAAGGCATGGCCGTCGTCATGCCGCCCTGAGCCTGAGGGTCAGCAGATGGTGAACGAGTGGATATATCGTCCACGACAGGCTGAGGATGTGCCGACTGTGGTAGAGAGCTGGGTATAACCGAGTTTGTGAATGGCTGAGTGGTAAAGGGAACTAGACACAAATTAGCCCTCGGCATAGACAACAACAAAAATAATAATAATAAAATCAAGGGCCTGGATATAAGGAGAGGTGATAATGAAGGCGACAGGGGGGTGGTAAGTTCATGGCACTCGAGGAGAATACCCCGGGATATGTCCTTGCCTGCCCTCCACACATCCCTAACCACACACACACAGAGACCAAACCCAGCACTCACTGGTCGGACAAGACACACGACCACGGGGAGGATCTGCTTGGGACAGCAGGGTTGGGTGTGGATCAGGGCCACCAATAGTGGACAGCTCAAAGGCAGACAGAAGATATAAGAGGGAAGAGGGAAAAATAAAAGCAAAAAGGATAGGAAATTATTCTCTGGGGAACAGGAGCGTCGAAAGCTGCCTACAACATACCGTGAGAGATGGGAGCCGCAGAGGCCATCATGGGGGCTACACTTCCGGCAATAAGGTGCTGGGGGACGACCTGAGGCTGCTGTGGAAGATGCCCTGGTTGTTGTTGCGGCTGAAGCTGCGGCTGTTGCTGCTGCTGCTGCTGTTGTTGTTGTTGCTGTTGCTGCTGCTGCTGCTGGAGGTGTTGATGGAGCTGGGGATGCTGCAGCGGTTGCTGCTGCGGTTGGAAGGACGCGGGAGGTTGAGGATAGACGCTTGGGTTCTGGTAATACGGCGGCATATGGTGAGCAGAGCCAGGCAGGGGCTGCTGGTGCTGCTGGTGCTGCGGGTGCTGGTGCTGCTGGGAGGCCTGGAAGTAGGCGGCAGACGCGTGGGGGCCGACGACCGACGAGGAGACGGGAAGCTGCTGCGCCTGGAGCTGCTGCTGGTGAAGCTGCTGCTGGAGATGCTGTTGCTGCGCGTGCTGCTGCTGCTGCTGCTGCTGGAGCGGGTGGTGGTATGCCATGGGCGGCTGGTTCATCATGGCTGACCGTCGAGGCTCGCGCTGGCCGGCGAGTCCACGGCAGCGTCAGGCTAGCTGGCGAGAGGACAGAGTAAGGTTCGAGGGGGGAGGCCGACGGAAGGGAAAACGTCTGTCTCGCGATGCGCGTTAACGAGAGTGTCGAGCAGGCAGCGCTTCTGCAGGGCTGGCAGGACTTGACTGGGCGAGGCTTGACTGCTCGAGGTTCCCCCTGGGGTCGTCGCCGTCTCACTCGCTCGAGGGTGTGGACTTTTCTCGGGCTGGGGCGTATCAGGAGCTCCCAATCATCGCGGGCGGGCTTAGCGACTTCGACGGGCGATCAGCTGTGGCCTTCGTCCTTTTTGTTTCTTCTCCTGTTCTCTTTCGCTTTCTCTTCGTCGTCTCTTCTCCGTCCTGATTGCCTCCGTATCTTCGCGTCTTCTTCGCGTCTTCTTCTCGTCTCTTCGTCCTTTTTGTTTCTTCGTCTTTTTTTTTCGCCGATTTTCGACTTTTTTTTCCTCTTTTTTTCTTTTTTTCTCTTTCCCTTTTCGGGCGCAGGCCAAGTCACGTGTTAATATTGATACGTGATTTAAGCTGACTAACTATAAACTTAGACATGGTCATGTGATAACTGTTTAGTCATGGATCACGTGAGTATAAGTTCTTGTGTGAAGTTCAAATAAACGCGGGAATAAAGTTACGCCTTTGCCCTCTTTGTCGTTTCTCTCCACTTACAGTTTGGCGTTTCCCACCCCTCGACAGGCTACAGCTATCGAAGTTTATAGAACTGTATACGGCAGGAGAGCGTCCACGGGGTTGGGCGCCATCCTTAGCTGGATCCTGCCGACTTCTTATGGCGTGGTTAGGCCTTGCGAGAACTAACTAATCCGTGGCACTTCTTAAGGGATAAGAAGCGTTGGTAGTGAAGCCGTCGTCAGACTGGGCAGTTTAACCGTGAGGCAAAACCAGACATCCTAGACACATTGCATCCAGGCAAAAAAAAAAGAAATTTGGAATTTACTCTGGCCTGTTACTTATTGAGACCCTTGGGTCAAGCAGTAACTGCTGTTGTAGGTGTGATTACGAAGAAACTATACACATGACCTGCCCACCGATGACATAGCCTTGGCTGTGGAGGAGATCGCCCAGCAGTTTAGCCCTTGGAGCTATCTATCGTGTATGCAGAGCGAACAGGGCACTGAAACTCGATTCGATACCGAACACTCCGTAACTGGAGAGGAAATGCCTCGACGTGCATATAGAGGAGCTCCTGTAGCCAAGCTACCATGGTGAAAGACAGCCGCCATGTCAGGCTCTAGCTATTGGGGATATATATTTATTTATAGAGATTCCAGAAACTGAGACAACCAATTTTCTTGATTAAAAGGAACGGGGACAATTGGCCAGCTGCATGCAAAGTCACAGCCATACAACTATATACAAGGCCTAAGTTAGAGTTCCGCTAACCCACAAGTTAAAACAAAACAAACACAGTAACTAGCTCGAGAAAGTTAGCTTACTCCAGTCGCGCAGGTAGGAAGCTCCACTGGAAGCAGGAGAGCATGAGAGGGCGAGTTGCTGGTGTTCGCACGTTAGATAATGGAGCTGGTAAGCTTGGTTACTCCGTACTTGGCTCGCTATTTATGGCACTCAGTCACAATCTTGCGTCTGCGGAAGGAAAACAGTTAGTTACAGGGAGTCGACGTAAGGCACATGGCGGATACATCCGATATGACTGCTGGTTGGCAGCCAGCCCAACATAGTTCCTCACACAGACCCGGCCTGCCCAGCTCACACAGAGTAATTATTGTCACTGTTACGCTGATGTCAAAAAACTTCATTCAGTATAGATTGTAGTTCCCCTACAAGACTGAGCACTGCTCATCTAGCCAGCCATGATATATATTATTTACCCCATCTTCTTCTTAGATTCATCAATTAGTCGAGAGTTGAGGAGCTGGCTGGCTATATCTGAGTAGTATTTTCCATTGGAACACGAATGCGTACCAGCAAAGCGGCGGTTCAACCACGCATGTCCGGAGTATTTGAAACAAGCACAACCAGCCTTGAGTCGCTATCAAGAGAGGTAAACTTCCAATGAAGGTATCTCCGCGCTTGGAGGAAAAGGGGTAAATCTCCGAGTCGACAGTCATGTAGTTCGTAGATCCTTATAACCATGCAAAGAGGCGAAGCCTCTCTCCTTCCTTGGCATATCTTCCACCCCCGGCTGTCATCGATGGCTGAGTCGAGATGCCATGCATAACCAGTCGTCTAGCGCGATAGATTTGATGCCTGGGCAGGGGTACCTGCATGGAGATACATGCATTGTTAAATATATCTCTTTGTCCCAATATAATCCCTGGACGAAATCTGGAGCGTGGGTACGGCGTTTTGTTACCCAGAAATAGGCTGTTTCAACCCATATTGTCATTTTCAGCTGAACAGGCTCATATGCAGGTCTTACCTTTCATTATTGGCATGGGCACTCAGGCGAGGCGCAATGTCAGTTAACACCGATGGTAGCACTTTTCCCGTAGACTTATATAATGTAGTGCGATGCATCTCTCAGGAACAGTTACATTCAAATCTATATACCAAGTATTCGGTACTGATGATTCGGTGTTTTCAGATCATATTCAGCCTTCAACTCAGTTAAGAAAACATGGATGGAAACAATCATGTTCACAAGGAGGAGCCAGCACAGCGTGAACACGGCCACGACAAGAAATCGCCCCCGGTTTTGAGTGAGTCCGAGAAGGAGATCGTTAACCTTCAACTGAATGGTCTCGCGGCGGAACTCGACACTCAAAGTCTCTGGTCATATACCACGACATGGGACAAGGCTATCATTGTGATAAGTGTAGTCGCCGCCATCCTCGGCGGTGCCTCGAACCCGTTGCTCACAGTAAGCCACCATGATTGCAATTGCTTATATATTGTGAAATCAACAACATCTGACAAGAGCTTAGGTAGTTTATGGTTTGGCCGTCGGTTCCTTCGCAGATAGATCTAACGGGGTAACATCCATCTCCGAATTGTCTGCAGAAGTGGCTAAGGTTTGCCTTTATTGGATATATCTTGGTATTGCGATGTTCTTCTTCATTTACATCACCACCGTTGGATTTTACTACGTCGGCGAACGCATCGTGATGCGCCTACGCTATGCTTATCTCCGGACAATTCTCCGGCAAAACATAGCATTCTTCGACACACTCGGCGCCGGCGATGTCACAACCTGTATCACCTCGGATATGAATCTCATCCAAGAAGGAATTACCAGCAAAGTGTCTATGGGTCTCACCGCAGTAGCGACTTTCTTCTCGGCTTATACCATCACATATATTCAGTACTGGAGGCTCGGCCTTATTATGACGTCGACCGTGGTGGTGATGCTGCTCACCGGAACAGCTGGAGGCATTCTGGCTGTGAGATATTCAAAGTCAAGTATGACGCTATATAATAGCGGCTCCAATCTGGCCGAAGAGAGTATCGGATCTATCAGACATGTGACGGCATTTGGTATCCAAAATACTCTTGCAAACAAGTATCTAGGATTCCTGAGGCAGGGAGAGAAGCCTGGTATTAAGGCAAGGCTGGCTATATCTTTCATGATTTCTTTCATGAATGGACTGCCTTTCCTCTCCTACAGTCTCTGCTTCTGGCAAAGTGGAAGGTATATTATATCAGGGCACATGAGCCCCGGAGCTGCCGTGACTGCTACGATGGCCATTGTTATCGGAGGATTCGCCATCGGAAAGGTCGCACCAAGTCTCCAGTCTTTCATGGCTAGTACCGCAAGCGCTAGTATGATCATTCGTTCCATGCAAAGGGCATCTCCCGAGGACCCCATGTCCAATGATGGCAGAAAACTCGAAGAAATAAAAGGAGAGGTCTCCTTCAATGATATTAGTCTGGTCTATCCATCAAGACAAGACGTTGTTGTCCTTAAACGTGTAACCCTAACAATGCCGGCTGGGAAAATAACGGCGATTGTGGGCCCAACTGGATCTGGAAAAAGCAGTATTATCGGCCTGGTTGAGCGCTTTTACAGACCAACTGGGGGTCACATCACACTCGATGGACACAATATTCAGGATTTGAACTTACGGTGGCTGCGCAGCCGACTGGCGTACGTAGGTCAGGAGCCAATTTTGTTCAATACCACCATACTAGAGAATATTGGTCATGGATTGGCTTATCTTGAGGATGCCACTCGCTCATCCCAGGGTATCAAAGATGCCGTCATCAAGGCGGCGAAGGATGCAAACGCACATGATTTCATTATGGCACTGCCTAAAGGTTATGATACGGTTGTTGGTGAAAAGGGCCTGCAGTTGTCTGGAGGACAGCGGCAACGAATTGCTATTGCGCGGGCCTTGATTCGTGACCCGACTATACTCATCCTTGATGAAGCCACATCAGCCCTTGACAGCCGAGCTGAGAAATTAGTGCAAAAGGCACTAACAAAGGCCGCTAAAGGCAGAACTACTATAGTTATTGCCCACCGGCTATCGACTATACGTTCAGCAGATAATATCGTCGTCTTGTCTGCGGGTGAGATTGCAGAGCAGGGAGATCATGATAGCCTGATGGCAAGACAGGGGTTGTATGCAAACCTTGTTAACGGACAACAACTGACAGAGGAGAAAACGGAAGAAGACGACGATGATGCGCTAATTGAGAATGCAAGTGCTTCCTCATGGCTCATGGACGAGAAGGCCACTACCAAAGTACAGCCGGAGATTGTTGTGGAGAAAAAGTCCGATTCGAAGAAGTTCGATAAACGGCTATCCTTCTGGGATCTTCTTCGCCTGATGGATAAGCTCAACCGCCCCGAGCGCATGCTGATTCTTTTGGGCTTTATCGGCTGTGTATTCGCGGGGCTAGGAACGCCAGTGTGCGTATCCCATAAACCTCCCCCCTTATCGTGCATGTTTCGATCAACTGCTAACATGAAGGATATAATTCTAGGCAGGCGATCTTCTTTGCAAAGCTTATTGAGGCAGTATCCGTTCCCGCGTCTCAATATAATAAGCTTCGCTCCGAAACCAGCTTCTGGGCCTCGATGTACCTTATGCTTGGAATCGTTGCTATTATCTCATGGTTTGGCCAGGGTGCCTGCTTTGCCTTCTCGTCAGAGCGCCTCATCCGCAGAGCTAAGGACACAACTTTCCGATCCATTCTACGCCAGGAGGTCTCCTTCTTCGATGAACGGCCAACAGGCGACCTAACAACGATGCTGTCGCAGGATACCACTCATCTGGGTGGGCTGGACGGTGCCGTGCTGGGCTCCATGATCACTTTCACGGTTACCATCATTGGTGGTCTTGCACTCTCTGTTGCAATAGGCTGGAAGCTGGGGCTTGTGTGTGCTGCCTTGATCCCCATTACGGTGGGTAGTGGCTATATCCGGTTGATAATTCTGAGCCTATTTGACCGTAAAGTACGACAGACACAAGCCGAGTCTGCGGCTTACGCTAACGAAGCTGTGAGAGCTATCCGCACCGTGGCAAGCTTGGGCCTTGAGAATGAGGTGCTACAGCGTTATCGTGCTATTCTAGAACGTGATGCAGCGGCGTCACTCCGCTCCATTTTGTGGGCATCGGTGCTGTTTGCCCTTTCTCAGTCTCTACTTATGCCAACAGGTGCCTTGGTTTTCTGGTATAGCAGTACACTGCTGGCAACTGGGGAATACACGTTAACCCAGTGCTTTATTTGCTTTTCTGCACTGGTCACTGGCGCGCAGACTGCGGGTGCGGTATTCAATTTTGCACCAGATATGAGCAAGGCGATGCAGGCTGGACGACACCTTCGTAACTTATTTGAGCGAGTACCCCCGATTGACAGCTACAGCTCAGAGGGCCGGTTGCTGCCGGCAGAGACATGTCGTGGTGCTATTGAAATCCAGGACGTGAGTTATCGCTACCCGCAGCGTCCAGAGCGCGTCGTTCTAGCAAATTTCTCCCTCTCAATCAAATCAGGACAGTTCGTTGCCCTCGTAGGGCCAAGTGGATGCGGCAAATCAACGGTTCTAGCTCTCCTCGAGCGCTTTTTCGACCCGGATATCGGACACATCCGCGTTGATGGGTCTAATATCACAGAGTTAAACATCTCCCAGTATAGAAGCCGTATTGCAATGGTCGGACAGGAACCGGTGGTGTACTCTGGCACTATCCGTGAAAACCTGGTGTTAGGTGCCTCAGGAAATGTGACAGAGGAAGCTATTGCCCAGGCCTGTAAGGATGCAAATATATATGAGTTCATCAAATCACTCCCGTAAGTGACCATCTTTAATTTCCCTGGCTTCCCCGTCCTCTGCCCACTTGGTCTAACCGAAGATTTCAAATGTATAGGGATGGATTTGCAACTGTCGTCGGTGCACAGGGCAGCATGTTGAGTGGAGGCCAAAAACAGCGAGTGGCCATTGCGCGAGCACTCCTTCGCAACCCCAAGATGCTACTGTTGGATGAGGCGACGTCAGCACTGGATTCGCAATCAGAACGAATAGTGCAGGAAGCCTTAGATAGGGCAGCAAAAGGCCGCACCACTATCTCAGTCGCCCACAGGCTGAGTACTATCAAGCGAGCCGACCTGATCTGCGTCATGGACCAGGGCAAACTGGTCGAAAAGGGGACCCATGAGCAGTTGATGGCAAAGCGAGAGATGTATTACGATCTTGTCCAGGCGCAGAATCTTGACACTGGTCCTTGATTCAGTACGCATGGCTCCGTCCTAGGTATACCTACTGTTATAATATCTTCTTCTGTCGCTCACTTCCATATAATTATTCCTTTGCTTTTTTATAAGAAGATCTCAATGCGAATCCAACTCTCATCAACCGGGGTATCAAATCAGATGAATGCGGCGTAACTATAGAATAATAGATATGATATGGTGCATCACTGTATCTATCCGCTTCGATTCGCCTTGCCTTAATCACCAGTTGCTCGTCTTTGTTGCGAAAATACAAGTTAAAGCTCAGACCAGTGACGTGGTTTAATATTATTCCATTCCGAGATTTCACCTCAGTATTCGTTCTGATCCAATGAAAATTAAGAATGATTTGAGTTACAGTCGATTTATTGGCTGATTAAATGGTAGTTTTAAGCATATCAGCCAATAAGAGCTAGTTAACTTCCATCACGTTGCCGGGTTTCTTTATAACTTGAGAAGAGACTCTGGATAGATGGGCAGATTTGCAAACATGTGTGAACGAAATATGAAAAAGCTCATCTAGTTGGTAGTTACTGCATAGATGCCGCATGGTTAACTAGCGAATACAACGTAATGCAAGTTTTGTTACATTCCTAGCCCCGTGGGGCCGGACATCCAACATCTTCATTATCTAAAGCTGTTGGATCGGGCTGAACTGGCTGACCAGGGGGTATTCCATCGTGCGGCTGGCATATTCTGCTTTTCATATAAATATGTCTGTCCCAGCTATCATATTAATCTAGTCATGTCTATAATCCATCAATCTGCATATAATAATGCGTTATTTACCTCCGCATCTCCTTGACCAGCTGGGAATCGTCCTTCAGACATACCTACTCCATACATCCCGACGGGTGCGAACTCGGAGTTACACTGCAGCCAACTAACATCGCAGAGTATGCTGGAACTTGATACCCGCGCTGAACAACCGGTCGTGATTATTCGTCGGAGTGGCCAATATGCACATAAATATATATATCTCCTGCAGCCATGCAGTCAAACATCACGACGCCCGATTCTTTGACGTTTCGCACTCCAAGAAACGGTGAGAGCCGCTTGCTATACCTTAGCTAATCGCGACAGGGACAGGGAGAGTGTTTGATCGAAGGACCAGTACTGAGGATGGTTCGGATGAGGTGTCGGTACCACCTGGTTAGCTATAATGACTCGATTATTGCCTCCTTTATGGCCCAAGACGTTTTCTCGATTAGTTACTACGGTGCTCTCTCTTGGTTGGCTCTCGGTGGGCTGTGGGAAGACCAAGACCAGGGAGCCAGTGTTGATATGAAGACATAAAGTAGCATATACGAGGATTTGGACAGGGCTATGGGTTGTTGAGTGAGTTTACTGCCAACCGAAACCGCGAAATCTTTTGCTGGCAGTCGGATGCTGGAAACAAAGCTCCGTGAAGATTTCTCCCTGGCTTCAGATCCATGCTTTGAATGATGTACCACGACGAATAAAACGAAGGATCTGACGCAAACAACAATCCGAACCATGGTTCCTGGCTGGAGAAGCCTAAAAACGGATATATTCACGGTGTCAAACGCCTCTTTGACAACAAAGTCATGATTTGCTTGGTGGCTCGGTGGCCTTGAAGGTTGAAACGATAGCTCTGATCATGACTCTGATGCCAACTCACATTCTTCATCTCCGGGACAATGCATTTCTTTTACGGAGTGGCGTTATTCTTGAAGAGCCCTGTCGCGATGCAACGCAGCCCATGCGAGCGCCGACGGGAGCCCAAAGACCCGTAGCCGACCTATCGACTGGGGTGTTTATCATACCCAGTCCAGGGCGCTGGTCTCCTTTCCCGCCCGGTGTGCCGTTACTAGTTGGTTTTTGGGGCTCGCTTGCAAGAGAGTTGCAATGCAGAGTGGAGGGCAGCCAAAAAAGCCTTGATGATGGGTTCCCGGAACGAGCGCCATCCGAGCAACCCAAGCCAGCCAGCTGACCTCTCATATTGCGAGCCAACCCCCTAGCACTTTGCCTCCATGGGCAAGTTCTTGGTTTTTACGACAAGCCAATGGACGAGCGAATGAGCTGGCAGCCATTACTAGGTTATATTTATGAACGACCAGTCAGTCAGCATCAGGGGAACCAAGAGGCCATCACATCATATACATACAATAATAATATAAATGAAATGAAAGGCAAAATAGTTTGTGGTTGCAACGATTCGGGACAGCACGGCACAGGCTCTTGCGATTGATGGATTCAGTTAGGTCGTTTCACCGACATGAGCGCGGGAGATGCACCATCCGATCCCCTTTTGAATTCGGACTATGGTACTTTATTTATACGGATTACCTACATGCAAGTTCAGCGTTAACCTAACTTGTCTAAGTGGCACATCCCCGTTTAGCTATACGACGTACCTATCCGGGGGAAGCGTCTATCTATATTACGCCCATGATAAATATCATATAAAGCATGCTCACTCCCTCCACCGGGCCATTTCATCAGCTGCTGTTTCGATCCGTACATCCACGCAACTTTCTTCTCTGTAACGGAACTGTCGTATAGTTTGTTGATTATTCACCATGTTGGAAGCGCTCGTCCAAGCCAGCAGTGGCTATCGGGTCGACCTGGCCCTCTCCTTCGTCGTCCTGCTGGTCGTTTCATACATTGCTCGACTCGTCAGCCATCGCCAGAGATATTCGAAATTCCCCTTGCACGCTGACAAGTCCAACCCGAAGCAGATGCTATTGTCTGGCTTTGCCAAGGTGAGTTGCTGCCAGAATTATACTTTCTCCTTAATATCGTTCGACGCTTTCGTTGTTTTTCCAAGTTAAATAAAGCTGACGGTGGATGTACCTCCAAGTATAAAAATGCCTTCCATATCGACACTGCCATTGGCAAGGATATCATTCTCTCAGCAGATTATGCCAACGAACTCAAGAGCGACCCTCATCTCGACTTCGCCAAAGCCATCCTTCCTGTAGCTACTCATTTAGATCCCTTTCCCCCTTCTCATACGTTGATTGGTCCTGACTAACCTCCTGCTTAGACCCTCCTTACCCATCTCTCAACCTTCCATCACATCGAAGAAGCTGGTAAGAACCAGGTATTGACCGAGACTATTCGAAGCAAGCTTTCGCGTTTACCAGGTATGACATGAGATATGGAGCCCATAGTTGAATCACACCGTCTCCCCCTTTGCTGATTATAGACCATGTATAGTGCATCTGAAGCAGGCCGTGTCCAACGAGGCAAGAGAAGTTATTCGTAATAAGTTTACTGACGACGAAGGTATTTAACACAAGCAATGATAACCCTTTTCTAAACGGCCGATTGACAAAAGACTAATATTGCTGAGGTTAGAATGGCATGAAATCCCCATCAAGGAGACTATCGTGAAGATTGTGGCCCGGGTGTCATCCAGGGTTTTCCTTGGAGAGGAACTTTGCCGCAATGAGGAATGGCTGAGAATTACCTCTGAATATACAGTCAACCTGTTCATTGCCATCAACGAGCTTACGACTTGGCCAGCATCTGTCCGCCCAATTGTCCAGTGGTTCCTCCCTACATGCCAGCGACTACGTCAACAGGTCGCAGATGCCCGGCGACTGATTCAACCAGTTATCGATGGACGGCATGCGGAAAACGATGAACTCCGACGTCAAGGCAAGCCTCTAAAGCAGCATGAGGACGCTATCGCGTGGCTCGATGAGAAGGCCGGCGGCCGATCGTTCGATGCCGCGATTGCCCAGCTCAGTCTATCCTTTGTATCCATACATACTACCACAGACCTTTGTACTCAAGCTATCTACGACATCTGCGCCAACCCAGAGCTCATACAACCCCTTCGGGAGGAGATAATCAGCGTTCTTGGAAGCCGTGAGTTGGATACTACCGCCCTGTACCAGATGAAGCTGTTGGATAGTGTGATCAAGGAGAGTCAAAGGCTCAAGCCCGCCGGCCTCCGTAAGTCGATGTCTCTTTTCCCTTTACTTCCCTTGGGTTATCCCATGATATCTCTAACGCAGCTTCGCTTAGTATCCATGAAGCGATACGCAACGCAAGACGTCACTCTTTCGGATGGTCTTGTTGTCCCCAAGGGAACAAGCATATCTGTATCTAGCCATGTTCACTGGGATGAGTCTGTGTACCCGGAGCCCAACAAGTTTGATGGATACCGTTTCCTCAAAATGAAAGGAGATCGCGAGAAGGATCGAATGGCCAACCTGGTCGCTACCAGCCCAGAGCATCTTGGATTTGGACACGGCATCCACGCCTGCCCTGGCCGATTCTTCGCCGCAGATGAAATCAAGATTCTCCTCTGCCACATTTTGCTTAAGTACGACTTTAAGCTGCCTGAGAAGAGCAATACCACCCCTTACATACTACCGGGTGGAGCTTATATGTCCGCCAGTGCACAACTTGACATCAGGCGAAGAAAGGAGGAAATCACCCTATGATGTCGATGACGGAAGACGTTGGAGTGGTATATTTTTTAGTATACTCTTATTATTGTTGTTGTTATTGGCTTTTAACTCCGCACATCAGCGACTGCATTTCTCTATACCCACTCCCTTCAAAAGCGACTGGCAGGCCCAAATTTTTGAAGCAAACTGACCAGAGTCTAACGATGGGCTGCTCTATTAAGTTGTTCTGGAAATTCCTGTTATATACTTCACAAAAATTCAACATAGTTTTTTTAAAGATAAAAATACGCCACGAGATTAGCCCACATAAAACCATACCGTTCGGCAAGATGCTGTCGTTTTTAGTTCTATAGATGCCATACGTCATCATGGTCAGCTAGCGGCTGAATAGGGGTAAAGCCTGTGCTTTCGGTGATCTACTTTTAGACATTAACAATGTCAAAGCATGAAATATCCCGAATGCACCATCTACATAATAAAAGTATTACGCCATTATTTGAAGATATGGGGATGTTTCAAGGCTCTTTAAGCCTAGTTCTAAAATTTGCTAGTAAGCCAGGGAGAGCCGTCGCTTATTTGGGTCCGATTATATTGTTTATATTTGTGTCATCGTCAAAGCTCACCCTGTTGCTATAACTTATCAGGGAAACCAAGAATTTGAAAACGATGTATATAACATGGGGGTGTACCATCCGTGAGTGTTGCCCAAGGTATATCCATAATTCGGATGTGCAGCAAATTGGCTATTAAGACAAGCTTTTTAGTGAAGCAAAACTGGATAATAAGTTACTTGACATAAATTCACACGATAGCATCAATGCTTAGGTGTTGACTCTAGCGAGTGACTTACTCCGTGGTCTGGTGGCTAGTAGCTGAACAAGGGTCCTTTCCCACCGGATGTAAGGAGTGAATTCTGCAAAACACCCTGGCCCGGGGTCCACTGCCGGCCGTACGGTATCTAATAAGAGCTGAGCTAAATATGGGCCTTCTATGAGTGCCACAGATCAAATCGGTACGCACCTGACTAAGGAAGTTCGGGTTTGTCTTCTGTCGAAAGAAGAAGCTCTTCTTTGTTTTTAAGCTTAAAAATGGGCAGCTGGCCAGGCTGGTCTTGGCCATCTTATCAGATCTTGCAGCGAAAAAGCATCTTTGAAACCCCAACAGCCAAAGTCTTAGCTCGTTGGCCAGCCTATAAGAGGGACAAGGAGAAAAAGAAAGCCACGCATGGGGGGAGCCAGCCCGATTGTAAACAACCAACAGAGCAGCGTGCTTATTGGTTTGTGGTTTGATGCATGTTTTCCTTTCCAGATCTCGAAGCCCGATGAAAAATTCTATCGTTGCCCCGCCGTTCGTGCGTTTTATCTGATCGGCCAACAAATGCTCCTTCGTACAAAATACAGAACACTCCAGTGAGGCGACCGTGGGGCAGCCAGAGAAGGAGATCGGACTGGGAAAAATGTGCAACTAGAGGAACGCTTCGCAGAAACCGGGGAGAAATAAAGCTCACGATGGAAGTGTGTCTCTTGGCCTTTCTGAGATCTTTGCGCCGCCGGCGCGGCAGCGTATATATAGTAACTTAAGAACGTAATTAGGGACGGCCGGCAAGTAGTGGCGAAAACGGGCACATGCACAAAGCGATAGTTAGATATTCGCTTTCTTGCAGCTCATACTTCAATATGGCGTTTGTCGCCGACTGGCCCTGGGAGCGCTCAAAAAAGGAAAGAAAGGAAAGGCTGTTAGATGATTTAGTTATAGGAGGAGGTACTGTTAACTAGTTAGCCAGGCCAACGGAGAACTCCACGAACTAGGTACCGTCTACTCCGTACGCGCTGTTTACGTTTGATCCCTGGACAGGGGCTGTAACAGGAGGCAGGCAGGGTCCTTAACCTTGTTGCCGCCCTCACTCACCCCCTAATCCCTCCCTCACTTCATTGCTCCCTCCCAAAACACCGGCGACTGCGGCGACTGCGGCGACGAACGACGAAAACGGCGAAGCATGGAACGTGGTCGAATGTCAAACGCGTCAAGATTTCATGAATATCAAACTCGCCTGGTTCTTCTTCTTCCTTTTTTCTCCACCAACCACTGGGACCGAATACGAAACAGTGACTAAGCATTCTGACTAAGCATTCCCAAAGGGGAAGTTCTTTACTTCTTTACTTCGACGTCAAACGAACAAACAAACGAACAGCTTCACAACTTCGCATCGTCCAGGCGAAAAGCAAAGGCAGCACGCAGCGACCAGCGCAAACGAGGCCGCAAAAAGCGGGTAGCTGAGAAAGGCCATCACACCGACGAACCCTTGTACAAGGCTGGCTGACAAGCCACAGATTGGTGTACGTCTCACGTGATATATTTGCCTCCAGGGCTCCAGCTCCCTGCGCCAGCCAGCGAGCGAGCGAGCGAGGGTGGCGAGACTAGAAGCGCAGAAGCGAATAATCGTCCCGAGCCGATCGAAGGAAAAGCGACAGAAAGAAAAGCATAAAAGGGGACGACGGGAGATAACTACATTAGCGGCCATGTCCTTTGGTGTCTTCTTAAGCAGAGACGAATACGAGATCGTCTAGGGTCAATCTCACAACCCTTGATCAGTCAGCAGGGCCTGTTGAACCCTTCTGGCATCCCGTCGGTCCATCGGTCTCTCCCACTCTCGAAAGACGAGGCGCAGAGTCCACCCGGAGCTGCTTGTTGGTCATGGACAGCGTTGATCATACGATTTCGCGCATGGAACCACGCCATAGATGATGGGGAAGCCATCGCAGAAGTGAGTTCTCCCCAAGAAAAGAAGCCTTGCCTTATTGACTACCCGTTCGTCGTACCTTTTTTGCCAACTGACAAATCGAGTGATATGCAATGCAGCTTGCTTCCAGCGTTTCCTGCAACCGACGCTGAGCCTTCGGACGACGCTCTCGAACCTGTTAATCCTGGTGTCAAAAAACTGAAGAAGACGCCGGCCAAGCGTCGCGCGCTCAGCTGTCTGCCATGCCGAAGGCACAAGCTGAAGTGCAACCGCCATGTCCCGTGCCATTCGTGTATCCGTTACCGGAGAGAGGAGCAATGTCGTCTCAATCCGCCGCCTTCCTCTGTCATGAGAGGCAGCGTGCCCCTACATTCACAGGGCCATGTTCCTCCAGACCATACCTCCGTGACCGCGCATGCACCAGTGCCCGCGCCTGCGCCCGCGCCAGTACCTGCATCGCTCTCTTTTCAACCGCTCCATACCCAAGTGGCATCTGCTACACCTTTACAAAGCAAACCTCAACAACCATATATACCTCACACCCGCGAACCAGACCGTATAGAAACTATCGTATCTAAGAGTGCTCGGAATACATTATTGGAAACTCCGCTGGCTCAAAGCTTGGCTAGCCTGCCGCAGAATATCCTTGGAGTCTCAACTCTCCCGCCATTCATACCACTCCTGCTGGCTGAACAATTTCAACGGCCCGTGGACGAAAATGAGGTTACCATCTTTTGGTGCGCACAGCTCGTTTCCATGCTCCCCTTGCGCCACCAATGCGACCTTATTGTCAATTACTATATCAACGAGCTCAACTACGTTTACCACTCCGTACACGCTCCATCGTTTCGAGAAGACTATGCTGCCTTTTGGAATAAGGATATCAAAGATACTGATATAATCTGGCTGTCATTTCTATACTCGATCCTCTCCACCAGTGCCGTTTTCATTCCGTTCCCTGATGTAAAAGCCGTCGGGCTGGATCCCGACACAATACGCAAAAAGGCTCATCTATGGCATTGGGCTTCTAGGCAGGCACTAAGTGCCGGTCATTATGAATCACGGCCTTGTTTAACGCAATTAGAAACATTCCTCGTGACGCAGCTATATTGGTTATCTACCAAGAATGTTGAGGCTCTGAACTCGTAAGTTTATGCACAATCCCGCTGTTCTATGGTCTTTTCACTGATGTTATATAATAGAGCACTCGGACAGGCGGTTCGGAACGGACAAGCGTTGAACTTGGATAGGGATGTTTCGGGATATAGCCCTCTCGAAACAGAAAAGCGACGGCGTATCTGGTGGGAGCTGTTTTGCTGCGATACGTATGTGAATTCCTAGACAATCATTTCAATATTGATGCATGGATGGGAGCTAACAGCAACAGCTTCCAATCAATGTGTATGAGTCGGACACCACTCATTCATTGTCCCGCCCCAAAAATCCCATTACCCGCGAACTGTAATGATGTGGATATTACCGACTCGTTCACTGAAGGACGGCCAATTGATGAACCAACAGAAACCAGTGCAAGTATTCTCCGAGCAGAAGTATTTTTGATCATGCGCAAACTCTTCGATAGCGGTTTTGAATATCTGTCGTCTTACGAGTATGTACGATCAGTTGATACAGAGCTCGCAAATCTCACCCGTAACTTCCCGTGGTACTTCCAGCTCGATGAGAATGGTGAATGTGCGAACCTCCCTGAGCACCAGGATTACATAGTGTGGCAATTCCACCTGCTCCATAGCTGCATTTGCATGCAGCGCATACGCATGAACCGTCCCTTTATTCACACACGCGCTGGTGACTCGTGGGCTGTCTGTGCCAAAGCTGCCAATGAGGTTTTGGCTGTTTACCAAAGCATGCGTAACCCAGACGTGGAGGAGTTTCGCAAATCGCATAAGCTATCTGTGCAATCATACCAGATATTTTCCGCTGCTGTGGCACTGGCAGGTTTTCTGCTTGTTGAACGTTCCTTCCCGGCAGATAATATTCGCCCTCTTATTGAAATGGTGATATCTGATTTAGAACTGTGTACGGAGGATGCTTCGATTGCTGTAAACGGCAGGAATACTCTGATTAAAATGTTGGATATGTATGATCGTCGCCAACAAAGGGAGCCTGTTGAAGCGGAGTCCCTTGTACCAGAAATATCGGTAGTCTTTGGTGGCGAGCAAACCACACGGAAATACCTGAAGCGGTGCGAAATCGGCTACGTTCTCAATGAAGATGGACATGCTACCCCTAGCTCGGCTAATCCTAGGGCGAGTGTGACCACTCCCAACGCGAACACATACGGCACCAACACTCCGACATCCTACACCTACAATCAAGTTAACCAGTCAGCGGCAGAAGTAAGTGACGTGCCTCAAGGAACTCAATACACAGTTCCCAACCCACCATTCTCCGAGTTTGATCCCTCAAGGGTGCAATCGAAAGCCTATATCCCACATCCTATCCCTGCCAATTCAATCCTGGTAAACACCAATAATACCCAGGCTCTCACGAATCCCGATATTAGCCAACACCTGCCAAACACCAGCATCAGCCCAAACGGAGACCTGGAACTACTTAATTGCTTCTATAGCAACCCAATTCCTCTCGATATGAGTTTTGATGGACCTTGGGACTTTTTGCTCACTGACTTACCGTACCAACCCTGAGGCTTGCCCTTAAGGATTTTTTTTAACCTGGTTGTCAGTTCATTTTACTATACCCTTATATCTTGATATTTCTACTTCTTTCATATCCAGGATTAGGATCATTGGAGGCGCTAGAGTATGCATATTTCTTTTTTCTTTTATCCCATTCAGTTTTGGAACATGGGCATATATATCTGGTGTCGATTTTTCTATTTCCTTGGTCTCCTGTTTTGTATAAACATACATATAAAGTGGTGGGACGGGTTTTCCTTGTGGAACTGGCTTGTGCGAGTCGAATACGCCCTTCGAGCTGTTATGAAAATCATCGCCTAGAGGCCGAGCTTTGGTTTGTCTTGTTCTTTCTTCTCTTCTTTGCATTCACTTATGAACCCCACGAATCTAGATGCGTGGAAGCATATTTGATATATCTCCGGTAGTCCAATCTGCTACCTCTGAGGAAAACATGCTCAGTCCCGTTGTAATATGGCAATGTCTTCATTCATCCAAGTAACATATATATGCTTGTCATGCATGACCCCAGCGACGCCCCATTACAAGCTTATATGGTAGGTATGCGACATTGGTCCAGGAGGCTGTAGCAGCGCGGAAAATCCCAACGAGCAACAGAGGTAATTTTTCCGCTATGTATCCGTCGGTCCATCACGAGGCATTTTTCCGCGTCTTCATTTCCGCAATCCATTTAGCTGCCATCTTAGTAGGTACGACATTGATCCGCACCAGACCATCAACGACCTCGACTTTTCCTCCGCCCAAAATAGCGAGCAGCGAAACTTTCTTTCCAGGCTTGATCATCCCGCCTGCAGCAGTCTCCATGTAACAGTCCACGGAGCTGATGTTATATTCATGAGTGGTGTCCCAGGGGAGTGGGAAGATGTACTCAAGGTGTTGGGCGATGTTGTCTGTCTCGGCAAACTCTTTGATAAAGTCGGACTGCGCGTGCATGGGGTAGAGCAAAACGCAGGGAAAGACAAGGGTGCTCTCTGGCGATAAAGGATCAGGCGAGAGTTTCATGGCTGCATCCTCCATGTCTGGTGGCTGGGCGGTTTCCCTAACGGAAATCTCGCGTGCTGCTAGAGCTGTGCTGAGCGTGAGTCGGATCTTCTCTTCTCGCTCTTGTTCCTTTCTCTTCCGCGCCGCGATCTTATCCAATTCCGCCTTTCTCGCTTCTATCTTCTTTGAAAGGGCTTGCAGAGGCTGGTTTTTCTTATCATGGTGGAGGCCTCTCACACACGCATCATCCGCCTCCACAACTTTATCGAGAGCAAGGAGGGCAGAAGCTGAGCGGTAGAACGCTTTGATATTCTTCGGGTTGAGTTTTAACGTAGACGCGCAGTCTAAAGTGGTGGATCTGTAATTTTCTGTTTGACTTCGTCAGTTTCAGTCTTCTTATTATCGGGTTCGATCGGTGCAGTGGTACTCAGTTCCAAGTTGCATAATGCTCTATTGATGTAGCAAGCCTCTTCGATTTCACGCAACCTTCGCGCTTCTTCTTTGGGATCTTCGGGCTCCTCCCAGCTATTATCTTTCATGGTCAAAATAGATATCCCCTTGGTATAGCACTCCTTTGCATCCTTCCATCGCTTCATTTTCGCAAAATCGTTTCCATTTTCGCGGAACCGTTGCGCGTTGTCCGCCCGTGTGCCTTCGTTTTGCAGTGCTCGGATAGCGTCCAGATATGGATTATCACCTTCTGTTGACCAATGTAATCAGTAAGTATTTGATTCCTGTTTCATTTCTTGGATTTGCTTGCTTTTGATAGGATTACAAACCAGCCTGTAGTGCCTTCTCGGCGTCTGTCATAAAGAGCGGGGTCTGGTTCATGAGCTCTATTATCTCGTCTGCGGTATGAGACCTGACAGACTCCATTGCTGGTGGCATAGCTGGAAAAGCCTCACTTCCCTTAGGGAAGACATCTTTCTTTATCCCAAAGGGAGTTTCGCCTGATGGGAGGAAGGATGGCTCTTTTGCGGTAGGCGGCGGGGTGAAGACGGGCGCCTTGTTGAGGTCTAGAGACTCATCGAAATCATCCGGGAGCTCTTCAATACGACCCATCGTTGTTTGTCTTCTTGTCCGTCTTGTTGATGATTGTCCTGTTTCTTTATGATATCTTCCCTAACAGTTGTTCTTTATTAGATAATGTGATGTTCAAACGATCCGTCTTCTTCAACATATGACGATTTTATTGTTCGCTTTTTCTTCTTTTTCTGGCGTTTTTTCTCTTTCTTTGAGCCGCAAAAGCAAACAAGACAAACATTCTTATCAGATTGATTATGTCATCGCTAAATAAGATAAGATCGAAAGTTTAAACAAATGACATATGAACACGTGATATTAATTACATAATCCCGTCTTTGTCGTTTGTGATGAAGAAAAAGAGAAGCAACAGTAATAGGAGACATAAAGACGGGATTGTCTACGGTTTATGGGGAGACAAGGCTGTCTGGTTGGGAGATGAGATGAGATGGATGCCGGTTTGGGAGAGAAGCCGGACAAAGGCAAATGTCCCGCTATACAAGGTATAAACAGCCCATGGCTTCTCCCAAGCCGTTGCTATGTCTGTCTACTCAGCACCCAGAATCAACTTACGGTTTTACTTGACAATTGGGCGCGATGTTTGAGAAATACAAGCCTCCTCGCAGCTACGGCAGCAGCGGCGGCGCCCTGAGCCTCACCGGGCTGGAGAGCATGTCCCCGGCCGAACAGACAGCCCGTATCCTTGCCGTGGCGAACGACATGGCAGCGTCGATAATATATATCGCCAAACAAGCTGAAGCCGGCAACCTAACCAACAGCCAGACCATCCCAATCTATAACTTCATCGACAGCATCCTGGGCCTCGAACGCAGCCAGAAGAAAAGTCTGATGAGGGAGCTGGAGATGCAAGGGTCGCAGATCGCGCTGATGGAGAAACAACACCGCAGGGACATCGAGGAGCTGACCAAGTGCGCGATAGAGACAATCACGCAGATGAATGCGAAGATTGAGCAGCTACAGAAGGACAATTCTGCATAGCCATTTAGTTATCTAGTCGACGGCCTGTTGGAACCAAGGTTGGAGGACTGTCACATGACACCGAGAATGAGATCCGCTTCTAGGAGGAAGACGAATGAAGAAGAAGAAGAAGAAGAAGAAGAAGAAGAAGAAGAGATGGAAGACGAAAGAAAGGAGAGAAACATCGGCGAGAAGGAAAAGCTGCTGGTAGTTGATAAATGGAAGATGCTGGTTGGTGCAGAAAAGTAAAAGAGCCTTACCTCGGCATCTCGAACCAGCCGGCGCCCCAGAAGGCAAAACAGCAAGCGTCGGGAGGCAGAGGAAGAGATGGTGGAACCAGGTTGAATTATTTATTCCAATCAACCCCGTAAAAGCTATAGGCTTGCCCGTAGAACCCATGCCATGTGAATCTTGTCTGTCCTGGGCGTATAAATAGGAATCGGAAGGGCTTTTTTCGTCTTTGATAGCAAGATATCTTCCTTTTGTTTCTGGCGTAACCGTTTCTCTCCCTTGGACCAGCAATTTACAACTCATCCAGCTTTCTCGTGCCTCAATATTCCATATAACCGACGAAATGAGTAATAAGGGGGACTTCGCCGCTGTCAGGCGTGATATCATTGCCCAGATGAAGCAGCCTGGGTATGATGATGGAAGCGCAGGCCCTGTTTTTGTTCGACTCGCATGGTAAGTCCTTGTATCTTTGGCATCCGTTTGGCTCCCTTTTCAGCCTGTTTTCACATTTGACTGACATCTTCCAGGCATTCCGCAGGTACATACGACGTTAAGAGCGACACGGGAGGCTCCAATGGCGCCGGCATGCGCTATGAGGCCGAGGGAGGCGACCCAGCCAACGCCGGCCTGCAGCATGGCCGCGCATTCCTCGAGCCCATCAAGGCCAAACACCCCTGGATCACATACTCCGACCTCTGGACGCTCGCCGGCGTCGTCGCCATCAAGGAGATGGGTGGCCCCGAGATAAGCTGGCTGCCCGGCCGGACAGACTTCGTCGATGACTCCAAGGTACCTCCTCGCGGCCGTCTTCCCGATGCCACCAAGGGCAGCGACCACATCCGACACATCTTCTACCGCATGGGCTTCAACGACCAGGAGATCGTAGCCCTCTCCGGCGCACACAACCTCGGCCGCACACACATGGACCGCAGCGGCTTCGAAGGTCCCTGGGTTAACAACCCTATCCGCTTCTCAAACCAGTACTTCCGGCTGCTTAAGAAGCTCGATTGGAAGCCTCGCACACTCTCAAACGGGACGAAGCAGTTCAACTACGTCGACGAGGACGTGCCGGAGGAGGAGCGCGAGGAGCCGCTCATGATGCTGCCAACGGACATGGCCCTGCTCTCGGACCCAGAGTTCGCGATGTGGGTGGACAAGTACGCCGAGGACAAGGAGCTCTTCTTCGACCACTTCTCCAAGGCCTTCCACAAGCTGATGGAGCTGGGCATCAAGCGAAATGCGCAGGGCGAGGTCATCAACACTGACAACGTCCGTGGCGGATATATCTCTGCGCCCAAGAAGAGTGACCGGCCAACCGCTCCAGACCAGGCTCCCAGGGCCCATCTCTAGTGTCTTGCCTTCTCTTTGTCTCCTTCATAGTCTTAGTCTTCCTTCTTGGTTCTCTGGAGTTCATGTTTGGTTTGTTTAGAGAAAGGTTGAGTATAGAAAGTTCGACAACTAGAGCGGTAGATGTTAGACACGGTCGGTATGTGTATATAGAAGTTTACTAGTAATGAGAAAAAAGTCCTTGCAGCCTCTCCCAGCCTCTCCCAACCGGCTCTCTTTATACAACTACTATCCATTTCAAATCGAATTAAAGAAGTGTGATAAATAACTAACACTTGGACACGGGATGCAAAGTTGGCCGCCAAGTTCGTATAACCAGTTATCGAATGCATGTGAATTTGTTGACGCTTGAGATCTATCTGTTTTGTACATCCACGTACTCCGTATGTACAGTTTCGATATCTATCTATGAATCAATATCAAACCTATTGTAGCACTCCTCATTTATTTCGTGAAAGGAGTGACAACCTACTGTTCACTCTCGGACTCATCTCTCTTCCTCTTCAGACTATTGCTGCCAGCGGCATCAGTTCCCGTCGAGGGCTCTGGGGCTGTATCTTCGGTTAGGCTTGTCTCGCATGCACCCGTACTCGTGCTGGTGATACCCCACTGGGCCAGCCATTCATTGTCCGCTAAGGCAGTCTCCATGTTTGCTGCTGTACATTGCCCTGGTCCGATACTGTTGACCTGGCCTGAGAAGTCAAGGAAATTGTCTGAAGGCGGAAGTGGATGTATGGGTGAATCTGCATATGGAAGCGCTAGGTTAGAAGAGTACAGGCTATCATTGTGGTGTATGAAGTCATCAAACGGCAGGTTAGCTGTCCCAAGGTCTCCCTGAACGAGTCCTTCTATTAAAGTTGTATCTGCATTACCGTCTTCTGCCACCTGTGCTTCGACAGGTACCTCCGGGCGTAGTCCTACATCATCAGCAGTAATCGCAGGGTCGAAGAGTAAGTCATGGGGGTTTATCGTGAGAAAATTGGGTTGTCCTTCGGCACTAGAAGCAATATGTGGGTTTCCGGCTTCCGTTGGGTTCTGCTCAGGGGGTGTGTCAACAATGATCGGACTGTTCACGCCTTGGTGGGTAGTGGTTCGGTCATTGCTTGGAGTCCCTGAACTAGACACATAGTTTGCCAGGTGTTGAATGTTGGCGATATCGAATGTAGTTACTTCCGAACACGGATCGTGAACCGGTTCATATGTGTTAGCTTGGTAGCTTCCAGCTAGCTCTGGACCTGACCCATGAACATTGGGAGTAAGCTGGACAGCAGAAGCATTGAACGCGGGTATCACTGCATTAGGGATATTAGGGATATCTTGATGGGCGTTAACCTGGTGGTACCCGTCTGGAACCGCACCCGGCCTATAGTTTGGGTGCATATAAGTTATCGTAGCTATCCTAGGGGTTGGTCCAACAGTTGAATTCGTGTTACCGTTAGTGGATGTACCAGCATGAACTGACGATGAACTATCAGGGCAGATAGATGCCTCCACTGTAGGAGTAGTAGCCGAACCCCGGATTGAAAGTGGTGAACCTTCATCGTTAGCGTTGTAGGGGGCTACAACGAGGTTAGATGCAGCTGGATCGGTTTCAAATTGATCTCTCTTCTTTGGTCGGCTAGTAGGCTTAGGTTTTCGTCGAGCTGAAGAGACGAGAGTCTTTCGTCTATCCAGTGCCCCTATCCCTATTGCATGGACAGGCGGCTTTGGCTGCTTCTCCTTCGACGGCGAGAGTGTTTTGTTACTAGGAGAATCGCCGTTGTTCTTTGATTCGCGAATGGAGATTATAGTTCCATTGCTAGGATGTCCTGGAGAAAGGTTAGGATACTGGGATGGCTGTGAGGCCCTCGACGGAGGAGCTAATGTTTCTTTTGGTGGGTGTATAATGTTTTCGAAAAATAGTAGTACCGGAAAGCCATCAACCCACCATGAGCTTGGTGCAATCTCACATTGATCTTGCGGCTTTATACCTCCCGGAATCATGCCCGATATCTGCCCTGCGTCATAGATTTGTGTCCGCCGATCGCCATTAGCTTCCTGGTCTTTGTCAACCCATCGCAATCTGTGACGCGTGTCACCGTTGTTCCGCATCTCATGTATGCCTCCAATGAACTTATACTGTTCGTTTACTACCTCGCCGGTAGTTCTGGTTAGCCGTACTGTTATCGCGGGAGAGCAAGAGTTGCGGATCTTTGTTTGCTGATGGGGCCGAATAACAAGACGAAGAGGGGCGGATTCAAATGTCCGGTGATAATTTCTTGAGCATGAATTATCACATTGAGCACAAGTAATGATTGTACCACCTTGGAAGACGCGCTGCAAGAGAACAGAAAGGTCTACACCGTCATTATCATTTAGTTGATAACACAGACTGGCAACACATTCTCGATGTAGTACACTGTTTACTGATCCACCGTGGTGACCACAAGGCTGTTGATGGTCGGTATAACAGAGATGAAATTGTCGGAAAGACTTGGTGAGAGCTGTCCAGATATTGGCTGGGTCCATCACTAATCTACCAACCGAGTGAGGATCTAGTTTGTAGTGCTGGGCATAGACATCCCACAGCCTCTCTTTAACTGTTGAAACTACCTCATCGGATAACTGACTGTTTAAACAATCGCCCATAGCACTTATAAACGCCTTCTCAGGTGGAGTTAATACTGCCAGTCGTTCACGGCTGGCTCTCTTATCGACTGTAGTGGATCCAGCGTTGGTCAACAGCCCTGAAACAATAATGCAGTCGAATATATCCGAACTCCCATTACAGGACATAGGGCCACGGCATCTGAGGGGATATAACTCTCCACCAGCATCGAAGGAGAGTCGGGTTTGGTCCTCGGATACCCTTAGTCTTAGAAATGATAGCGTTGTTGCCCCTATGATTGGGCCAGTTATAGAGGGTTTGGTGTAGTGAAGCTGTGCTAGCGGAGTTTGCTTGGGAGAATGATTGTTCAAAAGGCCGTAAGCGCTATGCGAGGTGCTCCATCTGGGTGGACTACCAGTTTGACCTGGCATAAATTGTGGTGCGCCGTCTATCCGATTATGACTTGGTGTTTGATATCTCTGGTAGTATTCATCACCCCATTGTTTGCCTGCTCGTCCAGGGTTAGGGAAACCGTTTGGGACACCATACCCTGGGCTTTGTCTTAATCTAGTCGGGCTTTGAGCCATCATGTTGAATTGAGCGGGCATATAGCTCGGGCGAGAAGGAAAGTTTGTACCGGGATGATGTCTATGAAAGACAGGGTCTCTAGGGGGCGTTGACCATTGAGGAGGAACCTGTGGTGTTTCGGGCGGAAGTGCAAACTCCCAGTTCGGGTCTCCCCTGGGCATCCTTCTACTAAACAATGGCGGGTTGTACGATGGGCGTAAAAGTCTGGGCCCAGCGTCACAGTCTCGGCTGACAAAATGATGCCAATCGCTACGAAGCCGGGGATCCTGGTTGTATGAAATTCGCTTTAAAACCTGAAGTAAATCTTCTTTCGTTTTCCGTGGTATCTGGGGCTTCTGTGGTTTCCCGGGTTTGCTTTTCTTCTCTTGTTCCTTTTTCTTCTTTTTCCCTTCTTGCTTTTCAGGCTTTTTTGTGGGGAGTGAGAAACCCCATGTATGATGGTTTACCAGCTTCTTGAGCGTGTCTATGTCAAGAGCACGGTTGCGTAAATGTGTGGTGTCCGGGAAACGATACAATTCATAGCCTGGTGGTGGAATAGCGAGTTTCTCGAAACCAAAATCGGGGAAGTATTCGTTCACTTCCGGGTAGTCAGCGTTGGGAGAACCCAGCCCAGGCATGACGTTTGAATTGTATTAGAGGATACTGAAAATCGAACGTGGGATGGAAGTGGACGTCACTTATGTCATAACAATGGTTTTGAATATATCCAAGAGCCTCATAAGCAGCGAAAGATCAGAGATTAAATAGGTCGAAAATACAAGGCAGAGAAGGTATGTGTCGAAGGTAGGCCCCTTCAGTCCCTCACAGTAGTAGGCACATAGTCATTGTTGAGCAGAGATCAACAATGGACTGACAACGAAAGCCAGTGAGCCGAAATATGGGCAAACTGGCGGCAACTTGGGATAAAGGGGAAGAGCAGCCATCCAGACTGATCTATTATTCTCCGATGCTAAGCCACATAGAAATTCAGTCGCTTTTATACCATTATGAGGACCAATTGTGCCCTTTGTTTGGTCTCAAAAAGCGAGGGAAACAATGCAGAACTTTGGGAATACGGGGCAAACCAAGATAGCAATAAGATAAACGTCAATACAACAAAATTCGAACTTTCCGAGCATGATCTTCATCAAACCCAGCGGTAGGATATTGAGCCCAGAAAACAACCTCCTATTTGGTATCTGGGTATCATAGTGTCGGGTACCACCTGTCGAGTTCATGGGGTGGTGGTTTTAGCCGGATGGCGTAGTTTATTGTCCTTCTTTCCCTCGTCTATGGTGCTCTACGGAGGCATCCTAGCTATTTCTTGAGGGTGTTTGGAAAGAGCCAAACAAGTCCGGTATATAAGGATGCCACTTTACCTTCAATATTCTTATCCTTAGCTGCATGTAATCTCTTGCAGGCGTCCCAGGTAAGAGTTGGGTTTTTTAACGGCCGGCGCCATTACCCCCACAAGCTTAAGTTGTCGACTTGACTGAAGGGACTTCCAAGTGCTGAAACCCTTAAATAGCTATGTCTATCACGGCGTATCTTATGCAACCAACTGTTGTTGAAAGTAGGAATCCTCTCTCCTGCTTCCTGGCCCGAGGGCGCCATATAGGTCTGGATGTCGCTGTTCCATGACCTTTTTTAGCTATTGTTTCAGCGGCAGTAAAGCAACGCACGAGGGACATCTGTCCGAGAGTCCTAGTTAGTTATATCCTATTACTTCGGCCCTACCACTGATATCTTGCCGAAGTGAGAAACGAAGCGACGGTGAAAAAAATCGATGAGTTCAAACATTTTTCATTTCTTCGCTGCTCAGGCTGGGCCAAGAACAGGTCACATGTTTCGTTTAGGGGCCCATACGGGAATCATGCACGATTTTTCTACTGTAATACGACTAAGACTTAGTAATAGTACAGTTGCGTTACTAAAATTTGGTAACAGTAACGTTACTATTACCAAATTTTGGTAATAGAGCTGTACTATTACTAAGTTTTCTTAGTGTCATGGTAGGATAATTATCCACGATTCCGCTATGGGCGATCCATCACTAAGAATGCAGAATAGCAAAGGAGATGAATGATAGGTGGTTGGTATAGAAAGGGGTTTTTTACTCCGCTGAATAGCAGATTTGTGTATTGGGAATAATAATAAGCGAACGGACTAGGTAAGTAACATGAACATGGAAGATAATGTCCAAACGACGTAGTTATCTAGTTACACGTTCAACTTCAAGCCTCTAGATAGCCCCCTTGTTTGGTAACGTCTAGAAGGACCCTTTGCCAGACATCACAGGTGCTCTTCAAGACTTGATCATCAGCTATGAGGCGATATCCTGTGTCCACCACGTCTAAGGTGTTCTCAAGCTTCTCGGCATTAGTGTCACCAACTTTCGGCCAGGGAATGGTTGGTGGATCGATATCACGATCTCGCAGGGAGTTAGGGTTGCCAGTGATAGCATGACTGAGAAGGTAGGACTGGTACCCGCTAAATAGAGGGATAGAAACGTTCCATAGCTTAGGGGAATACCAGACGGCCACAACATCTTGGCCATGGGTCGCTGCTTTGGGAGAGTACTGCATGAGATAAGACTTCTTTGGATATTTCCGGACTATATCACGTATGTTGCAAGTGAATATAGCGTCACGGACCATTTTTGAGCCAATAGTAGTCACGGATTCATTGGACGCGTTCTTCAGGTGGTAGTAGTCCTCAAGAGTAGAGATCGCTTTGGTAGCGTACGTTGGGAAAAGTGACTTAAGTAGATCAGAAAGGGACTCTAGAGTCTTATAATTGGTCACAAAGGGGCCACCCTCATTATAAACATGGGAGATAATGAGCGAGTCAAGATGTCTCCAGTAATTTCCTAGAACGTGGAAAGATCGTCAGTACACATTATTAGAACTGTATGGAGATCTCTCACCTCTAGCTATGTCCACTGAGAATACATGCTTAAGCACACGTCCGTCTGGCGCTGGCCCTACCGAGCCTAGACCCTTATAGCTAGCCTGAATCAATTGCGAAACATTGGCTGCTCGCAGGCACGACAGCCCTTGCCCAGCACAGCCCGCTCGTGAAGAGAAGTTCTGGAACTGATCCTCGACCATTCCTTTGCGGTCGATAGGGAAGCTAAGGCCGGGGCTCAAGACAACGGCACGTTGAAAGAGAGGGTCAACGATGCCCTGGTTGGCGGTAATATGGCTTAGTATAGAGCCCCCGCCTGCAGACTCTCCCCAGGCGCTGACTTTGTCCCTGTTTCCGCCTAGTAGATGGACATAGTCCCTAACCCATTCAAAAACGGCACGCTGGTCGTGCAGACCGGCATTTGGTAATCCTTCATTTTCCATCGTGGTTCCAGCTAACCAGCCGAATACACTCAGCTTCTCAGAGTGTTAGTATTTTGGAATCCATGATCCTGGAGCGAGAAAGATTGTCCTTACTCGGTAATTGAAGGTGATGACAATGGCATTTCCAGCAGCATGCTGTACAAGGCTAGTACCGTCATAGATTCCTTCTTCAATTGTTTGATCTTTGGAGCCGATCGAGTAGCTTTTTACGGTCATTAGCACAGGTAACCTATAGTTAGCTGAAAAAGAGATAATGACGTACCCTCCACCATATATCCAAACAATGACAGGTAGCTTTTCATGCTCACGGTTCCTCAGTACTTTCCCAGGAACATAGGCGTCAAGAAATAGGCAATCTACGTACATCAGAAACGGCTCGAAGGTCAAGGAGTACTCAAAAAATGTAAGGCAAACCTTCACGAGAAATCTTTTGCTGTTCCCCGTACCACGGGGTCTCAAACCCAGGGGCATCGGGCCCAGGAATGCAGGGTGGGCCGTAAGAACCGTCCTGGATATCAGGCTCTCGAACCCTTGGTCTTACTGGCCTTGCCCAACGCAATGGACCGGTAGGTGGAACCGCATAGCGAATGTTGCGGAATGTGTAGACCTAGACTAGAATATAAGCATAATGTATCTCCCGTGCTATGGGCTTCATGTCTCTTACATCTGCGGCTTCATCGTACTGAGCTGCTCGCCACCTTCCATAAGGCAAATCGAGAATCGGAAGTTCTTGAGAGGCGAAGACTCCATGGAGAGTGCATGCGGCCATCAAGCCGTACGTCAACAGTCGGGTAAACATGTTCAACCAGCTGATATTCCAATGGTCAATTATAATTGTGAACTTGGTGTGTGAAGGTGTAGCTATCAGGGGCGTTGAGCGAGGACTTTATATCTCACGACTTCGAAGCTGGCCGCTGCCGTTAGGCTCAATTGAATTCGTCATTCTCTCCCATGCGCACTCCGTACTGCTGTCCATCTTATTCCCCTCTTCTTCCCCATCGTAGTACATGTATTCTAGACACACCCGGGAGTCTACAGCGTCCCTCCATGCCCGATATAGACAGGGGGCGTCTTCACTGGCTGACTGCACCTTGACCGGTTCCGATTTAGCCGGCGCATCTCAGCTTGCTTCGCCATAATAAACCAAACACGAATCCCTTGGCAAAGTTGTCTCTTCTGGATAAGTTTGTGTTGAAGATCCAGAAGTTTTATTTTGCATTTCGGCTCTGGGTGCAGAAAGGCTCCCAGAATACGTACTTCTGCGCCCTCCTCGTGTTCCCGAGGGAGCCGGCGATAAAAAGCCACCATTTAATATGGCCATACCAGTAGATACAGCATCATGCGGGCCCGCTGAAGCTGTCATCCGTAGTAGTTAAGTGGAGTGAAGCTGGCGATCAAAATGATGTTGAGGCTGAGCCGTCTCAGCAAGAATATTTCACGAGCGTTGGCGCTGATTTGCTGCGGCTCAAAGACAGGAGGAATACGAGCAACCTTCCATCTTCCGCTAGACCAGCTATTTATTCCCACCAAGCTCCCTGCTCGAGGTACTCTGTACGGTGGACTGATATTATGAGGAGAGAACCAGCTAGTTATGGGGCTGCAGAGAGTAACTGAGGATTAGAGTGTATCACTAGGCAGTCATGACTTCGGAGAGCTCGTCCAGAACGTCCTTGTCGCCACCAAACGACGCCCGCAAGTGGCAGACTGTCTTCAGGGTCAGGCTGAACCCGCAGGCAGCTCCCAGCCAAACTCGCAGGCCAGTGCCAGAGAAGAGGAAAGCCAGCAGATTTCGCCATCGCCGATCACACCGCAAATCAAAAGCCGGCTGTCTTGTATGCAAGAGACGCAGAGTCAAGGTAGCTACCCACCAGCCGATAATTGCCTAGTTACATACTCCGTAGTTACCAAATAAGCTGACACATCTCCTACAGTGTGATGAAATGAGGCCTGGCTGCCGGAACTGCTCCAATTATGGTGTTACATGCAGCTATCCTACAGATCCCAGTGGTGGTACCGAGATGGGAACCGTTGGCCCCCTGGGTGATCCCAGCATGGTAATGTTTTCCATGTCTCTCGACAACTTGGCCACCAACATCGAGGAGACGTTGAGCATGCACTCGGTTTTAGGCTACCATATGGCCAGAATGCCAGGGTCTGATCGGCCCATAGAAGTTCTGGCACTCCGGCACTTTGTCGACTGCACCGTAGAAACAATATCAACCCCATCAATCCGTAAGCTTATGCGGACAGAGGCGGTTCGTGTTGCCTTCTCCGTAAGTTAACTATATCTGCTTCTTTCCCCCCTATGATAGTGCCAAAATTTGTATTTTATTTATACCCTCCTGACACGTCCTACATTTTAGAACCCGCATGTTATGCATACCATCATTGGTGTAGCACTGCTTCATCTCAACCGCATACTCCCGTTTTGCAATGTCAGGGAGGTGGCAGAAGCCCACCATTGGCAAAAAGCGATCCAATTCTATCGGAAAGCTCTCTCTCACGAAGTTAGCGCGGAAAACATAGATGCTCTTTTGACCACTTGCATGCTCATGGCGGTTAACTGCATGTGTCCTGAGAATTTCACCCCAAAAGACTCCTGGGTCCTGAATTCTGATCCGTCAGCTATGAACTGGATCTACCTCCAAAATGGTCTACCATACCTTTTGGAGATTGGCAGCCCCTTTATTCCTCTAAGCATCTGGGGTCCTGCCTTTGAAGCTGCAGAAAAAGCTCACAACGAGTTGCTGAACGATTGTCCGCAGGGAAGACAAGGCATGCACCCAAGATTGGCGGATTTCTGTGGAATAACAGATTTAACCACAGATGAGACTAGCCCTTATTTTAAACCTCTGCAAGTTGTAAGCTCGATGTTGGATATGGAAAAGAGTGCTTCAACTGCTGGTTACTTTTCATCCTTCCTCGGCCATTTGGACCCTCGATTCCTCGAGCTTCTAAGAGCCAAAGACACAAGAGCGCTCGTTGTGATAGCCCATTGGATGGGCATCATGTGTCTGATATCCCACTGGGAGCCCTGGGTGGAGGGAAGGATCAGATCTGAATGCCTTGCAATATGCATCCACCTTACTCCCAAAGCAGACACCCAACTTCTGGAGCTACTTAGGTTTCCGTCTATCGCCTCTGGATTTACAGATAGCTAACGAATAAGCTTGAGCCATCATCGGTTAGTAACATAACAATTATTGAATTTCTGCATAAGTATGAATCAATATTCAAATATATTCATTTTTCATAAAGCCGAAAAGTTGATCTGCAATTATAGCTAACCGTGTCTAGCTATATTGATAGATACGAAAGACTACGAAACTTCACTGCCTTGTGTCTAGCAAATGGCATGTGTCTTTCCAGTCTTTCCCTGGAGAGAGTGATCCTCTCCCTCATATGCCTTGGTGGACTGATCGTACTTTCCAATACTCGTGGCTCTCTTACGAGCGTATCTAAATAAGGACGGTCAATTAATCACGTCAAGCAGCAAAAATTCAGCAAAAAGAATACTCACTCTCGGTACTTCTCCAGTGTTTTCTTGTCCATCTCTTCTAGCTGCTTTAGAGCGAGCTTGAAGTCGTTGACCAAGCTGTCACAACGGCTACGGCTAAAGTCCTCTCGAACAACAATGCGCATGAGTTTCAGCTTCTCGCTATGAGGCGCCATTGTATACGCCGGCACAACCCAGCCACGTTCACGCAACTGATGGGCGATAGCAAACTCATCATACTTTTCAGCTGTCTCTGGTGGAAGACGGAAGGCCACAAGTGGTAGACCACGACCTTTGCCATCGCTCATTATGATGAATCCAAGCTCCTTGAGGGAGGCTGCCAGGTAGTCCGCGGTGCGAGTCAGATTGAGCATGATAGCACGGTATCCTCGCTTTCCGAGCCGGATCATCTGGTAGTACTGGCCGATAACCTGCGAAGCACCCTTGGAGAAGTTAAGGGTGAAGCTCGCCTGGTTGGCCCCGAGGTAGTTAATGTTAAAGACTAGCTCCTGCGGGAGATACTCGGTTGATCGCCAGACTATCCATCCTACGCCAGGGTAGACCTACACCACACGTAGAGGTTAGTATTTCGCTCCCCAAGGCATCCTGCAGCAATTAGAAAGAAAACTAACCAAGCCATATTTGTGTCCAGAAACATTAATGGACACGACCTTCTCAAGGCGGAAATCCCATTCAAGGCCTGGGTTCACAAAGGGGGCCACAAAGCCACCACTAGCAGCATCAACATGGATAGGACAGTCGATTTTCTTCTGGACAAGGAGGTCATTGACAGCCTTGATATCCTCGTACTGGCCGGTATAGGTGGTTCCTAGAATCACACAGATGCCAATGGTGTTTTCATCAATTAGATTTACTGCCTCTTCAGGGTCAAGCACATATCTCTCGTTAGTACAGTAGACGAACTTCTCCTCGATATCGAAGTATCTGGCAGCCTTCTCCCAGCAAACTTGGACGGCGCTGCTCATAATGATATTGGGGCGAGAGGCGTCTTTTCCCTCTGCCTTGCGGCGGTTCTGCCAGCGTTTTTTCATGGCAAGCGTTCCCAACATAATGGCTTCGGAAGATCCAATGCAAGAAGTTCCCATGGCATGATCATTCTCATCCTTACCGTCATCGACGGGGGCATGGAAAAGGCGTGCGATCATGTTGACACAACGATTCTGGATATCGGCTGATTGGGGGTATTCTTCATAGTCAATGAAGTTCTTGCTGAACGACTCGGTCATGAGCTTTTCAGCTTCGTCTTCCTTCAAGGTCCCAGAAGGCGTTAATTTACGGTAATATCAACGATAGCTACCTGAGTTTCAATCTTACCATATATGTGGTAACGAAACTCGCCAGACTATAAGTATGATCTAAGTCAGCCACGGGAACGCAGTATAAGAATAGCAAATCGGCAGCCAAGGCGTACTTCAACATGGGGTTACCGTCCAAGCTGAGCTCATCCTTGATCATTCGGTAGGCAACTTCCTTAGGCATCTCCTTCTCCGGCATCTCATCGGTAGGGAGATCTTCTGCTGCAAACCGAGAGCCATAGACACTGGAGTAGAAGTCATGGTCCTGAGGCTCATCAAGATCTAGGGTGTCGACACGTTTGAGGAACTTTGGGGGGAACGCATCCGAGTCCTTGCGGACCCTGGATATATGAACCATGCTGGCGGCTAGGAGGTGAAAAGTTCAGATTTCTACCTGTCTACTCCTTAACAGCAGGAGTAAAACTACACAGGGACAAAGACAGGAGACATGCAGCAACACGAAATAAGAGAGCAAGAATGCCAGAATGCAAGACTGTCCGAGCAATTAGGCCTATATATATATATATATATACGTCTGACCAGCCAGCCAGGTTCCATGACTCGTCACCCCTCGCTGCTACTCTCCACCAAATCGCCTTGCCTAACCCCACAGGCCGCCTGTGCTTCACTCCTAGGATCTCCTCTAACCTTCCGAGGCGACCATATAATAACCATGTCAAGGAGGGGTAAAAGCAGAGCTAGACAATTGTGGCGGTGTTAAGCATAGGCAGTTACAGGGATTCACTCATGATTCTTATACATGGATGGTGGAACTGGCTTCCGGACTGGACGATGTGTATATGCACGACCATAACACATACATACATATGTACGCCGAACATGGGCATTGATATAGTCGCATATTGAACTAGCTACGTGGAAGCGGGGAGCATTTTCCATCCTCCTCCGCCCATCTTTTAACAGCTGGCTCTCTAATAAGACAGGTTCAAGATAGTTGTGATTGCGTCCCTCATGAACGCAGGCCTAGCCGATGGATCCCAGGTTTGATTGGCAAAAGCTTGTGCTGTGGCTGCAAAGCTTGGTCAAGGAGCTGAGCTCGCTTGCAGGGGGTAGAGGGGGCGATGGGGCGAGAGGGTCGATTCTCGGCCACGCATCTTCTCACAGTAACAGTCATCTCTCTACGATTGGCTACTATGTCTCTTGCTGCCATATACAAAGGAAACCATGCATATTATATTCAAGACCAGCAGGATATAACTGGGTAGTTATCCTACCAATTGACTACTTAGTATACAGGCCAAATTACTCTGCATGCGCAGGACTTGAAACATCAAGGAGACGCGGAAGACATGAACCACAGGAGTATAACTACCAGCCTTAGGAATAATAGGGCCGCATCATCACCTTTTTTAACTTAAGAGTCTCGCTATGCGGTTCATGACCCTATCCCTTAAGCGGAGTCGCTTTGTTCCTCCATCGCCCGGCGGCAGATAAGAATCCGACCCCTTTCTCAAATGTTTTTGACCTTTCCTAAACTCCTTATCTCGAGCCTTTTGTTCTTTAGCCTGTTGCTTAGCCCGGGCTTTTTCTTCTTTTTCTACGTCGTGCCTCTGCCGACTAGTGAGCTGAGATATTTGAGCCTCGTTATGTTTCTGAACAATCTGCTTGTTGGTTTGGGGCTTGATAGTGCTTGAGGTTTCTACAGCCGCTTTCACCTGTTCGTCCGAAGATGCCAGCGCCGGAACTTTGCCCGGGATGACGGGTTCGGTAGAAATAAGTCTGTCGGGGGCTTTTGCTGGGACTACTGGCGCCTGAAACCCTAACTCTTCGGCCGTAGGCACCTCATGTGTTGTGGGAACTGGCCCCTGGGTTGCCGTTGCCGTTGTGGTTGTTGGAGGTTCTTCTTCCTTTTCTGGGAACTCCGCCTGGTTTGCCTTCTCTGCGGTGGCATGTTCCTCGTGCTTCATCAAAGGTACCGGAATAGGGGCAGGGATAGGAACCGGAGCGGTAGCGGGGCCTGAAACTCGGACCGTTGAAGCTGCAAATTCATCTGTCACAGTGGAAGGTTGAGTTTGAACCGGGGCCTCATGGGCAACAGTAGCAATGGGAGCAGGAGACGGCTCTGACGGCTTTGCGGCCATGGCGGCATAGGTAGGCTTCGGCGCAGCTGGCTGTGATACCTGTTCTGCCTTTTGTACCTCTGAAGTCGTTGTTTCAACCAGTTTCTCGATGATCTCTTTCTCTACGGTGTCCTTTTCGATAATCCGCTCAATATGCTTCCCAGGAGCACCTGCTACCGCCGTTTGTGGCACATACTCAGTCACCTCAGAATGTCTTCGAGTGGTATGTGCCGTGCGCCCGGGACCCTCTTCGGTTTCTTCCTTGATCCATTCATTCTCCTCCTTTATTCCGGAGACGGCCTGCTGGTTTGAGCTCGAGTTCACCTCAATAACACTGTCGGCAGCATGTTCCTCGAATGTGTTTTCGGGATTATTATATCCTTTCTCTTCCTCTTCCTCAACAGCCTCGTTATCTATACCCTCACCTAAAGCTTCAACAGTGGCTTCAGCCTCTCCATCGCCTGGAAAAGCGCCAATAATAGGCATCTCCGTGCGATGGGCAGTGCCCAGCGTCGAGGAGTCTCTTCGGGGCGTCTCTGCGGCTCGCATGCTAGACAGTGGGCGCTGTGACTGTGTCTCTTCCATATGTGAATTTCTCTTGCCAAAGAAAGCTGCACTGGCGGCCGCTTTGGAGGCTGCGTTATGGTCATTGTGAACTCCAACCTTGGAATCTTCCGCAGACCAAGCCGGAGATGGAGGACCGTGGGTTCCTTGCGTGGGATTTGTGCTTGCGCGCGAAACACTCGTCAGGTCTGTAGGGCCCTTTGCATGGATAGTACTGCCGGTTGCCGCATCTCCAGTACCTGGATTTTCATAGAGTAAGTATTGGCACATATTTTCATTAGCCATGTACACGCAAAAAGCGCGCACACAGAACAAACGAAATCCTAGGGAGGCAAGTATCAACCTTTTGAGAATGACAGTGGACGAGGTTTCTCAACAGAGACCTTCTCCTCGCCATGTGCACGAGCATTTGCAATCGCAGACACCACCTGTGGCCTGCTCTCATCGACTGCAGCTGGTTTGGAAGCTGCAGGCGCCAAACGATGTCTTCCTCTGCTCTTCTTCTTTTTCTTCCCAGCGTTCGCCTGCGTGAAATGCGATCCCTGTCCCGATATCATATTTGCTGTTGGCAGCCGCACCTGGCGAGTCAGGTCCCCTTCAGCCTGACGGATATGCTGAATGAATAGAAAGATATGATTTTGGAGAAAAGGAGGGTAAATTGAGTAATAAAATGAAAAATAAAATAGAGGATCAAAATGTAACTAGATTAACTAGGAGCCTTGACTTACTACTGACAGCAACACCTGGCCTGGCGAAGTGACGGTACCATCCGATATTTGCAACAGATTAGGGGGTATATGGTATGTGTAGTTGCTGCCCACCCCTAGGCCTATATACCTTTTCATGTCTTTGTGTGCTGACCGATAACCAAAGAAAAGGCCTAGAAACAGCAGGAAGGGGGCCGAAGCCGTCGTCGCAGCGTAGCTCATGTGGCGGCAAATGGTTTGGTAGAGATGAGGTCATAAAAAATCCAATATGGTTCTTCAAATTGCCGTAGTTCTTTCCATATAAATTCTCTACACACTTGATAGAAGCGCATTTCAGAAGAGAAACGCCCTCTTCTATGTATGCATGCAAAGGCCGTCCACATGCTCCAAACGGGGAGGGGGGAAAAAGAAAGCAGGACGACCGACATGGCCATTATGTACTGCTGCCACGAAGGCTCGCCGGTAAGGCCCGAAAAAATGCAGGCCTATGTTCGTAAAGCAACATCACAATTTTTGGCTGCAGAAGCTTTGGTCGACTAGGATCCGTCAGCTCTGGTCTCTGCCAATTAGAAGGACTGCGAGAGCCGCTGGACAACGCTGTCAACTGACTACCTGCCCGTTGTCGTAAGTGGTGGGCTGATGTCGGCAATCTTATACGTTTGTTTAATAATCGACGCAAGCACGGCGTAGCTTTTTTTATAGCCTTGTCCCGATAACTAGAGCCCTACCATCCCCAGGCAGCATCAAATCGTCGATAGCCCAACGACCCTGGTAACTAATTAGTTAGGTTAAGCTCGTTGGTTAGCTCACTCCCAGCCATCTCGCGAGATGCGCCACCAAACAAAATGCCGCAGGAAGGAAAAAGGAAAGAAAAAAAGAACCGGACATGTCATGCCAGAGCCATCCACTATGGCCAGCGTCACCGCCAGCTCAGCCAACCATTTAGCATTCGCCTTTGGCTGCGAGTTTTCCCCTTGGCCGGTGGCGGGCTTGAGGACCCATCATAACCAGGAGATGGAAGGCCTAGAAGGAAAAAATGTGACGGAGAAAGGTTTCAACCCTCGAATAGTAGTAATGGGTCGATGGATAATAATTTCCCGACCCTATGATTAAAAAAATACTGGGGAAGAAGTGAGTGTAAGGAACTTTGGCTGTCTCCTTTTGCTCTTCTTTTTTCTCTTCTTCTGTTTCTGCTTCACGTTCTTCATTCGGCCGTTAATTAATTGAAGTAATTGAGGGACGGTAGGAAGAACGGCCCCTGTGTTTCGTTTGTCAGGATCCCGCCTGTTGTAGCTGTTTCGCAGTGCTCACACGGCCCTGAGTGATCGGTTTCTCTGTCGGAGAGGAATGGAAGGCAGGCCGTCTTGAGATATTTCTTTCGATTTCCCTTTATTTCTGTGCATTTTCCTTTTTATTTTTTTATCATTGCGTTGGGAGTTGGCTCGTCGTTCCGTTGCATGATATCTCTGCCGTTCTTGGTTATATCTCGATTCAGGGTCTCGCTGTGTCTCGCTCGACAGCATGGGACGAGGGCTTCGAGAGAGGATGAAGAGAGCGATCTTCAGCTCTCGCCCTCGCCTATCGAGCCATACTTCGCCCAGGCTGGCGGAACGTCTCGAGGAGGCAAAGCAGCACACCACTTCCTGTCCATTACCGCATAAACCTCAGCACCAGCATCAGCAGAACCACCACCAGTATCAACCCCAGATGCACCAACCGGCCCCTCCAGCAACGAAGAAGTCGTTCCGCATAAGCATCATCAAGACATTGTCTCGACGGACATCGAACCGGAAAAGCAGGATAGAGGAACCCTGGCCGAAGATCGAGCTATACAAGCCTCACGAGATCCCCCGTCCAAAGTACCGCGGGCCGGTCGACAAGAAGCATCTAGCAGTGCTCGAGGCGTACTCGATCGTAAAGGCAACGGAGAGCCACAGGCGACAGTCCATTGACTCGTCCGTCTGTCCGCTGGCGACCGGTTTGCCATCGAGACAAGACAGCGTCACAAGCATCAGCGAAACGGTGATAGTGAGACGTCCTGGCGATGTCGAGGATGAAGCTGGTAAAGGTGAAGTTGAGGTGGAGGTTGACCGCGAGCGAGAAGATGTAAACATCAGCAACGCCAACTGCGACTCCTTGCAAGACGAGGAGGACTCGAACACCACGTCGATAGCGAGCTCTGACGAAGGTGCAAATGTCAGCTCCTCTACTCTTCTTACATCGAATACCGAGGACGAGCATCTACTGCATCTTCAGCTGCATCTGAACCAGCGGCAGCGTTCGTCAGTGACGAGACTGAAGCGGACGACGGCGTTTACAGCAGCAGACCTGCACCACGCATTGAATTACATTTGATACATGAATTTACGACCTACGGACGGCCTATTAGTTATTATTGTTGTTGTTTATTATACAGAACCACGGAGTAAAGGCATGGGCATCTAAATAGAACGCGGCGCTGGCGGACGGGATATCTTACACCGGTTAGCATAGACTTATATAATAGAGATCATGATATATTTTATATTCCTTTTGTTTCCCCTCACTAGATATATAGAAACATTCATTCATTAGTCGTATAGATAGATCCAGCAAACAAAGACAAGGTTACTCTTCGTGAGTTACAGCCATGTCCATCACTTCGACCCTACCCTTGCCCTTGGTCTCTCCGCCGATGAACTCACCCAGCCCCTTGAAGGCCCCGGGTTCAGCAAAGCCCAAGACTTCCCATTCGTCGCCGCCTATCACCTCCTGCGACTCAATCTGTTCCAGATAACTAAGGATCCGGTCCTTGACTGTCCCGGCTGCGGCTGGGGTAGATGTAGTAGCAGCAGCACCTTTACTCTGGTCATCCTCTTCTTCGTCGTCAGCGGCCTTCTTACCTTTCTTGCCCTTACTTTTTTCCTTCTTCGACGATGAGGGCGCGTTGCTTGAATTGCCGGGTGCAGCGGCCGACGATGTTACTGTGCGGACCGGCTGTTTCAGTATAGATGTTGGGCAGGTAATACGGAGACGCATCCTGGCTCGCATGACGGGTATAGGCTGCCAAGCGATTAGGGCCTTCATTGCATCCAGGGCTTGGATCTTTGCCGACTTTGAAGTCGTGACGCCTGTCCACAGAGGTTTTCGCGGGGTGAGCGCCAGCTCTGCAGTCTTCTTCGATATCTCCTCGTCACCATCTACCTCTGCCTCTGCGACTTCATGTTGGTGTTGTTGCTGTTGCTGCTGCTGCTGCTGCTGCCCGCTGGCAGCACTCAACTGGTCCAACGCTTTACCAATCATCCCTGTGGTGTAGACGCGTTTCGATACGGGGTCAACCAGCCTAGCAGACACTATCTCCAACACCTCCTTCTCAACTCGATCGAGGATATCCCGTCTCTCCTTCTCACCCACTTGTACCTCACCCTTGCGTAAAATCTCCTGGATGACATCCTCTGTCTTGTAATCCTTCCCAAACGACTTGGCTAGCTCCGCCGTTGGTGCAGTGTGGCCACGAGATACTGAGAGAAAGACCGTGGGGATCTGAAGGACGTTGTCCAGGTCTGTCTCAGCGCCAGATCGGTACTCCAGTAGCTTATTCTTATAACAGGCTAGTTCATATCTCTTCTTGCCTGAAACCCGAGTTAGCCATCTCGTCTATCTCACTCCTCTTTGCTCGATACTCACCTTTCTTTAACCTCACAATCGACACATTCGTGAATTTTATCTGATTCGACGGTTGCATTATCATCGGCATTTTGGCGGTGTTACTCTGTCGAGTTCAAGTCTTATTAATCTATTTACGTCTTCCTTTTCTTTCCTCAAACTAGCTGGTCGACGTCTTTAAATATCAACTTCATCTTCGCCTTCGTCTTTCTTCGAAGCAAAGAAAAAGCTGCGATAAGACTAGTCACGTGTAGATAAACATTAGTCATGATGACTAATTAGAGGGTATAATGACTAAGCTGAACTTAGTGTGAGGCGAAAAATAGCCGAAGAAGGAAACGCCAATACAATCACTCTTAATTAATCGTTGGCCGTACAAGGCGATCGTGGGAAGCAGAGAAGATGCAACACTTCTTGCTCTTGAAAGGATGCCCAACTGCTATTCTGCAAACTTATGTACCTATATTCCGAAGATGACGGTTATAAAATCCGCTATTCACCAAAATGCCGGGTATTCAACACTTGACCTCCACTGCCCGTCTGGTTCCAAAAACATTCAGTCAGCTTCAGCTTCTTACGTCCTCTCACAACTAACAATAACATGAAGCAGCATGCATTCAACCAGCCCAGGATGCTTACAATTCAAGAGAGCCAACTAACCTACGTGGATGAAGTCGTCCTAAGCCTCCACGCCTACAAGCACGGGAGTTCGGGATTGCATCTTAAATGATACCTAGAAGGATAAAAATTTAATTGCCTGCAAAGCTACGGAAATTATCAACATCGCTAAGCAACGAAAGGATATGTCCAATTACAGTGTGAACATGCCGGCACCTATCCTGTACAAGCTTAACGAAGGCTGAACCAGGATATGCCCAACCTTCAATTGTGCGGTATTGCATATGATATGCAACAGAATCCGTGTCGAGGAAGGTCATAGCATCAGAATTTCCCAGCCGAAAAACTTGCTACAGCCGCCCCAGATTAATTAGGGAATGGAAGAAGAGGTATGGGATAAAAGATCGCATGCTAAGACTGGCGAGCAGTATAAGCAAAGTGGAAATGGAGTACGATACGTGCGCGTGGCATCAATATGAATTTAATAGAAAGCCAAACGACGCCCGGCTAAGGAATATATACTATTCTCTCGGCCAACAACAGCTGATGCGACAGGATGATTCCAAGTGCTCCTCCTATAACGGTGGCGGCTCAACTCTTGGCACCACTTGATCACTTGATAGAGGAACTTATTGTCTTCATTGCATTCATAGGACGACAATGTGGGCAAAAGCCTAGAGGACCAGGTTGTGGCCTCTCGAAAAGCGCAGAAGCGGAAGGGAAGGAGAGATATACCACGTGAATGAGCGGTATGTATAAGCCATGCATAACGCTAATAGTAACCAAAGTGTGGCCACCCGTCTGCGAGCCATGTGCCCTAAAGAGATACCGGGAGAGTTCAAGTTGCACCATTACTGTTGCCTCAGTCTGAGGGCCGTCTCGCGGCGCAAGAAAGAGCGCATACGTACCTCCAAGGGGGGAAGGTGAGTTTAGTTATAGGCGCAGGTGGTGGTGGTGCCTATGCTATTCATTTGGCCACATGAACCAGCTCCAAGGATGTCTATAGATTTAACCGTTGACATCATAGGTAGGATGTTATCTATATAAATATCCATTTCTTCCCCTCCTCATCACCTTTCTCCTCTTCCTTTTTCTTCAACGATTATCAGCTGAACATATCATTGACTTATAATAACTATTGATTAGTTCAGTGTCAAACCAATGATATATTCGAATTTTGTGGATACAACGCGTCTGAACTGGTCATTGCAACCAATAAGAATCGTGTAATTTTTTGGCAAGCGAGTAACAAACGCGGGCTTCGACGTCAACATCGAGATCAACCACGGCTCGACACCAAACGGACTACAAACAAGGAGAAAAATACAGTCATGAACCAAGATTTCACGCCTTGCTATACGCCTTACGCCTGTGGCTCACATCTTGGCCTACGTCTAGTTACAACTAATTGGTTTTTGGATGCTTCTCTGGGGAAAACAAGCCTTGCAAGATCATAGCAAGAGTTTTTGTTCTCTGCCTACTGAGCTCGACAACAATAGTGGCTATATTTCCAGACAAGATACCCTCGGAATCACTGTGTGGTACGCAATAAGTTGCACGGATCCATACTGCTTCTGCATGGTACTTTTCGTTGAAGAGATACCGTTATGATTAGTATGTTATCGTGAAGATACGTTTCAAGTGACATGAACCTATGGCAAAAGCCGATGTTCACAACTAACAAACAGATGCCGGTTTTCCCGGTTGCGCCACTGCGTTCCAGTATTTGGACAGAATGACCAGCCCGAAGTAATAGGGAAAGAGAGATACAGAAATCCTCTTGATATGCATTAGGCTGACGCGTCAGCTATGAGACGCATGACGCTTCATTTGTCCGGATATTGGAAAAGTCAGAAGAAACAGGAGTTTAAAAGGAAGGTGCTATCCCATGTTTCCAATACAATCCCAATACTATCATCGGAAAGAGCAATGAGTCACAGAGAATCCATGGTAACCCGATTACTGCCACTGCATTGCTCCTACCTGATGATGATATCGTAGCTGGGCAACCGCCATCCAGATTTTGAGCAGAGGAAGGTGCCAGATAATGGCCTATAGCCAGAGCAATTTCCTGGTGAACAGAAGGCGCTCCCACGTCATGGCTACGTCCACATGACCCTCATTGAGCCATTTCTGACGAAAGTGCTATCCACGAGTTACATTTGAAGGCGAAATAGTTTCTAGGATATATACGTAATGTCCTGGAGGGCCTGTCTATTTAAACTCGCTCCTTCTCCCTCTCTCACATCTTCTTTCCTCTTCTCTTTCTCATCTATACAGCCATCTATACCAATCTATACCAATCTATACCCATCTCCTACTATCTCTGCCATCTATACCTATCTCTGCTATCTCTGCTATCTATACTATCTCTCCTATCTCTGCCATCTCTGCCGTCTATATCTATCTCTGCTATCTCTGCTATCTCTGCTATCTCTGTCATTTCCGCTATCTATACCTATCTCTGCCATCTATATCATATATGCCATCTTTGCTATCTCTGCTATATATACTATCTCTGCCATCTCTGTCATTTCTGCTATCTATACCCATCTCTGCCATCCATTGCTATCTATGCCATATCTGCCATATGTTGCCATATATGTAATGACGGCCTCCAAGGCCCCTCCCCTCCCCCTTCTCCCCCTTCCCCCCTTCCCCCCTTCTTCCGCTATCACTCTAGTTAAAGGTTTGTTCCACTGCAAAAACCAAGGCTGACTTTCCTCTTTCGTGTACCATAGCCCTTTGTCCTAGCTACAATCCGAGGCACTCCGAGCCTTATCATGGTGGGTCTTGGGCTACTTCACCATTTAAGATGACTTATATACTAACAACTACCACCAGATTCTTTTTTTTCTTCGACAGTATAGGGGCCATGCCCCTCCCCGTAAGTGAAACGGCATGACATACATATACAATGTGAGATCCAACGCTGACTTCCCTCCATTCCACTATCTGCAAATCTACAGTCAGTTGCTACACTTGTAGCCTGAGAGGCTCTCGAGCCGCTATCCCACCGTAGGTCCCTTTTTTGGTATCCCTCTCATGGTGACCTGCATACTAACTTATCGTCGAAACCCGCGTTGCCGAAAATAAAAGGGGCAAACGTCCCCCTGTGAGTGGAGTATTCCCTGTACGGTACCAGATGCACTGCTGACACTCTTCTATAACATGGTCAATGGTCCATATGTGAAATAGTCTATCAACTCGCAACCACCCGCTTGCTCTAGCTACAAGGCAAGCTCGTCTTCACCCCCCAGGTAACACATGGTCTGAACTTTCTCCAGCTCAGTCAGCAATTGTACAGGATGTGCTGACAGCATACGGAATCCCTTTTGGCCGTCCAGGCCAGCAGACCAGTTCATATGCATCAAACCATGCATATCAACTTGAACAAAAGTTGGGTGGCTCTGCTAATACTTTAGAAGGCTATGATGAAATCAAAGCAATACGAGAAAGGATCGGTTTCTGGGCGTATGAATGTCTTTGATAGAAGGAAAGTGGTGCAAGAGATCGAGTATGGACATAAGGAAAGCCTAGTTTACGGTGGCTCTGGAGACTTGAGTAAACTGCTTATTTTTTAGATGCTTGTATGCCTTCGATTATGATGGATTTACTTTTAGCTATCAATCGTCTCTTCATACCATGTGACTAGCAAGGCGCTTAGCAGCCATGCCAACTACCAAAGCCATGAAACCAAAACGGAGCGATGGTATTAATATTCGTTAACAATGGTTAAACATGACTTGAGCCAGATGGATATGTCTAGTTATCCTGGCACTCGACGGTTCTCCTGCTTAAACGACTTGAATACTCCTAAGCTGGGCAAACCGACGGAGCACTGCAACCGGATATATAGCCCGTGGTTATGTCAAGACACTGGCCGACAGGGTGAATGAGACAAAGACCTCACTACCTACCCAGGTTGATTAGTTAGTTAGTGGTTTCAGCTTGAATAACTAAAATACAGGATGCCTCAAGAGCGATCTTTTTACTTCTGCTCCCGTGCCGACTCGACTCTCTCCCGCCAGCAACTCCTCCAGGCAACAGTTTGATATAACTATCGAACTTGACAAGCCTTTATGCATGCTCAAAACCGCGAGAAATGAAGGATTTAAGGTTCGGTTCCTTCGGCTTGGAAAGTGCTTGTTTTTTTTCCCGTTTAACTAGTTGGTATATACATATGTATTCATTTTGTGTTTGCTTCTTCTCGTTGACTTTTCTCGTGTTTTAAGGACGCAAGATGTCAGTTATATTGTCAGTGGTCGACAACGCATGCTAAAGATGGCTATAGAAAGACAACATATAGTCACCGTTCGTTTCTCTGTACTCCGGCCCACAGGAGGAGCCAGCCTCCCACACATGGCGGCCTCTCTGCGCGCCCTTTGGCTCGAGGCCCGGTCAAACAGGGAGTCAGGGGGAAGAGGCAAACAAACCACTGCGAGACGGCACCGCGACTCCATCGAGATGGAGCACTACCAGATCTCTCAGCCACTAATTTATTCTTAGTTAGTTATAACTCTAGCCCCTTTTTCCTAGCCCGAAAGACTGACCTCTCTGCTTTAGTTACATTAGCGAGCGATGTCACAGGCTGACGAGGCGCGACCATTCGCCGCTGTGGAGAGACAGCGATGCAGTCGGGCAGAGAGTAAATATGCTCCCCCCTTCTCCAAGCCAACGTCTCTCGATACTTTTGGTCTGACATCTGCAGGAGGCTCTCCTGATGGCGGCGGCAGACGCCTGTCTTTGTCTCTTCGCCCTGCGGTTCTCGATAACGATGTCTTCTACACCGTTGACGCCGGCCAAGCTGTGGTAATCTCGTCGTGCATTCATCTCCCCCCGGCCCCGTCAGCGTCCATTATCTTCCCGTCTCTCCTCTTATTGTCCCTGTCTACTTTTCTTCTCTGTTTCTTTTGCTTCTTGACTCTCATCTCTTCTGCTCGTTTCCCCTCCCCTCCCCTTGCGTTTGCGCTGGTTCACCATGACGAAATGCCGGCTCCGTCATCTCATGATCCTTACGGGATCCGTACTGGCCTGTGTATGGTTCTTCCTCGGTGGTGAACTACGAGCCATTGCGGACCAGTACAACGTCCGAGACTATCTCAGAGACTCTCTCGACCCGACCAGGCAGCCCATCAGGCCATCCAATGCCACTGCTGTGGGCGACAAGGCCATTGTTATGGCGGCCCTGGAGGAGGAAGACACCCAGTGGGTTGAGGAATATCTCCCGGAGTATGCTGGCCCCTAGCTCTTCCACCAGGTTTAACACCGATATGCTAAAGTATATTTACAGCTGGCAGCGGGCGATCTACACCGTCAACCCATCGCCAGAAACCCGAAGAGACCCAAACCGCCTTAAAACGCCGGCGAACAAGGGCCATGAAGCAATGGCGTACCTTACCTATGTCATAGAACACTACGATTCTCTCCCTTCTGTCGTCGCCTTCTTACACTCTCACCGCAACGGCTTTCTCAGGGCGTGGCATGTCGATGCTCCGCTGCACGATAACGCTATAGCTATGCAGTCCCTGCAGACGGACTATATCAGGGAAAACGGCTATGCTAACCTTCGATGTATGCGCAACCTGGGTTGCACATCGCCCGGCAGACACCCGCTTATTACACCTGAAGTGTGGGGCGAACTATTTAACGGCACAGCGCAGGGGAGAGCTGCAGCTGCTGCCAACGGAGACAGGACAAGTGTTCAAACCGTTATACCAGTGCCGGATGTGGTGATGGTTGCATGCTGTGCGCAGTTTGCTGTCTCAAGGGACCAGATTCGACTTCGACCGTTGGAGGATTACATACACTTCCGGCAGTGGTTGTTTGATACCTCGCTCAATGACGCCACTAGCGGCCGTATATTCGAGTATATCTGGCATATAATCTTCGGCAAGGATGCTATCTAGTAACTATCCCCTGACCATTTTCTTATTCCCCCGTATCACGGCTGTCACTACATGGTTACTAACGAACCTATTTATAGCTGTCCTGAGGAAGATACATGCTACTGCAAGGTCTATGGCCGCTGCTAGTATCGTCCTCCTAGTCCTTTCCCCATTTGACGTCCCCCGCATTTTCTGCTCTTTAAACCCGTCTCTCTTTGCATAAAGATAAGGGCTCAAAGAAAAAAGCTTATAGAATTTTGTTGGTGAAAAGTGCTAGTATACCCCTTTTTGATAGCACTTTTGTTATGTTGTACACGCGGTTTTTGTTCATATTTTCGTGGTATTGTGACCGTCATTATATAGAATTAGATACCAACCTCCTGTATCCTGCTCCAGGAGTTTTGGAAATTGGATAATATCGATAGATATAGCTTTTCCAGACCATCCAGGGCTAACGGATTTCGATTGTAGGCGCCGACGAAGGCAGTAAAGGGCGAGTTGCTTGAACTTGCCCCCAGCATTCTCATTGGATGCTTTTAATTTGTAAATATGTTCATCGGGCATGGATAGGTAGACATCGATGCACTGAATATCTCTAACTCAGTATTCAGGAGTGACCAAAGGCCGGAGGCTATGAGGCATTTGAAGCGCCTCAAAATCTGATTCTCTCCCCGGTAGAGGCCTCCGGTGTCATTGAGCATTGTGATGATGATATCCCGCCGGGCTCGTGACTCTGCGGCGGTGCAGTTCGGTAGCGTAGATGGTCCTATGCGGCTACAGCCTATCTTCGGATTCGTGGTCACGTCTACAGTCTAGGAGCATACTGCAGCTCATGATAGTATTAGTCAAAAGGCTGATTAATCATATATTCTCTTTGCGTTTCCCAGCAGGTCGATCATTTTTCTTGACTGTCGGTTTCATAGTTGCAATACAGCTCCGCACCTAGCATACACGACAGGGAATGTTGCCATAGGGTGTCCCTGTGTGCTTGCATCCTAGTTAGATATTGGATAATTTGAACGAGGTAACTTGGAGACTAACAGAAGATTGCTCAATTTTCTCCGGAACGAAGGATAGTGTGTAGTAGAGGCTCTTTTTTTGTGGTTTCTTTCACAATGTAGGCTTCCAGCTGCCTAGCTGCGAATTCACAGGGTTCTCTAACCATTGTTTCGAGGATGAGTGTGCCGTCTTGAATGTTGAGTGTTATTTTTTAGTTTTTTTGGGCCTTTGCATAGATAAATGTACCTAGGTATGTATGGGGGAGAGAGGTATCAAATTGCCATAGTATATATATATACTGAAGGGTCCCCCAATTAGAGATAGAGAAACGGGGGAGGAAGTTGGAGAGAGAAGACACAGTCCTGGGGACGAGGAACGGGTATTTATATTCGATTGCCTCGCCTTTTCTGCAGTGAACGTAAAATGTGACTGTCTCAAGTTAATACCTGCAGTCACTGCGGTCAGCAGCCGCCTGCATGTGCTGGTGAAGGGGTTCCAGATATTTCAGGCAAACGGAGTAAGACCATGTAAAGTGCATCCTGCGTGTCACCGCTGGCCGACAGGGAACCATGGGTATCAGTAAATGGATGTCCGTTTGTTGCTAGGTCGGGCGAATACTGTCAGCAGCATTGGCGTAAAGAAGAGAAAAAGCCCAACACCGGCCTGGTGCAGAAGCAGAATTTTTGCTTCTGCTGAGATGTTTATCTTAAGATGTGACGTGGACTAGGATGTTTCAAACTACGCATTTTGCAGCCTCGTAAGTACAAGCCACAGCATAAAAATAGGTAACTGACTCGTCAATGAGATACATTAGGTAGATAACTAGTTAAACAGATAAGATAAGACGGCATAGATAAGCAATTGAGTAGATACGTTCATTTCATAGGCGATAATCGAGATGAGTATTTAGAAGTAGGAGAGTCGTCACATCATAATCCGAAGGATAGCAGAGTCAGGTACAAAGATATCGAAAGAAAAATATCGAAAGAAAACCGAATAATATCCAGCACGCGCCGGGCCTCCCGCCATCCAGGGAGTACTGTCTGGTTCATTGTCCATGTCCTTCAGGACATCATCCCTACATGAGAGGGCGTAAATCAATCAAAGCAGATAACACGTAGGTCTAGAGTGCTGACAACAAGAGCAAAAATGGAAAAGGGAAGTATTAAAAGAAAAAAAAAATAAGAAATAAAAAAAAAGAAAATCAATAAGTAAAAAGGCGACGAGAACGAAGGCCAACCTGTATCATGGCCGCCAGCTCTCATCTATCCGCCCTCTAACCATCCGCCGTCCCCGTCTGAGGCCAACGTTGCCTTCCCCGACAAGGGCTTTCCATCGCTTGCCGACGGAATCGTTGTTCTTGCCCATCCGCCTGGCACAATCGTTCCAGTCACGTTTGGACAGTTTCAGCTTCTCCAGTACGAGCTCAACTAGTCTTCCATCGTCTTCGCTTGTCCATTCTGTGCTCGGGTGGGGAGGTGAGGAGAATATCGAAGAGTCTATGGCGTTGTTCAAGGAGTTGTGCGTGGCCGTAGTAACAGCAAAAGATGGAAAGGAAGGGGTGGAATCTGGAGGTGTAATACTACTGGCGGGTATTTCATTCATATCATCGCCTTGTCGGTTCCATTGTCGCCGGGTGCATGGGGACTGGGTGGGTGACCGTTGCGACCTGGATGGAGTGTCCAGTGATCGGAAATCTCCGGTTTCGAGACCAAGCGGAAGCTCTGGAGGTGCACGTCTCTGCCTTTTCGGTGTGGAGAACTTGTCTTCATGCTCCCTGTTCTTGCTGCCGTGCTGGAAGTCGATTGGGTCCTCGTAGGCGTCTCTCCTTCTCTTGTTGGCACCACGAGGATACTTTGCAGCAGGCTTGACAACTCTCTTAACAGTGCGCATAGACGATAAAGACCCCGTAAAAGATGAAGTAGATGAATCAGAGGCGGTTCGGTTCTGAATATATGGCGTGGGTTTCACTTGTAGAGGACTCTGGAGGCGTTCTGGCTTGGGTGCTCGAGTGCGCACCCGACTGGGTGATGCGGCGGGGGATGCGTTCAGCAGCGACTGAAGCGCTCGGCATGTTCCCAATAGACCATTGCCAGATCTAATGCCGTCGTCGGAAGGCGGCGGAGTGGATGGAAAGAGATGGGAGGTTGCGAAGCGAGGTCGAGAGGAATATTGTTGCTGCCGTGACTCGCACGACAGGGCAGATGGAAGAAGCATCCTGCTCGGAGTGATCTGTACGCTGCGTATGCAGAAGCGCAAGCCTGTGTCAGGTGTTGGCGACTGAGCAGATGTGAGGGCGAATTATGTATTCAAAAGAGGGAGCGTTGTTTGCGCGGTGCTGGTCGCTGCCTGATTTTCTGCGCTGCGAGTTATGCGCCGGGCGAGTTTCCTTGAGAACGCGAGGCGGTATGAAGATGCGGTAAGCTGGAAGCGAATCTACCAAGTGATGCGCTTCAGGCGCTGCGACGTAGCGGTCTTTGCGACGGTGCGTGGGTGGTTAAACGGTGATGCGGCGGGTGCGGGCTGCCTGCTTGTAAGGAGTTGGGAACCTGGGGGGGAGGAGGTTGGGAGGGAAAATCAACATAAATCGCACGATCGGGAGGACAGAAAGGCAAAAAACGGGCTCTGACAGGCTAGCGGCACAAGCGGCTTGGCGCGTTCAAGGCTAATTTGGCGCTGCAGGAAAAAGTAAAGCCGCGAGGTGGAAAGTCGCAGCAACGCCGGCTAAATAATGAGGAGGCCAGCATGGAGAGTGAAGAGACCTCAAGAGATTGTGCTAAGAGAGCGCTAAGTGTAGGCGTATGGAGCCGTCCTGCGAGCCAAAGAGCGGTCCATCCATCCTCAGGGCAGGGGGGAAAGAAATGCTCCGTCAGGACTAGTTTCCCGTCCGTCATCTGCGGTGAAGAGGCCGGCATGAGGACCGAGACAAGACCCCAAGGGACCCGGGCTGATAGGAGCTAGAGCGTGGGCGGAAAAAGGAAGACGATAATGTGATGGCCCCAGAGGTCTACCAAGCGAGGGAGGCACCATCCTGCCTGCCTGTGTGGTGCGGTTGAACATCTAACCGCCCACCCCTGGGGCTTTGTTTGTTTGTTTCTGTCTAGTTATTCTTTTCATAGTTCTTCGTAGCATAGCAACGGACGGAGAAAGGGCAGGGAGTTTGCTCAGCCGGAAGCTCCTCCGGCCAGCATTGATTTTCTGCTTTCTCTTCTCCCCACCCGTCCTGCAGAAGAAACATCTACACCAAGCCTTCCTTTATCCCACACGGTTTCTGCTGTTCTTTCAACAGCCCTTCCAGGCCGGAACACAACATGTCAACCACAGCAAGCTGCTGACAGACGCCTGCGATATTTTTGACTGCGAGTACGGAGTAATCTCCAGTTTCCTACGGAGTGCACCTGTCTTGAACCGGTGGAAGACCTCCCTTGACAATAACCGCCTCTCTGTCTGATCGACTCATACAGAGTATAGGCTGTGACCCTCGAAGTTGTCCTCTGTACCACCGAAGTTCCCGAAAAGAAGTGCGTCGCTGTGTCACAAACTGCGACCACCTGCTCCTTCGATTGGCCAGCCGATCACCCATCCTTGCAAGGTAGTCGAGACGATCATAAGAAAATGTCCACTGTCCACGACTCGGCTTTAATGGGTAGCAGAATAAAGTTGGGGGCGAAGGTACCAGGGGTGTTGAAGGTTTTGAAGGCTGCGGTCCGTCCCATCAAATAATTCCATCGCCTGACTTGGGCCTTGCCCACTCGATATCACCATGACGACGGGTGCGTGCTAGCCTGCCAGGAGTTCATCTTCACAGAGCCCAAAGTATAGCCACCCCAGTTAACCATAATAAACGATTCGAAGAGTCAGCTGAAGAGAAAGAGAAAAAGTTCTCTCTCTTTAAAAATAGGCCCCCTGGTTATCCCATGTCTCAGTGTGGCCGGATTCGCGCAAGTACCGGCTGTGTCGCTAGGCAAATCAGCCTTCCTTCTGGCCACCAATATTTTTTCTGAAGGCTCGCCACTCCTCAAATTGACTTTGATACTCTGCATATTCGATATCCTTTTTGTCGAACTATCTTCGCTTTTTTTCTTCTCGTTTGCCACACAAGCGAAAAGCCATCAAAGTCAGACGCGCTGCACGCGCGCTAACGCGTCTGTCGTGCTTTTTCGCGTTTCGTGTACCTGCAGAGTAAAACTTTAACTTAGCCAATGAAATGTGGTTGGTAGTCACTGGAAATTAGTCATCTATTCCTTCATGCAGGGCAAGAACGATAACCTCCAAGGGAAGAAACATAACAACCTGACCGAAGGAGTGGAAGAGAGGACAAAGAAAGAGCACGTTGCGGGCTGTTTGCCACGGGCTATCAAGATAGCTATACTCCGCACGCAGTGGCTTCTAACTTCGGCGACCCTTTTTTTGAAAATAAAATGAAAATGAAATGAAATCAAAGATGCATGACCGCGGCGGCCATATGACAGATACCTCCCTGTCAACGCGTCGGTATAACGACGTTCTAATGCTCACCATATCTGACTGCACGACACTTCCCAGTCAGAGGGTCAAGTACCTCTTCAAACACCTCGTCCTCCTCCAAAAGGGATCTATCACCATTGGTGTTGCGCTTTGGCCAAGAGCGTACACCATTGAAATGAACCCTATGGGTATGAAGGGCAGTAGCCGTCTCCAACCTAGGAGCGATAGCATCTTTCCGTTTTCGTTTTGTGACCGGTGAGGGGTCTCTGACATTTCCTGCCACATTAAGATCCCATTCGCCTTCAGTTGCGACCTCTGGTTGCTCGTGCTCCGTATTATCACCCACACTCGTGTTGGACTGCGTTCCTTTCGGCCGTTGAACTGGTTCGTGATCACTCTTGTCCCATGCTTCGGGACTAAACGGGTTCCTGATACGCGGCTTGGCCTGGTGGTCAGCTGCATCATCATGGCTGGTCGCTTCAAAGCGGACTCTAGCCCTTTTTAGGACTGTTAATGTACCATCCCGCTTTTGAGCCGTTGACCCTTGTGGAGAGTGAGGGAAAGGAGTATCCGTGCTACTATGTAGTATGTCAGGGGTCTTTTTGTTTCCTGGGTCTGAGAGCGTTATTGATATGTTTCGCCCGAACCCCGTTCCAACAGCATTCCGGCGCGAGATAGAGAAGTACGACGACTCTCCGACCTCATCCTCAGAGGACGTACTCTTTAGATTGTGCCCCTGGCTTCCTGGAGAAAGCCGAATTGCACTCCTACCTTGCCAGAAGCTGTACTCGCCCATAGACCCCTGTACATACTGCAGGTCATATAAAACCCTCTCTTTTTCGTCTCGTGGCTCCCATCCCTGGATTGCACGCAGGTAGAGCTCGTTGAAAGCTTGGCTGTGCGCACTGTTGGTGAACCAATCATGGTTCAATGCTTCCTCGGCCGTCATTCGCTGCTCGTCGTCAAGGACGAGAAGGCCACGGACAAACTGTTTTGCACGGCCACCTACATTCTTCCAGTCTTCATCCTGCTCGAGAACACCGAGGTTACATTGTTTGGCGAGTTTTCCACAATATTTACCAGTCACTGGATCACTGAACGGTGAACCACCTGTCAGAAGGACAACTGTGAGACAGCCTAGAGACCACAGGTCAACAGATTTAGTATACCCTTTAGTTGGCTTGTGGCACCCTTGACCCATCTCTCTATTATAACACATATTAGTAGACACATTGTGCTGGTTTATAGTCAGGCATTCTTACGGTGCTGTATACTCCAGGGTTCCCATCACGGAGGCCATACGTGACTTCTTGGGGTTCAGGTACCGAGCACACCCAAAGTCAGTTAATATCACCCGGGCTCCATTGGACAAGGATGTCATTAGCACGTTATCCGGTTTCAAGTCCCGATGGACAACATTCTGATCATGTAGGTATACTAATGCAATCACAACTTGTCGGATTATCACAGCTGCCTCCACATCTAGAAGCTTTCCGTTCTTGAACTCAAGGAAGGAGAATAAGTCGCCTGCCGTGACAAGATCTTGGAATATATACCTGTTTACCTCTCAGACACTTGGTCATAGTTTAGTCAACGAATGAATACTCACATAGTATTCTCTGTCTTGAAAACCTTTTCAATATTGATGATGTTGGGCTAGCTGACTTGTTAGTTGTGGTTGCAAATGACTATGCATGATTATCCCACTTACATGTCGTAGCTTCTGCAAAATTTCCACCTCCCGGTCGTACATCCGAAGTTTGGCCTGTACCCTATATGTGAGGCGCTTAGATGTCTTACGTGCTTCCGAAGCAGCTATTGGAGGAATTTTTCCCATCTCAACCTGTCGAAGCCTGGCTTTCAGGTCTCCTAGGTTTACTATTTTGCACGCCAGCTGTCGTTTCTTCTTCTTGTCAATGGACATGTGTACTCGCCCATATGCTCCACAGCCTAACGTACGGTTCGTTATGGCGTACAGCTTATCGAAGTGTTTCATCTCCTGCGTCTGGACTCGGTCAAAAGGCGTCTGAAGCACTTTCGCACCCCTGTACTCTATCACGACGTTGCTGCAAATTTTCACCATATCCCCGTCACTTAAGAGGAACCCTCCGCTCCCTTTTCCTATTTTAAGTTCATTCCAGAAGGCTCCATTGAGGGATAGGTCCTGGACATACACGAGAGGTGCAACCTGTAAAGGGTTCTCTTGGTCAAATATGATTGAGTAGATACGAAGATGTATGTTGGAAACCATAGGGTCGTCAATGACCAAATGACTAGAAGAGTCAGCTATGAGCTTCCGGAATTGCTTTTGATTATTGGAAATGAGAAGAACACTTACCATGAGCTTGAGTTCCTGCCCACTATGAGTTCTTCGTTGGCGAATAACTTCCACTCTATAAGCCTTTAGGTTAACACAATCGTTCGTGCCTTGATATCTAAAATATTGCCTCTGTGGAACTGAATATACAATCAGTTGGCTTCATTAACATACCGTCACAGGACTTGCTCTTCGCGTTATGGACATACAGAGTCCCAACGTGGTCCGGTGAGCACGGCTGGAATACGCCATTCTCATCTTTAGGGTGCTGACTAGGCATCGTGGAACAGGAGCGGACGATACGTGAAGTTATGTAATATCTGGAGTAGTAAATGCGAATGCCTGCTCTAGTAGCCAGAGATGAAGCTGTCGACGAAAGGTTGAAGTGACGTTGAAGAGACGAGGTCCAGATATACCCGATTGGGAAAAAAGAACGCACGGACTAAGTAACTATGAGCCCTTTGAAGCTCTACCGGGCTTCACTAGATTCTCTTGCGCTCCATCCTATATTTGAATATGATAGTCTAGGATGATCCCACTTATGCGTCGCTCAAACTACACTTTCAACGGTCTTGCATAGATATTATTCATGCTTCCTACATATGTCACGGGCTAAACAAAATTCTTATCCGACGCTATTTCAACCTTGGTATGGTTAAGAACTCTGGATATCAGAGTTAGATTTTGCATCAAATAGCTTGGAAAAATTAACCGATAAACGATACGTAGGTATTTGTCGCCTGGCACGACGCATTATTTAGTTTCGTGATGACACCCAAAATACGGAGTAACGATGATTGAGGCTGAGACCCCTGCCAAGGCAGCCCCGGAGACTGAACTAAAGAGCACCTATTTTTAACTCACGTCAATCTTTTCTCAACATGAACCTCAATTTGTGAGCAGGCATTACTACATCCGATTTCCTCTAGCATTGCGCCGTTGCAATGTCGAACGCTTCTCCCGCAGATATCATTACCTATATTGGCGTTCCCCTTGCTGTGATCGGTGTGCTCCCAATACTTTACACATGTGCGCGCGCACTCCTTGTCCTTCGCTCGATTCGCAAAGTCCTAGCGCAAAATGGACACTCCAACTCAGCAGTTACAAGAGGGAGCATGATGTCTGGGATCGTTGAGGTTGAATTGCCTCGCTATACTATAACACCTCTTGACCGGGAAGAAGACGAGGAATATTGGAAACTTAATTTAAACCGGTCTAGCCTTCTAGGAGGCTCATGGTCGTACTTTCACTGGAACTGCCTAGTAACGGGCAAAAAGTTATATCGAATCCAATATAAAGACGAGCTACTTGTCCCTCAAGCAGAAATAGATTTCGATGAGTTGGTTGGATTCCTGCTAGATCGTGGAGCCATACCCGATGAAAATGGCTGGAACATGCTGAGAACGAGTGGACTGTGGGCCCCGGCCGGAACTGTCCTGCTACGGTCGCCCCTGAACGGATTTGGTGCTGTTTTGAGAACGAGTGTGCCTGATGATTCAGATGGTGTTCTGAGCCTCAAGGTCCATTGGCAATGCGATTGGGACAAACGCGATAAACATTGCCTACCACCCTTTTGGATGCGCATCCATCAACCCAGGCTGTTCGGCGGTGGAACATCCCCAAGCCCTGGATCTATTTCAAGGGAAGTAATTGGAAATATTAATGATAAAGATGGCGCAGACCTCCCATCCGGTGCCAGCGAACCTGCAAATCTAGCTACAGTGCCAACACTACTGGCCCATCTCGAGGAAAAACGTGCTTCGCTTGACAGCACCGATGCCCTTAGCGACAGTATACGTTTCCGTATCGAAAGTGATACCATTGAGAAAATTTACTTCGAGCAGGGCCATTCGCTCACCGGACGAACGACAGAGATGGGTTATTCGGGAGACGCAATCACCCAATGGTTCGTTTACACTGCCTCGTCACTAGGCCACATTGAAAAAGCAGGAACCTGGAGCTTTGCATTGCCACAAAATATTTTACTGGCCGTAAATAGGGAAGCGGTCCCATGTGGTGTGATGGAGTTGCTAGATATCATGCAAGGAGACGAATTGCCGCACTGGGCATCTCCACGGCCACAGTTTAACGACCATATGAAATTCCATAACCGGTTCCTTGAAGATATGAGAGCAAGAGAAGTTGAAAAAACGATGCCACCAGCACAAGCTGAGGCTTCTCGTCGGGCCAGAGAACAGGCCAAATGGGCGGCAATGCGGAATGATCAAACCGAAGAAATCAGACTCATGCGTGAGTATGAAGAGAAGCGTGGGATGGAGGCATTGACGTCCCCAAAGTTGAATAACAAGGACATTGCGGATGCATGCTTGAGGTGGTTGGTGAGCAACAATCACGTTCCTAAAACGTATCAGATCAAGGATTTGGCCAAGGCAGTGTTATACCTGATGGTTCTAGATTCCAACCAAGCCAAGTTAATTGCCCAGGTGTGTGATCGTTGGACGATCTGGCATCAGTCACCAGGCATGAATCGGTCGGAGATAGAATTCTTACGAGGGAATACGGCTAATTTCTGTTATGCCTCTTCTATAATATATACTATCCAAATAGCGGCACGGTCAGAGGCTCAGGTGTCTACTGATATGCAAGAATGCCTCAAGGTCTGGAAGAAAGTCCGGCTCGGTTGACTGGTATATTTAGAATCAGAGCCCAAGTTTTCATGTCCTGTTTCAAGCACCGGAGCCACTTTGCATTTTTCGGAATCTTTCCTCAGCGGCCCTAGCACGCCGTTCTCGTTCCAATTTCATCCTCATCTCCGGTGTCATTCCTCTTGTTTCCTCTTCTCGTTTCTCAGCACCGGTCTTCTGCTGAATAGCTGCAATTGTTTGGCGTGACGCCCGGTTCTTCCCTCCTATTGAAGGAGTTTCCTCTTTCCTGAGACGTTCAACTTCTTCTGTTCGTCTCTTATCCTCGACTTCTTTTGCCGCTTTTCTCTCCGCTTCTTCTCGGTTTTCACTCTCTTGCTTGGACATTGCAGAGGGTATATGGGCAGCTTCCCAATCCCAAGCCTCTTCACCAAGCTCAAGTCGAGCAACTCGGAATGCGTCCCGAGTTATGCGGTTTCCAGCGAGGTCGAATGGTGGTTTCCCATCGTCGTTCAGCTGTGTCGGATCCACCCGAACTTTTATCATCAATGCACTGACTACAGCTGGTGAATTGGAACTTGCGGCAAGGTGGAGGGGTGTCGACGCATGGTAGTTCTGCGACGAGTTGGGAGGGTAGAAACGGAAGTCATGTGGTATAGAATTACTCGCAATATATGATAAAAGTGCGGGAACCTTTGAGCGCCGGATAAGAGCTTGAATCTGAGATGTATGGAGCATCGCAGCTTCGTCTTCTTTGGATATTTTAGGTTTCTGAGGTTGGATTTGCGCGACAGACTTTGGAGATTTAGAGGCAGCCTCCCGCTCCGCTTCTTCTGCAGCAAGAGCAGCCTCGTCGATATGGCTGACCTTGACACGAGTGAGTTCTGTGAATACTCTCATGAGCTCTGCCTGGGTGGCTCGGCGTGTGCTGAACGGGAACACTCTTATTCTTGGGTCAGAATGTTTCAGAACCTGTCCCTCGTACGGACCATACAATATTCTGCGGTTAGTAGATCCAACCGCTCGAATAAAGAGTAACTGTGCATCATCAATCATATCCTTCCAGCTCTTCAACAACTGTCTGATCTCGTTTTCCAAGGCTGCTTCATTATATCGCCGCAATGTAGCGCCAGCAGAGTGGGCAGCCCCTCCCGCAGCATCATGAGCTGCCTGACCACCTCCTTGTTTTCGTCTTGTGGTGTATCGATGGAATGTTTTATGGGCAAGTACCCGTGCCTGTCTTTCTTCGATTCCAGATCGTTTCTGAACTTCAGGCGCGAGCGCTACTACCATGGCTGCAAAATGGCCGCCACCTATCATACACAGAAATATATGTTCAGGGGATGAGTCCGCTGTGGCCTTGGATGCATTTGAAGCTGACTCTGAAGTATCTTGGGCCCGGTGAATAATATGGGGTTTCTTTTGTTTGGCCTTAAGAGAATCAACTAGGTAATTGGGTTCCGCTTGTTCTTCGTTTGTAAATAAAGCCCGATATATCCCTAACGAGGTATTTATGTCGAGCAGGGGGCTTGCAAACCATAACAACGGCGCTCTCCCTCCGCGGCCCTTTTTACTTGAGTCTGAGCTTTCATCAAAAGGCACTGGTGAGCTTATCTTTGCCTGTTTTTTCAATAGCGCTGTCAGGGTGGTATCAGGTGTTTGCTGTCCGCTCTCCTCCTCGTCATTCGATTCAGAGTCTGAACCAGATATAGATTCATCAAGGTCGCCAATAGCCTTGTTAAACTCTGTCTCATTGAGTGTAGCAGTTCCACGTAGCCTAGCTTTCAAATTATACCGGTGGTGATCCGATTTGACGTGCTCCCGTTGTTCTCTGACCTCCTGGAAGGTTACTTGGCAAAGGGCACAGGACTTGGAGCCTGGAGAGCTTGAGTCATCCTCGCTATCCCTTGCTCCAGCCTGGGACTCGTTTGACTCCGTTGGCAATACTCTGCTGCCGTTTGCTGATTTGGTGGTTAGGGACTCGAGCAGCTCGGCGGGGAGAGAGTACACTGTTCCGCCATTAGTTACGTTAGCCTCGTTTATTTAACTAACGCAGCAGGAATGACATCTCAAGCTCACCGTATAATGGGCGCTTCAGCAGCGCTTCACCCTGTGGAGTACCGCCCGCCATCCTAACTGGTATATGCCTTGACGGACGTTGACAAGGCGGGCTGGTCGATGAAGAACGAAATGTTTCAGCGTGGGGGCTGTCAAACAAAATTCACGCCAAGGCTCCTTCTTCTGCCTTTAACCAGCTTAAAGCTATCGAACGCTGTTTGCTTCCAACAACTGCTTCTTCCCGCCGGCTGTTAATATTTTATATACTTAGTAGCAAAAGCAAACCCCGTATTTGCTTGACTGGGCGTGACTCACCCTGGCGATGTCCCGCAGTGGATCAAAGAGTCAAGAGTCGAAGAGTCACAGCCATCGACAAGCATCGCTCGGTCTCTTCGCCCCCTGGCTGCATTAATTAACTGCCTAGTTATATTTACGTATGTATGGACGACGCAGCCGAAAGTACCTAAACCCGATTAACTCCGGCGCGCCCCCTGCACGTCTCTCTATTCCCGCGCTGCTCGCTGCGCCAGACACGGAAGACGCCTCGTATCCAGCTTCTGTAGTCCACCGACTCGCCCGCCCATCCTTCCGCCAGCCCCAGCAGGTGTCCCAGTGCTGCCTGCACCAAGCTTGCAAGCTGCCAAAGCTGTCGGTTTCGCTGTCTTCCTTGCTTTTTCTTCTGCTGGAAAGACGAGGAAAAGCTGTATTTGTAAGCTCCTGGCTTATATAATCACTAGTTAGCTACTTCTGCTTTATTTTCGAACTATTAAATAACCGACCAGCTTCGCTCGACGTCAACATCCTGTTTCCACCCTGAAGTCTTCCCTCCCTCCCCAGAAGCCCATCTCTGGTTGCTATCCATCATACGGCTGGGATCATGGCGGGAATTGATGGAGAGCAGGCGGTCCTCGCCATGTCCTCTAGTGGCATCGCCGATGTCGTTGCCGGACCCCTAGCTTACGCCCGGCATTTCTGCGGCGATGCGGAGGGCTGGGGACCGATCAGCTCTATCAGATATGGCCTCACTCCTTGCTTTTTAGACGTGTTCATCTGTTTCGTAGCCGTGTTCGGCTTGGTGGGCTCTGCTGGAGCTCTGTGGCTGCTCTTGAGACATAGAACAGCGGAAAACATTCCACGGAACTGGCACTTCTATGCGAAATTGGTATGTGAGAGATAAACACGCACAGATAGAGAAAGATGCAACTTGACAATGATGTACCGAGTATAATTACTGACGTGGTTGTAGTCATTAATATGGGCCCTCGTTGTCGTTGTCGGACTCCAGGCATCTCTACAAATCGAAAACCTCACGCATATTTGGGCTAGTGACTTTAGGTTCTGGACCACTATCCTCCTCCTTCTTTCCCTCGTCTGCATATATGCAGTTCAGTACCACGAACACTGGAGGAGTCGTCAGCCAAACGGAGTGGTTCTCTTTTACTGGCTCTTTTTCCTTATCGCGCATGGTGTCAAGCTTCAGTCACTCGTGTCACGCCAGTTCTATCGAGACCACTTGCCGTACTTTATCACCTTCGTTGTCGGCCTAGGCATTGCGCTCCTGGAGTTCATCCTTGAATATTTCGTTAAGAAGAAGCAGAGTGTTTATCACGCATTGGGTGATGAGGACGAATGCCCCTTCGAATATGCCGATATATTCTCCATCCTGACCTTCTCATGGATGACACCACTCATGAAACACGGTTACAAGAACTTCCTTACCCAGGATGATATGTGGAATCTGAGAGACCGAGATACCACGCGTGTCACTGGTGAATTACTGCAAGCTGCTTGGGAAGACGAGCTCAGGAAGAAGAAGAAAAAACCATCCCTTTGGATAGCTCTGTTCAGAGCATTCAGTGCCCCTTATTTCCGTGGTGCTCTGATCAAGTGTTTGAGTGATATCCTAGCATTTGTTCAGCCGCAGCTTCTCCGTCTGCTTATCAGCTTCGTTGATTCCTATAAAACTGAAAACCCGCAGCCAGCTATCCGCGGAGTTGCCATTGCACTGGCTATGTTCCTCGTTTCGGTTGTCCAGACTACATGTCTACACCAGTACTTCCAAAGAGCCTTTGAAACTGGTATGCGTGTCAAATCTTCTTTGACTGCAATGATCTATACCAAGTCCTTGAAACTGTCAAATGAGGGCCGTGCCACTAAGTCAACAGGAGATATTGTCAACCACATGGCTGTGGATCAGCAACGACTGTCTGATCTGGCTCAATTTGGTACACAGTTGTGGTCAGCTCCATTCCAGATTACTCTGTGCATGATTTCTCTCTACGACCTCATTGGATGGAGTATGTGGGCAGGAATTGCTGCTATGGTACTTATGATTCCGCTCAACGGCTTCATTGCCAATATCATGAAGACATTACAGGTCAAACAGATGAAGAATAAGGATCAACGTACGAGACTGATGACTGAAATCTTAAACAACATGAAGAGTATTAAGCTCTACGCCTGGAACACCGCCTTCATGGGCAAGTTGAACCACGTTCGGAATGACCTGGAACTGAACACTCTACGCAAGATTGGAGCTACCCAGGCCATTGCCAACTTCACCTGGTCATCCACACCTTTCTTGGTTTCTTGCTCCACTTTTGCTGTCTTTGTATGGATCACGGATAAACCTCTTACCACTGATATTGTGTTCCCAGCATTGACTCTTTTCAACTTGCTTACCTTCCCACTTGCTATCTTACCAATGGTCATTACTTCCATTATTGAGTCCTCCGTTGCCGTCTCACGCTTGACGGCATATCTAACCTCCGAAGAATTGCAAGAAAATGCTGTCCAGTATGAAAATGCTGTTACCCACACCGGAGACGAGGCAGTATCTATTCGCGATGCCACATTCACCTGGAACAAACACGAGAGTGGAAATGAATTGGAGAACCTCAACTTTAGTGCCCGAAAGGGTGAGTTGAGCTGCATTGTCGGCCGTGTTGGTGCTGGAAAGTCGTCTCTCCTTCAGACCCTACTCGGTGACCTATATAAAGTCAGCGGAGAAGTTGTTGTCAAGGGCCGCATCGCCTATGTTGCTCAACAGTCATGGATCATGAACGCTAGTGTCAGAGATAACATTGTATTCGGGCATAGATGGGATCCCCATTTCTATGAGCTGACAGTAGCTGCTTGTGCTTTGCTAGATGATTTCAAGACTTTGCCCGATGGTGATCAAACTGAAGTTGGAGAACGTGGAATCTCCCTGTCTGGCGGTCAAAAAGCCCGAGTCAGCTTGGCCAGAGCCGTATATGCGCGTGCTGATGTTTATCTCCTAGATGACTGTCTATCTGCTGTGGATCAACATGTTGGGAGACACCTTATCAACCGTGTTTTGGGCAAGAATGGAATTCTATCTACCAAAACCAGAATTCTCGCGACCAATGCCATCACCGTCCTAAAGGAGGCCGATTTCATTGCTCTACTTCGAAACCGCACAATTATTGAAAATGGAACATATGAGCAACTTCTGGCAATGAAAGGAGAAGTAGCAAACCTGGTCCGCACGGCTATCACTGAAGATGACTCTAGATCCAGTGGAAGCAGCAAAGATGACGGCCTTGGAGGCTCAGAATCATCCTCCACAATTATTGACCCTGAAGACGATAGCCCTAACGCCTCGGACAACGAGGAGGCCCAGGAGCGATTTGCACCCCTTGCGCCTATTCGAAGTGTTGGCGGGGGAAAGCCACGCCGTGAAAGCACGACCACACTCCGCCGTGCAAGTACCGTCAGCCGACCAAACTTCAGGGGAAAAGTTGGCGATGAAGAGGAAGTCATCAAATCCAAACAGACCAAGGAAGCCATGGAGCAAGGAAAGGTGAAGTGGAGCGTGTATGGGGAGTACGCTCGGACTAGCAACCTCTATGCTGTTACTGCTTATTTACTTATCCTCGTTATGGCACATGGCACACAGGTAGCCGGTAACTTCTGGCTGAAGCAATGGTCAGAGGAAAATGAGAAGAAGGGTAGGAATGCTGAGATTGGGAAATACCTTGGAATCTATTTTGCTTTTGGAATTGGCTCATCTGCACTTGTCATTTTGCAGACTTTGATCCTCTGGATTCTTTGCTCTATTGAGGTATGGAACTACCCTTCCAATTTTGACCAGTTTAATACTAATATTTCACTAGGCATCACGAAAACTGCATGAGAGGATGGCCTTTGCGATCTTTAGGTCTCCTATGAGTTTCTTCGAAACAACTCCTGCTGGACGTATTCTTAACCGCTTTTCCAGGTACGTTAACGGCTCCATAATTGCTACAGGCCAAGTAAATGCTAATATTATATTTGCAGTGATATGTATCGTGTAGACGAAATGCTAGCACGAACATTCAATATGGTACGCTCATTCCAGTTCGTTCCATTTTGTAGAATGTTAACTAACGTAATATTTTTTAGCTGTTTTCCAATTCCGCCCGCGCTATCTTTACTGTAGTGGTCATTGGCATCTCTACACCTTGGTTCCTTTTACTTGTCTTCCCACTTGGATATGTTTACCTCAGATACCAGAAGTACTATTTGAGAACGTCACGAGAGCTCAAGCGTCTTGATAGTGTCAGCAAGAGTCCCATCTTTGCGCACTTCCAAGAGAGTCTTGGTGGAATCTCCACCATCAGAGCATTCAGACAACAAAAGCGGTTTGCTCTAGAGAATGAATGGCGTATGGATGCCAATATCAGGGCATACTTTCCATCGATTAGTGCCAATAGATGGCTTGCAGTACGACTTGAGTTCCTTGGATCTATCATTATCCTTGCATCTGCTATTTTGGCGACCATAGCTGTCACCACTCATACCGGCATTACTGCCGGCATGGTTGGTCTTGCGATGTCCTATGCATTGATGATAACCCAATCTCTTAATTGGATTGTGCGACAGACAGTCGAGGTGGAGACGAATATTGTTTCTGTTGAGCGTGTGCTAGAATACGCAAATCTCCCAAGCGAGGCCCCCGATGTTATTTTCAAAAATCGACCAACATTAGGCTGGCCCTCACAGGGAGCTGTAACATTTAACAATTATAGCACGAGATACCGCCCCGGATTGGATCTTGTGCTAAAGGGAATCAACTTGAGCATCAAGCCGCATGAGAAGATTGGAGTTGTGGGAAGAACCGGAGCGGGCAAAAGTTCGTTGACGCTGTCTTTGTTCCGTATTATTGAGGCAGCTGAAGGTCAAATCAGGTAAGTTGATATCATAATATAACTGTTGGATGTGGACGGGTGAACCAAATCGTCGGGAAGGATGCAGCTAACCAAGCTTTCGTTTACCAAAAACAATAGTATCGATGGATTGGATATCAGCAAGATTGGGTTGCAGGACCTGCGTGGCCGTCTTGCCATTATCCCACAGGACGCGGCTTTGTTTGAAGGGACGGTTCGAGATAACCTTGACCCTCGTCATGTACACGATGACACCGAACTGTGGAGCGTCCTTGGTATGTCAACGTCGCATTCTATTGAAAGGTATTATCAAGCATCATGCAGACTACTGACAGCCATCACTCCCAGAACACGCACGCCTTAAAGACCATGTCTCTAGCTTACCCGGACAGCTGGATGCTCAGATACATGAAGCAGGTACGTTGGTTCGGGTTGTCTATTAGAATTTTAGGATTGATTCCGATTCGTGTGCATGGAGGCTAATGCATACCGCGTAGGATCCAACTTGAGTCAGGGACAACGACAGCTCATCTCGATGGCTAGAGCACTATTGACTCCCAGCAACATCTTGGTGCTTGATGAAGCAACCGTAAGTGACCGGATTAGTTCATTCCATCCTGATTCCAAATGCTGCGTGTGCAGCGATGAGATGAACCGGCCTTGGCTAACCGTAATGTGAACGATCAACTTTTGTAGGCTGCTGTTGATGTTGAAACCGATGCCCTCCTGCAACAGATGTTGCGCAGTAGTATCTTTGAGAACCGCACGATCATAACGATCGCCCATCGTATCAACACCATTCTAGACAGTGATCGGATTGTTGTGCTTGATCGCGGTACTGTAGCAGAGTTCGACACTCCAGCCGAACTCATTCGGCAAGGAGGGCAGTTCTACACTCTCGTCAAGGAGGCAGGGCTGCTTGAAACCGGCACTTCTTCCCCGGCAACCCTGGATAAATAAGGGATTGCCGAATTAGGCAAACCACAGCATGGATTGGAGTAGCCTGGAGAAACGGTGGGGGGGGGGCAAGAGCAGTGCCTCAACAGGGGAAAAAAATGCCTCCTGGAGCCGTTCGTTTCATTATCGGCAAGCAGTATGACTATCATCGCCAGCACAGCCATCGTCGCCCTTATTTTCTTCCCTTTGGCTACCTCTGCCCCGTTTCCTTTTCCTTTTCTTTCATCAAACTGTTATAGAGCAGGGGGAGGGTCGTCGAACCAGGCCGTGACTCGACGGGCCGGCGGATACACGGGCGGGTTCAGCACTGTCCATCCAACCCAGCCCATCGTTGCCTGTTCGCTTGTTCGCTTCTGTTGTTCCGCCTCGCTTCACAGAGGGGTGGGTATATTTTCATTATTCTGCTTGCCTGGTCCGGTCTTGACCTGTCCCTGCCTCTCCCGAGTCCACGGTTTGACTCGATGCAGCCAACATCCAGCCTTCTTCTCCTTTTTGCGGTTTGGCTCTCTCTTTCAGCCCCGGGGAATGTTTGGCTTCCGCACCGTCGGGCCCATTATCCTAGCAACCTCACACATTAACATCGAGTTCCGGGACAAAGGGAAGGGTGGTGTGGAGCAAATCGACTCCATCGCTGGGAGATTTCGGCTTTGGCAGGCGACGATACGGGTTTGCCCAGAGAGTTGAATCGTACTTTTGTTCCATGATTGTACGAAAAGGGGAGTCGAGGGTGCAAAATAGTCAGACATTATCATACAACCCGCTGTATATATGTGGCCTGTTATTATACTAAATCGGCAACCAAAAATGTTAATAGTTTTTTGCTGTTTATCCATGGACAACTTATGTACATTTTGAGATAGCCTTGCAGCAGTGAATCTGCCTTAAACACAACATCCATGTACGTTATTCCGTCAGGCTATACCCAACCCAACCTCCTTTCTCCCGCCCTAAGCGGGCCCCCATGTCCTTGAATGATTCAGTGCATGTTGGTGTGTATGTGGATAATAATAATGCCCCTTGAAAACTCATCGTGATGATGATACCCCTCGGAAGAACACTAGAATACGAAGGATAATGCCTGGCACAAATGGCCAGGGCAGCTATATCAGGACATCGATCATCGTCAGATACCACCAGCCAACTTGAAAAATATCACGACTCCATATAACTGCGTAACTATAAGTATTATTCTTATTTTACCTTCTTCACATTTTTTCTGATATAAGTATTTCATTATTGGCATCTCCGCTTCTCCGGCGCATCGCGTGGACATCTCTGTCGCCTCGATTGGCCTTCCTGGCGGGAGAGATGTAAGTGTTTCTGCTTGCTTCCTTTGCTTGCTTGCATCGACGATGGATCCCCCTTTTTTTCTATTTTGCACCCACAGTGCCTCCTCCACATCTCGTCCCTCGCAGGAGGACAACAAGCCCGCTCGTTTCGACTCCTATCCACGCCTGTCGACCTGCAGATTTGCATTGGCGGGCGCTGCTGTCGATTACAGCTCTGGAGCGTGGAGCAGGAGCAGGAAGCGTCCATCCTTAATCCACTTCCGCTGGCTTTGTGGGAGAGATATGGTAGGCCTAAGCTGATGGCCACCCGGAGTTAGCTTACGCATTCCCTCCTGCTCCCCCCTCCTCCCTTTTGCTTCTTCTTCTTCTTGGTCTTGACTACTCCGTAAGTAACTATGCTTCCCCCCTCTTCCCCTGATAGTCGGAGTGTACGGAGTAGGTTATGAAGTCATCGAATCTGCGAGGGGTGGAATCTTGAATCTTGAATCTTGAAATCTGGATCTTGAATCTTGCTTTGGGCTTGGTCGTGCCGTCATGGGCGTTTTTCATGCATAACTATGTAAGTCAATCTATAGTCGCTCTTCGCTGCGGGAGATGGAGATCCCTTGACTGCCCGTCTAGTTAAGTGAATCAATGGCCGAGAACATGTCATGGGACAGACGGAGAAAGGGGGAGAGTCCACTTCCTTTCCCCGGATCTGAGCAGCGGAGGGCACGCCTCAACGCCTCGAAAACTATATGGACGGTGTCAGCACAGGTACAGAGTACAGACAGGAGGACATCAAGATGCCACCTGAGGGGAAGTCAAGGACGCCGGCAAAAGCATATCCAGAGCGCGGGTGGACTTACTGCCTATAGTTCCCCCGTATAGTTTTAGCTATAGGTTTTTGGTAGGTTGTAGCTATACGTAGTAGTTCGCTCCCTTGGGCGAATTGCAACAACGGGCCGCTCCTCCCGTTCTCCAGATTAACTGGATACACTCCGGTCGCACTCCGTAGTATCCAACTATCTCTTACTTCAAGCGTACTAAGGACATACTCCGTACCCGAGGTAATGGAGATGATCACCGCCTGGTGGAGGTGCGGAGATTGAAAGGTGTCCATCTATTGCGTCTGTTGATGTCTCTTTTGCCTTCCTGCTCATCCTCCCACGGTTCCCTTCGATCATCGTCTGTCCCGTCCGTCTGGGTGAGAGATACGTGTGTACGGAGTATGTATGTATGTATATATGTATGTATGTACATAACTCCGCCGGTAGGTTCTGATGGCCTGAAGCTTACTCTATGGCAAGAGTATGTCTGCCGTGTATAGTTGTCTCCCCCTGAAAGCAAAGTCGCCTCCTGGTGGTGTGGAATGTGGAACCGATGCTCTCTCGCTGCTGCGAGTGCGGATATACCCACTGCAACCTGCACTGCCTGAGGGGGAGGCGCCGTCTCTGGCGTCACCATCGTTGCCATCGAACGGCATACCCCGAGGGCCCCGTATGTATGTACGTATGTATGTATGTTGTTGTAGAATGGCCTACGGAGAGCCCGTGCAAGGAGAGACATCAGGACGGCACCGCAGCATGAGGCGTTGGCTGTGCTTTCAATATAACCCTCTAGTTCCAGTGCACTGATAGCCATCTCGCCCGCAAAGACAAGACGCTGCAGGGCAGGCCAAGGGGACCACGATCGCAGCATGAGCATCGCATGTCCATGACTCGCCTGTTCTCTGAACCAGGGAAGCGATACGAGCCACTATCGAAACGCTAACTAAGTAACTAAGCATGCGCGGATCGCCAGACGACTGGGACCATCGGCCGTTTGATCTAGAGCATCCCCCTCACCGGAGACTTGGGACGGACATCGAGGAGAAGATGGTGTGCTGGCTGGTCTGGTTTCTTTTTGGCCGCCGTCGCCGTCGCCGTCGAATATCAATAATGTCAATGTCGATGTACCCGAGCAGCTATACGGAGTACCAGCTACGACTGAGTGGCTCCCCCGAAGAAATAATAAAAAACAACGACGCTTAACCAGCGGTTCGGACATCGAAATAGCATCATGTTTCCTTTTTGATACCTCTTGCTCTGCGATTCTATTGGAGAATCTGCCTGAGACGAGGGCGTGCGTCTGTTTCTGATTCCGCTTCATTCGCCAATCACCAGCCAGAGGTGCTCTTTTCCATCGAATAGTGGCTGGCGATCGGCTTTCTCGCTGTAGGCCAGCCAGCCCTGGAGCCATCGACAAGGAAAAAGGAATTGGAGGTAAAAGCCATCCGCGAAGGGACTTGCAGCAATCTGACAGGCTGCGAGATCGAGTTCTACGCGAACACTAGAACCGTCTTGTCGCCGTCGTTTCTCCTCCCGCTTGTTCTTGATGGTTCTCTCTCTCCCCCCGTCCGCCTGTCCCAGATGACTCGACTGACTGACGACCTAGACCTCGACCGTGGATGCATATTTCTTGTGCTTAACGGGGCTCCGCACGGCTGGGCGAGACAGGGCAAGGCAAGGAGAGCCTAAGTCTGATCCTACCGTTCCGTCCAGACGGCATGTGCCCGCGTCCCGAGACGGATGGGAAGAGCTGGAGTCAGGTCCGGAGCCAGAGCTCGGGAAGAAGAAGCAGTGCAGCAGCAGAGGAGAGATGCCTGGTGCTGTGCAACACCTGCCTCTGCCTCTGCGGCTTCATCTTCAATCCCATCCCTCCTGTCCAGATGGCTTGACGGGGCCCAGCCCAGGGGGAAAGACAAACCGAGCAAGTCTCCTCCGTAAAAGCAACGAAATACTCAGCCATCCATCGCTCTCCTCCGCGCCACTGTGTGACCTGGTAGTTCGATGACCGCCACTGAAAAGGACCCTTTTTCCACAATATGCTCCAATTTCATTTTTTTTTATCTCCTCTCCGCTCTCTCCTTCGTCCCATTTTTCTTTTTGGCTTTGCTTCCATCTTCCCCGGATGCTGGAGGGTGCTGACGTTTTTGCCATGGGGTCTCATTGTTTTTTCTTGTCCTGCACAAACGAACAGCATATAGTTATTGGTTTTTTGGTACTCTGTATGTATACGGAGTTACTCTATGTACCTCTGGAAAGGTACCTGGAAAATATGCTTCTCCGTGCCTCCTTCGGCATAGCGCGATCCGATATGCTCTCTTGTCTAGAGAAGAAAATGACCTATACCATTATGCGGCAGGCTTGAGATGCCGCTGCGGAGGGAGAGAGCCAGTCAATCAAAGGGGTGGGTACCCCGTACATATAAATATAAATATATATTTATATATATATAGTACCAGTTCGACTGCCTGTGCTCTCTCTGCCCCATCTCCTCTCGCCAGGTCCGCTTAATTATACATAAGATGGCAAAGGAAGCCGTCAATTGAAGCCCGGCCTGTTTGTGGCGGGAAAAGCAGGTTCGCATGCGCGAAGCATGTTAACGGACTGCAGGGTGGTAGTAGTGTTCTCCATCGTACTCCATAGTGTAGGATGAGAAAGAAAGAAGGAAAGAAACGTTGGTTTCTTCTTGGAGGATGGGGGGAGGCGAGGGCTATCAAACTGGACCAAGAATTGGACATACACTATACTCGATATGAGTGCATTGTTATATAGCCATGCCATAGCTAAAGTCCGCCCTTTTGATAGTCAACCAACCGATTTTATGCCTGTACACGCAGGGTTCATTCATTCATTCATTGATTCATTCATTGCAAGGGCATGAATTAAGCTCAATCAAAATTTGATATCCTCTCTGTGTGAGAAGCAAATGGGAATATCGCCAGCTGCCCTCCGTATTCCTGCGTGCATTAGAAGAACGCTGAGAGAGGCAAGGGAACCGGATGCCTGCAACTGCACTGCAGCACTCAATTCTTGGTCCTTTCCTTGAGATGCCAATTCGTTATTTAGTAGTTATTCCTTTTTCTTCTTCTTCTCTTTTTTCTGAAAATTTTCTGCCTCGTTTCTTTTCTTCTTCCTTGCGCAAAAATAGCTCGGGTGACCCGTAGGCAATCTGTGGAGTGGCAGGAGGAAGAAGAAGAAGAAGAAGAGCCCAGTGAAGTATAAGCGAAACTCTGCATCGGGTCGAGAAGAGAGGCGCAGAAGATAAATTGATAAGTCGAGATAAGACACAGGCCGAGAGAGAGAAAGACGAGAGGCTGGTACGTAAAAAAGCTTTGATCGAGCCGTGGTCGTCTGGGTCCCCCGTTCTCGAGCTGATCAAAGGACCAGAAACCCACGAAGACAGGACCCAAGGCCTCCGTCCGTCCGGCTGGCAAGGTTAAGTAAGAATATCTCCCGAGTCCCAGGGCCCAGGGTGCTGGATGCCGGATTTCGATGCCATCATCAGCGGCAGCTTCGGGTCAATCAATCAAATCCATCCGTCAATCATCGTCCATCTTCGTCGTCGTCGTCGTCACATCGCACCAAGGCGTGAATTTTTAGCATGAGGCAAGGCAAGATGATCGCTGTCCAGGTCCAGGGGTGTTCTCTCCAAGTTACCGGTCTCTAACCCCCCCTTGCTTCAAGGCAAAAGGAAATATGTACATATACATATACATACAGCAGCACGGAAAAAGGAACGCCGGGGTTTTGTTGACGTTGTCCTTCGGCTCGCTATGAACATGATCGGCTTGGCTCGAGCGGTTGAATTGACCAGCAACGGGTTTTCGGCCTGGTTGGCGATGGTTGATGCTGAAAATATTGGCTGGCGTTGAGAGTGTAGCGATTGTGAATGTATCCGGGCACATACTTAAGAATAATACGGGAAGAGGATCTCTCCAACCCCTGCCCTGCTGCAGCGCGTACAAATTAGCCATATCCTATGCAAATATGATAACTAGATAAAAATATGAAATAATATCCTGCTAGAGCGAGCTGCTGGAGCTGCCTGCTCGAGGAACCAGAACCAGCCTCCTGTGCATAATATATGCAATATCAAACAGGGGAAGGGAGAGGGTTCCGATTATTATTACTCTTAAATCCTTACTATTATTATTAGCATTTCTCGCTCCTGCAACCTGCAAAAAAAAATAAGAAAGGAAACTTATGCATTATGCAGCATAGCTGGGCTCGTCTTCCTTTTCTTTTCTTTTAAATCTTCTTCCCAGTCTTGGGTTGTTGCAGGTACGATCGCAAGAGGAGGACCCTCGCCCCCCTATCCCCCCAGACCCCTGCTTGAGCCTTGCTTCATGCTTCCGGGGAACAGGGGAGGGTACAATCCGTGGCTTGGGATGGCGCCCCTAGGCCTGTTTGAACGCGAACGGCCTGCGAATTCGAGCTTCCTGCTGGCTCGAGCTGCTGTTTTGGCAACGCCTTGTCAACGACATAGGCGACCGAGAGGGTCCATCAATCCACCCATTAATCCATCCATGACCATGACCATGATCATGACCGTAGCCGTGATGATGACGATGACGATGTCCGTGGACTGAACTGAGCCTAACCAGCTAACTAGCGTGAAGAGTCCGGGCGGCTCGAGTCAGCAAAGTACGTATATGTATAACGGTTGATGAAGTGCGTAACGAAGCACAAAAAGGGCGATCAAAGATCCAATGTTGTACGACTGAGTTATGAACAGCCTTCATTCTTTCCTTCGAAAAAAAAAAGAGACCATTGCTTTTTGTCTATTGGTAATTTTCTGCATTTTGACGGGCTGGCTGGAAGGCCTTAATTCGAATATCTCTCGACGTCATTTGTCCTTCACACTGTTTTCTTGCCACTTTGACTGGCCCGCCACTAGAAGAACTCTGTATATATTGGCCTTTTGGTAGCACGCTGTTTGCTTGCAGCCTGTCCTCCTGACAGCTCGAGACAGCGAATAAGAGGCTCTGCTGGGCTTTTATTATTCTCTTATTCGCTATGGACATGTGTATATAAACTCGTCCCTCCATCCACACGAGCCGCCTGGGGCGATGGATGAGAGGGCTTAAGCGGGCTCTGGGGCGTCTCCTGGGGTCTGATAGACAGATATTCGACTGCCCGAGAAGGGAAATATGCTGCTATCAACCGCCATGATGACGACGATGGGGCACCAGTTTCATCATTGCCGTCTTCGTCTCCAGTTCTATCTCTATCGACAGAAACAGGCCGGCAGATTCTCTCTCCCCCACGCAGCCTCACTTTCTGATTCATGGTTTATTTTTCTCCTCGGTAGATTTAAGCATTGGACCCTGTGCACTTCTCGTCTTCCTTCTTCTCTTCTCTTCTTCGACGTGGCGGGTTTTTCCCGTGTTATTTGGATCTTCCCCCCTGAATTCACAGTTACATGAGTTGCATGCCACGGAGCTCAACACCTTTAAGCAGACGAACCAAGAGAAGGAAAGAGAAGCAAAAGGAACAGGAGGAAGAAGAAGAGAAAAAAGAAAGCAAGCCGATTCTCCTCCAGATCTTGGAACGAGCGTTGGCACCAAACCGGCTTCAGAGTCGCACATCTATCAAAGCACGGCGGCTTGCTTGCTACATCGCGGCAAGCCAAGTTCTAGTCAAAGCAACGCTGCCGTCAGGGGAGAGTCGAGGTCGAGGCCAGAGTCGAAGTAGCAGCAAAAGATGAGTCAAAGATGAGTAGAAGAAGAAGAGAAGAGAAGTGAAGAGGAAGAAGAAGCAAAAGGAGGCGAAGAAGGTTTGTTTCTAGGGGCAGATCTCGCATGCTCGAGTCAGGGTGCAACCTGCCTGTGGTATCAGAATCAAACCTCAGTAAACAACTTTACTAAACAAATCGACGAGGACTCGGTCGATAACCAGCAGGCTAGAAGAGATGAAGAAACACACTCTCTCCATAGAGGTCTGTCTTGTCTGTCTCTACTTCATGATCCATGGAGCGGGCGAGCGGCAGCGGCAGCGGCAGCGGTGCGTACCGCCCTTGAATCATGGAGACGGAAACATATTAATACACTTATTACTCCTGACTTACAAAAAGGAAGATTAAATTTTCAGTGGAACTGGTTATTTGAGACTCTTTTTTTTTTTTCAAACAAGATGATCGGAAGTGGTTCGATGTACAGGGGAAGAAAAGTCTGCACTGCTGTCCACGCAGAGGAAATGTATATACTTCTACATGCAGCAGCTTAGTTATATACGCATACGCAGTGCAGGTAACTACTGGTGTACGTCTGCCAGGGGATGGATGCTCTCTGCAGCCTCTTTATACGGAGTATATCTGTTCAAATTCAAGTCTGTGTCCGCCTGCCGATGGGATGTGATCTGTGCGGTCCTGCTCGTTTTTCTTCCCTTCTTGCATGAGAAAATAAAGGGACTTGCACACGGTTAGACGGTGAGACAGAAGCACTGCAGCTGTAATTAGCTGGCTTGCCTGGCTGGTTATGTTGGCTATAATGTCGCTTGTGTGCGGTTGAGGCGTGTGTTAGAGCCCATGTGTGCATATATACAACATGGCCTGTACCATACATATAGCTGGACGTCGTTAAGGTAGGCGAGCTAGCTACATACCTTAATGATAATAATAGCAATACCTATAACACCGCCGCTAAGGACCTGGAGACGATGCTTGGCCTTGTTTGAGCCTTTCGTCGTGCGACTCTTTTCTCCCAGGGGAGTGTAAATGGATATGTACGATGCGATGGGCCAGGGGTGGGAGGGAGGGTGTGTGGTTAAAGGGGGGAGGGATAGGGATAGGGATAAGGATAGGGGGGAGCAGGAAATGAGCCTATAGACGATCAGATCGTTTTCAGTATCAGGAGAAGAGTTAATTTCATTCTCGAATATCTGCGTCCTGTTGTCCCATGGACCATTCGGGTGGTTCTTGCAGCTGGAGATGCAGCACAGCCGATGTTATATACACAGGGGATATTTGGATATATACATCCATCCCATCCCTCCTTTTGTCCAGGGACAGCCCTCCGGTGCAGCTAAGCAACAGGTTCCCTTCAATCTCGGAATCGGAACCCAGGCAACAAACATCTTTCTGCAAGGGTCAAATCGGTATGCCAGCTCATTATCATACGTGTCGATATAACCAAGGTTGGCATGTGTGTCGGTATGTATTCTGCGGGAGAAGGTTAGAGTATAAAAAATGAGACTCACTTTTGCCTCGTATGTAAGTACTCAAGAGTATACGGAGTAACTTGGACAGTTTCAAGGAGTCTTGAAAATGGGGACACTTTTTGAGCCAAAAAAAAGCTGTTCCTTGCACCTGCATTCGATGCTGCAGCAGATGATGCACGATTCGATTCAGCTCGATATTCCGAGTGGTCAACAGGCTCTCGTTACAGTTTTGCCCAAGTTGCATCTCTCGCTCTTGTCTGTGGGGCGATAGACGAAGGCTCACGCAGATAGACGGAGTAGGCAGCGAGCGTGTGTGTGTCTGAAGAGCTGAGATTGCTGCCCTGTTCCGGACGATGGCGATGGGTATCTCTTAATAATAATAAGATAATAATCCAGCTACCATGACAAGCTCGATCAGACCCTTTCAGGAGCAACCAATTTGCCTCCCGAATCCATACTCAATTGAGATCCCCGAAGGAAAAGCCAGCCAGTCACCCGAGAAGCGTAGATTGTGCAAAAAAAGGCGAAGAGGGTGTGCGCAGGTTCGTCTGTTGAATGTTTAACTAACGAATCAGCTAATCATAGGGCTTTAGGCTTTTGGTAAGGGGGGCCAGCGGGATTTGGTCGTAGTAATAGTCGCAAGCGAAGGAGAGGTAGGTCCCTTGGCGGAAGATATCGCAACACCTAGGACAGGCACTATTTCTGGCCTCCTTCTAGTACGCCGTAGATTTCATCAGCAGAGTTGAGTAGAGTTGATACTCTGTGCTTGAGTTGAGTTGGATTGAATGTAACTCGGCGAAGGCGAGAGTAGCCATGGAGAAAGAAGGACATCTCGCCTTGCCACCCCCTTGCTTGACAAGTATCAAGATAGCACAGCTTAAAACAGTCTGGAGATGGGACTCCTTGCTGGCGTGTGCCTTGTGCCTGTGCCTGCGTCTGCGAGGAGGAAGAAAGAAGCAGCAGAGGCGGCCAAAATAACTAAACTCCACTGTCCCTGATCCTGATAGTTAACTATGTGTGAGGTTTTTGGTTAGCGTTCGTTACATAGTAGTAACTAGCAGATGCACTCCCTAGCTGCCGACAGTAAACATCGCCTGTTCCCCTCTCCATTAATGGGTCAGATCCCCCCCTTGGTGCTGTTGTAAGGAGGTTATCCCAAAGCCCTGGAAGGTTGTCTGTCAGCTCTCGCTCCACCAGGAAGAAAGAAAGGGTCCTTCGTCGTATCGTCTCTGGCCGTCTTGTCTTGTCTCCCTTCTGGATGCTCCACCAAGCCCGTCTGATCACCTCTGAAAAAGAACAGATGCTGGGCCCTCCCTCTCTCCCCGTGCCGTCTGATACCTGCTTATGTACTCCGTATGGGTGTCGATATTCCCTTTTCTGATTCTGGAACGCCTGGCTTTTCAACGGCGGGACGAGCCGTGCACTCTTCGAATAGAATAACTCCGTGCCAGCAGCCTCACGCTCCGCCAGGTATCTCCACGATGTACATCTCTTGTACCACCGTATAGGCGACTCCGAGTCTGCTCAGCCATAGTTAGTTTACATAACTAAGTAAGTAGCCTGGCCCGCGCCACAGCGATGGAATCATCGTACATATACATATACATAATCCTTATAGGCATTAAACCTCCTGCCAGCAAACAGGTACGGATATATGTAAATATGAAAAATAAAATATGTATAATATGTCGAGATATAGGCCTGCTCGTATAGTTATAGTTAGTAGTTACCCATGTCGTCCTAGGAAAGCAAAGCAGGTATAGTTAGCTACCTAACTCTACTTACATATATATATGTAGATACAGTTACGCTGATGACGGAGTTTGCAAAAAGGACCAAAGCCTCCCTGTCCATGCAAAAGTAAGCAAGAAGTAAGTAGTTCGAGTTTAACTAGTCAGTCAGTGAGCTACTTTGCATCCCCAGGACCTCGCGGAGAGGGAGGCTCGATACTCGTCACATCCCGCCGGCGCCCAGCGCTGATTGGACCCTGGCTCGGCATCATGTTAGCAAACTATCAATCAGCTTAGGGGCAAAAGAAGAGAGTCAGTCAGTCAGGCAGTTAAACTCGCAAAAAAAAGTAGCTAACTAACTTACACATTAGCCAGCAAAAAGAAACCAGGGCCAGGGGAAAAAGAAAGGAGACGAGAAGACAAGAATTTAAACCAGTTCGGTTAAGAGGGCGTCCACAGCCCAGGAGCATGCACCACTAAGAGGCCGGCGGCTCAGGGACCCCAGATTCCGCGATCTCAACCTTGCAGCCAAATGTTCCCGTCCAGTTGGTTCATCATCGAGATTCCGCGCATCCCTGACTGAGCCTGCTGGACTGTCCAGGTTGGGTCAAGACGAGAGACAAATCGCAGGCAGCGTCGCCAGCACCAGCACCAGCACCAGCGCTTGCTTTTTTGTTTGCATGCTTGCTTTTGCCCCTTTTGCTTCCCTTTCTGCGTCTTTCCTCGTCGTCTTCGTCTCTTTTCGTCTCTGGATGTCGCATTCTCAGGGTTTAGGGCAAGCAGGCAAACATGCTCCGTAGACCAGGACAAGAGAGGCCAGGAAAAGCCAATCTCTTTCTTCCTTCTCCCGGGCCTGCGGCTTGAGAATCCGTCCCTTTATTGATCCAGACTGACGGGTGCTCGCCAGTGTATGTATACACGGGAGCATCTTGCTGCAGGTTACCAGCTTTGCCTGGATGCCTCCCCCTTGCCACAGCTGAACTGAATCCTGGATACAGGCATGACGAACACAAGAGCAGAGAAAAATATACGGAGTATGGCTATTCAGACTGCAGAGAGACTCTTTTTTGCCCTGCAGGGCCATGGTTCGCTTTGCCGCCTCCCGATCGAGGGGATGTTGACGTTTGACCGGACCACCGGCGGACGGGGGGTGCAGACGACGTCCCAACGCTCGAGTCAGCGTCTCCATCGATGGGGTAACCCGAATATTTGCTTGTCTGGAGAATCTATGGTTCTCTCTCTCCCTTTCTCTCAAGATAACTAGCTAGCTATACTCCGTGTGTTGCTTTGTGAACCGGATGCAGCCTATCAATCTGCTCCTGGTCGACTGCTGGCCGCTTCGTCTGCTACTTCCATCTGTTTCTCCCCATCGTCAGTTACTCCCTCTCTCTCTCTGTCCTCTATCTCTCTGCTTTTTCCTCGATCCTTTGCTTTTTTTTCCTCTCTCTTTCTTCTTCTTCCTCGTCTTTTCTTTTTTCTCCTTTTTTGCATCTTGTTTTCTTTTTATCCCTATTTTGCAACCCTTCGTCTCCCCTTTTTAGCAAAGGCTCTTCAAGGCGAATAACTATATAAAATATACGCACAGACACGGGGTGGGCCATCCGCTGGCCTAAAGCCAGTAGAAGTCCGAAGGGACTCTTTGTGTAAGACGTAAGTGTGTGTCTCTCAGTCAGTCCGTCAGTCAGTGTCTCTCTCTCTCTCTCACTAACAGTCCGTGTGTATGTGGTCTGCCTGTATATCTGGCATCCCTCCCCCCCTTTAATCGCCCTGGCAGCCCGTCTGTATATCTCTTCAGGCCCCCCTAAGTTTGGGGCAAAACGTATGGTGGAACGCACATCAAAAAGCACCAGCCCGCCTTCATCTTTGATCGACATATTGGCTCCATGTGATTGAATTACTTACTACTCGGATAACCCTGTTTAGCTCACTTACTTTTACTCTTTAGGTACAGGTGCAAGAGTAAGTATGTATCATTATGCTGGGTCGAAGCATCAAGCACCAGCAGCAGCACGCAGACCCAGCACCACCCAAAACCGCCAGAAAAGCAAAGAGAAAACGCAAGCTAACTAAGTAGGTAAAAATACAAAAGGAAGAAGCGCAAGCCACCACAGGATGGCCCTTGGTGACTGTGGGGTATTCAGTTTTATGCACAGTCTGCAAGAAGTTGTAAATTTTCGAGGGGGCCCTGCAGTGCGTTGGGTGGTCTGTAACACTATTTATGTACGTCTGTGGATCAGTTAGTTATCAAAAAAGAAACGGTACTTCTGCTTCTTCTTATTCTCTTAATATTCTCTTAGCATGCTTCTTCCTCTTCTCTGATACCGACTCTCCTTTGCTTCTTCTTCATCTGCTTCCTTTTTTTTGCATTTTTCTTTTTTGCGTAGGCTGAGTGCTTTCTTTTTTGAACTCGCCATCCGCATGTTCGAAGAACCAATATTTTTACCCTATGCCTTTAAAGACGGCATTATCTTCTGATCCGATCGTATCTTGATTTCCTCTGCATCCAGCCAGAAGAACCCCTCCAAACGAAAGGCACTGTCCTTTTCTTTTTTGGCTTCATAGTCTGATACTTCGTCCATATATATCCTGCCAGCCAGCCCTCTCCCTCTCCTCTTAGCCTATTACCATCCTCTCCAACCCGAGGGAGAACATCTTCACTGATATCTATATACATACATACACTCATACACTCATATACATACGTACTCTTGGATATCCCATCAGCATCACCGTCATCAGTTGATATCTCTCGTTGTTGACCATACATCGTCAACATCCAATCCTTCCTTATCAATTCAACTACGACGGCGTCTTTTTGATATCCACCATTTCAATATCACCATCGTTCCCTCTTGCTCTATATATACGGTGCTTCAGCAGTATAGGTCCTGATAATCACTAGTCTCTCCTTTTTTCCCTTTTCTTTCCTTCCTTGCTCTTCAAATCTTTCTCTGGGCAAGGGAACGGAGCAAGATTCAGTCAGACCTATTTCATCCACTTTCTCTCTCTGCACACCGCATAACCAGCAAAGGGTAATCTGAGCGGTTCACCTAGAGTGAGCCCCTTTTTCAGACTACTCAAAATGGTAGTCAACACCGAGGCCGGCCGTCCCCGTGTCAATATGAAGGGGATGGACCAATATTCTCCTATGCACTGCCAGGCTCAGGGAGTCGACGAGTATCCTTCATGGAACACAATGCCGGTAGGTGAACAGTCTGATATAAAATTCTGGTGTGACCTTAGAATTTCGTTCATTCGGCTGACATTGGTGGACTCGACAAGCCCATGATGGCCGGTACGCCTGCAGCCACTACCACCACCAACGCTCTCAAGGTGCCATATCCTCACTTTGCTCTGGTTGGTATCGACTGGTCGGGACAGCTCAAGTTCCATTCTTCTCTCCTCGAAAAGTTCAATGGCCCTGTCTTCACTTCGGAATTCAAACAGTGGTTTGAAAGGGCTACTGGTGTCAAGGCTCTTGATAGATCACCCATCTTTGCCGGTTGGTAGCTGCCTATCAAGTGCATTTTTTCTCTCCTTATACTTATCATGTCTTGATTAGGAGACGACTCATATCAAGGAAGATCATGGTCTATGGGCCAGGAGGTGGATGTCTTCCCCAACCCAGCTTACCCCAAGAAGCGCCGTCGAGAGATGATTCACCACCAGGCTCCCATAGAACCAGAGGAGCCCCAAGTCAACGAGATGGAGGCTGTGGAGATGGTGCCACTAGAGATTGGAAACGAAGAGAAGATCGAGGCATACTACGAGTCAGCATTTAGGGCCTTCCAACAGATCAACTGTCGCCAGGTGGCAAAGGCATATATCAAGATCATCGAGCCACGCAAGCAGGTCAAGCATCCATACAACGGTGGACGAGGAGCTCCAGGAGAAAAGGGTGACCCAGAGAAGACCAAGCCAGATTGGTGGCCAACCGGTGTCATCCATAGGGAACCAGACCACTTGAAGAAGCCAGAACGGATACGCCTGCTCGTCCACATCTTCCGCAAGCTAGGAAAGACACATGGTATCACTGCTGACAAGCTAGAAGAGGCCGGACGAGATGCACAGAGACAGATAAAACCCCGTGAGAGACTTGATATCCTCGATGAGATTTACAAGGTCCGAAGGGCGGAGGAGTGTTACGAAAGGGGTGAAGCAGGTATGCAGATACACACCCCATATACCTACCGTTGATATCACAATATCTAACCCCGAAGTATAGATGCAAATGCCGTGGTATATGTTGTCAACAGAGATGCAAACACCAAAGCCGAACGAGAGTCCGAAGCAATGAGTGATGCTGGCCAGAACTCAGTCCTTGCAGAAGAATCCAGAAAGGCAATGGAAACCAAATACTCGGCCCTCTCACCCTCCCACGCACCGAAGAGACATTCCATCGTCCGTGACCACAAGCCGCCTCACCTCTACCGCACGCCCAACCTGGCCGATTTCAGCGGCATGGAAAGCAAGCCCCCAACCGACCAAACAATCGAGTACTTCTCCCAGCCCGAGTTCGCCACCTCCCCCGTCGATGAGCACATCAGCAGCACCATGAGAGATAGTCATCACTGGTCCTCCTTCCAACAACCCCTATACAGCCCCGTGGAATACACTACAAATCATCTCGTCCCTCAACAACTACTTGCTCCCCCTTCCATGGTCACCTCCGAACCCCCAAACTCTGCTCTCCAGCCGACTCATGGCCTTCCCATTCCTGAACCGCATGGTTCAAGACATCAGTCCTTCGACTACATATCCATGGACAGCAATCCTTTCAACGCCGGACCAATGACACATCCTCTACTACCGCAAAATAGCCAGGAATCCGACCCGGTTGCACGATATAAATGAATGATCAAAGATGAACGATGATCAACGACAGTTCAATTCTCAACTCTGATCCCCCCGGATCGCCATCCCACTGTGAAAGGCACGGGGGATCCAGCCCTTCCAGCCGGCCGAGCTTATCACATTTTACTTTCATCGCCCGGTTCAATTTTACTTGTATTTTCCTTTTTTTTTCTCTTCTGCTTTGCTTTTTTTTGTCCCTATTTACTTTACTCGCCCAAGTGAGGTGTATGTATGTATGGCTTGAGCTCTTTCGGCTCGCTTTTTTTCATGGTTTGCTTTGCTTTCTTGGATATCTTGACTCTCGCACCCATGAGTTACTTAATTGATCTCGTGCGCTATTTCACTTTTTTTTTTATCTCTTCTATCCAGGAAATCTTCTTTCTTGTTTCCTCGTGGTTCATATTTTCGTTACTGTCTTGCGATGCATCGTCATCATCATCATCGTTGTTGGCTGACAAAAAATTGGATTGAAAAAGGGAGGCTGGCGGATATCTATCTATCTACGTTGTGTGTTCTTTTTTTGCGAGCGAGCTTATCAGAAAGGAGGTGGCGAAAACGAGAAACGTTCTGGAGAGAGCATAATAACCACAGTCTTTTTATGCTGAACGGGTTAACTGACTGTTGATTGCTACGGTGTTCTCTGGCGGGAGAAAGGGAGGGTAGCCGGGAAGGATAGGGAAAGGGAAGGCGAGGAAGTGGTTCATTTTCTTTATCTATTGGAGTGGTGTATTTACCGGTGGCCTGGTTTTGGTACTTTTTGACATTGCTCATACTATTCATCAATCGATTTGGTTATATCAATCATTTCTTCCTTTTGCCCCTTTTTTCACTGCAGAGCAAAGCAGGTACCGTCTACATGTTTCGAAAGACCAGTGCCTTGGATATTCTCCGCCCGGTACATTGTACGTTGGTACTCTCTTCCCCCTTGTGTATATCTCCCTCACCCGTTAGACGGCATATGAGTTTTCTCTCCTTAATACAAGGCTAATTCGTTCTTCGCCTGCCCCAGCGGGTGCACAGAAACGGTATCAAAGGGGGCAAATATCTTGATAGGCGCCTGCACACGTAACCAAGTCAATACCCTTGAAGTTCATGAAACAGCTTGAGGGCATGTATGGCCGTGGATTTTCGGAAAGGTACCTGGTACCCTTCACAGTTTTTTTCACTGCCAACTCATCGAGGCAAAAGAAAATTTCCCATTGAAACAAGAGGGTCCAGGCTGCTTGGGGGTAAAGTAGCGGAGAACATGATAGAATGGTGATAGAGACGGCGTACTCCGAGGTATTAGAGATGGCCTGACTGCGTTAAGGCAAAATATTACCTAGATCCCGATACGAACTGCCACTATGGCTCTCTGATATTGCATATTCATTCTCATATTGACGTTGGTGGGGGCGAATGCTGCAGCAGCAAATCTGCCCAGCCGCCTTTCGCCTACGCAGTAAATTTCCAGTTCTTGCTGTGGGCCAAAAAGCCTCGCTGCCAGGGGGGTATGTGTGAGAGAATATGTACATATGTGTACATATCAACCCACATATCCTTCTTTTGATCAGGGTACATTCATTATCGACGGGCATTCTTTTTTTTTTTTTTTTTTTTTTTTTTGCTCTTTCCAACGGGGAAGGCGAAAAGAGATGGAAGTCAGAGGCGGGAGAGTGGAGGGGAGGAGAGGGGTTTGTGGCTCATTGAAAGGAAGCCAGCCTTGACTTCCGTGAGCCCACAATGGTGAAAGGCTTAACCGGATCAACCGAGATCGCCCACCGGGGAAGGTCTGATATTTCCATGCCCTGCTGCTTCCCACGGGTGAGTGTGCCGCGATAGATCAAGTTTGCTGCAAATGCGTGTGTATATGTGCATGTCAGGGATGTTGTTTTAAACTTTTATGCGCTTGCAGTGGACAGCACCTTCAAGCCAGGAAGAAAAAAATTGGCTGGTGCATCTACCTATCATGAGGCCAGGTATTACTTGCATTGTCAATGCAAGTTGAGATAAAGAAGCGGATCAAAAGCTGTTCGTTAACGAGGGAAAGAGAGGGTTGATGCAGTTAGGTAGTCTAGGTCAAGCCAATGGAACGCCCAACGTTAGCTAGCTCCCCAGAGCTGTACCAGCCTCGATGCATCGACAACCCGCGTGTTCCTTGGTATCTGTGTGGTACGGATAGTGGTGTAACTGGAAACGCATGTAGCAGTCGTGTAGCGAGCCTCTTTCATCCCCCGTGATGTCCCCATTCCTGGAGCCAGTGATCAAGAATAGAGGGGAACAACCCGGAGACAGGCGTAAAAAAAGGCAGAAAGGGCAGTAAAGTGATGAAGGGGAGGGGGAAACGATTGAATAGAAGGCCGTAAAGAATGGGGGAAAAATGAAAACTGCTTCAGTGGCTGGTCTTTTTTTGATATCCCGCCAATGATCGTGCCAGTTAAATTTTTTGGGCGTGTTGGCGACCGGGTTGATGCAGTGTCCAAATCGAGCAAGTCGAAAACGCACAGACAGCTCAAAAAGAACCCGAGGGACTGGCAGAGGTCCGGATGGGAACCGATTATTGCAGAGAAGTCTTGCATGGACGTCTTTCTACCTAGGACAGAGTGGCTCGACGCACACCGGAATCCAGCACGTCTTTCTTGCAGTTGTTGCAATAACCCACGGCAGGGCAGAAAAAAGAATAACATAACAGAAGGTGTATGTATAGAGGAGCTCTTTTTGCAGAGCATCTGTATCCAGACTGACTTGAATGCTATTTTGTTTTTCAAATATATATAAAAAAAATGTCCCGTTGAAAAACCGCGGGATGAGGTCGCACTGCATGCTCAGACTCCCGTGTTAGGAGAGCTCCGGCCAAAACATAGCGTCATATGATGGACGCGGGAGAGTTGGGGCAGCAGGATTATTTAATAGTAAAACCATGGCCCTGCAGCCTCGTTAGCAAGCCCAGCTCTTCAGTTACCCGTAGTTGGTTGCATCTTGGAGACGCATCTTCCTTGGACTGTAGGCCGTTCCTGTGCCGTTGGGAGAGGGAATCAGGACAAAATGCAATTGCAGGTTATCGACAGCAAACGGATAGGGTCGAGACGGGGCTGTGAACGCTCTGACGGCGGCTCTAGATTATTTCTCGAGTAACCAGCTCGCGGGATGAGGTTGAAGTCGAGGTTGCGGGTTGAGGGTTGGACGAGGTCGAGCTGGAGCCTGCAGGAAAAAGTACATCTTGCGGTGGAGCGAGCCAAAAAGGAGCAGCAACACAGGATATCGGCCCGAACCGACCTTTTGAACCGACGATGTCGCCCCCAGATCTCCCGCCGTTGCTGCTACACTTACTTACACATGCCGTTCTCGCCCCAACAGATGGCTTGGCCGTGTGTAGCGAGAGTGAAGTCTGTCTGTCTGTCTGTCTTGTCCGAGGTGCAAATGCCGAGGGGGAGGAGAGGAAGAAACGTGGGACTTCGACGTCGTCGTCAACGTGACCCTCCGGCGTCTATTTTGCAGTAGGCGCTTGTCGCTCGACTGCAACGTCCATCTTTACTTACTACTCACTTGTTTACTTACTTAGTTACTTACTACTTGCAGCTCCACCACACAGCTCTTGACGTCTGAAGAAGATAGCTAGCTGTCGATGTCACGGCCCTTCGGCGCGGGCTCTCCCTTTCCATCCAGATTGGAGGTGATGGATGGGCATCTCGGTATTACGCCCCGCCGATGCTTTGCTGAGCAAGAGAATCCAGAACTGCGGAGACTTGAGATAGGGGTCCTTGCCAGGCTACGTTGTCCTGAGGATGTGGCTCTTTGACAGCCAACGAGGAATGGAGAGGCCCCAGCACTTCTTGATGACGATGATGATGGCGTCAGGCCTACTTACATGCTCTGCCCGTCTGGTGATCTCTAAGTTGTATGGGTTTCCCCTTTGCTCTCAAGGCCCCCTGGACCAAAGCTACCAAGGTCTCCTCCCATGGACCTTGCTCGTTGCCTTGACTAAAGCTTAGTTGCCTGTCGCGTGCTGGTTGGCGGACGAGGACTGACTGTCGTCTTAAGTACTCCGTATCTCGCAGGATATCGCTTGCCTTAACGAAGCAGAGACCAAGAGCGGTTTTTTCGTCGGCTTTCCGTCATGAGACAGGAGAAGCGGCCAAGGGGTGCTATATTTACTCGTCTTCGCGTCCATGGCCCAGACCAAGACGAAAACACCTTGATGGTCAGAAAAGCCCCAACTCTGAAACTTCCGTATGGCCAATCATCCCCACGGACGGAACCGGAACCCGTATCCTTGCCAAGAGCATTTCCCGGAAACACTACTCTGGCGAAGTTGAAGCTTTTGGGATTGGATACGGGGTGGAATGGCAGGGCTCAAGGGGCAGAAATTTTGTCGTCAGATGAGGAGTGAGTTGGTAGTTATCGCCCTGTTCTTCCGGACTCTCTCCACAAACCCCCTCATTCCTGTCTATGTGTATATATATCTCTTGACATCTTGGTCGTCTTTTCGCCGTCGAGTTCAGCCAGGCCAAGCCCAAGGAGGAAGGAAAACGAAAAAAGGAAAACGGCCACTGCCCCAAAGAAACACACGATGAACTGCCCTTCACGTACAGACGAGGACCTCGTCCACCCCGACTGGAACCAGAATCCTCCCTTGTTACCCTCGGATTTGACCAAGAGGGAAGACCTCAACGGCCGTGTCAATGATAGGCAACATCGAGACGGGCGAGACTTGTCGTCCTCGTCCCTTGCCAGCCCTGGAGGAGCGTTTGAGTCGTGTGAGGTGACCGTTGACACGACACCGTCACTGGCCAACCTCCCCTTGGCAGATGCAAAACTCGCTCGTTATCGAGATGGTAAGTTATCCTTTCCACGTAGCCCATAGTTAACTAGCATTCTGTGCATAAATATCTGATTCTTTTTGACAGAATTTTGCTCTGCTACCAAAGAGACTCCGTCTACTGTCCATGGCTTAACTGCCTCCTGGATTCACCCAATTAAGCAGTGGTTCATGCTCTACCAAGGCCACATTTGGTGGATGATGGCTACTGTTGCTGCTACATTTGTAGTGTACCGCGTTGCGGCCATGTTTCGAACACCAGGTAAGTCTACTCCCTCTTCTTTTAAACGTACGGAGTAGTCGAGTCGAACTCGTTCTCACCAGCTTATGACGCAGCCTCTTCGAAACTACCCATGCAAAAATCAAAAAGAGGCTCGACATGCGAAAGCGGCGGTGTAAATAGAGCAGAGTATAACTTACCTCTCCATGTTATCGCTCTTTTCATCATCTTCTTTGTATCCTCGTTCGCTTGTGGCTTTCCTATGTTGGCCCTCAAGTTCCCGCGACTACATATCCCGCAGTCCTTTTTATTCGCTGTCAGGCATTTTGGAACTGGTGTTTTGATCGCCACAGCATTTGTCCATTTACTGCCCACGGCATTCATTTCTCTAGGAAACCCTTGCCTCTCCGGTTTCTGGACGAGTGACTACCCTGCTATGCCGGGTGCTATTGCCCTTGCTGCTGTATTCTTTGTGGCCGTTATAGAAATGGTATTCAGCCCGGCTCAGCACGTTTGTAGCGGCAATAAGGATATGGAAAGAATCGTTTGCCGCGATGTTCCATCAAACGAGCAAAAAGCGACCAGCGATGATTCAAAACTCATGAATACCCCAGATGAAATATCTCGAAGCTTGAGCCGTCATAATAAGGAGCCGCAGGTAGAAGGGGGCCCCGAGACAAGGGTCCAGCTGGATCGCACGCTCCCACAACACGCAGCTGATGTCGAGCATGCTGAGGAAGGATCTGATGGCACATTCACCCCAATCGTTCTAAGCCCAGAACAAAAACGCCAAAAGGCATTTATGCAATGCATCCTCCTTGAGATTGGTATTTTGTTCCACAGCGTCTTTATTGGAATGGCACTAAGCGTTACTGTTGGGAACACATTCATCGTCCTCCTGATTGCAATTGCTTTTCACCGTAAGTTTCCCAAACCTTTGGAATTTTAATATGGCTTGGTCCGATATTTATTAACTATATATCTATTCAGAAAGCTTCGAAGGGCTGGCTCTCGGTTCTCGCATTGCGGCTTTGGACTGGGAACAAGGTGCCATACAACCCTGGCTTATGGCTATGGCATACGGCTGCACGTGAGTTACCATCTCGTCTTTGTCCAAAAAATTACCTGACCTGACTAACAATATCCGTTTGAAATAGGACTCCAATCGGTCAGGCACTTGGTTTGGCTACCCATACCTTGTACTCTCCTGACTCCGAGGTTGGCCTGATCATGGTTGGCACAATGAATGCCTTATCTTCAGGGCTTCTCGTATATGCTTCTCTGGTTGAGCTCTTGGCCGAAGATTTCCTTAGTGACGAGAGCTGGCGTACCCTTCACGGAAAACGCCGTGTCTATGCCTGCATCCTTGTATTCCTTGGTGCCTTCGGTATGAGCTTGGTCGGAGCCTGGGCCTGAGCTTGACTGTCCTGCACCATCCTGTAGCTATAGTATAACAATCCCTGTCCAGTAGTTAGCAATTCCATCTAGATTTTTCCCATTATAACGTTAGTTAAATCAGTCAATCACTCCACGCGCATCAACGAGCTGCTGCGTTGTCCCTGTACTGCGTCTAAAATGGACACTGCGGCTGTTAATAAACGCCAACCACGTGACCTTAACGCGCTTGAATAAAGCAGAAAAAGCAGCAACACCTGATTTTATCGCCTTTTCAACCGCCGCAGCCTGGAGCATTCACGGTTGCTTGCTCGCAGTCGTGCAAACACTACTTCACCGAACGACGGCTGCACCCCTCTCGCTTGAAATATTCCGTGCCCTTGCTCGTACAAGACACGCGAGCTTCCCCGTCGGCTATTCCTTCGCTTCAAGCGGCCTACAAGCTCCAGTTCGAAATCAACATCTCCGCTTCGCGCCAGGTTTACGAGACCCGAGTACGTAATTATCATATTCTCCAGGCTTCAGCAAGCTCCCTGTGCACTACGCATTCGTCTGTTTACGTGATATTTTCGCCCTGTTCGGTCGCCATTGGTAATGGCTCATCCCAAAGCTCCCCGCGCAACAATGGAGCTACAGCCCATGGCCGGCATACTTTATTGGGAGATACGGGGGATATATTCTGGAAATGGGAGCTGCAAACGACTTACGCTATCCTCTCGATCGAAGATTAGAACCCAGCTAAGTATGCGATAAGCTAATGGGTTTGGTTTTACAGGTATAATCTACTTCTTTCACCACTCGTTCAGCTCGGCTTCACGGTACCTTGGAGCTACGATCACCCAACCTAATTCCCCAACCTGGCATGTTTGTCTAGACCAGATTTCTCCCTTTGCACGTAAAGGGGAGGAGGCCGCTCCCAGAACGACGTGCTGAAGATGTCCAGCTTATACAAGTCTGTTCTTACGAACTCTGCGGGCTCGAAGCGCGGATCAGGCACACCCTTCCGTGGCCGTTCAACGAGAGGAGGACACCGTTTATCGGACTCAGCTGTCCCTGCTATTGCCGGTAACAACAATGTATCGAACCAAGGTCATCCTGTGAGCGCCAGAGGTCGCGGCAGAGGCACCGGTCCGTCACCCTTTGGCACCTCGTCACACGGAAACGCCAAAGTTGGAGACGGTAATACCAGAGGCGGGTTTACTGGTAATACCAATCTACGCATACAAGGTCTTCTTTATATCGCGTATACTAATCTTGTTGTTAGGCTTTCGGAAAGGACCTTCTCCGCCTGTCGCTCAGACAAATGGCCAACAATCGTTTAACCCGTTTGGGCCGAATTCGAATGCACCGGTTAACTCCCCATTTGGTCCAGCTGCTCGAGGCAGAGGAAATCATCATGCCAATTCTGGACAATCCCGTGGAGGACGTGGAGGTACCCGCGGCTTTGGAGCGATTGACCGATCCAGGGATCCAAGACGACGAAACGACGCCCCCGCCGCGGTCGTCAAGCAGGCGGATAATATTGAGGACTATAACGCTCGTTATGAACAGGTAAGCCTCCTTCATCATTTCTGCAGAATCTGTGCCCAGGCTAACTCTATAGTAGCTAAAACAAGATCGCGCAAGCCAACGAATACAAGCTATTAAAGCTGGAATTATGCCTGACCCAGACCAGCCAACTACTCTGAAACAGGCAATCACTCCGACCGGCAACTGCACGGAAATGTGTCCTGAGTTTGAACGCGTCGAAAGAATTGTCCAAAAAATGGTGGATAAGTGTGAAAAGGTTTGTGTAACATTTTACAATTCCATGGCACGGAAAAGAGCTAATTGCGATTTTATGTAGTATGTTGACCTAGATTCGGGGGTCTCTAGCAACATAGAAGGGAAAATGATAAAACGATTCAGACGATCAGCTGCTGGTAAAGACGAGCAGCTGCCATCAGATATTCGTACCCCTAAAACTTTGCTGCAAACCATCAACTATATGCTTCGATATGTTACCACCAGTGATGATAGTCTTGGTTCGAGACATAAGTTCGTCTGGGACAGAACGCGTTCCGTACGAAACGATTTATCCATCCAACAGGTTAGCCAGAAGCAAGATATCGAGATAGCCGTCAAATGCTTCGAAAGGATTGCTCGTTTTCATATCCTCTCGCTCCACCTGTTATCGAGCCCAACAAACCAAGAACAGTTCGACCATCATCAAGAGCGAGAGCAATTGAACAATACCCTCCTGTCACTCCTTTATTACTACGATGATAACCGTGGAAGACTCACTTTTCCAAATGAGGCCGAGTTTAGAGCGTATTACATCTTGTTTTCCATCCACGACCAGCGTCCAGATCTTGAAGCTCGAGTCCAGAAATGGCCTCGTGAACTAAGGGAGTCTCCTCGGGTCCAGGTAGCCATGGAAATGTTTGCAGCGGCAGGTAATACCTGGGAATATCAAGGTACATTAGACGCGAAGCGGCCCAATCCGCTTGCCCAGGGTCTCTACTCTCGGTTCTTCAAACTTGTCAAATCGAAGAGCGTGTCTTACCTCATGGCTTGCGTGGCCGAGGTGTACTTCAGCCAGGTTCGCCAAACAGCAATTAGGTCGATTTGGAAAGCATACTGCCGGCAACCTGCCTCCCAGCAGCATAAAAACCAAGAGTGGACCATTGAGGAGCTCACTACTGCCCTGGCATTCGACAATGATGAGCAGACAATTGCCTTCTGCGAGGAGCAAGACCTCCAGTTTGCAACCAATAGTGAGGGCCAACTTTATCTGAACTGGGCTAACCGCCCGCTCGACTCAATTGGTACGTTTACCTTCTTCGATATAAGCTATTTGATGTTAATAAAATGCCATGTTGATGTGATTCTAACGATTTGTAAATAGTATTCCAGCCATCTTCCCGACAGACTTTCTCCTACCAGCTCGTCGAGCAAAAACGCTGCGGTAGATCACTGGCTGCTGTCATTCTCGGGATGAGTGTTTCCCAAGCCATTAGGTACAAAATGATTGACGTTTCTCTCCTTCAAAATGAATCATCCGTTCAATCGATGCAGGAAGATGAAGAGGGACTATTCGTTAGCGATGAGGAAGACCAACCAAAGCCCGCTCAGACTGTTCAGCAGTTACCATTCGAAACAGTTAATAAGCCAGCTACAGCCTTTGGTACATCCTCACCAGGCGCCTCTACGTCTCCTTTTGGTCAAAGCTCTCCGTTTGGTCCTCCTTCGAACTCCCAGTTGTCTCCCGCCGCATCTCACTTCTACCCTCAAAATTCCAATACCAAGGTATGTGGTCGATTCTTGATATTTGATCATTTGGCTTCGAGTGTATACGTACGCTGATTACACATTCATTCTATACAGCCAACCATCCAGTTTGGACAGCCAAGCCCGGCTCAAACCCCAACATCCTTATCTCCATCGTCAACGCCGCCTACAATACAAAATTCAAGTGAAGTTCCGGCTCCAGCTACTTCTAACCCACCCACATTCTCGTCAACATTTCCTACAACTGCCGTTTCCGGCTTTGGATCCCCATCCTTTTCGTCACCCAGCAGCAGTGGGCTTTTCAAGGGAGAGCAATCCACCCAGGCCGCTCCAGCTTTCGGTTCTACTTCTACTGCACTTACCAACACAGCTAAGCCAACTGGAATGATGCCTGCTGTTCCTGGAGACCGGCAGCCTCTATTTGGAACTCCTTCGCCTTTTGGTCCACCGGCCGAGCCTAAACCTTCTGCCACTAAATCACCTAGCTCCCTCTTTGGGAACACCCAGCAAATATCCTCACCCCCGCAAGGTTAGCATTAAGATTGATGTAATACTCGACCGAATTTGGGTAATGATTTCTAACTGAATACAGATGAAACTTCAAAGAAACAGCTTCAGCCTTTATTTACTCCTTTTCCTGGAGGTACTACCGGCAATAAATCTTCCATGTTTGGACAGGGTAGGTGTAACACCTCTTGTTGAGATGGCGTTTCTCTATACTAATTCAATTTAGACTCGAGCTTTGCATCACAAACACCGGCACAGCCGACCGAACAAACATCAAATGAAGGCGGTACCCTTGAAACAACCAAACACTCGTCTCCATTTGCTGTATTCCAGCCAACTCCATCTATCAATTTGACTGGAAATGATGAGGCCGTGAAGCCCGTGTTCCCTTCATCCACGAAGTTCTCATTCCCGTCCTCTCCCTTTGAACTGAACGGTAATATTACCACTTTCCAACAGACCCTTAAGATGTTCTTAGCACTGAGACCGTTACCATTTAGATTCTGAGCCAGGAGCACCTAATCCTCAAGATTCACACCCGTTTCAAACGGAACCAAGTATCAACACACAACCTGGCCCTTCTCCGGAACAATTGAGAGAAGCAGAAGAAGAAAAGTTAAGAGAAAAGGAAGAAGCAGAAGCGAAAAAGGCGGAACAGGAAGAAAGGAGGAAAATAGAAGCGCTTAAGTTAGAGCAAGAAAGAGAGCGACAAAGGCGCGAGGAAGAGGAAGTTAAGAAACAAGAATTGGAAAGACGGGAGGCTGCTGCACGTGAGGCGGCCAGGGAGGCGCTACGAAAGCAAAAAGAGGCGCAAGAGGAAGCCAGACGTCAGGCAGAAGAGGAAGAAGCACGAGCCAAGCGTGAGATTGAGCGTCAACGCGAACTTGCCCTTGAACTCCGGGCAGCTCAGCGAGAAATTGCAAAGAGAGAAGCAGCTGAAAAGAAGGCAGCACGAAAAGAAGCTGCTAGGAGAGCCTCAATAGAAGCCGATATCATGAAGCGAAAAGCCGACGCGCTTATTGAGGAACTCGATGTTCACCATAAGAGAGGCTCCAAAGTAGCCAGGCTGACTCCAGAAGATGAGCTTTCGGTGGAGGAGCTGATGAGTAGTAACCGGCCTAGGCACAAGAAACCTCCAACGTCAACTCCACAGCCTTCGAAACCTGCCATAGACGAAGACGAGCTCCTTCTCTCTGCAGCTAGGCTGGCTGCCCATACCTTGTCTCAGGGAGCTCGACTTTGGGACGAAGTACCAGACTTTAGCCGTTCAGTTTCTTCCCCATCCAGCTCCTTTTTTGGGAGGTCAAGTATTGGATCTCAACCGAGCTTTGACAGATCCCGTGCAACTGTGAACGGGTACGATGTTGCCCTGGCCCCTTCCTCGCCGCTTGGCTTGGGTAGGACTCTATCGCGGACTGAACAAAGGATAAGGGCCACTGGAGCCAAAGGCCTTGCAACTAAACCGATCCCACCTTCTCACGGGCTGAAGAGAAATAGCGATAAAGGGAGAAAACCACAGTTCTAATCTTTTTGGCGTTGAACTTAGCATCCTTCGACCTACCAGTTTGTTTTCATACACGGCCTATAACATACCTTTTTTTTTAGGATCTTTAGCATTTGGGCGTTTAGCATAAGGGCTACTCTACTGGTGTTCTTTTGGTATGGTTTATATTGGGAGAAACGGAGTTGGTTGCAAGTGAGATATCTTGTGCGTATGTTATTTGTTGGGGCTCCCTTTGCTTATATTGTACTATTTGAATCTATTTACATCCCCCATGGATCAGGCATGAAGAGTTTAAATGTTCAAATCCACTTTATACCCTATGAGACGAACCTCACGAAGAAACTTGATTGAGTTCCGTCCTTTGATTGAGAGGCAGGGCGATTGTGTCATGCAAAGGTATACCCATATCTCCACTGTCCATGGTATAGGCTCTATACGTCGGAGCAGAGCGAGTGGCCCATGGCCTTTACTTCGAGGAAGGCCCGGTGTTTGCCTTTTGGTACAGCCGTTCGGCGATGGGAAGCTCGCGGGAGCTGGTTTCGTAGATATAGCGAGTTAACATAGGCAGTTGGAGATTAGTTGTCTCCTTGCTATTAAGTGATCAAATATCAGTTTCCCGATGACTGTGCAAGTATCATGTGTTATCCCATACCTAGAGGAAGACATTGAAGCCAGTACTAAACGGCTTGACTTTTTGTTACCAGCAAGAGTCGATTTGGTAGGCGTGGTACCGGCCATGGTTGAGTATTTGATTTCTTGAACAAGACAGAGATATGAGACTGAATGTGACTGTGGACTGGGTCGAGTATGTTGAAGCTTCGTATTATCGAAGCCTACCGGTTGGGGTCGAGCTGATTTATATAGGTAGTCATATAACTAAACGGCAGATGCGCTTCTTAATCTCTTGCTGGTGTTGGCCTATACTGGCTACAAAAGTTCCATACAAAAGATCTATACTAGGTTCCATAGCTACGAAAGTTCCATAGAACCAAAAGTTCCATACAAAAGTCCTACACGAAAGTTTAATTTTGCCAAAAGTTCCATGCAGCATGCATATTACAGCTTCGGAATCCAGAGGCTTGCTCATAGGCTCAGGACAAAAGTTCTCGGCGAAGATCTCTTGAGGACATGCACCTTTTTTCTCCTGCCCCAGGCAGGGGTGCTAGGTTTGACCAATTGGGTAACTTGGTTATTCGACTGGCAATCTCCACACCAGGCCAACTCGAGATCTGGCAGCCTTTCGCGGCCCAGGAGACATTTACTGCGATCCCCTTGCCTCAACTCAGCCCGTACAATGTAACGGACGGTGTAGAAATAGGTGACCAGTCACGGTCGGACCCTTGTTCGTCCAGGCACTTTTTCGTGATGTCGCACACTCGGCAGCAGAAAGAGCTTCTCAATGTCTTGGGTTAACGGTAGTTACTCTGTAATCATAACAATAACCACTGACCTGACTACCTACGTTAACTACCTTTTGAAGCCGTCTAGAAGACGTGAAGATGCCTTCACCAGAAAGCTTCCCTCTTCCTCGTCTCCCTTCTCCTCTTCCTCTTCCTCGTCATCTTCCAGAATGGACCTCCGTCAAGGAGACGATCCGCCACCTTTACGTCGAAAACGGTCTCTCTATCAAAGAGCTGATGCAGACCATGGAAGCGGAGCACTCTTTCAGAGCAACGTACGGAGATTATGCCTCCTTTTGACCCGGCGCCAGAACTATGGCAGCTATCAGTTTTATTCACTTGAGCTAGCCTCAACTTTTGCCTTAATCACTGGGCTAATGAATTGTGTATGCCAGTCGGAAGCAGTACCTGAGCAGACTCGTCAAATGGGGCTTCAACCGCAACATCAAGGCTGAGACCATGACCAAAATTGCCCTTATTCGAGAGCGAAGAAGACGATTGGACGGGATGCCTACCGTCTTTACATACAACGGGCTGATAGTCGACGACCGGAAAATTGAACGTTTCATCCGAGAAAAAATTGGAAGAAGTCAACTTGAACGCATGAACGTCGATGATGGTCACTAAATATTCACTTACCTCAATCCCCTTACCCTGAGATGAACAGGACGTATTATAACTAACAAGATTCATCAGTGTCGACACCCACTGGCGTCACGTATGAAACCCCTCGTGCCATGGCCAACGAGGATGTTGGCGAGAACGTGGACGAGGAGCCACTTAATGGGGAACGCCAGAAGACTGAGATGCCGCGTGCAATAACATGGGCACTTGGTGCACTGAGGCCTCTACGATACGAAGAACTCGCAACAGCCTGTGGTATCATGGGTGATAAGAAGAAAGAGATTAATTCAGAAAGTAATATCCCTTCCTGGACTCGCGGTGTCTTCGAGACAGGTGAAGATGGCTTCATAAGGCAAACGTCCCGTGCTCCCGATATATTAGCCCAGTTCACCCCCACCGATGCCGCCGATAACTTAATATTGGAAACCATTCTTAAGGGGATCACTGATGACAAGAAGAATTTCAGACTTCTGTATGAGTGTGGAATCGTCTTTGAAAGATTTAAATCCGAAGCCCCGGAAGCCCTAACATCCGAGCCCTGGTGGTACTTCATGGAATACCAAACACTCTACTGGCCATCGCATTTATGTAGACTCAGCCACGAATTAAAGCCCACGGAAGAATCAGCATTAAATGATTTGATAAGAGCCCCTATTTGTGTAGGATGGATTGAAGCTCTTGCTTTGTTTACCAAGGAAAGTTTTGGAGTTGTTCTTAGCCGGATACTACATATTGTACTGGCTTTCTGCAATGGAAACGGGCCCTCTCACCTCAAGCCTAGCACTATTTCTGCATTGCGAGCCTGGGCAAAGTCTTGCCAACATCTTGTTCATGACTGGAGGGAGATACTCTCAAAATGGCCTGGTGAAATCCACTACATCCAATCTGCGTTTTTACCAAAGGACAACATCTTCCAGAATCACAAAAACAGCAGCCTTCAGTACGTTTTGCCCGATTACAATCTGCCTAAGCCTAATATGGAAATGTCATTCTTTGAGAAAATGAGTGTGGAAAGCTCATTGTTGGAGGAAATAGGTGCGTGGGGTATATTGATGGAGGAAATGAGTGAGTGGAGTGCATTGATTGAGGTTGATTATTCTGCTCGACGCATTTATTATGCATACCCGCATTATGGTATGGTATCTCTGTCAGAGCGCCCGTGGAAAATCTGTTGTATCTCCATGGATACCGGGTTAACGATCGCAGAATACCGAGGAAAGACTACTTTTGGGGACCAAAGGAATGAAAGGAGTTCTACGGAGGCCATCAAAGCCCAACTAGCCATCAGTCCCGACGGCAGATACCTAGCCTATGAGGAACTGGTTGACTGTCGCCCAAGTATGACCGATGTTCGAGTCTTTACATACTTTTGGAATATACAGCCTACAGTTACTCTAGATGGTGACGTCTTTGGCCAGTGTTTTCAGTTAAATAGGGGCGCCCGCGGCCCCTCCTTTTACTTTGGAAGAACACTTGGCTTCGATAAGGATGCCAATCTGGTTCATGCCTGTGGGGTTTATAGCGTGAAGACCCGGGCCAGCGTTCACTCTCTATTCACTACGGATTTCTTGCTGGAGATAAAGTCCGCAATAATCTCAAGAGACCGGACTGTAACAGCGTTTGCACTATTCAAGGATTCAGAGCGCAAGAAGATTAATATTTGGATCCGCGATAATTTCCGGACTGATGTCCAGATGCATTGCGTGTATAATGGGATTGCGTGCCTTCTAGATATAAGTACTTCCGGCCGTTTATTAGCGTTGTTAGAGTCGCCAGAAGCGTTCGACGAGGATGAAGAGTCCACATACAATCTAGTTGTGCTAGAAATCACATCCGGTAATAGAAATATCCTACACTCGTTTACGATCCCGACCCATATCCCGAAATCCAAAAATAACCATAATGCTCTGTTTAAAGCCTTCTTTGGGGACAACGAAAAAGAGCCCGTGCTATTTGTGTCTGATAAAGTTGAGAGCGTGGGTCGAGTGTGGCGGAAATCACGCTGGGGCTGGAAGCGCATTGGAGATCCTCGCGTTAAAGGTGCGCGAGTTGAACCTGCTTTTCAGCCTCTGAAGTTCAGTGATGATGGCACTGAAGTCGTTGGGATTCACAAATGGGGCGTTTGCTCGATTGATGCCCACAATCATTATAAGATCCCTCTGTCCATGGAAGAGGTGGATGATGACTTGGAAGTAGTCAACGTTATGGAAAGCTCTTGGGGGGGTCACTATTTGTATTGTGTCGATACGGAGAAGCGCTGTGAGGAGACTTTTAAGGTAATAAATATCCTTAGCTTGACTTATATATGCCACAGTATTTTTGTTGCTAATGATGAGGCAAAAGATTGCGGGTTGGCAGTTAGATCTGAACTCGAATCCCCCTATAAAGGAAGACTTTTATTTCTTTTCTCCAACATCCCTACTGTCAATTTCATTACCATGGATACCCACGCCAGGAAAATATATAAATTACCGCACAAGGGGTGCTGATATGGCATATTCCTCGCAGATTGTTTTCAATAATGATCCGGATAATACCTCAGAGCACGATCTTGAATATCGCTTTACGAATAGATGCATAGTTTGTGTGTCTGCGGATGGACGATATAAACTCGCATACTTCCCGGAATCGAGTGATAACCTGGTACAGTTTGATATACTTGGAGATGGAGAATCAAATAATTGCCTTCGATCATATATATTCCACTGTCAATACGATACTAAACTAAACGGCGGCGGGTTCTATAATCCTCCATCATTACGCCTTCAAGGCTCGTTCCACCCAACCCTTCCCATTGTATTGTGGACAATTCCACTCTTGGGACTAGGGTTTTGGATTTCTGACCTTCGAAGCGATAGCAGGCCGATATTTATCGATGGTAAATGGCTGCTTTTCCTTTCTCTACCTACTTTACGGTGTGAATTAAGTGGCCTGACTTCTATACTAGACGTTGCTTTTGCAGCTAAAAAGCCGTCATTTTCTCAATGCGGCCGCTACCTTTTGGCTTTTTATGATGAATCCTCTTGCAGCCGAAGCCCTCCAGCCCCTGGGAAGCCAGAAATGGGTGTTTTTGTCGTCGATTTCAAGGAAGGGGTAAAATGCAAATATCTATGGCCTCCTGGGATAATGAATTACCACAGCGCCTATGCCTTTTCTCATAATGATGAGGTCTTTGTCGTTGGATTCAATAACGATACACTTCTCATTTCCCTGAGGCTAGCAGTATCTGAGGACAACATACCTCGGCTGCAATACCTCATGGCCTTTCCATCTTCGCATTCCCGCCTTGAAAGAGTACGGCGGTGTGGCATCATACATGGCGGTTTCAATGTTATAATAACAGATATTTGTGAAAAAGAGGCAAGTGCAGCTCTCTTGGATTTTTCACCTCAAGAACTCCACCCCAATGATGCCCAAATTAACCCCAATATCCCACAGGCTGTTGTCATCCGTACTTCCCATGATGACTGGAAAGATACCAACTTTAGGATTAGTGGGATCAGTAGGGTCTGTCAACGCGGGGGGCCAATCATAGAAGCAAATGAACCGCTCCGGGCTCCTCCTTTCGCGAATCCACGGAGCGACAAAATGGCATGGGTGCTAAAGCCTTCGGCGATGAAGCACCTAATCCAACGCTGGCAACTGATGGATAACGAACGGCACGTTCTCTTAGAGAGGGAGTACTATGACATATAGATACCTAGGTAACCATGCAGTTCCGACATAGCATTTGTATAACTAGTTAGTTATGGCAGAGATTGCTTTGAAGGAGAGTCTAGATAACTATGTTTTCCCATGCTTCGAGGATATCAAATCGACCTCGCTGTATAACTATTGGGTATTTATAAGTAACGACCCAGTCCTCCAGACCTGGTTAGCCATCCTTTTACCATGGTATTACGACGGACCAGCTAACTAAAGCTGATTGGCCGGGCGGAAAGGTAACTACCATATGGGAAATAAGTGAAATGAAAAAACCGTGATGTCCCAAAAATTACGCGTGAAGAACCGTAAATTTCAGATTTCTACGTTATTCTCCTCTATAATAACTACAAAATCTAAAATCTACGCGTGAAGAAACGTAATTTTGGGACTCGACGGTTTTTTCAATTCACTTATTTCCCATATGGTAACTAGTTAACTAGCGCTAGCTAGAATGCCTCGCGTGGGCGCAGGCAGATATCATTGCACCAGGAGAGCGCGTTGCCCGAAACAAGAGCTTCATTGAGGCGTCGAACGGCTTGGACAGTTTGGGCTGCAACGTCGCGCCGACTCAGGAACAGTTCGCTTAGTGATGAACGTCATTGACGTAGTTGCATCGTCGCAACTGACTGATGACACAATCATCGCCACTAAGCGGTGATATTTATTCAGCCTCCATCACAAGAGAAGGAAAGAAAAGCACATTCGACATTGAGGCCACAAACTGGTCCTAAATACATGGATGTACCGACACTTCGTCCCACGAGGTCCAACCAAGCTCAGCCATGCTGTCTGTGGTGAGGTTGAGTGCAATGTCTTGTAGTTATACCAGGCTGCTGTAGCCAACCCCTTAACAAGGAGTACATCCCCCCCTCGAGTGAAACGGTTTATCTAACAAACATTATTGGCGATCTGTCTACACTATTCGCAATGACTACCTAGTTACTGAAACGGCCCATTCCATGCGACTTAGGGGAGTATCTCAGCGTATATATGGCGGAGAATGATGAATCAACTGAACAGACAACGCTAAACATCAACAGCATCGGCAGGCCAAGTGACAGAATACTACGTTGTTATGCCGCCACTTTAATCATACACTTGTGTATGTGAGTGAGAGAGTGTGCTTGGTTAATAGGTTGCCTGGTTCATTGACTACCTGACCCAGTGTCCAGCCCATTACCTTACCCTATTTGATACCCACGCGTCGTCTGCTTTACACTCTATCATCACCATAACCTCACTGATATTATGCAATGTCCCCAATGATGACTTGGATTCTGAGGGGCTATATTGATTGAGTACCTAGAAAGGATTGTCGGACTAATGGCCGGCATCACGTTACCACAGGGGTCTCATCATTGCCAGAGGGGTTTAGAGCTGGTGTACACCAATCACTTGCCTTTTATATCCTGCCGGTTCCCAATGATGATCTGGATTCTGAGGGATAGCATATTTCATCGGTTCCTAGACGCAAGAAAGGGCTGTCAGCCTAATGGCTGGCATCATAGTTACCACAAGGGCCTCATCATTGCCAGAGCTCAGAGTTGTTGTACACTAATCACTTGCCTTTAATATCCTGCAAATATCCTCAATATCCCCTGTGATGACATGAATTCTGAGGGGTATATTAGAGCCAGAAGCAAAAAAAGTGAATCGAGAGCACTTAATGCAATACTCCCGGCTTTAAATCCTTGAATGATGACCAATATTGAGTGATGATAGTCGAGGACATGGACAACAGTATAGATTATTTCGACCACGAATCTTGTTATATGAATTTGTTAATATTACAGAGCAGGAGAAAAGATTCAGAAAAGAAGAAGACTACGAAAAATAAGAGATAGCTTTGTTTATTTACAAGCTTCTCACAGTGCTCCTGCCATTATAATACATGGTGCTCTTAAGGAAGGAAGTATTCAGTAAGATACCAAGATTGTGGTTACTAGTTCTGGGTCGCGGTTGATCTAGCATCGCCTTCCGCTTTAACACGAGCAGGCTTATCTCTAATTACTTCGGGTTCGACTTTAACTATAGGAAGGCGTCAGTATTCATATTTCGAACCGTCAATTTTCTGGTTGAAGAAATCTATTAATCAAGATGGATTCTACCAAGGTATAACTACTTGTTGGACCTGCATTCTAACTACAGCCATACTGATCTTTGTGCGTGTAGAACTGAGAATACGTAGATATACACTACTTGCACGCTAGGTCAATTGGACCATCTCGAGGCTGCGCACAGGTAGTTAGGTGCTCATTGGCTAACCAGTGATGCTTATTTAACTACAGAGGAAGGAGGTTAGCTAGGCACCCAGTTAATAACTGAAAGGCACCTCGAGGATGACGGCGACGGCGTATTGCTTATCCGATAACTAGTTACGCTAGGGGTCGAACTGTGGCTCCAACACTAACTGTCATCTTTACAGACACAGGAGTCTTTAGAAAGCATTGACGTATAGAGTTACCGTTTGGTATTGATCAGGGCACTCTTCTCTATACTTCTTGTTCGAGGAGTGGCTCAAATAATTCCAATCTTTACTTTTTACTACCGTTCTATAACGATGAGGATCGCGACCTTACAGTTACGCTCCCGACTGGCGGATGTCGAGGGAAATATCCGAAAAGCTGATGCACTGGTTGGAAAGCTAGATACAATGCTCCAAGGTAAAGGCAAGAGGAAAAGCCTCGACCTACTAGTTTTACCAGAGATGGCGTTCAGTGGTGAGTGGTACACGCCGTAGCCTGTGAACATGGATGCCATACTCCGTTTTCACGTACGTATCAAATGACTTTACTCATGCTCTATCCATAGGATATAACTTTCCATCCCTGAAGGCTGTACGACCGTATCTTGAACCGTCAGAGGCCGGGCCATCGGCTCACTGGGCACGCACTGTTGCGCAGAAGTTAGGTTCCGTTGTAGCCGTGGGATACCCCGAGATCTGTCCTTCTGTGCTGCAAGATAACCTATCTATACAAGCTAAAACAGGGGAAGAAGATGTGCAAGGCGAACGCAGATTCAACTCGCTTATTGTGGTCAAAGAATCTGGTGAGACGTTGGTAAACTATAGAAAACACCATCTTTATTACACCGATGATCCGTGGGCTCACGAAGGAGAATCGCATGAAAGCGGGTTCTTCTCAATGCCCTTGTCTACTACTACGTTACAACAAAAGATACCCAAAGATGACGGTGGTTCCATCTGTTCTAATTCCTCCCGAAAGAACGAGATACCCACCACGGTAGGAATATGTATGGACATCAACCCGTATAAGTTCATCGCGTCCTACAGTGCCTGTGAATTTGCAACCCATGCTCGAACAAGCGGAGCAAAGTTGGTGGTTGTATCTATGGCATGGCTGACGCTATTGGGCTCCGAAGAGCTATCTACGATGAGCGACAAGCCTGACATGGATACATTCCAATACTGGATATCCCGGTTTGCGCCCCTTTTCTTGCCCGACGAAGAGGGTGTGGAGGGCTCACCTGGCGAAGTGGCTGAGCCGCAGGTCATCATTGTGTTTGCCAACCGGGCCGGGGAAGAAGAGGGACAGGAAGGCAAGGATACTGCGAGGTATGCTGGGTCGAGTTGTGTGGTCGGCATCCGACGGTGTCCACGCAAAGTGGGATGTGAGGATGAAGATAGTGTCGAGATTCTGATATGGGATATGCTTGGGGCAGCGGAAGAGGGAATCTGCCTTGTCGACACTGACTCAACGCCTAGAATGGTCGGATCTGTAAAGATATGATATAACCTGTTTGTGTTGTAGGAGATGATTTGAGACGGTGAGAGAGAGACGTATAGCTATTTAGACACAACCACCACAACCAGCTTTGCCCCATCCACATCACATTTTAGACACAACCGCCCAAAGAGTGGTTAATGTGTCAGGTTGGGCAAAATCCACCCTCCTTGTTGCCTTGATCTTCGAGAGTTTTTCGAGCGCTTCGTCTGTTCTCTCGGGGGCCATTTTTGATATCACCTGAGCCCATGTGAGCCCATGTGACTGAGGCGTGACAGTTCCGGTTAGGGCTTCAACCTCGCACGTAAAAACAACTTCATCTCTTTTTCTTCTTCTTCGTCTTCTCTGAACCTCCCGAGTCATATCCCCCGGGCTGTTCATGCAGGGTAAGGAGTTGACCGTGGGATGGGATGTGGAGAGGAGGAGAGAGAAGACCCAGTCAAAAGCGCAGAACAGCAAAGATAGCAGACCCCGAATTGAGGTCGCCGGTGGTGAAGATGATAATAACTAGGTAGTCAAACAAGTAAGTTGGCCTCGTCTCCGGCATCATTATTACTACAATTGGCTGTCCGAGAACTCATTGATCGATGTAAATTATAATAGTGACAAACCAAAAAAGCAACTTTTAGTTAGCCGGCGTCAACTTTCTACCACATGTATTAAGTGGCCGGTGGTAGCTAAGAGGCTGCTGGAATGTCGATGGTTAGTGGCTTGTGGTACGGTGACGGGGGGAAATGACAACACCTGCCCGGCCGTCTAGCCAGCTATTCGACCGGTCAAAAGGAACAAGCAGCCCGCAAGACAAGAAGAAGAGAGAACATGCCCTTCTCTCATAATGCACACATTTTTTCTGTTTCCTTGTACAAGGGGCAGCGGTTTGTGGTTTGAGTCCATCATTTCTGGGAGAAGGAAGAGGGAAAAAGCAAACATCTTGCGGGTAAGTTAAAGGATGACCGCAAACTCGCGCTACCAACCATACCAGTGGGTACCCTGTCATGAGCAGGTGATGGATGTGAGGCGATGGAGGGAGATGGCTCTTCGTCTCGTCTCACCCTCTCTGGGTTACCAGTTGACGGGGGGTTTTGCTGTCCGAATACGCGGCCATAAACACAGCTTCCCTCCTCCCTCCTATTCGAGAAAACCGGAGTTTCTTCCTGGACCGGATCGGAGGAGTCACCTGAATGGCAGCGGGAATGATAAGGGCATCCATCCTCTATCTTCCCCGTACCCATCCATGCAGGGTAAAAAGAAAAAGGCCAAAAAAAAACAAAAGCCATGATCCATGGGGAGATCTGAGGCGGATCAATAGCCTTTGGATGTCTTACGGGAAAGAGCAGGACAGATATGAACGATGTACGGCGACCGTTGCAGCTGAGAATAACTAGGTTGCCAGTCTGCCAGCCTGAGCTAAGCTTATTGTTGACGACAACAGCAAACAAACGGACCAGTTTAGGCCATCGTGTCTCAGCAAAGGCCTTGATTTCCTGTGTCTGGCCTTTCCTTTTGCGAGCATAACTATTCCTGACGAACTTACTATGTATGTATGGTGGGAGGCTCAGTCCCTTCGAGAACCAAACAAGGTTCTGCGGCAAGAGGACCATGCGCAAACACTCCTGCAGCCTTCTGTCCTATCGACTCGTCCAGCGCCCGTCGGCAAAGACCCATGGCCCTTGGTCCTTGATCCCTGGTGGGATGTGTGGAAGGGGGAGGGCAGATAACAAACTTATGGCCCGTCGAAGCCATCTCCCGTGCACACCACCCTATGGACAATGGGCAGACCGAAGGGCAGATGGGCCAGCCAATGGGAAGCGAAAGCAGGGCCGTGGAGCCTGATTCGTCAGCAGCGAGCAAGGCACGGGACCGGGGCACATGACCGGCGATAGGAGATCAGATATGGATGAGAAGAGAGAGTGAGGAGTGAGAGTGAGTGAGAGGACGAGTAAGTAGCGAAGAGGCAGCGAGGCCGAAGAGAGGCAGAAGGGGCAGAGACAAGAAGGGCAGCAAGGACGAGGAAACGGAGGCAAAGGAGGATAACTAGTCGAGCATCACCATCCTCGACCAGTAGCTACTCGGCTTTCTACTTCACCAGCCAACACTCTAACGAGACTCCAGACCACGTCTGCGGCCTCAGTCTGACAGCAGATGCAGGAAGTCATCTCTGCATAACCTTCATCATCTTCATCTTCATCTTCATCACCATCATCACCATCACCTATCACTTCTGCCTGTCCTGTCCTGTCCAAAAGTGCGCAAGTGGCGTGTGCAGCGTGCCCTAGCCTCGCCACGTGAGTTTTCCCTTCGCTCTCTCTCTCTCGCTCTCTTCGTCTTCCGCTTCTTCTCGCTCTCTCGCTATATCTGCAATTCTGGCATCGCCTTTTCAGCTTCGTCTCTTCCCAACTCCGTCGACGGCTTCTGCTCATCGTCCAGCTGCGTCTCTCTATCCAGACATCCGCCAGGCCGGTCTCTCTGGCCTCCCGTCCCCTTGCTGCACCCGGCCTCGTCGCGATCTATATATCGCAAGCCCTCGAACAGGTGACTTCTCGTCACCTGATAGATCATCAAGGTATGCAAGGCCATTTCATCATCATCTTCTGCTTCTTCTGCTTCTTCTTTTCCTCTTCTTCTTCTGCTTCATCGCTGGTTATCGCGAGCTTCGTTTACAGCTTTCGTTGCATTAATCTGTCCTCATTCTCCTGTCTCTTGCTCTCCTTGCTGTTATTTTTTCCCTATCGCGTTTCTTCTCTTTCTCTTCCTCTGAACAGCCATCGCCTAAACCCCGCTCTGCACTGTATTTGTCTTGTTATTCTTTGCTCTAGAGTCGCGTCCCAGCGCGATATTCTCTTCCTATAGGATATTTGTCTGTTCTATCGCGTTCTTATTGACTGAAAATAATCTTGTCTACTCTTGTTTCTTCTGCATTGCGTGCTGTGGTCGCTGGTTTGCCTGCGACAAACTTATCCTCCCGACGCGACAAAGTGTTATTATCCCCCATCTTTATATCTATCTCTCTTGGGAACACCTGTGAATACATTACAGGAATAGCTTGTTGTCTCCAGTTTATCTGTGTGGACTTCACTAACATGGACTTGACGCGACTAGAAACTTCATTTCCACTAGAAGTAAAAAAGAAGTGAGACAAACAAGATGTCAGAGCCTGCTATGAACACTATGGAACACGGCTCTACCGACCCCAACGTCTCCTCTGGTAAACGCAAGCGAGAAGTCATGGATACTGGCGACGTCCAGCGTCTTCGCTCTGCACATGGTGGCCCGAATAATTTCGATGTCAACATCCAGGCCACCGAAAACTACGGCTACGATGCTCACGGCATGCCCAGCAACACCACTGACCTGAGCCATATCGATCAGCAGCTTCTCCAGGCCGTGGGCAACCAGAATGGCGTCTCTGATGACAATGCCATGACCGCCAAAGCAGCACTTGCTGCCCACCAGCCCGAGTCCAAGTACCCGCCTCCGGAGCCGTCCTTCGACAACAATGGTCTCGGAAACAACCTCTCCTTCGGTCAGGATGTCGGCCAGGTTTCCATGGGGCCCGTCCAGGGCCACACCTCTACTGCTGCTGCCGTGTATGCTGCTCGCGAAGCCCAGGCACAGGCTGCCCAGCAGATCAGTCCCAAGCCTACTGTCGGATCCGCCGAGTGGCACCAGGTTCGCAAGAACAACCACAAAGAAGGTGCGTTCCTTTTTTCCCTTTATTTTATTCTCTTCGCTTTCACGGGTTGGTACATGACTAACATGCATTCAGTCGAGCGCCGTCGCCGTGAGACTATCAACGAAGGCATCAACGAGATCGCCAAAATGGTTCCTGGCTGCGAGAAGGCCAAGGGCTCGATTCTCCAGCGCGCCATCCAGTACATCGCCAAGCTCCAGGAAGACTCCAAGGAAATGGCTGCTCGATTCGACACTACCAACATGACCACAAACCAAGCCATCACCGAGATCAGTGCTCAGAATGCCAAGCTCAAGAACGAGGTCAACCTCCGTAGTGACATCGCTTCCAAATGGATCCAGCGTTGCCGTGATGCCGGTCTCAACTTCGACGACTATGACGATGAAAAGAGCCTGGGCAAACTTCCAGTCGACGAGTCTCATAACATTTAAACTGCTGCCACGACGTCATGATACCTCTTCACACTGACTGTTCCTGTCTGCCTACTTTCTCAACGTTCCTGCTTGCTTCTAGCTCTTCGCCCGTGGTCTTTCCTTTTACGCAGTCGAAGTCACAGACAGTAGTCACAGTACACAGTCTCAATTTGTCCCCCCCTTTCACCTTCCTCTCTTTCCTCTGCTGCTTTCGTGCTCTGGCTTTCTTACATGGCGTACACGGCTCATTATCTCTTTCTTACCACTTCTTTCGCCCACGGCCACACCAGGCCAAACCTTGCATTCCACAAAAAATGGGCGGTTGCCTCACTTGTCTATCTGCCAACCTGCATACATGCTTTATTATGGGGTGCTCACTCTTTCTATTCCAAGGGTTCAAGGGAAAAAAACGTTCCATAGGTTGTTGGAACCGCATGGGACACACGGAGCACTACGGAGCAGATTAGGTTACCAGGCCTTGTCCATATGTTTTCTCTTACTTCTTCTTTCCTTTTCTCCAACCCCCTTTTTACATCATTTTGTGTTCTCTAATGAATTTTCTCTTTTTTCTCTTTCCCATTCTCACGGAGGCGTCGCTGGCTTGGGCTGATCTAGGGTGATGTTCAGCCTTAATGTTTCTTATCCATCCCAGTGAAGTGGTTGCGATGCAAGAGGGAGCTTGGTCTGTCTGTTAATTACAGTAAATAGCGCATGTTATCCATCCGTTCTTCCTTCCTTCTCCTACCGTGCATTATATATAATTTTCATACGTGAGTGCTACACCAACGGGCTTTTGTATGGTGAGACGCTTTGGCGCGGCCTCGGGTAGCTGACTAAGCACACTCGAGCCAACTTCGACGTCTTGCCTTTTCATCCCAGCTCGAGTCCAACAACTTCGTCAAAACAAAACGTCACTAACACATTACATTTAGTCCCCAGCGTCTCTCTTAGCCATGTGCTCTGATCGGCGATACTTGTATTGCCTCACTTCCTCGCCATAATGGCACCAGGGCGCCTCTTCCACTTCTCACACCAGCTCCGCCTGCCCTTTCTCGACCTCAACGTGCTTCAAGCTCGCCCACGCTCCATGCCATTCTACGTCTTTCGACCTACTACGGTCTCTACCGGTGTATACCCGTGAAAATGCATCCTTTGGATCAGTTCAGCAGGCAATCGACTCCATATTTGTCCGCAATAAATCCTGAGCCGGTTTATCGGCAGTTCGAAATATACCATTCTGGGATGTGAATACAGCGTATGTTGTATTTATATGACTATGATACGAGCATGTTTTGAGAGGCTATGCTGCATAGCTTTAGCTAGCAGACCGTCATCCCGGCTCTTCATGCTCATATCTAGGTATTCCGTATGGCTTACTTTTGTTTGTGAGCTGATCAATTGACGCAACGTGAACACATCCCCTTTTTTCCTATTACAGACCGCGAGGAATAGGCTGTATAGCTTGAGGGGTTATCGAGTCTGCTTCTTTACGACGCCCTTGCACAACGCCCCAAAAGCACCAGTATATAGAATGGTTCTGTCCATCAACAGTTTATTTTCCCTAAACTGTTCATCAATACCATGCGGAGAAGTTAGTGATATCATTATCCGCCGGTTTGGAGCCTGGAAAGGAGAATAGGACTCTTGTCTTATTTCTATGTTTTCTGCATTGAAAGGATACCCACAAGGATAAGTGCGACTTTGACAAATATTCGGCTGTTCAATTACTGGGTATTTCTCAGGGACTGTTGTGGAAAATTTTCCGCAACCCCGTAGCACCCCACCTGAAATATTAGCTTCCTTCAGGGAACATCACGATGCAGCCACATTGCCTCCCTGCAATCCTCTTACAAAATTATGATACCCGCCTATTATTATCTCCTCGAACAGGCTCTAATGACAAGTTTAACACTAAGCTCACTTCAAGTTTCTATATCCAACACCCCATTCAACTATGAGGCCTACGAGTTTAGAGCTTTTGCGGCAATCTTTAAGAATGTGTTCTTGTCAATTTCCCGCTGCCTTTTCCTTCAACCCTGTTACATCACATCTAGTTATCCTTAATATCCCACTATTTCCATCAAACTCCTCCGACATGTTAGGAAATTAAACCCAGTGTTGCTTCTGATTCTGCTCTTGTGCCGCAGTTCCTCCTAATCTGGATGCAGGTGTCGTTCGCCGTCTGCTGCGCGGTGTCAAAGAGGTCCAAGAATTTCCTTACTGCGTACATATTCAATGAAGGCAGCTCTGCGGGTGGGCTGTTAGCTTCAGCTTGAACATAACTAGGGCCATAGGGCCTAACTTACCCGTCGTCTGTCATCCATTCGCTGTGGAAATTTTGCTCTGTTTTCACTTTGCGCCATAATGGTAGGCGTTCAATATCATAGTTGATGGGGTTACCGATTTGCGCATTATGACACTGGCGTCCACACTTCGCTGGGTCTCCTCGGTGCACATCTATTTCACGTGGGCAGATGTATGTCTTAGTTTCTTTGGTGCCAGCTTGCAGAAGGCGCATATCCCTCACATTGCCAGCTCCTGTCGCAGTTGCCTCTCCCTCCCCAGCTACCTCTGCGGAGGCATACCAGGTCACACATTTATGATAACATTGGTCCTGGAGCCAAGTCACTAGATGGTGGCACTGGAAGTATGTAGCTTCCTGGAGGATACTGGTGTATAGGTGGTAGTCGTGTCCTTTTGCTGTGTCATATGCCAAAGGGAAAACACCACGTCGAAGATACCGAAGGACATGTTCAAACGCCGTGCTATCGGCATCGATAAAAATGGATCCATCTTCCATTGTTGGTATTGTCCATTTTCCCGAGAAGTAAGCCTTGAAATAGTCGCTTCTCTCTGTCAAGGTTTCAACAGTGGTGTGAAATTTTCGCTCACCAACTTGGAGCACCACAACTTTCGAGTTATTCGTGACGCTCATGTTTCGATCATGAGTAGTGCTATCAAGTCTGCAAATTGGTGTGGTGATCATGCAGGCTGGTATAACCTGCGTGAAGGATAATAATATCTCAAAATCAACAGTCTTGACACGTCTATTAAATATGGTCGCGCGTGGCTAATAATAGCATCTTAAAGTTAAACTGGGCGCTTCGGATAAGGGTGGGGCCGGCCGCGCTCCCCAAAATTCAAATCACTCTCTAAGCGCCCGCTGTCCACGCACGGCCGTTCCCAGCGATAAGTCATTACAATGGCCCCCTGCATTTTAATAGACGGCAGTGACCACGCGATAGCAATGAATGTAAAAATAACGGCAACGCTTTTTGTTGCGTTTGAGGTGACTTGTATCAAACCGATAGCGCCTGGGGCTCAATATGGCATCGGAAATTCACTCCAGCCATGCCACAACTTCGAACCCGCTTGATCGCGAAGGTCTACGTCTCCTATCCTTTGACGGCGGAGGAGTTCGTGGATTATCGTCGCTTTATATCCTAAAGGCAATCATGGATCGCTTGAATGCTGAAAGGGGTGATTCACACAAACTGAAACCGTGTGAAGTGTTTGATATGATTGGTGGAACGAGTACTGGCGGGTAGTGTGGCTTCTCTCTTCCTTGTCAGGACTTGAAACTAATCTGATACTATAGGATTATTGCAATTATGCTTGGGCGGCTCGAAATGGATGTGGATGAATGTATCGATGTATATGGTACACTTTCCCGCGAAGTATTTGGTCAAAAGAAACATTTAATTCCTATGAAAATCAATAGCAAGATTCGGCCGCGATTTGACTCAGATAAGTTGGAGAAGATAATCAAGAAGGTAATGTCCAGCAAAGGGATTTCTGAGGATGAGTTACTTAACAATGGTGAGAAGCGAGGATGCCATGTGTACGTGACTCCACATCCCCCAATAAAATGGAATTTTTACTCTAACTATCTTAGTTTCGTATGCGCCACTGATTGCAACTCGAAGACAGTCACTCGACTTCGGAGTTATAAGCTCCTTGATCAATCAAATGTCCCCGCAACGATATGCCAGGCGGCTCTCGCAACTTCTGCCGCAACAACATTCTTCAAACCAGTCACCATTGGCGGCAGAACCTTTGCCGATGGAGCCTTCGGAGCAAATAACCCGGCAAGCGAAGTAGAAGCTGAAGCATCTAATATCTGGTGCAATGATACCGCCGATTTGTCACCACTAGTGAAGTGTTTCATCTCAATAGGCACTGGAAATCCTGGAATGAGACCTTTTGAGAAGAATTTTCTAAAGACTATAGGGAAGTCTCTTGCACAGCTTGTTACTGACACAGAGAACAAAGAAGCAAAATTCATTGATCGCTGGAGGGGACATTACGATACCAAACGCTATTTCCGCTTTAACGTGGAGCAGGGGCTGCAGAATGTTCGTCTGCATGAATATGCCAAGATAGGCATGATTCTATCGGCTACAGACAATTATCTTAATCATAGGGCTCGCATATCCCAAGTTCGGGACTGTGTTCTGAGTATGCAGCTGAAAGAGAGTGCGTATATTGAGAACTTTTCCTAGCCCATGGTTTAGCGCTCTAACTAATAACCCATGCAGACGATAGTGGAACAAATGGAGTATACAGTGGCTGTAAGCAGAACTCAATTCCCCTTTTTTCAAATGCTATACTAACCGAAAATACAAGTACAAGTACAAGGAATAACCAGCCGCCTTGAAACCCATGCAGGTATAATTTACCCTGGATGTGCCAAAATTCCCATTTCAATGAACAACTAATGATTCCCTGGGCTTTCAAGTGCATACTAGGAATGAACATTGGTGTGTAGAGCGTTCCAGTAATACGCTCTTCACCGGCCGCCGTGAGATTATAAACCAAATAAAAAGGGCTATAACCTTAGGGGAAATCAACCAAACCCAGAGACGGTTCGTTATCACCGGCATGGGTGGGGTTGGAAAAAGCGAAATCTGCCTGAAGGTTGCCCAAGAGATGAGAGAAAAGTATACAGACCCCCCAGCTAGCATGAAAACTATTACTATTTAGGGAATAAGTGCTAACCTCTCTAGGTTCTGGGGCGTCTTCTGGGTTGACGTATGCAACAATGAAACTGCAGAAGCCGGGTTCAATACCATTGCGGAGACACTCGGGTCCTCTACCAAAACCATTGACGGTACTAGACGGTTGCTCGCCAATGCAAAGGATGACTGGTTGCTGATATTGGATAATGCCGACGATGTTACCATGGATTACGGCCGTTACATCCCATCTGGATTGCGAGGTGCCCTTCTTCTTACATCTCGTAATGATGATTGTGGTCAATTGAATACTGTGGGATCTCTAACACTGGGGAGTCTAGGGAGCAGTGACTGCGTAGAGCTTTTGCTGAGAGCAGCCGGATTAGAGCTGTCAGCTGGATACGAAGAACCTGCCATGCGCATAGTATCCACCCTTGGCTCCCATACTCTGGCGCTCTTACAGGCAGGTGGATATATCAAAAAATTTTGCTCCATTGAAGAATACCCTGCGATGTATGAGAAAGAGCCAAAGCAAGTACTGAATTTTGCTCTAACTCAAGCACAATCTCGGTACTGCAATATTTTTGCTACCTTTGAAACCTCTATTCAGGACTTAGTATCCTCGGGGAAGGAGGAAAGCCTAGATGCCCTGAACATGCTACATATTCTTGCAATGCTACATCATGGTAGTGTGCCTCTAGAGCTATTCAGAGACGCTTGGAGGGGCGCTCAGCGTGCTCAAAAGCCACTCAGCGATCCCGCCAACATTGCTCAACTTACATCATGGCATGCTTTGCGGCTTCCGTCCTTTATCCAGTGGCAGGAAAGTACGTGGGAGCCATCCTGGTGGCGCCTACGAAATGCCTTGAACCTGCTTAAAAGCTTAGCTTTGATTCAAGAGGGAGAAGAGCTCGGCCACCCAGATATTTCGTTACACCCTATTGTACACAAATGGGCCTATCTCCGTCAGACCGACAAACAGCGCAACGAGTCATGGATATCTGCTGGATGTACAGTGGCACTGTCATGCTATCCAGACCCAGAATGGCGGCCATACTATCCCCTCTTATCGCTCCACCTGCAGTCATTCCTTGACAACGAGGAGGAAGTATATTTCCCTCAGCACGAGTTATCTTTGTCCAACCTCTTTGATTTTCCACCTAACTTGACGGAAACTTGGAAGATGTGCCAATTTCTTTTTAGGTGTTGTTGGCTAATGCAGGAGCAAGACATGCACACTGCAGCCAATCAATTGGTAACCACGTTATTTAAGCGGCTGAAACTTCAGCCTAAGAGTACTTGGAGGATCCCAATACCTCTCGACACCCTTGCTACAGAAATCCAGCAGAGTTTGGGGAAATATAACGAGTCGGTAGAGCATTGCAAAGGGGTACTCGATTTTAGGACTATTGGCCACCCCAAGCGACATACCTCTCGGTTCAACCTTACCACAGCCTACCGAAAAAGCGGCCAGGCGAGAAAAACAAAGCAGATAATGGAGGGCCTGGTAGAAACAGAGAAAGGACTTGGTGGAACTAGCTGGAACTCCCTCTCATCGCTACACGAACTTGCCGCATCTTATTTGACTGATGGGCAAGCCGACAGAGCAATTTCATTTTATAAGCAAGGATCCGAGGTGCGAGGGAGAACATCAGCCAAAGGATGCCCAGACCTACTGGTACTACAAGCCAGCCTTTCTTGCGCTTATATCATCAACAACCAACTAAAGGAGGCTATCCCCCTCCTTGAGGATGTTGTGCGGCTCTTGGAAACTTGGCCAAAAGACAGTCTCGATCGGTTATATTTCCAATATCTTCTTGCCAGAGCCTACCTAGAAAATAGTCAAACGCAGGAGGGTGCAGAACTCCTCAAAAATACTGCGAGAGAGCTGAGGAAAACAAATCTATCGGATAAAATGGTGCTAGATTTTAGGCTGCCCAAGACCTACCGTCGCAGCGGCCAAATAAGGAAGAAATACAACGCCTCAGGGAATTCGCACAGCAGGCGCTTGCCGACCCCGAAAATTGGTCGTGCTATGAGCACAACAGCCGTGGCTAGCGAATAGCATCAAGTGGTCTTGGTAATATATTATATATTGGCGGCACAGCCTGCAGGTTACTGTATAGATTAAGGCAGTGTCGTCTTCCCCCTTTTTTTCGCTTTTTATAGAAAACTTTTTCCTCCGTCGAAAAACTGCGAGTTTCGCCAAGCTTACTCATCATGATTATTAATAAAGTTATGCTATATATAATGATTATTCATTGGTCAGGTTCTTAACTTCTTTTCCCTCGCTTCTATTGGTCAGTCATCCAACCAAACGCATCATGACATAACTACCAACACAACAACCTTGGGAACAGACAATTAGGAGAGCGAACAACTTCAACGGTTTTTAGTTTTATCCCTGGATAACACAGGTTTCTTTTCGCAACGGCGGGATAAGTCGGTGTGAGAAATAAGATTCGAACTCTTCAGATAACTAATCACAGTCTCTCGCGCATTTTTGGGATATTTAACTATATTATCAAAAGGCTAGCCTAGCTGTTGCCTTCAGCCCCCAACTTCGGCCCGACTAGTCCAACAGGCAGCGAGATATCCACTGAAGAGCGATCTTAACTAGTTAGTTAACGGGGCTGCCTGATCAGCTGAAGATTTATAGACACACACATATATATACCACACTTTCCCGCTGATGCTATTTTTCAAGACAATATCATGTCAAATAGGGTAGCTCCCAATCTTATACCCCCGCGCACAAGTTCAACAGGTGTCACCAAGCCCGTCGCTGAAGAAGAGTGGCTTGCCTCTTCTGCTAGAAAGTCTTGTCCTGGGCCAACCAGATACCAGCGAGGAAAGCCTGCCGAAGCCATGTGGACAGAAACAAAGGAGAATATCGTGCTGGGGCCGTACAGCTATATGGTCAACCAGCCCGGTAAGGATATCCGAGGACAACTGATCGCTGCGTATAATCGATGGCTGCAGGTCCCAGAGGAAAGCCTTACGGTCATTACCAAAGTCGTGGTGATGCTTCACACCGCTTCGTTACTGTAAGTTATGAGTTATCTGATGGCGGGCAGTTAGGAAATAGGAGAGCAGCAGAGAGTACTTTTCGCTAACGTACCACTCCCAGTATTGATGACGTGGAGGACTCTTCCCACCTTCGCAGAGGAGCTCCAGTCGCACATAACATCTTTGGCATTCCGCAGACTATTAACTCTGCTAACTATGTGTATTTCCTGGCCTTGGAGGAGATTCAGAAGCTGAAAAACCCTGAAGCTATCAATATCTTCGTCAATGAGCTTATGAATTTGCACCGTGGCCAAGGCTTGGACCTCTACTGGAGAGACACCCTGACCTGTCCCACTGAAGAAGACTACCTGGAAATGGTCGGCAACAAGACCGGCGGTCTGTTCAGACTGGCTATCAAGCTCATGCAAGCGGAAAGCAGCGTTCCTATGTAGGTTATCAATACTTTACTACCCCTCCTCTGCTTGCCTATTCACACCTTCGATTGCTAACAACGTCATGAAGAGATTGTGTTCCCCTTGTTGACCTGATGGGGCTGATGTTTCAGGTCTGCGATGACTATCTCAACCTTTCCAACCCAACCTATAGCAAGAACAAAGGCCTTTGCGAAGATTTGACGGAGGGAAAGTTTTCTTTCCCCGTCATTCATAGCATTCGATCGCAACCTGAAAACCGCCAACTTATCAACATTCTCAAGCAAAAGACCAATGATAACGAGGTCAAGCAGTACGCTGTGAAATACATGGAGAACACCGGGAGCTTCGAGTATACCCGCAAAGTGGCAGTCGAGCTCCGTGACAAGGCTTTTGTCCTCATCGATGAGCTAGAACGTACCTTTTCACTGATACCCGGTCAGGGAGAAGCAAATGCAGAGGCTGCAAGTGGCAGCTTGGTGCGCGCTATTCTTAATCGAATCATTGATCCAGTCCTGATGGACCACGGAGATAAATGAGCATATTCCGACAGCTAGGCTATCTAAGTTGGTTATAATGATTTAATGGTAATTTTTTATAATGATTCTCCTAATCTGTGGTGAAATTTATGTATCTAGATGTCCTAGCCGTGGCTGGGGAGCCCGTCCGCTGTACTTTCAGGGCCAATATTTACAAATAGCTCATAAGTTTAATTATAACTTCTAAGCGCGCTAAGCCAGGGTCTCGGGATTTGCAAATATGTAAAAGAAGGTGTTAAAAGCGATCCAATCCACACCCAACCAACCTGGTGAATAATTATATACCAGTAGTTGGTTGCATTTACAAAGCGCAACACAACATTATTCCATCAAAATTGAAACATGAAGAAAGAAATCATAACAATCATATATCCAAAATCCAAAATCCAAAGTCTAATAAACAAAATCTATCCATAACCGTCTACATGACAATACAGCAAGCTTTCTCCAATTTTCTGAGGATAATTGGCAGGGCCTTTCGAGCAATTTTCTCGGCAGGAGTTTCCTCTTGATGGCCAGGTTGGTGCTGGGGTTGACCATGTGGCTGGCCGTGATGCTGCTGGCCGTAGTGTGGCTGTCCATGCTGAGGCTGTCCATGCTGAGGTTGACCGTGATGAGGTTGGTTGTGGCCCTGGTTAGGATGTGATGAATGGGGTGGCATGTTGGCAGGCCCTCCAGTGAGGTTAACATATATCCGCCCCGCATTCTCTTCAGTGGCATACTGGAGGCCAAGATCACGGCAGACTTGTTCGACGCGAGGTTTGATCTTCTGGACGTGGTTCACGGAGTGGTTTCCCTTGCCGACGATCCTATTTTACAACGTCATGTCAGTCCTAGCATAGGTCTAGGGGGGGAGAGGGTTCGTGAATCCCAACGTACACATGAAGGTGATCCTGTCCATGCTGTCTTGCATATTTAATGCGCTCTTCCAGAATATCTTCTGCTTCCTCGACGAATTGGCCGTGCAAATCGATGGTGTCCGCAGCAACACGACCCTCGGCGTTGTTCTCTCTGAAGATGAACTCCGAGGCTTGTTTGTTGTACTGTTCCATCTTCCGGCCATGCTCCTTGCCCTCCTCGGATAGCTCTTTAGCCCGTTGGCCATCGCCGTTCTCGTACGCCTGGCGGGACTATACAGATCATAGAAGCGGTTAGCAGGGTGGTTTGTGGATAATGTCGATGCGCTGGAGGGAGGATGTTCGTACCCGGTCAAAGCAAGAACCGCGGAGTTCGGCCTCGTGTCTAGCTAATCCTCGCAGTCTATCATACTCCTCCTCTGTATCAGAGTGCTGTTCATGGTTGAACGCTTCATCGGTCGGCTGTTAGCACTTGATTCCCCTTACGCCTTCACTAACAGACTACGCGCCGTCCGCCTGGGGCAATCAGGACTCACCGCGAGCGCCAATAAAGGAAGCAGACATGGCGGTAAAGCGATATGTTATTAGGATAACAATGTATATTGACTTGCGACCCTGATAGACGATGTTCGTTATCCGTATTGAATCGCAGTCTCGGTGTTGCGATTAAATGTCGAGGTTTGGACCTTCTTTCGCATCAAACTCGAGCGCCAGGCACAAAACTTAAAATCCGATAGAGCGAACGAACCATGGATACATACCAAAGCCCTTAGGCCAGAGAACTACCAGACTCCGTTAATCAGGATCGTTCGCCAGGTAGTCGATACATTTACACAGTATAGAATAATACCTAGATAATGTGTATCTTTTAGCTAACTCCGATTATTAGATCTGAGAAGATACGGATCCCCTATACATCCATCTGTTATACAACCCTCAAGCAGTGATAGATTTAGTGAGAAAAAGCAATCTTATGTGACTTGGGAGTAACTCTCAAGAATTACCCAAGTTCATTCTCTTTGTAGAGGTAAGTTAGGCATTTGCTAGAGAGTGAGTAGAAGTTCACAGATTTCCCTTTTGCTTCTGCTATATAAAAGATAGACTTACTTCCGAAAATACTCACCGGCGTGCATTGTCTTGATTCGGCCACCAATATCCCCCATGTGTGTCCACCGCGCTCAAAATCACTTCCGCAGACATAGGCATATCAAAGCACCTGCGTCCCTGTACTCCACACCTGGTCATTACCAAAACCAGCTCCCCGAAGAATCGGCTTTTGTTAGATTAGATCAGAATCCCCAGTACCTTAGTACGGCTAAGTATGGCATTTAAAGCCCCAATATCGAGTTTTTTCAGCAAATACGGCTCGGGCTCGCCAGAGCGAAGAAGGACGCAGCTGGGATGGCAATATGACGGATATGACCTGCTTTGGGACGGCGGCCTGTGTTGGTATCTATGCCGTTACCATCTTCGTGGTTGTTTCTTCTACTGTAGCGGTTGCTTTGGCGCTGAGCGGGAAGCTGGGGCGATGGCAGAGCTCTCGCTTATGAAACGGACTACCTGTCGCCACTGACAAACCTTTCATATGCGGGCCGTGGTTGAAATATAACCTGGTGATGCTCCTGAAAGTATGCCCAAACGTTGGTTAATGTCCCGCCGAAGGTCATCTGCACCAGTGGCCAGCAAATAAGAAACCCTCTTCGTCGAGGTCAAGAAATTATTAAATCGCCCCCGCCATTTTGGCCCAACGTCTTGCCTCCAGTCGCAAATGTGTAAGCGATCGACCGTCCGTAGTTATATTCCGGCACAGTGCGTCCATCGTCGCTGGTAAATGGGGTGTCTTTTCTATTCATGTTTGACTGTCTCCCCGTTGCTAATTTGTTGTTGTTGTTGCTGTCATCGTTTAAAGGAAGAAAAAGAAGCCGAGGCTTGGAAGGGCTTGGCCTTTCTTGGCAGTAAATGTCATGTGGCGTGATCTTATCTGATCCTACTCTTAAACCTTATCTTGATCTGATAAGCACCGGGATCCCCCGTCTCGGTACTTAAATACTAGGGACTCTTCAACGTCACTTCTTTCTCTTGCTCGTCCGTTTCTGTCCGGCTAGCAAACACACAAGTGGAACAAGCAAACAACAACCCAAGAAACATATCTTTGCTATAAATCGAATCCCTGCTCTCTCTCATTTATACCACTCCTTTCTTCTACTAGTTCACTCTGATATTTACAGACCAAGCTTTGTTTACGACCTTACACCTCGCCGGCAAGATGCGGTCGTTCCTTGCCGTACCCTTTCTTTTAAGCTCCCTGGGATCATCCTCACCTATTGACATCAGATCCGCTTCACAGAACGATATCAGAGCTCCAGAACAAACACGCGTTGGCTACTTCGATGGAGATACCTTCTACTCCCCGCCCTTTGCTCCTCCTCGTTGGGCAGGCGACAACGAGGTATATGAAGACAACGATAGCCCCATTTCTGATAAAACCTTCCCAGACTGGCCCACGACCCATCTCCTAGCACGACGCCTGCTTGCTGTTTCCTCCACCGCTGTTCTTTCTACCGTCTATCCAAAAGGCTATAGAGACAGTACTCTTGAGGGAACGCCTATTGGTCTACCCGACTATATCGCCGACTGCTCTGCCCATGATAACAACGTTGCCCTAAGGAACATTCTTGGGCGAGGAAACCCTCTTTTACTTGCCTTGAATGTTGGTACAACGTTTAGAAACGCAAAGGCCGGGTCTAAGGTTTCTCTGTCAGTGGACTGGTGGCAACATTCCCGTATTCCTCCGAAAGGAGGAGACCCTCTAGATCGTGTGCCAGCTGGACTTCCTCGTCTTTCACTGATCGGCCGTATCGAAGAGATTCCACTCGATTCGCTATCGAAAGGGGATCGGCAAGCAGTTGAACAATGCTTCCTACAACACCATTCAGACGCAAAGTACTGGCTTCCGGGGTCTCCCAAATCTCCACATAGTGGCTACTGGGCACGGTTGGTTGTTGAAAAGGCATTCTGGGTGGGAGGGTTTGGTGATAGAGCGAGAATAGGCTGGCTTGACATGGATACTTGGAAGGCCATCCCTGAGAACAGTAAGGATGGGAAGAAGGGGTGGGCCGATATTAAATTGCCAGGAGAGTGAGACGTTACTTTTTTCTTTAGCGGCATAATTTTCTTCAGAGTAGCCACTGTTGCATCAATCTAAGAATTAACTAAGCTTTGCTGATCGGGCCTATGCACGTTTCACAAGATACAACAGATGTCGTTGTACAAGGGAAATACCAGTGAAAATTTGTCAGGTGTTTCTCCGCTTAGCTTGACAGTTAGAGTAACTATTGAAGCGAAGAACTCAAGTAGCTTTGGAGGAAAGGGGCGTGTTAATTTGCAACAAACGGCTCCTAAAGGATGGCATCCAAACCGCAAGGCAAACAACAAGTGACCCAAGCCTATTTGTTGTCCGAGAAAGCAAAATTAAATGAAACAATAGGTCAAAAAGGGGTAGCGGATTTATTGAAGCTGATAACCTTGGGTATAATGGATTCCTGGTACCATTTAGCCTATGGGTCGTTTGGTAAGAGACTGCCAATATGGACCACACTCGAATTCCCACAGCTCTTTGAGTTCGCCGATGACATCGTCAGAAACATCTATCCATGGTTTCCCAGCTGGGCTACCCCTAATCATCCGAGATTTGGTCTCAGCGACTATTTCGCGGTCATGATTCTTCCACTGTACAAGTTCGAATCGGTGTCCAGCCCATATACCCCGGTGTATTGGGGCTTCGTCATTGATTTGAAGCCCTGCGGGAGGCTTGCTGGCCCAAGATGTTCTCAAGAGGATAATGTCACCAAATCCGAGCCCCTTGCCCGGGTCGTGAACATACTCTTTAGTGGTAAGGTTTCGAAGCACCCATTTAGCACCTGGTGGATAATAGTCACCCTCGGTTGGACAGAGTAATTCAATCATCTGGCTAATAACGGTAATGGGAAGCTTATAAAACTCATCGTCAAACCATTTCGAATGGAGAAAGCCACAGTTCGAAGGTGTACGCAGTCCATGTGGGAGGAGAGGGCCACATTCACGTAAAAATTCAATCAGGGTTGGATGATCAGTGTCGGCTAGTTTGTTCAGGTGTGGAGCGAAGATCTTTCTAAGGTGAGGGTCGTCGAACAGTACGGGTGGAAAGTCGTTTTGATCAGTCACACCTCCAAGGCATATAATGCTCTCTCCTGCCCATTGTCCCAAGTTGGCGGTAATGTTTGACCGAAGATGTTTTGCCAGAAGCCTAAGAAAGCATCGCGATGTAAGGCCAAGGTGAATGATATCCAGCAAATCCAGCTCTTCGAAGATTTTTTCATAAACCTCGACAGGGAGACGCCCGAGTTGCGGCTTATAGGTTTTATGACTATCCGACGAGAGCGATTGGAGACTTAGGACGTCATCCTCGCTGCGCTTAGAAATTTTCAAAGGCCGTCCGTCATTCGAGCTGTCGTCAGAGGAGCTTTCTTCATCCCGCTTGCGTTTTGGGTGTTCGTCCTTGGCTGGAGAAAAGATAGCTGCTGCTTGTGCGTCATGTATCGTTCCCTGCTGACGTAGTTCACCATCATGTTTGTATCCTAAAATATTAAACGCGGTGTCTGGACTTGCTTCCCGCATATCATCTGTGGCAGCTAGTGATGCCGGGCGCAGCGGGGAGGTTAACCTCGCCCAGTTGCTAGACGAATTTGATTGCCCCGAGGTATCCGGAGAAGACGCAGCTGAAGTCGAAACTGGCTCAGTGGCTTCCATAAAGGCATCTGACCTGAAATGCAGAAACCATCAGCGATGTAACAGCTGGGTGAAAAGACACGCCATGGTACCTACAATGGACGGATATTCGGGACTGCAACATGGAACATAACATCATTGGCAGACCTATTCAGAAGCAGCCTCCTCAATCTGTAAGGGCCACAAAGCTTTTCACAGGTAGATAATGAAATGACATGGAACCACATTTTGACTGGAGTCTCCTGTTTTTGTTTCGGCTCTTCTGGCAGCATTTTGACTGCCACCGGCGGGTCTCGTTTGAACAGAGATGGCTTTCTGAATCCAAGGTCACCCATTATGAATAAAAGGGGTAGAAATGTTGTGGAATAACGAGCTGCTAAAATTGGGAAATCGTATCATATGAATATAAAGCAAGGGGTAAGAGAATAAACTAGGTCCTTGACGGCAAATTTCAAATGTAGCACGTCTATATAGAAGAGAGAAAGAAAAGAGAAAGAGAAGAAGAAGAGAAGAAGCAAATGTGAAGCTTTGTTTGTGGTTTCCTAGCAACAAGCTATATCGTCAAAACATAGAGCAGGAGCTACTTTGTAATCACCAATGTCAGAAATTTGGACCTTCAGGGGAAAAGAAGAGGGCTTTGGTAGGCTCACCTATTTACATTATAGCAGATTGGTAGTGATTGTTACATTAGAGCATGTGAAGCTCTAAATATTCCTTCTCTCCTTTGTCGATAGATAACGGATAACAGATCTATGGCTAGGGAATCAAAGAGTAACTCTCCATATAGGACATTTTCAGTAAAGAGAGAGGGAGACATGGAAATAGAGTGTATTTCTAGAGAAGCATCATGTCTCTTGACGGATCGCTCGCAAAACACAGGTCGAGGTACCCGTGATAGGATAACTGTATAGTCTCCTATAGTCCTTACGCCCTTACATGGAAGGATATGTGGGATATATGTTATTCGTGCTTTGGCAAGGGTAAAATGTCGCCGGCAGTAGCCTACCTTGTACTGTGCCAGTATATCGCTATTATCCAGAGGGACTAAAAACTTGACAGTGATGGTATATCTAAATTGTCCCTCCTAAATCTCCGGTACTGGTTCATTCCCGCTCTTACGAGAAGGGACATCCCTGACGGTAGCTAGGTGTTATCCAGATTAATGGTATTGGAAGGGTAACATTCTCATGCACAGGGCCATCAAACCGTTCAAGAACTTTGACACAGGGCAGTTCCAGAATGTCTATGCTCACGGGATAGACAAGTTGCATTCCCTAAGTACTTTTCTGGCTCCGGCGGAAACTCGACCAATTTCACCCCCATCCTGTCGGGCAGCATCAAGTCCACGTTGAACCGGAAGGTGAAAATTCTGCGTAAAAACTCTTAATCGGTCTTCACGAGATTCATACATGTCCCCTTCCTCGTTTTTAATACTGCCGAATAGGTCGAGGTAGGCGAACGGAGACGGCTTTGTCGGTAGAAGGTGATATTGAACATGGCGGAGTGGGAAACAAGCTTGGCTATCATTTACCCCTTGCCCCTCCGCTAATAGGCTCTGCGCATCAGGCCTGCCAATCCCTGCCTGCAGGAACTCGGCAAATATTTGTAGGGCCCTCGCCGTTAGTTTTCCTTCGCTCCCAGACTTCCCAAATGAGGTCTTATTGGAAGACCACTTTGTCGAGGCTTCGGTGTGCCATCCCAGAAGTGAAAGGAAGCAATTAAGCGTTTTAACCCAGCCTCCTGCAGCAGATACTAGTTCCTGTCCAGCAATAGAGAGCAACCAAGAGAGAATTTCCACTGATGATAGCCTGATATCTGCCGCCAAATGTGTCATTCCCGCTCGAAGATAAGGTAAAAATGCAGCTGCATGGCCTTCCAGGTCGGTTTGAGGGAACACCTTCAACAGCTTAAGTAGTTGTGTTCGCACTCCATTATTCCCGTCCAGAATTAAGGGGAATAGGAGCGGTAGGATAACTCCTACTGGTCGTGGAAGCGGTGAATCCACCGGCCTCGATGCAACAGCGGTGGTGAGATGGGACAAGGATTCCTTGCGCTGGGTATCCGTCTTAGAGCCTAGTAGGGACAGCGAATGGGTGAATTGAGACGATTCGGATGGTGCACTGGTCGAAAGCGACTGTTGATTTAAAACGATTGCTGAAAAGTCATAGTAGGTTAGCAATGCCCATCTGTCCTCCGAACTAAAGCGCAAGACTAGGTCTTTAAGCAAGCTTACCTTTCGATTTGAAGCTTGTATTCGTAAAATTCGAAGGGGCTGCCTTCTTCTTTCCAACCTTGAGCTTCGTTTTCTATAACCTGTCAATTATTCGAACGCTGTAGAATGTCTCTTCTCCCCTTCCTAGCCCTGCGCATAGTTACCTGGAAGTCCTTCTTCTTTTCGTTTTTCTTTTTCTGACTGGAGCCCATTGCTGCCCGACTATTATGAATTAAGCGGATATATCAATTCAACTACTGGAATTATATTAATAATTAGTAAAATGGGTATAAGAAGCAGTTCTTGCCCTCCAAAACATGGTAGCTGGAGAAATTCCTCGATGCCGTTGAATTTAAAAAAAAAAAACCGTCTTTCTTATTGGCGTTTGCTTCCCGCTAGTTAGTTATCTCTGATTAGTCAGCAAGAAGTTAAACTACATCGACCTCGAGAACTGACAAGACGAAGACCTTCTCCAAGACGAAGCGAGACAGGATATTTCCTGACACAAAGGCAGTTTCTGTTGGTCTACCTGTCAAGCTCAGGTTTTTCCGGATATCTACTTACGGGGAATTGCTCCCTTAATAGAATATTTAACGATGAATGAACGAAACACGGTTCGTGAATAGCGTACCCCCCCTTTTTTGCGTGCAATGCTGATTATTGAAAGCTGCCAGAAATTCCCCAGCATGTAGCTGCTCAATTGTCGCACCTCACATCACGACCCGGAGTACAGTCGACGTTGATACTTTCGCGCAAGGATGGCTCGATAATACAGACAACAGGCCTACTGGCGGTGCCGAGCACGACGAATGGAACATCCTCAAGTTCTGCACCACCAACAGAGATAGCAACACCTTCGTCAATAACAGACCAAGACGGTGAATCCTCAGAAACGGCCAGTAGCCCTGTAGTGGCCCAGCCTACGAGGCAAGCAGCGCCATATAAGCCTAGCCCAGCAGAGACATTAGCCGTGCACATACATGCATTCGTTTCGTCTGCATCATCCTTAAGCACTGCCCTATCTTCACCGGCGGATGAAGAGGACGACCTTGAAACAGAAAGTGAGAACAGAAAAAGCCTCAATAAAGACAGTGGACCGGCTGGTGGTAACCCGTTTGAAGACCCGACACCACTAGAACGGGAGGAAGATGATGAGTTAAAGCTTCTGCGACTAAGGACAAAAATACACGAAATAATCATAATACCAGACCGCAAATACCTCCTATGCGTCGTTCATGACGTCTCTACTACGGCTGGAGGGGCCGGCACCCGCGGTTTAGCACATGCAAGGCAGTGAATATGGAAGATACTTCGTCTTTCGTACCAAATTTGCCATGAGATACTAACCTATCGTGCTACGTGATATTCGTTGACAAACCACAGGTTGTCAAGAAACCTGATCGTGATTTAAGCGCATGCAAAGCCATGATACCCTAATAAATGAGTGTTCAATTAAATTTATTCGACATTATCCATGATTCCTTTTTAAGTTCACCAAACAAGTCCGTGTTCCTTGAGCCAAATTACGCCTATCTAATTCGGTGCCACATCGACTCGCCAGTTCCATGGAAATGTTTCCTCTAATGCCGAAGGAAGCTCCGGGCGTTATTTTATTTGGCTATAGAGGTCAGAGAGATTAGCCATTGTCTAAACAAAAAACTATAACATGAAGGGGTAAATGAAAAACCAGAACCGGATTCGGTGGGGACGAACCGCCTGGCACACTACCTGTAACATTGGATGCGGCATCCTTGACGGATTGAACAGTCTCCTGGCCCTTCTGCTTCAGTTCGTCGGCCTTGCCCTGGCCCTGATCAGTGAATTGTTTGGCAGTGTTCTTGGCGTCGCCTACATAATGAGATGCCATTAGCCCGGACGCCCGATCAGACAGATGTGGGATTGGTATTATTTGGCGGTCTAGGAGAATGCAGGGCATGTTTAGGGGGCACAAGTCTCACCGGGCTGTTGGGAACCCTTCATTTGTTCGGTGACCTTGTCCATAATGCCGGCTTTGTGTATAGTGGTATCTCAGCTATCTAGACACGCTAGGCCGTCAGCTTCTGGTCAACCTCTGCTACTTTCCCGCTCTGCACCGTAGGTCTCAGGTCATCTACTCACCGTAACTGTGTAGTACTTGTTGATTTTCACTCTTCTGCAAGTCTGTGAGTATCAGTTATGCGATATCAAAGGTGCTTTCTTTCAAGGCGGGGGCCTTCTCCTTCGACTTTCTTATACGGCGCCTTGCTTCCCACAGGTTCACGTGACCCTTTTTAAGGTTCCAAGGCTCTGCCAACGTCATGGTCTGGCCTGTCTCCACACGAACGCTTTATCTTCATCTTTGTTTGTCATCTACGTTGTATCAATGTCATATCAGTCTACCTACCTACGGTCTTTCGATCCATATTTCTGCCTCGCGCCTTGAGACATACTATTGCGACATTATAGCTTATGTAGAGCTTGCGGACAACTCCAAGAGATGACTTAGCTAGTTAACTACTCCTTTTTGAAGTGAACAAATTCACTTCTGCGAGCCGACAGCCCCTCAGTAATATTGCTAGAACATCTCTCCCCCACATAGTTGCCACTAAAGGCGACAGCTTCTCAGAGTATATCAGAGCCTGGGCAGCTCTATGTCTCCAATTTTATCTCTTGCCTCACATCTCGAGCAATCGTTGCCTGGGAGAATGCCCGCCTGACCCTTGGTTTGGTTTGGTACGGTTTTATCATCATTTCTAGAGGCAAAGACTGTCGACTAGCCCGGTGGAAGAATCCAACCCATAAAGCCAGGCTGGTTCGTCACCAGTATAGAATACTGGATACCTTTTCATTGATTGGATATGGTATTCTCAAGCACTAATAGTGACATTCAACACGGTTAATCTGCCGTCAATCAATGTATGGAGGGTACGTCCCCAACTGTCCAATCTTGAAAGTGCATTCCATGCCTGGTTCTCTGTGGTGTACTTGGTGTACGGAGCACTGCCCATGCAATGCTCGAAAGAGAGGCAAACGAAACCCCTATCTCATCGGTAGTGATTCACAACCGACGAACTGCCGAGAAACAGGAAGGGACGACAGGGAGTCGCTTTATAATCGGACTGGCCAATATTACAATATTTGTGGCAATACTGCAACGCAACTGGGTCTCTTCAGCATTGAACTTGTTCAGTCTACATGTTAGACAGAACTTGCCAGAGTCACGTTACTCAACGTCTCGATTCCGTGCTCAACGTAGTAACCCCTTTTAATGGATTTGTAAACAACTCATTCTCTGGCACTTATATTTATCCAGAACTAACATACAGCTTAGGGTTAACACGGTAAATAGTTATCAACTATACCTACCTGGCTGTTCTTCCAGGAGCCTTATCCCGGAGTACACGTAATGCAAAATATCAGTCAAAAGAAGACTTCGGGATAGAGGTAGCTCATTCTCAACGGTAGAAAAGAAGTCCATCTTACGGTCTAACACACGCTGGCTGACAAGCTATTGCTTGTCTAACGAAAGACTAACTCAATGCTGTTATTCTCTGAAGTGCTTCAATTTTGTGTTTCGTCGAATCCATTGGAAAGCACGTCTAGATACCCAGGTGGCCACAATAACGGGTAAATAGGGCAGGTAGGATATTGCCATTGACTAGGATAGCCTCCATCAATAACCTAGCATTCACTTGGGAATCACACCGCATCCCTGCATGGTTGGCTGTAGTTTTGATCAAGGCACACTGCCGTGGAACAGCGCTACTACTACGATCACTTGCCAACTGTGACGTACAGACGGCAGAAAATATGTTGATATTAGTATTTGTACCTGATCATACATAGTCACAGTGTCACGAATCAACTAAGATATCAATGGCATCAGCTCAGAACCCCCTTTTTACTCAGCAAGGGGTCTTAAGAGCCAGACCAATTCAAATATAAATACCCGTTCCTATACCTCCTCTTCGACTGTTTTCGGATATCATCACCAGATCCGGGCCAGCCAGCATTCCTAACCGAGAAGAAATCCCCCTTGAAAACCTTCGTATAAACATAGTTTGAACATCCATTCCCTACATCAACTTACCAAAATGTTCTTCTCTCGCTTCATTGCCCTTGCTATGGCTACGAGCATTGCTCTCGTCAGCGCCGGTCCAACGCCAACCACAGATACCTGCAATGTCAATGTATGCAGTTACCAATATACAATAACAATATTGAAGTTTTGCTAATAGTTACCATACAGGCTGCAATCTATAGTTTGACTGGGTTCAATGGCCGTCGCAAGGAGCTCCCGATTGATTCCGAGTGCAACCCTCTGGCTGATCCATTGTATGGCTCCTTCAAACCAGGATACCATTCCACCCCTATCAATAGTACGGTCATATCGCTAACATAGCTTTGCCTCATAGCGTTACATCCGTTGGATCCGTGAAGCTGCCCCGCGGTGCCCTGTGCCAATTCTATTCGTACGTCTTCCCTGCCATATGAAATGAATACATTTGTTTCTTTGATACAAATACTAACGAACATATAGCGACGCAAACTGCGAAACCAGCACTTCCATCGTCTCTTCCCGTAGCATCCCAGATGCCTTTAAACACGATGGCCGTCAAACCAAGAGCATCAAATGCCTCTACATTCCTGACGAATCTGAGAAGCCTGCTGAGAAGGAGGAGAGCGAGAGCGAGAGCGGATAGATGGCATGTCCCTTCCTTCAAGGTATGATGAGAGTATGGCTACTCTTATCAATTATACCTCTCTCTGCCTTTTATTATTGTCTTTCAAATTATTGTCTTGCAAATGCTGCAAACCAGTCACTCGTTTATGGATTTCGTTCTCTATATAGTTATTTAATATTAATCCTCCATTCGGCTACAGATCTTCCGATTTTCGTTTCTAACCGGAATGATGGTTTTCATCGATGTCTCTGTGAAAGTTGCACCGTGAAGTAAATTCGGAGAAAATTTCATCGTTCGAGGATTGATTTATTGATAACCCGCACCATGGTATTTGTACAATGAAAAGTGAACATAAAATGATGACCGCTCCAGACACGCTAGAAAACGAACTGTCTCTCAACGGGTGGCCAAGCACCTCAGTGAACGATCTAAAATCTAAATGATTTCGCAAAACATAATTCATCAAATGGCGATAGAAATAAAATTGCCGAATGTTTCAAGGCTCTTTTTTTGTGATCTAGTATTCAACGTTGCTTGCACACGAGAAACTGGAACCAGCTGGGCTATCATGGAGCGTTTGCCGGACACATATAGACCAAGTCCACAACTAATGTATTGTTAGCC